GAGTAGAACAATGGTTATTACGGTAGCCAAGTAGGCAGAAAGCACAAGTAGGCTATGCATGTTGAGCACAGTCCTGAACAACAGTTTTTACGGGGGGTTATTATGGGCGGCATGCACTGCTACTAAGTAGTAACGAGATGTTGTTTGTGAACTCCCATCCAGAAATATAGGGCCTGGGTGTGGCACCCCCCACTCCCTGGATGCTCCCGGATTTAATTTCAGAAATCTGGTCACCTTAGCTTAAATAGTTCAGCTACCCCAAAGTTGTGAGAAGGGCCAGTTAGCAGCTCAGCAGCCACCATGGAGGAAATGAAAGCCTTATCACGCTATTTACATTACTGCTACACACAAGAAGCCATGTGTTTGTGTGCTGGCTTGAATAGTTTGAAGTAGATTTAGGGCTCACTGAAGGTTTGTCACCTCTGACCTAGCTTAACAGGAAAAAAACAGGAAAAAAAAATTATTACTATCATCTAATATCTATCACTGTAACATTACACTGAACACTCTAGTAAAGTTCTTATATAAAACGAGAAAGGCATTAATGCTTATGATGCTACAGCTTTGAAAACTGTGTTTAAGAAGCTCCCAACCTCTCCAACAATCAACCTTCAGTAGATAACTGTTTTTCACTCCCTATATAGAAAGAGGGCAGGAACTGGCAGAGTAGGAGCTAATTTGAATAATTCAACAGCAGGGTATCAGACATAGTCAATGTAATCATAGTAGATGAACATGCTTCATGATGCTGCATCACAGTGAAGCACTTCACAATTTGGAAGCTGCCTGATGCCTGTCAGGATTTAATCAACTGAAGGGGAAAGCATTACTGACTGACTCATGATGCTGGTAAGAATAAGAGATGAGTAAAAAATGACAGTACTGGCACTACATAGGCATTAAGGGTCTTTTTTACAAACAATGCTGGGTGTATCGTGTGTAAATATAAGCAACAACACTATATTTTTATCTAATTTTGTGAGTTTAAAAAGATTTTTCATTGATATTGTACATGCATCATTGGACTGAGCCTGGCTTTCTCCAAAGAAGCCTTCACGGGCCACAAACAAACAGGTAGTTTTCAAGTGAATCCCCTGTTAGATGAGTGAATCCGAGAGAGAAAGAAAACAACTGCACAAAGAAAATGACTTTTGGAGGGAGTGTCTGTGGATGACAGAAGGGGTGAAATATGGACCGTTGTTTGGTCTGCAATGGACAGTTACCCATAAACACACCTGCAAGGCTCATATTATACACTGGAAAGGGTGAAATCATTGATCATTTGTTCAAAACACCAAATTTGTCTTTATACGCTGAAACTAAAGTCGCATGCAGCAATCCAAGCACTCTGGATTGATACATTTTTTATGAGACTGAATAAATGAGCAAGCCGGGAAAGCACTTCCCAGCACTGCCAAGTGTTTTAATGAAATACATAAATGGCAGTAACAGGATTGTAACAGAATCCTTTGTGCAGAAAAGTCACACTTGAGGTGGATAGCTCCTGACCTGATATCAGAGGCAGTAACAAAAAGGAGTTATTTCTATTTGGCCCAATTGACTTCAGGTGTGAGCAGATTTCTCCCACCACTCTCTGCTTTCTTTCTTTTTTTTCCATCTCTTACTGATTTACAACTCATATTACATTTCCATGAAATATCTAGCAGCAGAGACATTACCTTACAAACATCCTCAAGCATTTGAGGTAATATTCAGAATGATCCCGCCACATGCATAATCATTCTACAATGCCCTCTCTGCATACCCAGCTGCTGTATGCCAACCTGAAGCCATCTTCCCATCCATATTTTCTTCGTTCCCTGTTTGCTATACAAACTTCACCTCTGCAGCGTCTTTAAATTATGCAGAGCTGAGGGCTGTGCATGATGGATCCATATCTCATTGATTTCCCATAAAGGAAATATGAGAAATACAGCTGGATCCATTAGTCACTGCATACATTTTGTCACTATGTCACTAGGTCGCATCAGTTAAATATGTGACTTCTTTGTTATAGACAGGAAAACTAGCTTTTTCCATGAGTGCTGTGATACTGATGGGTGTAGGTAACCCTGTCCTATGGCAGGTTTTAGGAAATGACACAGAAGACTTTGATAATTGATATCCAAATCGGTACAGCTCTACATATTTTGTTTTGATAAAATAAAACAAAGCCACTTTAGCAGCAGACTGGAGCATGAGTAGAGATAAAAACTGCAAAAACAGCATCGACCTTGGTAAGTAATATACTTACACCTTCTGCTCTGCAGGCAAAATGGGTCTTATATTCTGTTGTTTCAGGATAAAAATGATTTCAAAACCCAGCACCTTTTTAAGTACTGCTGTTCTTTTTATCGATTCGGAAGTTGTAGTTGGTTAAAAATTGATCAGAAACTCAACATTTATATACTTGTTAAGCCATTTTTTTCCTTTTAAATCTGCACCCATGGTTGTGTAGAGGTAATGGCTGTGCACCTCATAAATGGGACACCGTTATGAGAAGAATACGCAAGTCTTATCAAACTCAGAGTGAATGTTTGAAGGAAATGACTCAATTTAATTTGATAGTCAATGGCTGCACGGCTAGTCTCTCATGTTTCATTCATTTTGCTTAGATTTCAAATGCATTTCATCTTACACACAGCTGTGCAGAATACCTGATTATGACTAATACAGCAAAATTTGTCAGCGCTCCTGATGAACACACTGTAATGTGGTTCTTATCACAGACTCATCTGTAATCACATCATAGTTCCATTAACTTGCGTCAGCTGGGTTATGGAGGAAATAAAGACATAGCCAGTGATGGTTACCAACACAAAAACTGGAGGCTACAGTGGATAAACCTACCAAATTAAAGATTTGCAGTAAACACTTTAATGGACAGTTTAGGGTAGAGTGGTTCTTGGTACAAATGAATGAAAAGTTCAGTCACAGCTAAGTTAGCTCTTTTTAAGAGGGATTAGGATAAAGCCTGATTTGTGAGTGAAACAGAATATTTTTGGCGAAACAATTTCTCTAAGTTAATTAAAATTTCAAAATCAACATTTGGTTTGGAAGCATCTTTCTCTAATCACCCACTCCTTGTATTATTATCCATTAGAAAATAGCCCCAACATGCTCCTGAAGTTTGTTGGCACTCTTTTGGTCGGCTGTTCATTCTTATACTGAATGGCGCAAATTCCACCGCTGCACAGACCAGTACAGAACCAGACCTCCTCGTCCCAGTGTTTTAGTCAACCACAGAAAGAGAAGATCAAAACTGCTGGAGTTGGAAGCTTGGCTGTTACACACAATAATCCATCTTCATCATATTGTCTGTAAAAGCAGACAGGGCAATTATCTCCTGAATAGCGAGTGTACTGAGTCTGTGTTGTTTTAAGAAATGAGGGAATCCTGCTACAGGTGAATGGTGTCCTTGTACAATAGTTGGTAGAGGGCTACTTCTTGTACTCTGTCTCAAGCTGACCCATGGTGTAAGTGAACTGCAAAGTGAGGTTGGCTGTCTGTGGGTTTGATGGCATGCCGGCATGATTGATTTTTATACACACTAGCAACGGATACAATTCCAAATGAAATGGGCTTTTGATGAGAGGTTTTTGCTCATTTCTTGACTTCTGGAGTTGAAATGGTGACTGGTCATCCTGTTTTTTGGTCTCAAGTTTGATTCATGTGTTTTCAACAAGAACAAAGACTTATAGGTCCTCCGTCTTGGAGTTGCTTTAAGTTTGCAACAAGAAAAAATGTTATAAAAATAGGGAATTTTTGGGCCCTCCTTCAAATATCTGACATTAAAATAAACATTTGATCACACCATTTCACAGCACTAAAACACTGCAGGTCAAATGGTTTAATTTGTACCAACAAAGACCTCTTTCGATTGTCATGTCCATTTTCCAAAAAAAAAAAAAAAAAAAAGGTAGTCTCAGTTTCATCAAACCTGTTTTTTATTTTTTGCCTCAAATCTCCTTTGAGGTTTGTGTCTTGCTCACTACCTGCTTAACCAATTTACCTTAAAAAAATTTTGTCTGATCTGTTAATGAGTAACTCAAAAGCAACATGATTTCGTCCCTGTAGCAGACCTGTGAAAGCTTGATGTCTGACCTTTCCATAATGAGGACAATATCTGTAGGTGGCCCTCCTACGCCTGTCATCCCGCTATTGAGCACCGTACACACACACACCCTTAAATAACACCTGCCACGCTCTTTTAGTCACCAAGCCACACCAGAGGATCCCCAGAGATCTTCTTGGACATCAGAGACAGTGGGGTTGTTAAGCTGAGAAATAGATTTATGCGGCAATATTTTGAGTTGAGCAGTTGGACATGTGGTGTCATTTTACACAGTGACCGTAATAAGGAGGAAAAAGAACTCAGGATTATGGAAAATATCACAGGAGAGTAAAAGGTAGAAAAAAGAGGTTCCTGGAGAGGAGCGCAGCTCACAAGAAAAGAGCCTCAAGATAAAAAGCAAGAGGAGGGTGAAAGAAAGCCAGAGGGAGAGTGTTTATTTTGATATCACACAGGAGAGAGGGATAGGATGCTGTGGTTAGACAGACAAATCACTTAAATCAAAAACAAAAATATGAGACAAATCCAAACAGTTAAGATGAATTTTGTCTGCTAGCTTTCATGGCTTTAGATGATGATGTGTAAACAGAAATCTGTCACATCCCTCTGAATACTTTTCTTGTAGACTTAAGAAACCACTGGAATGAGAAACGTTACGCCTGCAGGTCTCTGAGAATAAACAGCATTTTCATTTTTTAGTGTGAACACAGGCAAGTGGTGCCAATCTTAAGCTCCTGAAAAGTGTAATAAATAATTTATAAACAGTGACAGGCATTAGTATAGAAAATATAGAAACAGATAGTATGAAAAACAAATTACGTGGCGTAGACAGTTAAACTCAAGGTGATTCAGTGAGTAAAAGCAATCACTCAAAATGAATTGTATGTGATGACATAATCTATGGAGGCTTTAGATCGCAGATTTCTTTTCATCCCAGTTGATCCTCATATTGCTTACGGAAACAGTCTCCCACAGGGAAGAATTCCCAGGAACGCTCCTGGTACAATTTCCATACATAGGATTCCTGGCAAAGACAACAGAGTGGGAATTTATCCGCAGGGTCATTAGTTATGCCAATCTTGTCTGTTCTCCCTGAACCTAATCAGTAAAATACAGGGGTGAAAGCCTGTGAGGGTAAAATTCCAGCACTTTTTCAGTATAATCCCACAGCCCAGAGTTGGGATGCTGTGTAAAATATAAATGCAAAAATAGAATTTGATGGTTTCCAAATCAGGTGAACAAAATGCTTAAATGTGATAAAAAGTTCATATTTCATTTTCTGTGTCTAAATAAGATTCTTACCACATATTCTAAAATGATACTGTGTCACAAAGGAGAGGCTAAATATCCTGAGTGAGAATGTATTTATCGTTTTTACTTAACATTGAGTCTGATCTCTATAGGAGAGTTCATGTACATCACATGTAGCGAGAGAAAGTGATGCTGATTGAGAGGCCTCCCTGAGAAACTGATAATTACAGGTAAGCTCAATAGACAAAGTTGTGAAGACTAGTGAAGACTTGCTATTTGAAACTCCAGCCTCCCCTGCTGCCAACTATTTATGAGTAAAACAGAAATTACAATCAATGCCTTACACGTGTATTATCATTAACTGAGGGTGCTGGTACCGATAGGGTTTTTGAGAAACAGTGCGAATACAGATTCTCTCTCAGCTGAAAAGGTTACACTCCAGCTTTGTCACAGACATAGCAAATGCTGGAATTTAAAAGGTCACAGAGACAAGTGAAAACTGCAGTGGAGGGACGCATGGAGGAATGTGGACTTGGAGATTGACAGAGGAGTTGTTTATTAGCTTCAAAAGAGCACATCAGTTTGCTACTTTGACTGTTTCATGAAATACAACAAAAGAGATGACTACAGTACCTGCCCTGTGTGCTCCGTCTCATCCTTGTTAATAAGATACATCAGAAAAAATCTGTAAGGGAACAGAGGAGGGATTCATGTAGCAGCCCTGTAGTAATCCACACACCTCCCACACATATTGTGTTCGGTATAAAGGAATCAACACTCCTGTAGTAAGTTGTAGCATTACATCATGAGTCTGTGCACAAGTCCAAGTACTGAGGTGCTCACGCAAACAGTTGTTAGTATTCAAATTAAAAGGGAAACAAAGAGGTATCTGCTATTTTGACAATCAGTTAACTTTTTTTCCTTCATGTTGAAATGTTGCGTTGAACAATCAGAATGCACACAAAGAAATGAGCAGGAAAGACTTCATCAGTCAGAGGATGCAAACACAGGTTGAATAATCCATAATAATTAGGCTCAATGAGCTCTTGCCAATGGCAATTATTGATGTGGCAACAGTCTGCGATGCCACAGCACCTCCCAAATAACCATTTCTTATCCATTAAATTAACTCTGATCAGCTGTGCGTTCACACATGTGATTTATGCTGTTTGTGTGCCAAAGAGAAAAACTGGAGATCTGTGTTGATAACCCAAGAAGATGCAACAGAACCAGTCCAGGTAACTAGTAAGGTGCTGTTATTTTTTTTTTTATAAACCTGCTATTGTGGAGCATGCAAACACTTGCACATCATATTATCTGTAAGAGGTAACATGACAAATGTTTGTCATTTGGTGACAACAAATGGAGTTGTGTGTTTCAGCATGCATCAAAGGGGCATGAATCCACTCACAGATAGTTGGACAGGTTGTGTTCCTGGAGAGTGTGAGTCTCGAAGCCATGAGGGACTTTATCAAAATACTCACTTCCTATTCCACAAATAAAACATTTGGTCTGCAGGAGGAGAGATTTCAGAAATGTAAAGGCAGATAAAATAGACATGGAGCGATTTGACGTTCTCAGAGTACCTTTGAGAAAAATCAAGTGAAATAAAATCCTCAGGACCAAAGGGGGGATATGCTTTTTGATGAGTGTGGCTTAACTCCTCTCAGCTTTAACACTTCTTCAGTTCATCCTCAGAGAGCCTTTTAATGTAAATAGCAGCAGCAGCAGCAGCACACGAGTCTCTGCCAGGTTTTCGTGTCTCCCACATGAGCGTATTTGCATCATTTGTTGGGTACTAAACGGTCAAATCACCTTTTTTTTCATATTTACTGAGAAGTCGTCCAAAGGTCTCTACGACGATATGTAGCAAAAAAATGTTTAGTGCCTGAGTTAATGCATAATTCATTTCTTGGGACACACGCTGAAAAATATTCTACTCTGGGAGGAAATAAAAGCACATGTTGAAAGCTAATAATTAAGAGAATAAATTATGAAGTTTAACACCAGTCATTACCATTTCACAGCCCTGGTTAGCTTCGAGCCTCATTAGCCCCTGACTAAATGACTTTTTATTTTTTTATTCCCTCGAGGACTGTTTTGATGTCAGTGCTACAACAGCTCTGTTACTTTCACTGTGGATGTACAGTGGCAGAAACTGAGCAGCGAGTTTGCCTCTGAAACACTAATGACTGATCACATGTGTACCCTTCATTTTGAAAGGGTAGTTCACCACTGTGCTGTATTGTTACCTCAGCAGCCCAGTCTTTGATTATCTCCCTGCCGCTCTTACACCTTTGGATATTTGTCGATCTGACGACTCCCCCATTGCTCATTGTCTGCCTGCTTGACCAGATAAAAAGTCTCTTTTAACCTTTCTTGTCCCCCCCTGCACGGTCTGCCGTTTGCACCTGTTGCAGCTTTAAGGGGGATACTGCTGAGAGATGTTTGCCTGTGGCTACCTGTTTGATAAAGCCACTCAACAGTCTCCAAACAAAAGAAGCATTTCACTCCATTTAGGTTTAACACCTCCAAGAAATTCTATATGTGGAAATCTAATTAAGAGTAAGTGCAATCGCCTCCGTACGCAAAGCATGAGTGACCATGAGCTTGTTTTCTAAGCTCTTCCTATTAACAGAAAGAGCTGAGAAAATAATTATCTATATTAAGATATTTTTGGATGAAGGACTGCTGCTGTGAACGACATGTACAGTTATGATTCAATGATTCCTGTCATTTTAAACACTAATCATATCAATCTCCATAAAGGCATCTGGTGAATCTCGTTAAGTTGTTCATAAATACAGAGAAAATTGTGCTGAAAATCAGGCATAGTCAAAAGAGACAACAAAGAACAACATGTATAAGAAGACAGACATGGAGTTAACACCAAACAGACATGGTGTGGGCTGAGTCAGTGCCAAAAGGCTGGTTAAAGACAGGCTGTCAAACTACAATGATGCTTACTGGGGACTGTTTGTTCAGGACTGCAGAGTTTACCACCGCTACAGACATCACAAAACAGTCTATTTCTCAGTAGATGATGTACTTCTAAATTCTACAATAATCTCCAAAGTAATACCCTGTATAATAAACATATTAAAATATACATATTTGTTCTATTAGTAGCCTGGTAATAAGTACAATCTACAGGGAGTGAGTCAATACTTCAGACACACCCAGACAGAGAGGGGCTTATCTCACCAGGACATATATGTCATGTGATCAAAATGTGATTGAGAAAGATTTTAAATATCAGGAATCTGATTTATTACTCAGGATACAATTGACTTCAAGCTTAACTGACTATAACTTTTAATTCTCAGTTATGTATCTAAATCTGACAGCACAGTGGAAACTATTTGAAGTTAATAAACAACGTTATTCATTCGGAATTTCTTGACACTTCACATCAATAACATTAGTGGTAAGTTTGTGTGAAGTCCTACCTCCATATCCTCTTTCACCTGCTCCTGCTGGTCACGCAGCTCCCCAAAAGCATCTATTATCAATCCTGAAAAAGTTGAAGATTGTGCGTCTGAGTCTCTGTTTGTGTTACAGACTGACATGTGCATGGCTGTGCTTGTCTCTGAATAACAGGTGTTTGCAAACTTCAAGGACTCGGGGGGGATAAACAGATACTCTGTTCCTTTTCCAGTTATGCATGAAAAATTCATCAAATCTCTTCTCGTGAACAAGGTGCATGATATGCATTTGTGTGGTGTGCATAATAATGCATTTCCTCAAGCTGAGCTGTACTTGTAAAACAATTCAAGTGTGTGTGTGAGACGCACCCTGGATGATAGCCAGAAGGATGACGATGACAAAGAAGAAAAACGTGATGTCGAAGACGATACGTTCCACTTCAAACTCATCTCCGGCAGGGTCCTCAATCTCGTCTCCTATTCCCCCGCCAGCGCGCACTCCCACATACATGTGGAACATGTAGCACTGAAAGAGGATGATTTTTCAGTCATGACTTCGACTTTAGGATGAGGACATTCTTCCCCAAACTACACATGACTGACTCCTTTCTCTCTGGCTATCTCTGACAGGGGAATACACGTGGGGGAAAACATGTTAAGTTTTCAAGTACAGCTCCAGTATTGTGTCTTCCAACTCCAAATTCCAGTATTTATTTCAAATATATTCATGCCTATCTTCATGCTGGTTGCTTTTCCAGGGCTATTCAAAAGTTTCAAACTGGCAGTTTCAACATGGTTACAAAGAGCAGGTGAGGGTATTTGAAAACTTTTTTTGTTCCACTAAGACAGTATAACACCCACAAGAGTTTCCTGTTGGAATATAGGGCAGAGGTAGTGATGCAAACGAATTCAGACAAAAACAAATAAAAACTTCACTGCTGAACCCGAAAGAAAAATTCAGATGATCTCCTTTTGGGATTTTTGGGCTCACTTATTTCTTAGACAGGCTGAGCAGAACAGAACTTTATGTCTTTGGTTTATCTGGAGGTACATAGCTTTTCTATTTGGCACGTAAGGTGTCTAAAAACGGTGTTTGTTGTTTTGGGGTAAAAGGAAAAGGACTGGAATTACTTTAGGATAAAAGAAATGCATAGCAAAAACAGTGTCTGAACAAGGATTTTCTTTAATATCATCTTCTTCTTTGAATTATTCAAGGAAGAGTTTATTTTCTACTGCTGGTGTGAGTGACAGTTGAGTCCACATTAGAATAAAGCCGGGGGTTTGGGTGGTTATGTTGTGAATGGCCAAACAAAGCGCTATGCAAAGGTTTGAGGAGCTGTTTTCCATCCATGTGTCCATCACGTTGTGTAAAATGAAGCTGAAGGGCTGAGGGAAGAGGCTGCTCCCTCTTCAGTGGTGGGGATCACTGTCAGAATCGTTCACTTTGAGAAGGCTGAAAATGGGGAGTGTGAATGCATTTGTATAGTACAGATAAACATAAAGAAGATGGATAGAGGGAATAGAGAAGAGAGATTTCATGTGTGAGTGCTCGGTCAATCTTCAAACTTAACTTACAGTGAGCATGTCATTGCACTTCATGTCCCAGGTGTCGTCATCGTTGCTCTTGTTGTAGAACTTCCTGAAGAAGTTAAAGGCCACAACGGTATAGAGATACACGACTACCGCTAACAGGCCAACCGTCAGGACCAACTATGAGACACAAACATGATTACAAGAGGATTTAAAGAGGCAAATAATATACTTCTTTCCAATGTAAATGAACAGCATGACAGCAAACATCACAAGCAAGCATGCAGACACTTCTGAACACGCACCGAGAACAGGGTTCAAGAGAAAAGTCACACACCTGTTTGCCGTTGTGTGTGACAGAAGAAAGGATAGTGCGAAGTGTCTTAAAGCCCATGGCGATGTCCAGAAGATGAGCAGCAAAAAAGAAATTGTTGTAATGGCCCAGAACAGACATGGCCATGTACCAGGCCAAATACAACAGGGACTGTGGACACACAGAGAAGGATACACTCACATTAAAGGAGGCAATAAACTGTAGATTACAAAGATAGATAAAGAGACAATGTGGACTTTAGATAAGCCTACACCACAGGATATTACCCCTGTCACCTCTGCAGCATGTGAAATCAAGAGAGAATCAAGCAAAATCTTAGTATGATAGAACTAATTAGGCACAAGTCGTAACATATCAGATATGCTTTTCACACGCTGATCACTTTTCATTATCTGTAAACATTAATTATTCAAAGTGACACTTTTATCTTGTCTGTGAGGACTGAGGACAAAAACACAAATTAGACAAAAGCAGGCTTACATTATCGGTGAAAACAACTCCCAGTTTCCAGACCTGGTACTTCACATCAATGGAGCTATATCTGAAAAAAAAGCATTATCACAAAGATACATAATGTCAAGGACCAGGACAATAAGGTCAAAATGTCCGTGGCTAAAATCAGACCTCTGTTTGCAACAGTGGCTCTCCTGTCTGAAATGTAGCCAAATCTCAGAATGTCCTGTTCTTCCTCAAGTACAACATAATGTTCCAGGACCTTCTTTTGTCCACATTCAGGTAACACACTCAAACGCAGCCTCAAACAAACGCACAACATCAGTGGATTGACTACTAATAATGGTAAAGACTATAAATAATCAAGTAGCAGAAATATAATGTCAAGGGGTTAGAAACAAGAGCTGGACATAAGAGTAAATAAGCCTGTGGTGTTCATGTATATGAGTGGCACTTATTTATGAATTATAACCATCCCTGCTGTGAAACGCATTAGAGAAAGAGCTTTATCGATTACCTTATTCAAATTATTTTCCTTTATAGTCAATACTTTGTTCTACAAACATACATGGAGCAATCTTAGAAAGCAGAATGCTGCTGTGTGTATGGCCACCTCCTTCCTAATTCTATACCCCCAATGAAAGGCAAGGTGATTTATTATTTATGGCTATGATTTATATAATATAAAAAAATAAAAGCACATTTCATTATTCTTCAAAGTTGTTGTCCATGTCTGTACTTTGCTTCTGCATATAAAAAGTTCAACAAGAAGTAAGATGTAAATGCTGTCTGGTTCAATAACTACCATATTTTTGTCTGCACCTCCATAAAGGCAAAATAAATGATATACTGGATGGCTGAAGTTTCCCCCTGGATGCCATATGAATGCAGAATAGTGTGGCTTATGTTTTTTGTTCCTACTCACAGAGCACTCCAGGCTGTGTCTCTCTTGAGCCTCTTTCCCTCTTTTCTCTTTGAGCTTAAGTCTAACGCAGCTTGGTCCAGACCCAGGAGTTCACTGATCTTTTCACGGCCATAAAAGTCACCATACTTATCCATCACCTGACAGGGGAAAAAGATGTGTTTACATAGTACAACAGTCCCTTCTGAGGCTTTTCATCTGAATAAGCAATTACTTAGGGAATTATTCTGTACCGTCTGTGCCTGGTGAGACAGCAGCTTAGTTCTGCTGACAGAAAGATGGTGTTTCCAATGAATACTGAACCAAGCATTCAGGATTTTTAGATACCTACACTGCTGATGCATGCTGTTAAGGGGCATGGAGACAGAGTGGAAAACCGAGTCAGGTAACTCTGGTCTGTGATATCTTTTTTTACCTGCAATCCCCCAGCAGCACAGCATATAAATTATGGGTATTGATCTCTGCTTATATTACAACCACCACCTTCCCTCTGAAATGCCTATGTTAGCTAAACCCTGGCTATGAAGGATGCAAAGTTTGTTCTTATTGTGCTCAAAACTTTAAGCTTCTTGATTTACTGACTGAAAACAAGAGCCAACCAAAGTCAAGCTTTATTTAAGTGTCATTTTGTTATTACAAACAGAAGCACTTCAGTGTAAGGCTGCAATATCTACATCTTCCAGACTCAAAAGCACTTCAAGGCGCTATGCCATTTATTTTACTGTGAGCTCTTAACTTGATACAGTGCACAGCATAAAATTTAATACGACAGTGCTGGACAAACTTCAGAAGAACAAGTGGCAAACTTGGAAGCAAAAAGAAATTAATACTTAAGTTTTAAAGGGTGAAAACTTTCAACATTTTGGCAAACTGAGAAGTTTTTGTAAAGGCGTGTTTTCTTTCTACTCTGAGTGCTCTGCAGCTCATCACAATAAGCTTTGGAAGCTCCACCTGGGCCACTTGCCCTTTGACAAATTCATAATGTCCCGGAAATGCCAAGATATTTCCGAAGAGGGGAATCAAAGCATCACCAGTCTCAATAATAGAAATGAGTATGCAGGATCTGTTTGCAAGTTCTAGTTTTTGATGCCAGAAGCTTAATTGTGTTTGTTTGTATTTTTCAGCATATTTAATAATTATCAAATATACAATGATGAAGACAATTAAACTCTGGTTTTGACCTCTGGTTCTGCTGATTCAATGCTTTCATCTGTGAATTAGTAAAATGGGTTCAAGTATCTAGATTTAATTTAACAGACCCCGAGCTTTTTAACAGTTTATCCAATACTAATATTCTTTCATAAGTTCCTGGAATCTAAGAACAATTTAATCTCCTTTTTGTCAGAGGTTACAACCAGAAAGGGGGGAGGTGGAAAGTGTTGCAGTTTCTCTGAGGAGAACAGGAAAATCAAATCATTTTGATACCTGAGAACAATTACACATGCCATTAAACGCTTGGTTAAATTTCATCGGTATCCTCATGCGGCATCACTCAGTGATATATCCATATTGTCGCAGGCATGGATGAACACAATTAGAATAAAACACAGATAATATTTTTGTTGTGCAAACTCACAGCTTCAATCCTACAAATGTCTTACCTTCCTCTTCACAAATTTATCCCAGTAATTACTTGGAAAGGATCTAAAGAAAAAAGAAAAACACACACATAGGATCGGGTAACTGTTTTCAAAATTTCTTGTCACTGGTGAACACAACTGTGGACAAAATCAATCTGTGAGCTCCTAAACCAAAAGTACACAACATGTTTTTTCATGTAAATATGACATGAGCCTGGTTGACTATGTGACTATGAACATACGGTGTGTTAATGACCAGTCGGTCCCATTGCCCTTTGAAGTCCTCCTCAGGGGGTTGCTCTGTCACATACAGCCCGTCAAATTCCAGCCTTCGTGCCACTTCTTTTTCACGTTTGAAGATCACCAACGGCACCTGCCAATCACGTGCACAGTAAACACTTGACCTTTTAAAAAGTTCAAATAAAAGTAAGAACGAGAACAGAAATTCAGAGACAGAGTGAGCTTCATTATTCAAATCCTTGCAAAAAACGCTCTCTGTTTATATGAAGAAAGGCACTCCTAAAAAAGTAAAATGAGTGAAAGAATCAGCAAAATGCAGGCTTGAGTTGATCTACCTTGAGGCGGTAGTAACCAATAATGCAACAGAAGGAGATAATTGTGTGTGCTACAGCCAGGAAATGGAGAGACGGCTCCATGTAGCCGCTGCTCTCCTCTAGCACAAAATAAGCTCTGCTCTTGTTGTCATCTTCAGCAGAAGATCTCAGTTCCTCTTTGTGATCGGATGTGATCACTTCTCCCTCCTCTTGTGGTGCAGGCAAGGAGGTGACCTGGGGAGAAAGAGAGACAAAATCAAAGTGACTTCAACAAAGACAAAAACAAAAAAGTGCAATACTTCTCAAATAGACAAAACTATATATTGTATGACCCGTGTAAAATAATGCAAGTGTAGTAGTTTAGTTGATAGAAATGGAGGGGGGTCAGATTCACTACCTCAAGCAGTTACGGTAATTACTGACATATTGACACTGACAAACAAATCATTTCCTATTTCCCATAGTGTAGCACTGGCACAACTCAACGTTGTCCTCAACTGTAGTGTTTGAATGAGTGCACTTCATCGTGTTTGAAATATGCCACTACGAAAGCAGTGCAATTTCAAATGTCTCTCACAACAACCCTCTCACCTTGTAAAAGAGTAGGATGAAATTGATTGCAAAGGCTACAAACAAAGCCAGCAAGCGCATGTTATAAAAATTCCTTGCAAAGTAATTCTGGAAGGAAAAAAAGAAAGATACTCAGGTGATTTTCTCTTTTAATAGTGTTTTTGCTTGTGCATGCAAATTGAAGAGCTTGAGCAAAAGTGTAAGTAATACCAGGAGGCTCTTGTTATGAGTGGCTATCATCTCCCAAAGAGCAGAATGTTGACTCTGTTGTTCCTCTGACTTCCTCAAGCATCTCTTGGCTCTTACATTTGCCTTTGTTGCCTCTCTCTCAGTTTCCTCTCCAGATTCGTTCTCTCTGCAAAGACAACAGGGCGGAACAAGGAAGGTGAGGTGACTAAATTCAGACAACGGAACAAAACATCAGGAACAATGACTGCTTTTTAAGGGTTGATTATGGATAAGGTGACAGAAACACCACAAGGCTTCATTTGGTAAGGCAGCTTTTGCAGGTTATAGATCCCACATATGTTCAATAGCATTATTATCTTTATATTTTAATGGTTCACTACACATTCTCTGGATGATTGATCGATCGTTCTCTGAGGATTATAAGTGGGAATACAAGAAACTCACATTGCAGTAGGTATTTTCTCATCTTCTAATTGTTCCTCAGCAGTAGTGTGGGCCCTGTGCTGCTGTAAATCAAACCATTAATATGAATCAGTATATTATCAAAGCAGTAGGACATGTAAAAACTATGCGAAAAAGATCATGTGAGATATAACACACTATATTAAACCAGTGACATTATCTATTATTAAACATATATATATTTGAAAATGAACCCATACCATCCCCTGATGCCTCTCGGGTAAATCACCGGTGGAAATTGTTCTAGAGACCGTGTTGAAGAGGTCAGTAAGACTGGCAGTGAGGTCTTGTGTTATAAGTCTGTATTGACCTCTCTCCTTCTTCACTTTGAGGCCAAATATATCTGACAGTACATCCAGCTCCCTTGGGGAGGTCACAGCTGCCTCCTGCCCAATCTCCCTCAATTCTCTCTGGAGAGTCAGACTGGCAGAGTGCTTTCTCAGCCGATCCACACCGCTTGGCACCTCCATGACCTCATCAAGGGTTGGTTCCGGGATCCCACCCAGCAGGTCCAATATTTTTATTCTTTTGGCTCCCTCTATGAGCCCACCACTTACAAAGGCTATGTACAGCACATATAAGATGCCGCGAACCACGACACAGATACACCGGACTTGAGCCAACACAATGAATCTAAGGAGTAAAACAGCTGACAGGAGGATATCCTTCAAGGTCATCTTCATCAATGACTTCAGGTTTTTAACAGAAACTACAGATATCAGCAGCAGCATCCAAGAATAGATGAAAAACACTCCTTTGTTGTCATGACCTTTTTCTTCACCGCCATCTTCTTCTCCTTTTTCAGCACACCTCTCCCCAGAGTCAGAGCCAGATATCTGAGCGGCGAGCTGCATCTCAAAGATGGTGTCCTCACAGAAATTGACAAACATCTCCATTTTCTCCTTCTCTCCACCCTCGTTGACCACATCAAAAATGAACTGCCTTTTAGACTCCTTGACCTGAGGCTTCTCCCATTGAGTGCGGCTGGCTTCACTGATTTCAAAGTAGACACGTTCAATGCGCTTGCCGCCGCCAAGGACCTCTATACGACCCAAAGAAGGCTGGAAGTACGTCAGGACACACTCTGCCAGCTCAAGGAATGTCCCAAGTCTATTATCGTTGGGCATGTGTTCTGACAAGTTGGTAAGAAGGACGGCGATGCTGAAGCCGATGTCTTTGGCTGGCTCATGAAAGCGGTCCACAAAGGCCTCATAATCTACGATGTCACTGTCGTCGGCCTCTGAGCAGGAGAGAAGGAAGTGAGTCTCAGTTTGGGAGAAACGTTTGCAGTTCTCCATGGCTTTCTGGAAGTCCTTCCTGGAAATGCATCCCTTTCGATCAGGGTCATACTCTCTGAAAGCATCAGAGGAGGTGAGGTCTTTGAGTTTAAGGAACATGTCAAAAAACTTTAGGATCATCTCCACATTCCCTGATGACTCCACCAACATATCCACCATCTGCTTCCCAATGGTTCCATTCACGACATTACCTGCAGGGAAAAAAGACAAGAAGACTCTTTAACATTAATTGGTCACCAATCAATGAGCAGGAATAACACAGAAATTTACATAAGTGGAAATCTTACCTTCTAACATGGAAAGCAGAAAAACCACCATGTCCTTTTGTAGATCCATGAGCTCTTTGAGGAGCTCTATTTGCCTTGAGTCCTGTGGATAAGGACGTACATCAATGATTGCTTTTCAAGAAGGAATGAAACATTTTCAATTTGTATATAGCAGCAGAGGGAGCTAAGATATGTTAATGTTAATTAACCAATGTGCTTTACCTGGGAGAGCTTCATCTGCATGTGGGCGAAGACATGAAGGAACCCAACAACAGCGTCCCACAGGCGACTGTGAGCGAGACTCTGTTGGTTTCCAGTACATGGGCCCTGAATGAAGACACTGACTATGTGAGCTGCATCATTTCTTGGACCATTTCAATGCGTAGAGAAATATTTTTTGCACAAATAAATCAACCAGCATGGACCACTGTATCATTTATTTGTGCAGTACAATCTGAGAGGCGTACCTATGTTTCATTTATATACGTTTTAACCTATTTACACACATGGGAAGGGCAGGATATTGGAAAACCCTTCTACTTTAATTCACTTTACTAAATATCATAAGATAATAAAACTGCATTATACACTAGATTTATTCTCATCTTTCCCACACTGTAAACAAAGGCTGACAATTTACAAGCTTTGTAGAAAGAAAAACACAAAGCAGGAGTATAACATCCAACGCAGTTAGATTGTACAGGCACAACCACTAAAAACAGTGTAACGCCTCAAAGCTTAAAAGACATAAGCAACAGTATAATATTGGAAACTCACTGACCTGTATATACTCTGTAAGTGTGTTGAAGACCTGTTTGGCCACTTTGATGGCCTTTGAGAAGTTCTGTTGGCCGTGTGGATCGATCACCTCTTTCCCTGAATAGTACCAGTAAAAGTCACTGATTGACTCCTGTGGTGCAGGAAAGACATTTTGGGGCCGTTAGAGAGGTTAGAGAAAACATTTTAAATAAGACTGCAGCATTGTGATCAGTGGAAGACTCAAAATTTAAAGCGGATGAAACGATGAATTTGCAATTTTTGGATCTTGAAATAGATGCAAGGAATCCATGAATTTCCACAACATGACAACGAAACACTTTATTTCAAGACAATAATTAAATCTGAGTAATAAAGGACAATCTGTAACTGTAAACTTACCTGCACTCTCAGCAGATAGTCCACCGTGGATATTATGATGTTGACGGTGGTGTTGTTGCCTGTTTGTGTTCTCAGGTAGTTCTGAAAATCTAACAAATCAAAAGCCTGTTAATCAGTATAATTGCACATTACAGTGATAAGTGCTTTATTTTGATGAGATATCCATATGATACAGGATTTGTGTATCTTTGTGACAGTGAGTAAGTATAGCACAGCAGAGGACTGATAACCTGAATTGTGTCCTTCACAGAGCAACTGTAAAAACCGGAACAGGTCGCAGGTTATGTCTTTGTCAGGCATCACTTTCTCTCCTGATAAAAAAAGATAGGTGGTGTAAGGACAGGAGGCAGAGGGTGAAGGGCAAAGATAGAGTAACACTGAACGAATGAATGAAACATGTAAGGAATTTAGAGATAGAGAGGAACAGGAAAGTGAAGCTCAGAGAGTGAAAATGTAGATTGTTTGACAGGCCAAATCTCACAGCTGGCTCCTCTACTTTGACACAGCTTCACAGAAAGATGAATCTATTTTGTTTTTCCATATCCATATGAATACAGTACCTGAGCTCTCATCCATGGCCATGCCTAATCCTTCAGCTTTGTTCTGCCTCTCAAACGCATTCAGATCCAAAACACTGGATGGCAAACACAAACACACACACGCACACACACATAGCAGAAAAATGAATCAGCATGCAGCACACAGAAGATGGAGCTTGCCAGTGATTGTGACATTTGATCGAGAATTTTCCTACATTCACTCACCTACATGACAGCATGAGTCCAGCCATGCTCTGAAAGAAGCCGACATCGCACTTCTCTCTCAGATAATCCAGCATTTTCTGTCCAACAAAAGCATCAAAGACAAGACCTGATAAAAGGAGGGGGAACTCGTCTGAAGCTGAAGCATGATTAGGATAAAGCTGTTTTTCTTTTTGATAGGTAAGCTTTGTTACGACGTGTCTGTTTGTGTCGGGGCTCATTGTACATAAAACGACGGGGAATTTGAAAGTGATATGATCTGAACAGAGATGAGAAAAGGCTCTCAATCTGAACAGATGGAAAAGGTTATGGGATCGGTCCAGGTACCCTACTCAAGTCATGGGCTTTGAGGTCATTCATCCCTACTCACGAAACTCTAATTTTTTTAACACACTTGGTAAAGTTCAGTCAATGACATCCACAGTCTACATATCATACAACTTGTTTGATTCTTTTCTGGATTTCTGTTGTATTTTTGCTCATAAACATACTTGTTTTTACCACCAACAACTACTTAAAATAGTCGGTCTCAAATTGTAAACCTTTTTCACCCGAACAAAGTAAATCCAGCATTTTTCTCTGGAGGCTGCAATCATCTGTCTTTTTAGAGTCAGCTAATCTGATTTGACCCTCTCCATGTGGTCCTGTTGTTTAATATTGTGTGTGTTTCATAGTATAAAATCATTGGGGAATATGTGAAAAAAAAAGTGGATCCAAAGAGAAATGAGTTGTGTAAGATGGATGGGTGAAAAGGATGCAGTTTGGTACCTGTTGGACTTTGGCATTTCCGCCATTGAGAAGAGCAATTCCCAGCTTCAGCGTGGGGGCAATCATGGCACTCATTCCCCCTGATAGGATGTAAAACTCATCACGGTTATTTTCTCAAAGAAAAGGGCTGAGCACAAAGAAGAGCGTCAAATTATTTTCAGCTGCTGAGTCGAGGAGTCTGCGACTCTCGTTCAGTATTCATTAAAGTTCCTTGCTCTCAGGCAAAAACAAGACATTACCGCAGTGCCTCAACATATTAACTTTGGCATTAGACCAATCTGAATATCAGTGATAAACTTCAGAATGATTTTTGTTCCTACCTTTGCTGGCACTGACAGTTTGTAGGACCATCTCAGAGGCTCCACGATGATGCAGCCTGGCTTGCTGGTACAGTAAATTCTGTTTCTCCATCTCCTTTTCCTGGATTGAAGAGGAATATATGTATCTTTGTAGCCTGTTACAAATCACATATATAACATCTTTAATTTCTCTTTCAACGACTAGTAGATCTTTTACATTTTCAAAATAACTTTTAAGTACTTTGTATTTAAAACAGAGGATGGTTTTTGGATGTGATTTTGAGACCTTGCAGTGATTTCCCAAGCAGGGTCCTCTCCGTTTTTAATGTAGTGCCACCTGAATGTAGCAGCCATCCAGTATCAGTCATTGGCTAATTCTTAAAAATCACATATTTGCACAAACATTTTAATACCTCTTTGGAGAGCCCTTTTATATCCAGTCATGATACTGACCTGTTTCAAGTCAAGATTTTTCTAGCATTACACAACTGTTTCCATGTTCTAATTCTCCTGTGCTGTTTTAAAACATGTTGCTTTATCCAATTGCAAAATAACCTTTTTTTTTCTTTAAACTAAAAAAGAAATAAAAATAGTTTCAACATTTGCCTTGTTCTCTATTATAATTAAAATCAGGATCTAAATGATTTGCAAACTATCTCATTCTGGTTTTATCAAGATTGTACACAGCGCTCTGAAAATCCATTACAAGACCCACTTCAAAGCTTTCAGCCTCCTGCTCTTCATCATCCGTGTCTTCTCTGTGGCAGCTCTGCCAAAGCAAATATTTAACACAGAATTAGACTGAGGTAAATAACCTGATGCATAAAGATACTATCGCTTGTTTTAACTCATACAGTGTGTACTGAATGTGATATGCACAATAATTTACAAATAAAGTATTTTATCTCATCATCAATACTGGTTTACAACCAGCATAAAAATAAAAATACACATGTGATATTAAAGTCAGTCAACCTTTATGGATCCAGGGAAGTCATGCATAATTTGGTGAACTATTAGATCAAGTGAGGACTGTTCTTTATCTTCTTTTACCTTTGCCATAATCGCAGCATAGGACTGATACAGACTGTCGTTTCCCAGCTTGCTGTAAAGAGGACAGATATGGGCAGATGAAGTTATAGTGGCGTTTATCAATGTATGAACAGATGCAGCATTCTAAAAATAACTCGTCAATGGCATATGTCAAGGCCAATTTGTATCTGATCCTCTGCAGATCTATTCATACTCCCTGAACATGATCCCCTTGTTTACAAGCCGAATGTAGCATCACCTTGAAATGCCTGAAGCTCAGTGTGGATCTCTACAGTGTGACCCTTTTTACCCACTGGACTGCTCAGTGGCACTGAACATTTTTATCGACCGCAACAGTTCACTTGAGGTCTGTCCTACTAAGAAAGAGTTACAGCGAGCAGGTCTTTTCAGTGCAGGATAACTTAAGGATAAACCCTGCGCAGTGCATCTGACCTGCTCCACAGATAGATAAGAGATCAAGCAGACTAAAAGCATCCCTATTTGACCGGTCAATTTCTTTTGATCCAAGAGTTGGTGCCAAGATGTGAGAGAGTAGGAGGGCCAGAGTGTTCAGACACCATCAAAACACTTTGGCTTTTCCCAGAGGAATCGAGAGAAACGCTGTTGGTGCATTTTAATGATACCACGCAACAACAGAGACTCACTAAAAGACTGAAGACCTTGTGAAACTTAATGCGCTTGTTAGGCCTTTAAACAAAAATCTAAACAAAAATTTACCATCAACTTTTCCAGTGTTAGGTTACACCAGTAATAAAATCAGCTTTATTGCATGTGATCTTTTATAATGAACACACACACAGACACACACCTCCTTTCTGCCACCGCGCTTCGACTGAAGAGCGTAATGAGTTGCAGGAGGGGATCGATTGGTTTGGCACCGTCCCCCACATCCTTTTCCTCCTCTCTGTTGCCTCCACACAGCTCCATCGCTCCTCCCCTCTACAAGCCGGGAAAAGAGATAAACAGCAAAGCTATTGTGTTTTCATAAAAGCGTCAAACACTTACCATCTACTGTGTTTGGTGACAGACTGGGTTATACGCACTTCATAGGATACACAAGGATGACACGTGTGTAGGGAGAAGACACACATTTATATCTACAACTTAATCTCCATGTACACATAGCCTAGAGGCCGTGTTTGTGTTTGACTTTTTCAATAATGTTAAATATTTAAGTAAATTTCCTGCCGGGAAGCGTGCCCTGTAGGCAATGCTTACTTCATGTTGTAAACACTCCATCATTCTGCCAAGCCTGCTTAAATTCTGTACAGCAGGATACAGTCGGTAGCTGGGGGTTCACTCCACAAACACAACAACCAAATGAGTGGTTTTTGTGACGAAAACCAATCTGTACATGGTGGCGTGATACTGCTAATATTTTAGAGCATATTTTTTCTACTTTCAAACTCTATTTACCAATTTTTCACAGGCAAATTTGAGCCACAATGAATGAGATTTTTATTCATTTTCAGAAACCCTGGGTTAGTGTATGAGTTTCTTACCTGATGATAAAAACACATACATATTTATACTATTGTTTATTTCACATTCATTCCAACCTCTGACGCTGGTATGGCTCGCTTTGTCACTCACAGCTAAATCCTCCACAAGCTTCTCCTCAAAGCTGTAGTCCTCAGCAGAGATCCAGGATTTATTGTAGCCTTGGAGGAACAGGTTGACAGCTCTGTGCCTGAGGAGGAAGAGGGGTGTGTGAGGAGACAACAAGGGATAATTTTGTAAAAATGCCAACAAGACAAGAAAACTACACAGGAAACTACTTATCTCTAAAAATGCTTTGATAGGACCCACAATTACTTGTTCATCAAAGCCTCTTAAACAAGTAAAGTGATGATTTTTTTACATCCACTGAGTAAAAAACAAAGAGGAGCCACAACGCAGCTATATTCTACAAACACCAAAACACAAATCCCAACCACAAGCAGCTGGTGGGCTTTTTTATTGTAATAGGTTTGCCCTCCCTGTGACTGACATAGCTACGGTTTATTAGCTTTTACATTACTGCTCCATCACGGGAGTGTCACCTTCGCAATACAGAGCTGTCTGTGTGTTTACACACCTGAAAAGTTTGCACTATTATAGTGTCACAGTTAAGGTTCATGCAGCATATTTATTATTCTTTCACTGGGCTGTTGAAGAAAGCAAACTGGCAAAATGTGAGGAGACTGTTTTTTCTATGACCTCTTTTCTGATTTGTGATTAAAAAAAAAAAAAACATAGCCTTTGTATTTCTGCAGCGCTAACTTATCCATTAGCCCTCCTTTCATTTTGTTTCCTACTCTTTCACCCTTCATTTCATGCTCAACTGTTCAATTACTGCACACAGATTACAGGAGTATAAATGCGCAAAAGATCAAATCAAAGTCAAATGCTTTGGCATTAGATAACTCTCTCCTTATGACAGAGCTTTTTCAGCACACATAACATTCACATTAGTCAGCAATTAGGCTAAATACTAAAAGCACTTTATTGATGTTGCAAAGCACCGATTGATAATTGCACATCATTTGTCTTTGTACCTGGGGAGATTATAGAGGGGAGCCATCCTCAGGCAGGCCACCACCGCTCGTTTCCTCTGTTTGGATAAGACCTTGTGCCAGGCAGGTTTCCTACTTTTCTGAGGGTGCTCCACCTTAATCAGAAACCAAAGGCTTGTAAAGTAATGACTGAAACATGAACCTCTAATGGCCTGAGGCTTTTCAGCGTGGTTCATCAGGGTTCCTCTTCCTTGGTTTTACCTTGCACTCATCACGCAATAGCACTGCAAGCATTACTCTGATTATAATATATTCAAATTAAAGTTTGAATAAAGAGTACAACTTTCACTGTATATCACAGCTTTGTAGTATCAAATATCTGTCTTTCTTTTTATTTATTCCAGCCAAGGCAAGACACATATTGACAAAAGCTTCTAGAAATTAAATACAGCCGGGCAGTGCAGCCAGCATGAGGAAGCTGGATTTTATCAATCAAAACAAAGTGGCTGAGACAGCTGAACCATACATACGAGGGTCTTTGCCTAGTGTGCACAGAGCAGGAGAAACTTGCACAGTACAGCTGCTTTAATAAGTCCATCAATCATCAGCATATGTTTTTTTTTTTTTTTTTTACTTTTTTGTTTATAATGTGAATGTGTCAGTGTGCATACTGTATTCGTATCAACTCAAAAACAGCCACCTTTCACCTAACCAAAACAAGAGCGAGAGAGAGTTTCAAGAGGCTGGAATGTGCATGGCATGGAAAATCTTCATTTCTGTGCAATGCAAGTAAAAACAGCAGCTCTGGACAATATCCCCACCTGCTTCTACAGACACTGAACAGCATTTATCTTAGATTACAGCTAAATAGATACGTAAAGAAAGGTCTGATCAAAGAATACAAGCTAACGCCACAATATTAAAAAGGTTTATACAACCACACAGAAGCAAGAAATACTTAAAATCATTACTGTGTTTTCAGGAAACCATGTCAGTGTGACATGCCATAATGTAACCTTTATACAAGCCTACAAAAATATCAAATCATGAACTCAATCCTAGATTGCAATGTTTTGATGATGATAGCTTTATTTTGTTATTGCTCACCTGATCCAGATAATACAGCACCCGAGCTATTTCCAAAATCTTGTCAATGGACCTTTGGGTGTCAGGGCTGGCTTTGCGCTGCTGTGGGTGTCCTGTGTTTATGGCTTCCTGCTTCAGGCTGTTTGACCCCTGGAGCAAGATGAACGAACACACGGACACATTTATTTCTTGTAGTAGCAGGTGGTTCAGCATTCAATTAAAGACATTTTTAGAGAGGCTTCAGGAAGGTCAAGGCGATACGGTTTATAGCAGCAAAGCATGACAGACTAAATGGATAAAGAGCAAACTTTCAGACGTAAACAAGATATTAAGTTGCCTTACTTTGTCACTTGCCCTCAATGTCTTTTATAACCCAAACTAACTGCAGTTGGTTCTTTTAAAGACATAGTACATAATTCATCTAGGATAGAGGACCAGCAGTGAAATGTGGACATATGTTAATTGTCTGTTTGATTACGTGTTTGTGCTCATGACAAAGCAGAACTTCAGCTTTTGAGTCAGTTACTAATGAGTAAACATATTCACAGCTGACTCAAGAAGAAATCATGAGTATGTCACATCGATTTGTCTGGTGAACAAAGAACCATAGCCCATCATTGGATGGGTGTTACAGAGTAATAACTAAAGTAGTAGCAGTAGTAACTGAAGTAGTAACTTCAGTTTTATGTAATGCACATTTTTCTATTTTTTGTACAAGTCAACAAATATGCTAAAGTAGTAGCAGTAGTAAATCCTAAACATAATACACTAAATGTCAATCATCTCCTTACACTTTTCTTGTTGCTTTGCTTGCTGTCAAAACTTGAAAACCTAGCTGTGGACTTATGGGATATGTAGATGTTTTTGTCTGTTTACTTAAGATGTCTGGAAAATAATATTTATATTATACATCCTGCAGTTATTTGACTCCAGCTTATTTTCAATATGCATGTGCTCACATAATCATAACAACTCACACTCATGCCAAAGCCAGATCTAGTTTTTTTTATAATCCTAAGACATAACAACAAGCATCATCTATCACATATATGAATAGATGGTTCCATTAAGCATACACTTGCCGTTTGTAGCTGTTCAGAAAACAAGGCTAATAATGCAGAGACAATTATCAAGTACCTGGCTTTGGAGATATGTTAGGCAACTGAAAACATGCTCTCGAATCTCATCATCCGTGTTCTTCTGTGGAAAGTAAACAATGGCTGGCGTTATATATTCATGCTGTATACTACAGGGGAAAGTTCTCAGAAGTTTCATCATGACAGAAACGCATTTCTTCTTGAACTACTGACCTGAGTGAAGCCCTTCTTGGCCAACACAATGAGACTCTGGTCGCTATGAAAACAAACCCTCAGTCCCACAGGGAGCAGTCTCTTCACAGAAGCCACTATGAGGGAGGTGTGAGAGGAATAGCGATCCCCCTTCCTCTTCATCCTCCTTTTCTCATGGTCAAACTAAGAGTTGCAAAGACATGGATTTAAATAAACTTTTTTCAGTCTTGAGCAGAGAAAGGTATCAATAAGATTTCATCAATACCTGAATTGATTCCAATGCTGCTTATTGAAAACAATATATATTTATACATATGATTATATCTATCATACTGATATTGATTTGAAGTAGGGGCGAATGCTTCCAAAATGTACAGGGAAAAGCTTGTTGCAACTTATTTGTACTTGAATCAATATTAGAAAAAAAGTAGCAGGCTGTAACTGAGAGACAAATTGGTTGTTGGGGCAACAGCCAAGAAAGCTCTGTGTTAAGGCAAAATAATAACCTCAAATACCGCGGTGAGCCCTGTTTGCCCATCAGCTCAACCGTTCTTTTAGTGCTGACAAATCAAGCACTGGAGCCAATAATACTGTCAGCTCTAGAGCTACAATAGAACTATGGATGCTGCTTATAGTCTGATTTAGAGAGATTCAGCTCTTAGCAAGTAGTGGAAGCATAGATTGAAAATATATAGCCAACCTTTGACAAATCGTCTTTGTTGACAAGAAAAGCCAGGTTGTTGATTTCATTTTGGACCACATAGTTTTGCTCCTCCCATTTGAAATTCTGTTGTAGAAAACACAAATAAAGCAAAAGTATATATTATCTGCGAGAATATTTGCGTAAATTGTCTTGATTTGAGGTTTTCAAAACAAACAAACAAAAAAAAACACATCTGTGTGACATGCTCACATGTGATTTGGCCCAGAATATAAAGACCTCTGCCACCATGCTGAACAGCTGCTCAGCATCGGGGTTTGAGTCTTTCAGCCAGCTGGCTCTAAGACAAGATGTACCGAAACACATCACATGAATATTGCAGAATTTGTTCCTGTAAAGTTAAACATCTGCCTGAAATAACACCTACAAAGTTGTTATGTGACTTGAAATGGAACATGGAGGCCAATTTATCCTAACTAGTAAAATAAAATCAGAATTAACTTCAGTATAATAAATTCTACTCTGTCTAAAACTTTGAAGCAGCAGTTTTAGCCTTAAATAAATAAGTTTGTTTCCTGTCCAAGCTCCTCTGCGGCACACCGTACCGATGAGAATCCACAAATGGGATGAGGAGAGGGTAGAAGGCGTAGAGGTCTCGCACCAGTGCAGTGAACTTTTCCTGAATCTGCAGCTCTGCTTCAGAGGTGTCACCGCCTTCTGCTTTTACCTGCTCTTCCTCAAGCAGCACACACTCAGCCCTCTTCCTCAACTTCTCCATCAGTGGCAGGAAGTGGCTCTTTAACAGCTCAGAGTGGGCTTTACATATGATTGGCTGAGAAAAAACTAAAAAGCATGGAAAAAGTTCATGGGTGAAAAAAGGAGAATGGATGGCGAAAAATAAAGGTACCAGTACTGTGAATGGTCATAATACCTGCCAGCTGTTTCATCCAGTCACCCTGACTAGCTCCCACATGGTTGTGGATAATTCGAAGGATGTGGCCAAGCAAATCACTAGCATGCTGAGGAGTAACAGAGGTGCAGATTGGGTTGTCTTGCTGTCCCTCAAGGCCCCAGAACCACCAGAGAGGCATGTAGCTGCACAGCATGAGCAAGGTGACCTCTGTGACATGGATGTAGGGGGCTTGGCGAGCTCCAGCACCGGCGCCTGCCAACTCTTTCACCTCCTCCAAGGCCTGATCCAGAGACGGCATGAGGGGACACATGTCCTCCACTTGCTCGGGAAGCCCGAGGTCTAAAAGAAACAGATATGAAAAATGAGACTGAGAGGAGAGCAAGGCCAAGATGTGAGAGTAAGAGCTATTACACAGATCTGAGATTAAATAGATAATATGCAATAAATGACAATGTGTCTACAATGAGATTTTTTATTACCTTCTCTCTCAGTAGCACTCATGGTGTTGTAAATGGAGTAGGGGTTGTTTGAATTAAAGGAAGGCTCCAGGAAGCATACCGGGAAGGTCCCAGTCAGGGCTGCTAGACAAGCGCCTGTGGCTGACCTCTGTCTGTATGGAAATTAATTTATAACTGATGCACTCTGTTATTTGACAAACCATTTGATACAGTGGCTGTGTATCGGTGTCACCTGATTCTGGACTTTTCTGATTACAGTATTCAATTCATATTCATATTCATTTATAATTGATTATTAACTACAAATAAGTAAATAAATGAAGTAAACAAACCTTGAGTGAGAATTATATTATCCACAGCGTTCTGAATAGGTGCATTGGTGGTTATTACATGCCAGTTAAACTGATTGTGCTCTACATTTCTGCCAATTGAAACAAAATTTATGCAACTGTTGGATCTTAGTTAATACAGTAATAAAGAATATGGTCTAGATCTGCCCTTTTTGTAAAGTGTCTTGGCTGATTGATTGGTTATTAGACCTTTTTAAGTATAGACAGGTATACAGATAGTTTAGGAGAAAACAAGACAATACTGAGGTAAGAATTCCCATTTTTAACCCCAAAGCATGTATAAATGAAAGCAAACTGAAGCCATCACTAAGAGAAAAATTGATAACATTACCGTTATAAACTTGAAATTCACATTGTAATAAAAGCAGTACCCATCCATGTAGATGCTGCTACTGGTGCCAAGTGAGTAGAGGTTGTTGAGGATCCTGTAACAGGACACCTGGATACTCCCCACTAGAAAGACAAGGTGAGGCTTTAAGCTGGGATCCATCCAAGGTTGAACTCAGGACATTGAGTGGGAGGAGTTGATAGCACACAATCACAGAGATATAGACAAGCTGCTGACTGAGGTAATGAATGATTCCAGGCAGGTCAGGATATTAGCGAGGGTGACAATATGCTCCTGCTGCTCTGCGGCCATGACAGAGATGCTTAATGAGAGCTGCTTTCAAAGATGAGGAAGGTAGCAAAATGAGGGGAGGGTGTCCCTGAGTGATTTCAGGGGTATGGGCACCAGCTGTTCATCCAGCTTCATGACACGTGGAGGGAATTAGAGCAGACTACTGGAAACATGTGGTGACGATTTTGATTTTACCATTGTGAGATAAAACAGAAGCTTGTCTGGCTGTTCTTACAGCTGCATACTTCAGAATTAACTTTGGAGTCTTAAATTCAATTTTCTCCTGTAAGTGTAGCTCTTACCTAGGAGGTCGACGCCATAGTTTTGGCTGCCAAGATGCTGAAATAGAGAAGTGAGGGTGGGGACAAGAATGGAGGTGGTGTAGTTAAGGACCTTGGCCACCCCTCTCGCCTGCTGACTCCGACTCTGGGGCAAACAGACCAATGTGACAGAGAGGTTTTCCACCGTCATCTCCAGATCAGCTGCAGCTGCCTCAAAGAATGAATGCAGAGAAGCTTGGATAGACTCTGGGGCTGACTTCATCAATGACCTGGAGCCAAAGGCATAAATGAATCATTTATTCGTTTTGTGAAAAATAAACATAAACTGAAAGAATTCATATGACATAAGAAAGAAGAGTATTTATCTCTGAGTTTTTCTATAATGAAAAAAAATCTTATGTAACAAAGTAAATCCAGTGGACTACATACTCTAATCTAAGAACCAGACAGATCCAAGTGAAATCAATCTCTGCAGAGCCGAGATTCTACTTTTAGTGCCATGCATCAGAGGCATTGTCCCCTGAGAGTAAAAGTGATATCAACCACAATTAGATAGCATCAGTGTATCAGTGCCTCAATTACACCAGTCATCTCATCCGCAGACATGGCTGTGACACTGCTGTGACTGCAGGCAGGGTGAAAATGATCAATTTCAGGTGGAGTGTGACTGTAGTGCCATCTAGCTACCTAGCATCCAGAGCTTGAGCCAAAACACAAAGGCAGCTTGCAACTTGTGAGGCTTCATTACCTGGGAAAACACAAGGACAGAAAAATTGATGAGTATCATGACCAGAGATCATGCGTATGGGAAAAAAAGTGAGAAGAAAAAGTTTGGAAATTTACAGTGAGAAAAACCTGAAAACAAAAAAAAATTGTAGAAAAGTGAAGATACAATCAGAAAGCATTCAACGGAAGAGTGGAAAAATAGTTTCTAAAGAAGCTTTTTGTCCACTCCAAACTCACCGAAGAGTGAGATCCTGTGTCTCACTAGAGCTGCAAGCTTACAAAAGAGGCTGGATGAGAGGAGAAAGGACAAGTGGAGTGATGAACAGAGGGGAGTGGGAAAACTAATAACAGGATATGAAACAAGAAGAATGGCAGCACAGAACAATGAGGCTTATTCTTATTAAAGAAAAAATATGCAAAACATGTCTGAAGTTTGGTGCTATGATGCTACTATCTAAGAAAGCATAAGAACACTTATAATACTGCTTATGTATTCAAAGTACAAATGCACATTTTTTCTCCAGATGACAAATACCTTGCAATCATTTCTTTTTCTCTTTTAGAGGCATAGCTGTGATTACAGTTTGAGCGAAGGGAAGTAGACAGAAAATAAAGACGATGACTCTTCACATATTGTTCCAAAAGAGGAAGGGTAACCTGTTGAATAAAGTGAGAGGCACTCATGATTTAAAAAAAAATCAACATGATTGATTTTCAATATCCTTTAAATTTCTTCAGACAAGCATAAAAAACACAACATTTGGAAACACAATTTTAATAGCAGCATCATTGCTTCTGAAAGTCAACAAATTATCATCTTCAATTTAAGATTTTCTTGAGTTTGAAATACTTCATCGACAATGGTCCAGAGGACCAGGATGTTAAATGTTTTGCCCTCTATTAGTTCTTTGAATCAAGTCTGGTGTTTCATTGACAAACACATGGACAAAAAGACAGACCAATGGACAGAGACGTGTAAGCTTGTGAGAGTGAGTGAGCAGTGGGGGACGTAGAGATCTGAGGCATGACTGTTCTTGGTCTTGGCTGACTGGGTCGGATTCATTGGGTCCCATCAATGAGAAATAAGCCCCTTTCACTCGCTGGCTCCTTGGAGGCAGAACTGTGTGGGAAGCTTTAATCAATGTCCCTATGGCAATTGACACGCCCACATGGATTTCCAAAATGGTTAAATAAATTACACTGCCACAAAGGGGTTTTACTTGGAGGGGTTGCCTGCAGCATCCATCTAACAAAACTAATTAGAATACTGAAATGAAAAAAGGGGGGAAAAGCCGGGAAGAAGAAAGCAAATGACACTGGGAAAATACAATTGGAGAGAAGCTCCATCAAGGTTAGATATTCTATGAAAGAGATTAGATTTCACTTTATTCATTCTATATATATATATATATATATATATATATATATATATATATATATATATATATATATATATATATATTCAGACAGACCTTGAGATAAAAATGTAGTGGTTGCTGGTGTGGAGCTCTCTCGTTTTTAGACAGCTGTCCTCTGGCTTGCATCACCTCTGGGGGTTGGGCCAAAAAAGAATAAATCAATGAAATGCTCAATGTAGTAAGAGAATAAAATGTAGAGATACTAAAAACATAGACATAAATGATGACAGTGTTGTATGCATCTCTAATTTTTGAGAACTGGATTGAACTACTTTGTAATAATTCAAATAAAAACTGTTCTGATGCAGACTTGCTTAGAAACTGCCAATTAAAGTAAAAGGCAATTTGAGGTTATTCGCATGGCCTAAAATAGAGTTTAAAAAATTACAGTAAAGGTACCATTTAAATCTGTAACACCAACAATCTCCTAAAAATTTAAGTCAAAATACATCTTTACTATCATCATCATCATGACACAATAAAGTTACCCAGCTCCAACATTTGTTCTTGGGCATCCTCAGTATGAGAAAGTAAGTGATGTAGAAGAGTGTAGCTGAAGCTGTTGGTCACGGCTGGAAAATCCAACTCCACAGTCTTGCGATCCCTTCAAGTCAAAGCCAAACAACCACTTATTGAAACAACAAAGAACTCAGGCCTTCAATACTATATTAGGGCCATCTATATAATGTCTGGGATGCTGTGCAGGGGGAAGAGAAAGAGGGAACACAATCTTATTATTCACTACTTGTACTCTATTTCAGAATCTAACCTGTATTTGAAGTTAAAGGTTAGAGACTGAGACTCCCCTTCCTTTCTGTGATTGCGTTGCAACATGAAAATGGAACTCATTTGCTATCCACCTCAAACACAGTGTAATCACATTGCCCTCTTGGAGTCACAAGCTCATTTTCTGCTCACCTCCACACAGTGTAACCATTAAGTTGAAGGAACTTGAGGACATCCTGGGCTCTTTCTCTGAACTTGGTTTTCTCTTTTGCAGTGAGGGTATCGTAGGGTACAAGCATCGAATGGCCACCCCCTCCTGAGAACAGAAATGAGTTGAATACATTGCAATTTACTTGGTTATTTTGTGCACTGTGAGGTGAGCCTTTAAGAAGAAGAGATATAAAAGTTGACATCACGGTATGGTACCTTTACTCTCAAGCTCTGATTTCTTCTTCTTAGCCCAGGCATTGTGGTAGTTTTCAGCCAACTGTTCAGCCATTGCCTGCAGATAAGAAAAACAAAACAAAAGACATGAGTACAATCTTGTTTTCCCCTCTTGCTCTTGAGTTTGCTTGACATTTTTTTGGGTTGCAGTAATACTGGAAGGGGTTCAAACTATGGTTAATAATATCAGCTTCTTTCGCTTGCTTTTAAAGCTGCAGATAGTAACCTGAAGAAATAGGACAGGAGTCCAGGTCCCCTTCTCAAACAAGGAATTCAATTTTCTTGAGGAGAGTGTGTCCTGTACCCAGTAACAACAAAGCTGCTACAACAAAAAGGGTTTTTTTCCACACAGAGTAATGGCATATGTAGTTCAGCTGGAGTTCATGTTACTATTTTACCATGCAGTGTTAGATGGTATTATAAAAGGTGGGATAACAGTCTGGTAAAATAAACAGTACATATTTCCTGTCCGGTACAGACTGCGATGAAAATTGGGGGGTTAAAAAACAGCCAGCCCTCCAAACAATCAGCAGTCTATTATCAGACAGGCACAGAAAATAATGGTTTATCCAACACCACATTTTGTGTAGGCCCAGCTCTGACCATCTGTTTGAGGATTCAGGGTCCCACAGAGCAGACTGAGCCGCCACAACCATTTCCTTCAGCCAGTGTTTAATATTTACAGCCCATGTGGGATGTTGGCCATGGGGGCTGTTAAATATGTCCCTGATGTCAAAGGTACATATGTGAATGTTCAAACTGCTACAGAGAAGCTTTATGCTGCTGAAAACGGCAGGAGTTTTTCCTTTTTACTATGCAGCCTGATAGGTGTTCAGAGAAACAGCAGAACAGAGTCCACAACATATTTCTCATGAACTACAACAATGTGTTTTTTATCTTATTACATCTGCACAAGTAGAAATATGTCATTCAGGGCTCAACAGTGCGACCATTTCACTCGCATTTGTGACTAAAAATAGATGTGTGCGCGTTTTGAAATGTATTTAGGGGCTAATGTGCGCATAAAAATAAATAGCTGAGGAAACAAATGTTTTTTCATGTAAATACCGCGGTGAAGTTAGTTTTAGGTTGGATATCCGACGGACATTCACTGCAGATCTTCCAGTGTCTTCTCACTCTCCATAACTGGGAACAGCAAGAGCAGCGCTGTTAAATCTACTTGGCATCTTCCCTGTCAGCGTCGGGGGTTGAATAAGGGACCATCAATAAATTACCGTTTGCTGTTCTCAAAAAAAGGCTGTTTTCCTTCAACAGCTTCCATGTCATGTGACAAATTGACGTAAAATTAATTTCAAATAATGTCGACCAGTAAGACACACCTCTTTATTTCTCTAACTTATCCTCATAAATTTTTTGTGTTAAATTTAAAAGGCAAATTTCGAAAATTTTCTTCAATACCTTCCATGTCATATGACCAAAAGACCTAAAATTGATTTAAATAATAGTACTTATGTCGACCAATACGACAAACATTATTTGATCAATTTTCATTGTGCCCCTTTAATTCCTTTTGTGCTCCTTACTTTTTCAACTTAGGAGCACATGTGCTCCTTGTAAAAAAAGTTAGTGTCAATCCCTGTATTTCCTGTCAGATAAGTCACAGCAACTTTGAGACCCCTTTTTTTCAGGTGATGAAATCTGTGTTGCTTGGCTGTATGAAAGACTGAATCTGAGTATTTTAAGAGGAGAAAGGGAGACATGCATCTAATGCCAGGAGTCAACCCTGCAGTAGGTGTGATAAGGACTACAGCTTTTAAATATGGGTGCCTGCTTGACAAACTAAGCTAAGCTGGCCTTAAATTTCTCTTTTCATGACTTAAAACAGCATTTATGCTCTTACACCTCTGAAAGTTTGAGGTAGGATTCAGGTTTTAGCCAAAAACATGCAATTGCTTACACACTGTTCCCATGATAAGGTGATGCTGCTCATGTCCAAAGGCTTGGGGCTGAAAGTTGACGCTCCTTCAAAAGACAGCTAAGAAACCAAAAGAAAACATGTTACTCCAGCAGTGAAGACGTTACCTTTTGAATAAGGGTTATTTCACTCCTTTAGACAGAATGAACTTGCTCTGCACAGTACACATACATGCCCAGACTGAGAGACTCTGCGTGAACAGGCATGTGAACCAAATGCATCTCCTTCTTTCGTCCTCTCTATTGACCATCCAAAGGCCAGCATACTCTTCATAGTCTCCTTAATGGCCCAGCGGTATGCCTCCTTCTCCTGGAAAACTCAGACATACACAGAAACTGTGAGGTGAAACTCAACTAAGCGGGTTATCACAGGACAGCAGAGGAGAGAAACTTGCCTGAACTATTTTGATTTCAGTCTTGTAAAAAGTGCTGTCTATCCATTCACCAAGGACCCCAGACCACAGCATTTTAATCTTTTATGTGACATACACCGCATTTGTTACGTAAGAGGGATCTCTGGGTTTTTTCAGTCCACTGCTTTCTATCTGTTGTACATTCACACTTACACACAATAAAAACTGACTTCTCAGTCTACCTTTTCAGCCAAAGCCCTGTATGGCTTGAGGAGAGGGTGAACCTTGGTGTTCTCACAGAGCTGCTCCCCATGAACCCAGCCATTGGCAAACTGATGAAGGTTACAGAGATTCAGGGGGATAAAAACATAAATTAAAAAATATGCAGACATCAACATACTAACTCAACCACACCATAAAGATAGATGGGCTTCTATTGTTTCATTCCTGAACCTCAAACTTTCTGTTAAATTTAGCGAGCTGCTCAGATTTAAGGAATAATTACTGTGTTCTTACCTTGTCCAGAGACCACTTCTCATGGGTGTGCTCTGCATACTTGTTCACCACAAACTCCAGTTTCTCTGGAACTGAAATGCTATTGTAGAGAGATATATTACAGATTTTTTTGCCTTACAGCGGACGAATATACGATTGCTCATTATCATAAAAAGAAATTACTGGAACCTCATGATAAATGTGCAAATTGACACATCAATGAGCAGGAAGTCAGCTTCTATTTGTTAGTATTTTAAGAGCAATGATTAATATCCCTCATCAGTAACTTACTGTGATGTATCTACAGGCTGAGGGTCAAAGTGCTCATCTGTGTCCATGAAGGTTTTTCTGTCCCTATGAGACCCACAGTTCGGGTCCTTGTGGTCAGGAGGCAGGGCCTTTCCAACAGCAGCAAGGCATTGGACACAAAGCCTGAATAACTGAGGCTCATAGGGCTGATAGAGTTGGAAAAGGAAAGTTGATATAGAGGGGAACTGCATTAGTAATGATAGAGGACAAAAAGGCAGCATACCTACAGCTTGTGACAGCTAAGTGTAATTAGTGAATAAATAAAGACCAGTGTTTATCATACTTTTATTGACACCATCTTTATTTTTATTTTTTTTGTTATGCACACATAACGCAAACCATTGAGTTCCTTAAGCGGCAGAACTCCGCTGCACTCTGTGATCGAGTCATCAGGGCTCCCCTACAAACAAGCATCTGCTGGAGGAGAGTGGTTGAGTTGTGTTTGGTCTCTTTGCCAAAGAAACCCGGCAAAGCTAAAAAGAAGTTTGACGTGATGAGACCCTGTATGTACTGTGGATGAAGTTAGGTGCTGTTCTGAGCATTATTTGTGGCTATGAGTGGCTTTTTGGTTGTAGTTTGTGTATTGCTGTCGAGCAGTCGTGCTGAAGTTGGTATAACTAGAGAAGCAAAATTAATCTCTCGGGGGGGTGTCTAACTCTGTGTTACGGTGTGTTTGACCATGACTTAAACTTACGCCGGAATATCCCTTTAAAAGCAAATTTATTTCCACTGCAATTTCCTGGTGTACTCTGTATCCTCATTTAAACAAGCTGGTTTACCAAATCTGGCAAAGATGACAGTCAATTTAGGACCTGGCCTTGGGTCTCCACATGTTTTGTTAAAGCCTGGATCGGAGTCCTTTGGAGCAAAGAAAAACTTTGACTTTTCCTAAAGCGTGCAAATTTCTGAGTTTACTGCCAGAGCAATATTCAGCAGAGGAGAAAAACAGTTTGTTTAATTCAGATTGAGAAGTCGAATTAATTAGTTTGAAAGCTTAGCCTTTTGTGGCTGTTTCAGAAATAAGTACCTCCACTGAATTTAATCACTTCTGTGGAGGAAAGTGATCATGTGAAACTTTGTTTTTAAACCTACTTCACTGGCTAAGAAATCATAAAATTAACCGGAAACTATCACTTTCAATTCCTTACCCTAACAGAAAAAAGAAAAGCGAAACAAGGCAAACTGTTAACAGAAGCCTGCTTATAGCATAATAATAACAGGTAATAATTTTCCCTAAATAAGCTGTGACGATTCTCAACCCTGCTGACTGTGGATTTGAGGATGTTTGATGAGGATCACAAGTGGGACTGGACCAACCTTGTGCGCTCTCTGATGTGTTCATGTTTTGAATCGGTCAAATAAGTGTCAGTGCATTGTAAGCCTACGCTCACAGATTTCTGAGAAAAGATCCAGCTTTTTTGCTAATGTCCCACATTTCCAACAACTTTGTTTGGAGGAAGGGCTTCGCACTTGAACATGAAAAATTAATTCTCAATCTCAAGTGTGTCACATCTTCCTCCACTTCTCCTCTTTTAGAAGTACACTAAAGGAGAAAATCAAATATGCATTTTGCTGTTTCTGCAGAGAAAACTTTGAGGAAGCTTGAGAAAGAAAAGAGGCACTAAGTCAACCTTGGAATGACACTGTTAAAAAAATTAAAAAAAACATTACTAGAAGCCAGGAACTTTCTCGGTGCTCTAAAAGACATATTTTTTAAATAATCTTCATGTAATTTCTTGGTTAAAACTGTCTTCCTCATGGTTTACCTTCTTTGCCAGGGCCTTAAAGACCCCCCAGAACAACTTTCTTGAAAGCCGTAGCTCCTCTTCAGAGGCAGCGCTCTGGTCTCCCTGCCCTCCTGCAAGTGAATAATACTTCCACCTCTGCTCATAGTGACAGTTTAAGAGCTGATGGATGAAAGCAACCGCAAGAGTCAATAGTATTCATCATTACTTCTTTGTAACATTTATAAAACTAAAGCCTTTATTTACCTTTAACGGCATCTTGCTGTGGTCTGTGAGCTGGGGAACATCGAAGACCAGACGTCTGAGAAGAGGCTGCATCATACACGGCTGGAGTTTACTGAAGACACCAGTGAGAATTAATCACAGGAGCAGACACACACATACGCATACATGAGTAACACTGTGGGTGACTACAATCTCTCAGAAAAAGCAAGACAAATAACAGAGAATATGCTTTGGGCATGATGTTAATTAATCTAACATTTTGATTAAATTTGGCAGATTAAATCTGAATCAGGCAAAAACAGGCTGTTAAGTGATTCACTTGTTATAATTAGTGAGAAAAAGATTGCACTGATGTGTCAGCATGAGTTTACATGACATGTTATGTTTGTCATCTTCTTAGAATGTAATTTGGTCAAATGGAAAATATAGGGGTGAAGCAAGGTTGTTTATAGTAGACTTGTGCCACAATTCAAACATTAAGAATAAAAGCAAAAAAAGAAACATACTAAAACACAAGAGCAAAAAATCTTTAAAATTACAGCTGACTGGAGACAAAACTTGAACTCTGAGGATTCTTTAAACCCAACTACCTGCACACAGCTAATAAACAATCCTCAATTGTGTCCCTCTGAGCCTTTGTCAGGCTGAAGACTCTGGAGAGGTTGTAGATTGCCTGGATAAGAGAATCCACCAATGAGGCATGGTCCTCCAGGGCACAGAAGAGGGCTGAACATTTGGTGAGTAAGGGAAGAACAGATGTACACAAGTATCGGTTGAGGGCCAGGGCCATATCAGTGGATCCCAAATTAGCCTGCAGTAAAAAGGAGAGAGGTTACACGTTCACAATCCAATTACCAACATAGGGAGTGCAGAGGCAGCAAGAGGACATGGAGGACGTGACTCAATATGTCAAGAGGAGGTGCGCAGATTAAACATACAAACAGAAAAACAACCTATAGATAACATGAAAATATATATGCAGTATTGTTCAGAGAGTAATCTAACTTTGTGGAGGACAGTAACTCCTGCATATTCAGATACCTTTGTGAGCTGTCCCTGCTGCCAAACAGGCAGATGATACTTTTCAGTGGTAATGGGATGCAGCTTGGATTAGTACAAAGTCACAGGTCATTTCTGTGATGCTGTACTGGGTGTCACATGCAGGTGAAGAGGGCAGCAAAATACAATTATCTCTCCTCACAGAGTCCAGAGTCACAGCCGCCTGAAGGTCAGGCAGAAAGCCAACTTCCAGAAGGTGAAGAAGAAAAGTCTGGTCCTCGATGCCATAAACACGGTCCAGGAACAGAACCATTGCTGCCTTGTGGTCCGGACAGAACACAGTAGAGAGGTCTGGCTCAACCACTTCGCCTTCTAGATAAACAAGGGGAAAAGTAAAAATTTGAAAGGCTCTTTAACAATTGTATCTTTACACACTTTGTATGATGATCCATGTCTATGTGAGCTTGTGAATCATCAGTCCAGACTCAACCATTTTGACAATGATGTAGCAGATGGTGACAAGACAACCGAGTCAAAGGAACACTGTTACAACAAAGTGTCTGGTCTAAAACAGTCAGCTGCCACAGCAAGCAGGCCAGGTGTCTATGCAATCTGGATCAGTGTGCGGTCGGCTGAAAGGCTCATTTCACCTTTAGACATTGAGGGGATTTCAAAGGGGATGCTGATAACTCCCTGAAGATCATGAATGGGGATGAGTGACCTCAGAATGGACCTGATGCGGATGGCGTCTCCTTTGCCTCCTTGAATCAACTGTGCAACAATTAAAAACATTGTGAGCGGTCATTTATTTACAACTCTGGGATTTACAACAGGGACATTATCATGAGACATTTACAGTGACATAGAATTAGCGTGGACATCTTTTGGGCTCGTCTTGCATTTCAACAGCTTATTGTTGGCGGATCTGTGATGGCGGATTGTAATGTAATGGCAGATACCACACAAAAATTAATTTGTCTTGTTTTGCCTTTGCACTTCAGTGCCGTTGTAACATGCTCACTAGGCTGAGGATTTTTAGCTCTTAAATACTGCATTTACATTGTACTGTAAATCCAGGGTAAGTACATTCGTCGTTATGTTTTGTCTGATGAATACTGAATTGGTGTATCTGTTTATAGTCCCTGAAAATTAATGTTTCTGTTTTCTTGTCTGAGGACCAGCGACAGTTTTCCTTCTCTTTCTTTCCTACCTCCTTATTTGAGACATTAGTGGCTGTTGATGCTGGGAACTGGAGAAACACTCACATGCATCTCAGGAGCACAGCGGCCCAGCAAGTCAATAAGGGCGGAGTAGAAGGTCATGATGGCGTGCCCCATGTGAATGAGGTCATCATCACTGTCCTGGACCACGTCTCTGTTACAGGAAACAATCATGATGGTCAGATGCTTGTCATGAACCCAAATAAATCATTAGAGAGTTTTAGCAGAATCAAACAATTGATTTTTCCTAAATGAAACTGCCAATTAGCAAAGCGAGAGAGAGGGACTCTCCTCTGAATTTCAAATGATCTGAAGTTTCTCTGAAACGCTCCAACAGCAAATATCAAAAGAGGAGCAGACTGATAGTTACCAGCTCTTATTCCAAGTGCACCATGAATAACACATTTTGAAGAGTCGCTGGGTTATTAAACTGCAATTTTGTGTTTAAATCACTTAACCTCTGCTTACAAAAGCCAGGTAAGCTGAGCATAAATGCTGTTTTCCTGACAGGAAACACTCAAAGTCGAAAGAAATGCCTCAGAAAACAGAGCTGAACAGGTTTGCACTTCAAATTAGATTTTAAAAGATTCATTAAGTAACCAGCTGAAGTATTTGACCCGTCTACGTTTAAAAAAAATTGAAACAAGGTCACGAATACATGATATTAAAAAAAGACAAATCTCATTACTTTGGTTTTGTATTTCATAATACTAATTGATACAGTTTGCAGAGTGTAGGGAATTCATGTCTGGCTTAACAAGTATCCTAAAGCTGATTGAGGTAAATTAACTTTTAAATGCCTCTAAAGCTACAAAGCAGAGGGAGAATAAAAAGATACTCAGAAAGAAAGTGTGCGCTGGCGTATTCTTATCAGTCTTGTCTCTAAATCACTAAACTGCCATGCACCTAGCCTCACTGAAATATTTCTAAATCACAATCTGTTGTCTTAACGACTGAATATACAAAAGCTCCACGCCCATAGAACAACTTTTATGACTATTAAGCCTATGTTGGGATGTGTTTGCACTTTCTCACACTAAAACTGAGGTATTGTTCAACTCTAATACTGACAGTGTTCTGTTGGACTGGTATGTGGTGCAGAGTCCATCCATTGAAGGGTCCTCAGAGATCCTGATGGCTTCCTCCATGGCTGCGAGGAGACCGTCACCACCATCACCTCTTAAGGCGGGGCCAAAACACTCAGGCCGACGGATCAGCAGCCTCAACACCACATAAGCATTCTCCTCTACACTTTCACCTGCAGGTCAAGGAAGACATACAATATAAAAAAATAGCGGTTTATGGGGCTGACAAAACACAGATATTGCAGGAGATGTTTTGTTTGTTTAGAAACTATTTCTCGCAAGGATTCTCATCAAAATTGAAGGCCAGAAAATCTGTTCGCTAAACACGGAGATATTAAATCAAATAAAGGGATACTGGTCAACAAAAGAACAGCTCATAGACATACAATTGAAATCAGAAAGAGGCACTTGGTATGGAAAGCCAAAGCTGAACTGTCTTCGCCCTCAAGGTCAAGGGCAGTGAGAACTGATGCCTTTAGGGTACTGCCTCAGAGTAAGAAAAATCAATAGATGAAGAATCAGGGAGTTAATTACTCCTATCACAGAAACCTTACTTAATTGGGGGCATATAATGATGCAACCTCTTGTGCCTTTTTAACTTTTCAACTTGTACTCACTGCTCTGTTTCTAAAGCATCTGAGATGCAATGAAAACCCAAATACCATTGCAGAAGACAGCAAAACGTAGGAAATCCACAAAACGTTCGCCCTCCACAGGATTCCATCCAATATCAGGATAGCCTTTAGCCACCAGCATCTGACAGCTCTGAAGACCACAGTCGGCGAGGTACTGCACCACCTGGAGAGATCATTAGATTGGTTCTTCATTAACCACTAATGGGCTACAGAAAAAAGAATAATGGATGCTCGGGTATCTGCTGTCTTAATATTTCCCCTTCTGAGGAAATGGACTCATAAAGAAGATGAACGGAAGAGTTAGATGGAGAGATTACAGGGTTTATTAAATGTTGGTTTTTAGACTGGTGCTGTGTGGAAGCAGTAAGAAAATTGGCATATTACATAACGGTGACTTTTAACAGCATTACTCAGGCGAGCACAGATTGTTAACTCACCTTTTCCAGGTCATGCTCCCTAAGTGCTAGAGCCAGTTCATAATTGTCCATAACAGAGGCTGCGGCCACATCCAGAGGAGTGGCCCCACGCATTGATGGTGAAGCTAAGAGGAATAGGAGGCATAAAACAACATGAACATTAACTCCAAAGCAACTGAAATTAGAGCTCTTTATCAGAGTTACAGTGGCCAAGCACCTTCCAAGGTCATGAAACCCTGAAATTAGACTCTGTGCTGCATTAAGTTTTTTATTGTATAGTAACATCTGAGAAAAGAGAGATAACATTTGAATACATGTCTGTATTTCTATTCATTGGATAGTATTCTTCTGAGTTACTGAGACACCTCAGTGAAGCTTTTAGTGTTGTATGTTGGGAATGCACTGCCTCTCTTACAACAGCACAATCAATAGCAAACACTTCTGAAGAGTCTGATCAATACTTCTCAAAAAAGATCAGAGTAGTTGTATCAGACAGGACAACTGAGCCCTGCAGTATAAAACTTTAAAGTGTACTTTTTTAACGTTTCAAACCACTTCAACATGAACCCAAAAAAGTGAGATTGAAAATCACCAAGTCCAACACTGCTGTTTTCAAGCAGGTAGCTGAGATGATCGAAGAGAGCTCCTTGGTTGTGGCGGCTTATGCGGCAAAAATAGCACAGAAATCGACAGCAGCTGGCCACCATCTTGGGAAAGGTGATCACCTAAAAAAGAGAATGCATATGTGAATGTAAAGATGGCAAATTCAATGTTAGGAATAAAGTGGCAGTACAGTAGGAAGCACAGCCCCAAATAATAAGTCATATCAGCTAGCACACATTCCTTTTGTTTTAAGCTCTTCCTTCAGAGTAAGAACTATGGATAATTTTCAAAGTGACAAATTATAAAAAAGTCTTCTGCTCCTTAGACTACAGACATTTTCACCCAATGATCATTATTAACTTTTACTTACTCCTCACCTTTAATTCACCTTCTCCCAGGACATTGACCATCACCTCCATCACTGTCTCATGCATTCCCAATGCCCTCATAAGGTTGGGGTGCTGGTAAAATACTTTATTATTCATGATGTCTCTGTGCATAAAACAGTGAACAGTGCATAGAGAAATACAAAAAAAAGACAGAAAAAACAGTCAGAATACTATTCATGCTAGAGAAAATACTTCAATACATTTGGTAGACATAAACCAATTAAAATTACTCTAACATGTCACTTATTATTGCATTTGAATCCCTCTTACCCCAGTTTTCTGATCATCAGTCTCTCCTCTTCTTTCCCCATGCGCACACTGAGGAGGGAGCGGATTTGGCTCAGTGAGGACAGGAGAGCCATGGTGTCCTCTACTGAAGTCTGGCTGATCGTATAGGCTCTGCTGAGAGGTCCTGCCATCTGGCCACCGAGGCCTTGGTACTGGCGGTGCAGCAATGTGAAGACAGCCCTGACTAGTTGAGGGTCCGCTATTTCAGTCTCTTGGGCCCAGTGCACCATGGTTTCAGAGATTAGCTCTTTAAGGGACTCTGAGGAAGTACCAACAAGTGAAAAGTAGAGAATAAAGTAAAGGAGGGGAACCTTACTGCATTTATCTTTAACAAAAGGTTTTGTGACCCTCACAGCAGAAATATCTCTGGTCATATTCAACACATTGTGCCTTGATGGAGGATTAATATTACTCTCCGTTATGTTTCTGCACAGTGAATGTTGTTAGCCCACATGTTCTCTCAAACTAACAGAGCAAGCAAAGTTATCAATTGCAATCACAGGAAAATGCATAGTATATACATATACAAGCCAAACACAGGAACAGCTTTCACATCATAGATTCACTGACTGGAACTGTGCAGCCTCCTCCCCTCCTCTTCTTTGTGAGTCTTCTTCAGCCCAGTGACACTTGCCACTAGGCTGTAAAGCCGCTCTTTAACAGACACTTCTGCAACCTCTTCATCCACTGCTCCACTGTCCACGTCAATGCCTAATACACGCCAATACGAAAGGATATTCTCAGTGGCAATGATAGCACAGAACTTCGCAAAGCTTTTTCCATAGCTCCCTGACTCTACATGAATTTGTCATAAGTGATTCAAATATTTTTTTAAAAAGTGTCCTGACCACAGTGTGTATTGAGGAGGTGATGAAAACTGTTCAAGAGTTGTTGGATTTCCACTGGGCAGGGACAGATCTCCTGCTGCTCATCATCTCTGAAGCTCAGCAGCATGTTGATCTGCAAACAGGTCATTAAACTATCAAGAAGCAACCCTTAAATCCACAAGAAAGCATTTCTTAATTTTGAAGAATTTCGCTTTAATGTACATGTTGAAGATTACTGAACAAAACACTGGGTTTTCATTAAGTGACCTGCTCCTGTGGAGGTGAGCGGAACTCCTTGGTTTTGCGGGCAGTCAGAGCAGCAGACATGTTGAGTGCTTGCATGACTTGGTTGTAACGAAAGCGTTGGTTCTCCTGCAGCTGGCCGACAAAGTTGTCAGAGAAAGCAACCACAGCTTCTACCCTGTGTCGCACCTGACAGTCACACAGGTAGGACAACAGATGGCAAAGCTGGGGAGAGAAAAGTGTAATCCTTTATTATTTAAGCCAAAATAAAACTGTACAATATCTGCAGGTAATCCAAATTTTTAACGAATAAAAGGAAAAGACAGGACAAAAAAGTCATTCGGTTTCTTCACCTCAAGTTTGACAGCTTCTGGAAGCTTCATTTGAAGAAGTCCCTGTTTCGGACTTTCAGTGTCTTTTTCTTTTCCCCCCTCACATTCTTTTTCGTCATCACTCTCTTCTTCTTCCTCTTCCTCCTCAGGAATTTCTACATCCACAGAGAAGACCCCTGGCTCTATCAGTCTCAGGACTTTCCCCAGTTCCTCGCCCTGAAATACCCCCATAACCAGCAGCGTGTAAAAAAGTCTAATTAGAGGGACCAGCAGAAGCTCAATGCTGCCTCCTACAGGATCCCTCATACCCTGGCCGACAGCACACACTCCAGCAGTCAGCATCTCCACAGTCAGACTCTTCAATATGTCCAGAGGGATTTCTGGGCTGTCTGTGCAGAATGCTTCTAAACCACCAGCCCTTACAAAACAAGGAGAGGAGAAATGCATCTGTGGTTTGAGGGATGTGCTGAGATGAGTGCTGGGAAAGCCCTCCAGAGGTTGACTATTCATTGCACTGACACAATTAATAGGGCTTGAACAAAGGGTTATTTCTCTGGTCTGGTCAGTCATAGGCACAATGTATTCCTGGTTCATCAAGAGGCATGCCGTTGAGTAGCCGCTGAGATGAATCTGAGAGACAAGAAAACTTTTCAGGCTATTTTCCTCGAACTGTTGTCAATGAATGTAAAAATACTCAGCTCAAACAAGCAGTTACCTGAATGAGCAGCTGGTAAAATACAGAGCGGAGCTTGCCAGGGAGGTGGGGATCCTGAATGGCATGAAGGATCTGGGATTGGTCAACATGACTGCAGAGGGCATGACAAACTCTAGTGTTTCCAAGTGCACATAAAGAGCAGTAGAGGAGGAGAGTGTGGTGATGAAATGTCAAGAGGTCCTCAAGTTCTGACAGCTCCAAAATGTCAACACACCTAGACATCGAAAATATCAGCATTTTTGGGTTTTCAAAATCAAACTTAAGTTGTTATTTTGCACATGTGGTGTGGACTGCTTCAAAATACAGGAGACATGAGTGGCAAAAATATCACAGACAGCACCTACGTCTCTAAACCAGAGTCAAAAACAAAATCTGCTCCTGCTCTCTAACCTGTTCTCATCAGGGATCTGAAGAGACATCACTTGCAGAGGTTTAGAACAATGGACTCTCCATCCATGGCACTCGTCTGGCTGATCCACCATCACTTCTAGGGTGTGGTCTGGTATTCTGGTCCACAAAACTGGGCTGAGTTTCTGCACCTGAAACCTCGGAGGGCACTGAGGAGCAGTATTTCTTCTTTGGCTGCGAAGCAAACCTGCTGACAGTGGCATCACATTCTGGGCCATAGAAGAAAACAGTAGACATGGGACAGTGAAACAAACTATCTTAGACTGCTAAGGAATAAAACACAACGAGACACTTTTCAGAAACTTTCACAAACTTGGAGGGCTGCAACCGAGTTTTTAATAAAACATTCTGTCAAGATCAGCTCACCCAACTTTTAGAAATACATTTTTTCTCTACATTGCAAAAAAGATGAATAAAAAAAAAATCCAAACAGACTTTTAATTCTTTGAGGGGATTAATAATTCAGGTTCCAATACCTTAATACGTCCAAGTTCAAACTGAAACATGTTGCTGGTGGTGGGCTTCACAAAAACAGCAGGAAACAGCTTTGTGCTCGCTTCCACCTGATTAGAAATGAATAATTGTTTAACAATGCTTTCCTTCTCGTCAAGCTTTTTTTCACTGTAATGACTTTAATAAGCTTTACTTCCAAGCGTAACAAAGAGCTTTAATGTATATTGAATTTAGATTAGAGGACATGAACTACATTTTAAAAAATTAATAGAGAAGGAAAATCACTGATTAGCTGAACAAATCAAATTAATTCTTGTTTGACCTACTTGGTAAAAGGTGGCCATCTCAACTCCACTGGAGGTGAAGGTGAGCAGCCCCGTGGCCGTGTCGATTAAACAGCCGATTTCAAGCCCGGCACTCCTCCGACTCCGAGAGAGGCCCGTCGCCTCTCCAGCACAAACCATGTAACAGTCACACCGCTTCACACTGACAAAGAAAACCATTGCTGAATGTGGTTTTATTTAGTTATTTCCTTCTACAGTGAAAGAGTCTTTTTGTAATACAGTTAGTAGAACTCCACATATTGGTCTGTAAACACTTTATGGAATGAGAGGAATCATTGCAGCAACATCTTTGACTGAGAATTGCCACCAAATGTCTCCAGCTATCTCAGCGAATACTAACCTCTCCTGGACTTTGCCACTATCATCTCCCAGGGTAATGGTCACAGTGTGGATGTTTTCAGCATCAAAAGTCATGTCATGTTGATGAAAGTTTGGGGTTACCCAGCCAACCCACACATTGAAGGGCTCCTGACCCTGGAGAACCCTCACTGAGTAGTAATACTAAAAAGGAGAGGTCAGTTTGTGTCACTGTCATTAACATGCTAAGCAAATACATTGATTTTTTTGCACTCTAAAGCAGCAGAGTCCAAATGCACTTTTTGTTTCCTGTTGTTGTCAATAGGCATGACTTCTGCTGAAAGTGTTGATCCATGTTTTATCTTTGCTGGTCATGTGTTTTTTTTAAGAGATGGGATATTAAGAGGAAAAAAAAACCTCACCCTGGAGCTCTGGATGAGGTGATCATTATTATCCTTGTCAACGACCACATCCTCCAAAAGGCGTGCAGATGAGTTGCTGCTGACTAGACCTGGTTTGGTCCTCTTGAGCAAAAACCTGGTAAAGAAAGCGAAAGAAATGGGTTGTTTGACAAACAATCTCTTCTGTCTTTTCAATCATCTGGTAGAAAAGTATGGAAATTATGATCCTAAAATACGTAATACAAATGGTTTTTAATTTTACATGTATGTGTTTGATTTCCAGAAAACAAATGCACGTCACCCATGATAACCCAGACTTAAGTTTAAATGCACACCGTTGTTTCAGTCTCGAGGTTTTGTCGTGACTATGATCCTTGTGGTTAAGCTCATCTCTAGAGCCGGCAAAGTTGTGGGCTGACTTCATCAAAACTTCAAAGTCAGAGTCCACCTCCTCCTGCTGCTCTTTCCTTCCTAAAAGGACAACGAGAATTAATTACAGAGGAGCCCTGGGGAGCTTAAGCTCTTCAACTCATCAAGGACATAATGGCCGAATATCAGCAATTTCAATGGTGTATGATCTGGATAACTGCAGCAAACAACTATCCACATCTGAATACTAATTACTGTATGTTACTTGTTTTCTACCCTTTGCAGATCCTCTGTGATGACCGATGATTTAGTTAGTACACAAACACTTGAACCCTCTGAGGCAAACTTGAGCAACCAGAGTATGATGTAATATCACCTGAACCCGGGGAGAGAGAGTTGGAGGCCACTGGAAGCACGCCACCTGCGGGGCTCTTCAGAACAGCGGCACATTCAATGGACATGCTGAGCCGATAAAAGCCCAACTCGCTGCCTCCACCATGGTGCGCAAACAACCGCTGAGAAACCCTTAGGCTGGATAAGGAATCTGCTGAGCCACAGACTCTGGTGACCTTGAATGAGATTTAAACAAGATTTTTCAGGATCAGACCTGTCAATTAACCACTAACCCCAGCAACCAAGTCTTCAACAGAGGCCTGCGTTGAAATACTGAGCAAGTTACTGCATCATACGACATGCTTGATCAACATTAACAAGCTGGTAGGTAAAAGAAAGGCTACAGTCTGGTAAACTTACTTGTAAGTTGTTATCATCTGGCCGTATGGAGGTAAACTGGGGCTGCCTCCAACTCATCCAAAGTGCTGGATCTCGAGACATGTTCGCAGCAAAAGGTTCATAACCCTCCTGCAGGCCACACACTGTAAAGTACTGCAGGGTGTCCGCTTGACAGCCAAGGTTCAGCCTTCCTACCTGGTTTACCCCAACACTGACCACAGGCAACAAACCTGGGAAATACAGAGACAAGAGGGAATAAATACAAGTCTGATAAATATATTTAAGACTTTTTGGGGGGTGAGATGTTCTTGTGAGATTATTTTGAGTGCCTCCTAAATAAAAAATAACTTGATGTAACGTTTTAAAATTTGAACCAGTATTTGTACACTGAACTGTATGAAGAGAAAACTCCCACAAACCGTCTTTCACTTCAAAGTCCTTGGCAGCCAGTTCTGATCCTCTGTCATTAAACAGCACCTCTCCATTGAGCGTGACCATCATAGTGCGTTCAGCCATGTCCACCAGGCAACCCACCACATCTCCTCTCTGCCATGGACGTCCCAGGGGTTCCACACCCTGATGGTACCACTGAGCCTGAAAGATACATACAGAAAGAGTGGGGCTAACATAGGAGCAGAAAAATAGGTAAACAGGTCAAAAGAGCACAGGATGGTCTGCCAATAAACTCATTTGGCTGATTCATACCCTTTGTCTTATATAGCAGCACTTAAACTGAAGCTCTCATTTTTTTTGTCAAGCCAATTTAAATAAGGAAAAAATGCATTATTTGATAGCATTCAAGTCTCGATAAGGGCCAAATGCCTTGTCTTTCGCCCTGCTATGGCTGTTAAAAAGTGTTTGTTTGTCAAACAACACAGACAGGCATGAATATAAATGTATTGCTGGACTCTTTCTGCCCAATTTAAATTGAGTCAAAGTCCTGTCTCTGTCTGCTCTCCAAAATATCCCCAAGCATCCTGATGATTAGAGTCAGAACATGACAGTTTTTCCAACAAATCTAGACTTTCTATCCGACCCAGGCCTATGCTAACTTTTGTGTCAGTGGGGGGTATGGAGGCAACAAAAAGTCACATTCTTCCTCCTAAAGTTTTCTGGCTCAAGAATTTAAGAGTTAAACCGAAGTAACACTGATTTTTGGGCTAATTAACCTTTTTTTTTTTTTTTTTACAAATGGCACAATAAGTACAGTTACATCTAAATTCCTTACCTCAAATCCATCAAAGACATACGCCTTGTCATCCGAGCCGAGCTCTTTATCTGGGGTACAGCTTGGTCGGGCCCAGCCAACTCTCATTTTCCCTGCTGTCACTATTTCGAATTCAAAGTACCACTTTCCCTGTGTTACAGCGTATGATTTATCTGGTCTGAACACTCGGGCTTTCTCCACAGAGAGAAGACATGGACTTGATAACATGGCTGTAAACCAAAGAGAAAGAATAAAGCGATTATCTGTTTTTTATGACAACAGATTTGCATTCAAGTCCCACTGTGAGTGTATCTTTGTTAAACAAAGTTGACAGTCTTGAATATATTCTGTGAGAGTTGAAACTTGTGCTCTGCATTAGTACGACTATGTACATACACATTCTCTAATGTGTGTTTAAGATGAATGATCAAAGCTACAGCAGATTAATGACAGGTTTGAGACGTACTCTGCTCCTGGTTGAGGGTCTCCAGACTGTAACCGTAGGCCAACAGGGTACAGACAGCCTCTGTGGCTCTTTCCATGCCCACCTTTTTACTCCTTTCATCAAGAAGGCTATACGGCACAAGGTAGGGGCTTCGCTTTGCTTTCATATCCTAAAAATAGCAGATTAAAAAAGTAATGATGGACAACTGTTAAAAAATAAATCTCTGTTTGAGTTGACAAACTGTGTTGCAAGTTTTCCTTTATTGTGAGTGAGAAAACAAACAGGAAAGGCTTTTTCCATCAGATAACTACCCAAAATTTTTGAGAAAAACAATGTTTTTACAGAAAAAAAGCCATTTCCCACAGGAATTTCACAGCTATATGCAGGAAAACAATGCAAAACATAAACCTGCTGAGCTCCATAAGTCCATCCCTGCTTGATACGCTCTCTGGCCCATACATTGTGATCATTCTCTGCCAGCAGTTTCGCCAATTCCTCATGGACAGAGCTCAGAAAAACCTGGCTCAGGTCTAGTGGAGCAGGTTTATACCCACTGGGCTGCTCATACCTGAAAGGCAAAATGAAAACAATGGACTCGTGTGGCAAGATTGTATACAAAAATTATAACTAAGGAGGGTGGCCACATCAAGGCTAACTAAACCCCCACCCATACTTTCTGCAAACATCAGATTAAGTGATCATGTACATACTTGGCAGAAACTCTCATGTATCTGACCCTTTCTTCAGCACTGAGATCAGTCAAACCCACGTGGAAACCAAGAGCAAGCGAAGTCCTCCAATGAAAAATAAAAAAATAAAAAACACTCAGTGAACATGAAAAAAAAAAAATGACCACAAGCACAACTAAAAAGATTAAACTGTTTGGTTGAATCCTGAAAAATGGTTTTCAACAAGGGAGCTGAAACAATCAGGCAGAAGAAGAATGTGGAATGTCTTACGCAATGCAGTGAAAACCTCACCTCAGGGTGTCCTGAGCCTTATGGAGGATCTGGTTCCTCTCATGCTCTGGCAGTCTGGAGAAGTCCACCAAACAGGGATCATGCCTCTTAACTTCATCTCTCACCTGATTTGACAAGAGCTTTAATCTTTTTAAACTGAATATAAAACTGAAACAAATGTGAGCGGTAAAGGCTTACGTCAGGTTTTAGAAAGAACTATTCTCTCACATGAAATAACAAAAAAGAGACACTGTATGAAGAAGTCTGTGCTTATACACCAATCCAACTCAAGATCCTGTGAGGAACTTTTGGGTTGTGTTGATTTTGGCGTCCTCTGTAGACTGTCTTATCTCTTTATTGATTTTGTCCTGTTTCTATGCTGATAGTTTAATCCTCCAATCTAAATCATCCAAATCTATACAGCTAATAGTTAAAGACAAACTATTGAAACAGAAATGCTATCTTTCATTTGTGAGTCCTTCCTTCTTCCATAACTAAATAAACCTCTCAAGAGCTTCAAGTATTGATTTGTATCATTTGTCTTACAGAGTCATGCATCCATCCAAGATCAATCTTGTCCACTGCCCAGAGTTCATGGATGTTCTCCGCTAATTTATCTCGGATATCCTCCAGTTGTGGAGGCAAAACCACCTAATGAAATAATCATATTAAAGTAATTACTTTGCATAGACATGGTACAGAACTTACTTCAGGCTGGTGAGGATATTATATGTATCTGTTAACATATTTATCTTGAAATTTAAAATCCAAATACACACCTCTAAGACATCTAAAATATGTGAGAAATCGCAATAAAATCAGTGCTGATTCTTACTTTGCTGATGTCCACCGGTGTGGGAGTAAAAGTTGCTGGAGTGGTTGGTACCAAGGAGCCAATGAGCTCTTGTTTTCCTTCTCCAAGATCCATAAAGTAAGTTTGACATGACTCTACTGTTAGTTTGAGTCTAGGGAGCAGAGCTTCAGAACATGGTGCAAAGCCTGGTGGGGGCAGAAAGCGAAACTCTCCATGCTTTCCCCCAAACAGAAAACGGACCCTGATCGCCAGAAAGAAAAGCATTGATTGATTCTTTCCATTGCTAAAGAGCAAACGATTGAACTAAAAAATGCACAAGAATAATGATCTTGCGGAAAATAATTATTTTCATGACTGACGTGACTCCAGCAGAAAAGCTGACCACAGGATAAAGGAGTCCATCAGTGATGAAATTCTCAAACATGCCCTGCACAGGTTGACCGTTGACCCGAAAGGAGATGCAGGGAGCGCTGAGGTCAAGGCAGCAGCTGACCACATCATCGTTTCTGAGCAGGTGAGGAAATGGAGAGCTCACTCTGCGTCCCATGGAGCCTAAGACAAAGGACACATACAGCGTAGAGTCATATACCATGAACCATTTTAGAATTGTTTTGGTTCCAACTCAACAAAAAGTAATCAGGGCAAATTCAATGAGTAACCACGTCATTTAAAATGAAAACTAAGTAACTATAACACAATAATATGTACATTGTATTATTTCTCTGTCTGTTTTTAAGATACTGTCAAACTTGAGGCTAACAGTATCCTATCACACAATTTTTGGGCACGAGTTTCTAGCCCTGTGCATGGCTGTGATCCCTGCTTTAATATGCTTTTAATGGCACTTAAAATAGAACCCCATGAATATTTCATCTGAATTTGCAACATTTTAACATCTCTAAACTGGTTTAACCCCAAAACATGCAGAGTAATAAGAGTGCAGAATGTTCCTTAAATGCAAGCTCAGTTTTAATACTGAGCTTGTTAAAGAATTCAAGATTATACGTAGAGACTAAATTTAAACAGTGTTCTGTTGGTGAATAATTTAACTGTTCGCTTATAAATCTTTCCTGTGACAGAAGCTGGATCTGGGAAACCACTTCCTTTCTTCTATTCTCGAAAACATGTCATATTGTATGTGGTTGTGTGTGCAGTGTGAGTGATAAATAAAAGCAAGCAATTCTTCCACTGGTTCCTGACGATTCCAGCGCTTGTATATCTTGTTGCACCTCATCCTCACCTGACCAAAGATGAAGTCCATCAAAGCCGTAGGAGGACAGGTCATCTCCCACCCCATTGCCTCCCCAGCCTTCACCCCCTGTGGGCCTGGGCTGGTAGCCGTCGGTGCAAGCCCAACCGATACGCAGGTGAGTGGGCTCAGATGTAAGGAAGGAATCTACGTGATCCACGACGAGCTCGTAGTACCATCTCCGGTGCTGAGCTGAATCTTCCCCCATAGCCAAGAAGATGTTCGGCCTCATGCTGCGATGGAGAAGAGAGCAGAGAGAAGCAAACACTAACAAACTGTGTATCAAAGAGAATAAAAAGGTGGTCGATTTAAAAGACATGAATGAGGTCTTTGAAATAAATTTAATGTATCACTACACAAAAGATCAATGTTCAGAGGAGCATTAACACTCCTCAGAAATCCTGACATAAGTGACAAAGTACTGTGTTTAAAAAATTGATGGATGACTATGAAAAATGTAGATAAGGTATTTGACAGAGGGGTAGAGGGAGCATAATCATAAGATGCAATACACTTGACTTACTCAGTGCGTTTGGTACTCTGTGGCCTTTTTTTGTTTTAATGATATTACTAGAAATGATGTGAAACAATATTATGAAAACACAAACATAGAAAGGTTTAGGAACCACACAATCACTGAGTCTGACCAAAACAGTGTCTTCGGTATAGATAAAGCTTTCACTTGGACAAAGACACTTAGACAGGATGACAAAAATGGGGGAATGACAAAACCACAGTTAAGATGTTAAAAGGAGATGGAATAAAAAGGACAGAATCAATCAATGATTTAAAAAAAAGAAACAAAATGTAATGTGCAAGGAAGGAAGGAAGGAAGGATGACGTAGTAAGCAAGTAATCTAATGGAACATTTATTGAACAAGATGTAAAAGTGACAGAATGAGAAATGACTGATGAAGAAAGGGGGAGCCGGGAAATGGACCGTCAGAGCCACAGAATACAGAACAAAATAAGCCACAAGGCTCATGAAGCTAAATCGGCACAGTAGTAAAGGAAAGCACAGGGAAAAGGCAGCTTCAGTGGAAAAAAGGCAGGCAGTGGAAAAAGAAAAACAGCCTAAAGAAAAGGGGAAATGGAAACTGCCTACAAGATCAGACCGGCGCAGTGGGCCAAAATATTGAGAGACTGAAGAACATGAAATATGATGAAATTTCCAAGGAATGTGTCAAAAAATCAGTCTGTTGAGTAACACTTTCTCGGACAGCCGACTACTTTTTAGAAGTTTCTCTGGGAGAGACTGACTCAATAGTTTGTACAGGGGAGAAAAATAAAGTTATTTGTCAGGTCTCACATTCAGTATGGACAGCTCTCTTGCAAATAGGATTCTTATGTCTGGACAACAAAAAACTATGAACATGTACAGGAGAAAAATGTCTTAAAATGCTTTATAAAGGATGCCATTGAGTCATAGTTCATCTAACAGTACATGGAATGCTCCTCCCTTTGTTGAAAGCCAATTTAAAGTTAGCAGCATCATTCAGTTCATCTAAAGTCACCCTCAATTTGAAACCTCCTCGTATGATGAGCAATAATGCAAAGGTAGGTGTGAAATCTGATTTTAAGGGCCAGTGCAGTCAGACTGAGACAAATCTATCTAAACAAGTTGGCTTGTACATGATGTGAAAAAATACCTGTTTCTATCTTTAAATTTTAATAAAATCAATCTGACGGAGTCTGGCAGCATGTGCATGACTTTGGAAATTTGTGCTGCAACATTGTGGTCTGATCTATTTTGACAAAAAGAATTGGTGCGGCAAATGAAGAGAGGACACTCGAGGAGGAGACAATTAATTCCTCAGTTATTCGCATCCAGAAAAGAAAAAGGAGTGCTGCAGTGTGAAGATTCCCGAAGAGCCTCTTGTTTGAAGGAGGGGGGTAGAATTACAGATGGTAAACTAATAAATAGGAAACCAGGGTCTGGAGCGGGGATCTCTCTGCAATCAACCAGCAGTGCTCAGCTAAAGAAATTCATAATGAAGCATCAGAAGAAGCTCTCATGACTAGTGGTTGATAAAGTGATTACAAGTAAGGATAAAAAACACTGGAAGAGGAATTTCAAGCATCACAGACTTTGTTTGCATGTGATCTATTGCTTTAGAGGATACGTCTTATTTAAGTACTTCTGCATGATGTGAGTGTGAAGTGATAAACAATATTAGACAGAATTTAAAATGGGGAGGGAGGACGACACTAAAATTCCACCACAGACATAATAAAGAAGTCTGTTGATTGAAATCACTTTAAACTCTACCTGGTGACCTGATTAACCAGACGTGTTTGAAGCAGCAAGTCCCTGTCTGGCAGCAGGTTGTCACAGATGAGGTTCTGATTGGATCGCACTGCCACACCATGGCACACACAAAGAGAGCTCAGCACCTCCAGCACCTGAAACACAGGCAGTCAGCACTTCATACGGGGGGGTCACAGTAACTTTTCCGTGTTTCTGGATTATAGAGACAGTGACACCAGGTCATTCCCACAATATAAAGGATTTTTACACTTCATTTCTAAAGTTAAAGCATTCAGTTTGTATTTCACACTGCTCTAAAAAGTACTACCTTGTGGTTACATCCATGCTTATCCAAGAAAGAAATGATTGAATGAATGTGCCCTTCTTTAATGACGTTAAGTGCCTCTGGACTTTCTACCAGGACACACTGCAGAACCTCCAAGACTCCTATAAAAGGACAGCAAACTTATTTATAGGAATGAGGGGAAATATAACATGTTAGAAATAATGCACATGACATGACAGTGTACAAGCGGAAAAATGAAGATCATAATAAAAACCCTGAATAAAAAAAATCAAACAGATGTAAAGAAAAACTGTAAAAAGTATATAGATAATGAAATGCCACTATTTCCACTAACCAGATGAGGCTTCCAGTCGATCAAGTTTGCTAATAAGCCAGTCTAAAGAGGCTGAAAAATGTGCACAGTTCACACGGTTTCCCCTGATCAGTGCAGCTGAGGGGGAAAAAAAAGGAAATTAAAAATAACAGAAGAGTGTTCTGGATTCACAATAAGGCACTGAGGAAAACACAGCTAATTCATCTGAAATAAATTAGAAGAAGTTTTGCAATTACAGTTTATTTCTCAGATAGGTGATAAGTTAAACTCGCTTCATTCTCACCTAAGAGTTCATAGAAACAGTTCAGTAAAGTCTCCCACTCTTCTCCTGTGTCAATCTGAGCAGCCTCAGCAAAATGAGAAGCGCTGCTATATTGGTGCAAATGGTCAATGCAATCCAGGACTAAATCCATCACACCCTGAGAACAAAAGGGAATATTTATTATTATACTGTAAAGTGACACAAAAAAAATCACACGTAGGACTCGTTAATTCACAGATGTATCAATTACCTCTTCTTGAAACATGTTCTGCCGATTCCTCAGTGCTGCCAAGTTGTTCTGTTTAGCCTCATGTTCCAGTCCCTCCAAAGGAGGCTGGAGATAGGTGATCAGATCCTGAAGACTATGAGTAACTTTCTCCACAGGCAGACTGACAGGTGTGAGGGTTTCCTTTTGACTAGCACCATCCAGTTTCCTGTGTGTCATGTACATGTAAATGTATGTTTAAATAAACAAAGGAACATATTGGGTAATAGTGCAACAGTAAGAAAAAAACACCAGACTAGAAAGAAAGAAAGAAAGACAATAACTGAGTCTCTACAACTGTATACATGTGGTGCTGGATGGGGGGCATGTTCAGATATTAACCAAAAACCTTTTCTTTATTTTTAAAAGTGGAAAAAAAAGTTTAAAATGTGTGTGCCACAAGTTATTCCAAGTTTTCCATCAGTAATGACAGGAAAAGAACTTTCTTTTTTTTAACCACCAAAACTCTTGGAGGCATGCTAGCATCAACATGGTGAACTGAAATGTTCTGGTTTTTCAAGAAAGTTTGTGCAAGTGTAGAGGAATGACTGTGGCTGAAGGTCTGGCATCCGGTACCTGACAAAGAAACTGAAGAGAAGAACTGCGCTCCGTACAAGTCTGGCTGTGTGAGATTCTTCCCTCTGAGAGCGAGACAGCGTCAGTCCATCATCCATGTGACCCTCACTGTGTAAAATGGCCTGGGAACACATCACTCGCAGTCATTTTCCTATTGATTTTACTCCTATGTGGCAGCATCATTCAACAAAATTATACATTTAAGCTCTTTAAAGTAGTCGGTGTGTAAAATGAGCCTCAAGCTTTAACTCAAAATGATCATGTTCCAAAGGTTTTACCTTTCTCTGGGCTACTCCTATGCGTGTAGATTTGGCATCAGTAGCTTGGTAGGTGAGCCAGAGCCCAGACTTTACATGCTGCACATAACAAACTGAGTCCCCATACTTGATCCTTGGGATTCCCATGCCTTCTACATTAGTCTCTTTGCTGGTCTCAGGCTTCTCCTATAGACCAAAATCTATTGTTACATAACCAGATTTGATTCTCTGATAACAAATGTCATCATTTGGTCGTTACTTGGAGCAAACTGCTGACCTTTAAGGTTATATATTGACCGCTGAAAGCTTAAAAAGAGATCAAACTACTTCTTGTGTGACTCCTGACCTTGGAAGATCTAAAGCAGAAGGAGGTTGTATCGACGTCAGCCTTCCCCCGATCGACCAGCTGCAGGCCTTTCTCTTCAGTAAGACCCAGGTACATCCCAGTGGTCATATGGGAGAGTCGGAAAGCCTGCCCCCAGCAGGTGTGCCCACCACTCCATCTGAAGAAACACAACATAGTCCATTCTTTTTTCTTTTGTTTTTTATCCTTTAAAATACGCTGAGCAGTTAACATTTGGTGTCTTTGTTTTGGAAATAGCAGGGGAGTGAGCAGGGACCACGATTCGAAATCCAATTTTGGGCAGAGATATTGAATTTGTCTCAAACAACCGTGTACAGCCTCAGTGGGGGGAAACAGCAGACAGAAATTCAGGACCCTACGCTGGCAGAGACCAGCAGGCAGCAGTGTGTGCAATAGATATAGACTCCCTCGATGATCTCAACAATCAAATACTGTGAGGCATTGGTGGATTGTTTTTTTGTCTTTATATACTAAAAAAGATGCAAATCACATACTGAAAGCATTTCCAAAACGTGGTGTTTTTCCCAATAACTTTTGACTTTAAAGCATGAAAGCAAATTTTGCTTTTATTTGAGCACTTCCCTTGTCCACCCCAGGCACCACTTTGGACACACCCCTGGTCAACACCCAAGATAAGGTGAAGGTATTTTAGATGTAAGTGAAACATAAGACTAAACAAGGTGGAGAAAATAAATCAAATAAAAAATGACATATTATACAATCTACTACCCTCATGTATTTTAATATCTCTGATCATTGTTCATGCCTCTTTCTTACATACACTTGGTTAGTTGGTGGTTAATATTCAGTCAACAAGGGTCGGTTAACAGCTAGAAATAGAAATCCTGATTAGCTTTATTCATACTTACACCACACGCAGAATCTCTAACCTCCAGAGAGAGCGGGCATGAATAGAGACTGATCCGCTCTCATAATGCATTACCCTACATTAGGAAAACAGACATGTTCAGAGAAGTAAAGGATGATTTGTTTAGATGACGTGAGGAGACTGATGTTTCCTACTGACCTTTGCAGCTCCTCGCCCTGTTCTGTGGACGGAATAGTCAGACACGCGTCACTATGGCTGTGGTGTAGTCGCAGTGTGTCTCCACCCTTGAGGTATCCTACAACGGGGACAAACACATACTGTCCATTGAAAGACATCTTTGAAGCCGTAAAAAAAAAGGAGATATTTTATGTGGTCAGAATACCTCTCTGAAAAACCAAATTTCCAAGATGGAAATGTCAGTTGGATTGTCAAATTGTGAAGATTGACTGCTTGCTTTCAATATGCTTAAAAACCAGAAGAGGAAAGAAAACTTGCCTTGGGCAACTCCACCTCCAGAGCAGATGGGTGCAACACTCCAGAGAGTCTGCTGGAAGGCTGCATTAACTATCAGGCTGTCACTCAAGCTCTTGTTGTCAAAAACAGCACCAAGGGACAAGTGCTGGGAAAACAAAATGAAGTTTTAAAAAGATTCTTGAACTAACAGACACCTTCATACACTGTAGAAGGATTTGATTAGGGGTAGAAATGGATTACTTGAACACTCCATCATTAAATCGTAACCCGAGCTGTGTTTGGAAAATGTGAATTCACCTAAACATTTCATGGAAACACTTTTGGATGTCCCAGAGAATAAAAAAACAAACTGTATATTCCTCTGAGTTATAAAATGGACTGAGACTTAACTTCCTTATTTAGGTTAATTCACAGATAGAATGAGTGATATTTCCTGTTTATGGGAATGAAATTATAAAATTATAAAGAGTATTTTCATAAAAGTTTATACATATACATCTGAAGGCATTTAAGGATTCTTCTGAAACAGGATGTATTTGTGAATTTGTGTGTGGAATATAAATCTGTGAATCAAACATAAATAAGCAAATAAACAATGATTAGAGCTTGTGATCTTTCTCCTGATTTATGTAAATAGGTGTTATCACAAACAATTATGCTTAACAATTCATCAGAGGCTGGGAAAACAATCATCAACAACAACTGAGTGAAACCGAAGAGGATGAATCACAGAAATACAAATAATCTTTTTCTGAAACTTTAAAGCTCAGAAGAAAAATGAGAAAGGAACATTATTCAAATTAACCTACAGATAAATTGAATAATTTAATGTGTTTAATTGTTTCTAGCTATTTTTTTTTAAACAAGTAAAAGGTATGCGTTGATTAAAATTTAATGCAGTCCAACTTGCCCAAATTCAGTCCTAAAAACGGACTCACCAGGTATCTCTCTGATGACACATTGACCAATGTCAGATCATCTCCAACACGCACTTTTTCACCCTCAGAGCGCTGTCTGGATGCTGGATGAACCGTCCACCAACATGCGTCACCTGAGCACAAACAAAATTTACAAAACTGAGTTTTCAATGTTCCACATGCTTCAAAGTTACACCAGTATAAATGAAAATAGACTTTAATCAAAATCAGTGCAGAGAACTTTGGAGATGAGCTTGATATTTAAAAAGTTAAGTATCATAAGAACTATAATTAACTGTCTAATAGTGCCCAGCACCGATTACCTGCTTTATCCTCCTGCAGACCCACATCAAAAGCCAGCTTATCAGTTGAAGACTGAGATGAAGACAAGCTGCTTAGATACTGCAAATGTGGAGAGTAAGACAGGTACAAATTAGAATCCATCTTTTAAGTTAGTCAAAAGATATTCTGTCTGTAAAAAAAAGACAGAGACCTCCTATTTTATTTACGCATTAAATTAGGATGACTGACCATTCCACTGTTAGAGTGAAGTAACAACACTGCCTGGCCATAAAGGAGGGTACGTTGGCTGCCTGCAGCTCCGACCTGTGAGGCACAAACACATAAGCATCAAAAAACAGTAAAGAAAAGAAATACAGTGGGGTAAAAAAAATGATACATTTATAACAAAAGATAATCAAATAAAATCTAACTAGGAATAAATTATCATAAAAAATTCTGTATTTTATTTTATTTCTTTATTATAGTGCCCTGCTTTTACATTTGGTTACATGTTAGTCTCAAAGGTCAGAATAAACATTGCTGCTTCAGATGAGTCCTCCTCATCCTCACATCCTTCCTCTATAGTAGTCTCAGAGGTTCAGTCACGGTCCATAGTTTAACAGTCATCAGTTTAGCAGATAGACACATTAATATACTGCATATCTTACTTTCTCTTGAAAAAAAAGCCCAACTAGGGATGTAACGATTACCGGTAAAATGATAAACTGCGGTAAAATGTCTGACAGTTAGTACTACTGTTTCAAATTTTAATTACCGTTAAAACCGTGTTTGGTTGCCGAACTCTGGAAAAGCTCACAGACTGCTCAGTGCTAAGAAGTGCAGCTGCACACAGCAATCCTTCGGACACTGATGCGCCGCACACATGCGCAGTGCGCAGTATACAACTTGTAAACATGGCAGAGGGCAGTTTTGTGGGCAGTTCTGCCACCGTGTTGTAGAGATTTTTTGGCTGTCAAAAAAAACAAAGTCTGAAGTCTGGGCATATTTCGGCTTCTACAAAGGGTTGCAAGGAAGCTTTGTGCATCCCGGCAACCAGCGTGCCATCTGAGAGGTTATTCAGTGCCAGCGGGTACATCACTTCCCCTCACAGATCACTACTCAAACCGGGAAAATATCCTGACATTTTTACATTTCAATCACAAGTAGTGGGCAAAGTCAGCAGCAGCATCTTATGATGGAGAAAACGGACAATCAGTGTGGTTAATTTGATTTGTTTACATATTTTATGTTATTTTCAACACCTGCACTTCACATTTGTTTAAATGTGGTTGTTTTGTTTCATACAGTAGTGTTGCTTTGGTTTATATTTGTAAGAGTAGATCTTTTTGAGCACTTAAGATTCTTACATTTTGCACAATAAGGAATGTCTTTTTATTTAAGTTTTATTTATTTGTTTTTATGTTAATGTTTATGCCACTGGCACATTACTTTGTACTTTGTTATTACTAGTACTAGTGTTGATCACCTCTGGCTCTTTTAAGGCCCCATCTTAAATTTTTTAAGCTTATCATTTCTCTGTTATTCAAGGTTAAGGAAAAGTTCAGTCTGTGAGTTATTTTGATGTCAGGGCATGTATAAATACTTTTTAAACATTATGAACATATTTCAACAATACCATGATAATATTGATAACCGTGATAATTTTGGTCACAATAATCGTGATGTTAAATTTTCATATCATTACATACCTACATAAGGCCAACATAAGATCAGTTTACACTAGAACCTCCATTTTGATTTGCCAAATCAAAGAACAAACACCACTATGACATAATCCTGAGAGTGTTAAAATACAGAACGGGACAGGACAGGAGGGGAGCAGAAGGGAAGGGAAGAGGATTCTCACCTCTGCAGCAAGGTGCTCACTGTGGGCCAACATCTCCTGCAGTGCCCTCACAGACAGACACTGGACCAGGACAAAGCTACAAATGGACAAGTCTGGAGGAACATTCTGTTACAAACGAAAAGACAGCAGAGCGAGATAATAGGTCCAGCTTTATCTCTGTCTACTCTCTTCACAGATCACAGTACAATTAGCAGTGACAAGGACCACTGCTGAGTGATGATGAGGGTCCAAATGTGGAGATGACTTCTCACACAAGATGAGAAAAATTGTTGTAGATTATTTAAAAGATACTAGGCTGATAAGTAAGAAACATATTAAATCTGAATTAAACATCAAATGTGATGATGATATATCAATGAAAAGTTGGATTAGTAGTGATTAATTATTTGAACATTAAGACTAATAATTCAGAATTTTGCTCTATTCAGAAACAGTGAGCAGTCATTCATTAAATTCTAAAAGATTTAAAGAATGAGAGGTTAAGTTGTAATTAAACTATATAATATAAGAGTGTCTGGATAAATGGTTATTTCAGTCTGAGGTAAACGTACAGAACATAGAGCAATTCATTTTAGGTTATGTACTTTGGGGCTTTAGAGCATATTTTTGGCAAGATTTTTCACCGTCTCTTCTTCATTCCAAATTAAGAGTAATAAAGTGTGACATCAATAATTGAAGAACAGACTGCAGTGCCAGCGAGGGAAAAACTTTGCCATCCTTAAGGCAGAGATCTTTACTTTGCAGTTAGAGGTGGGCTCAAGTCTGCAGAGCCTGCTGCCAAATCCCTCCGCAGCAAGACAGAGCTTCACATGTTCCTCTTGGTGGGTGAAGGTGCTCTGCAACACCACCTCATCTCCCTGAATTGAATAGAAATACACACAAACACACACAGAGAGATGACAGCAGTGAGTGTGAACTTCTCCGGGTGTAGCATTAACACATTGACATTTAAAACAAAAATAAAGTACAGCCATGGTATGACTAAAAAGATTTTACAGGTTGGCAGAGAAGGAAGACGCTCAAACAAATCAACTGATGACTTCTATCGTGGTAAGAGCTCTTTCTGAAATATAACCACCAATTTAGAAATTATACTGCTGCTTTTTCATGCTAATTTCTTTGTTGCTGCTGAAGCGTCACTACAGAGTGATTAATTGAGTCTAAAAAACCTGTAGAGTGTACGTGAAAAACCGAAAGCTTTATATCAGCTAAACATGGTTTATCTCTACAAGTAATGCACTTTAAATTTATCTTATCTTCATTATCTCCAATGTCTACATAAATTAGGCTTTTTACATCTATTTAAGGAACTATAGAGACGGATAACAGACAACTGGTCTTCACAGTCTGACTAGGACAACCAACACCTCTCTGTACCCAGGCTGCAAACATCCATATTGGGAAGACACTTCACTGTCTGACCTCTGATTCACCCTTCTTTCCACTCTTCATATCAGCAGTAGCCTGCAATCAGTCAAACACACTGTCCAACTCTGAGGCACTTTGTGGCATTTGGACGGCCAGAGGACTGTGCTCTCCTTGTTAGTGCATTTGAAAAATAATAACACACTGGTACACCAAATGTCAAAAGCCCCAACAAATGCAAGTATGTCACAATTAGGGTGCAAAGAAGTATATTGATTTTGAAACTGAAGTGGTTTGTCCGTGGTCATTTTTTAGTCATGGTGGACCACCTACAACATTATATGACAACATGTCTTAACATTAAACATTGATCTTTGGAAAAATTACCATAAGAATATAAACATTCCAGGAGAAAACCTTCAATTTAATTTAACAATGCATGACTCAGAAATCCTAAGTGTAATGTCAGACTATAGCAAAATGTCTCTGCCCAATACATATCTGTGTTCAGTAACTCTCTGCATCACTGTCTGTGTAAGCAATTGTGTTTGTGTCATATCCACATCTGACACTCTCACAATGGCATGCCCTTATCAGAAAGCAAGGATAACAAGCAGTGAGACAGCGTCCAACTAAGGAACAATGATGATAGCATCTCAAAGTGAGGGTGATTGAGCCTCTTAGGGGTCTTTCTTTACAGCAAGTATCCAACCAAAAACCAGAATAATACTGTTAACTACTGCAGGGTGTGAACAGATTAAATGTATTAAAAGTTATTATTATATAGTAGGAGCATTTCACTCTGAGTTACTATTTAAATCAAAGAGAAACATAAAGAAGCCAGCTTTTGTTAAACACTTGTTTTGGGTAATATATCAGTGGGGCAATTTACATAGCATTAGCATTTTATTGTGAAGACTAAGAAGTATCCTCTGTCTTCATTCACTATACCCCAATGGACAACTCAAAATCCTCAGTTTAAGTCTTTTAAACATAAAACATTACATTTGGGTCACTGCTAGCTTCCTTCTGCAGAGCAAAGTTAGGTTACGACCGGTAAATCTCAGAGTTGTCCCATAACGTCAGCTGAGCTAGCCAAAATTTACAGTTATTAGCTAAACCCAATGACTAGCCGTTTCCTTCATTTTTGACAAATGGCGGACTCACTGTTCGTAGAAAGTGGAATTCTTCGTCGCCCTCGCCGATTTCCATCACAACCGGAGCCAAAAACGCCACATTAGACAAGTCTGGCGATATTAATACCGCTGAAGTTGGAGTTTGAAGACTGAAAGAGAGGAGCAGGACCAGCAAGTAAGGTGTTCAGATTTGAATCTGTGGGCGGGCTCTGCTGGGAGCATCCGGGCCTCCCACCACACCGTTTTTTCTAACTGCTGTTTTGGCGCGAGGTCTACAAGCTAGGTTTAACCATTAAATACATGAAAGATACATTTTTAATTAAACCAGCTCAAAAACTCACAAGTACATTTACAATATTTGACAACTGAATGTTTTAGAGTACATTTGCCCTTCCCAAAAAGTGTGTTTTTTTTAAACTGCTCTGGTGTATGTATGGGAGAAATACTGACAAAAATCCTTACCAGGTAGCTAACAATAATGGCTTATTTTAGGGTTACATTCCCATTGTATCAGGTAAATCTTAATATTTTTTGTACTTTTAGGCAGAATAATCCAAACTAGAGTAAAGTCTATCATTAGAACTAGATTATGCATTGATAATCAAATCACTTATTATAGGCTATTTGAATGTTATGTTTTTTAAATTGGCTTTTACAGTGTGGTTGGGAAGTGGAATGAAGTCTCAAAGTACCTCTGAATTCTAATCATGGACCTATTGATCAAGCAAATTAATTGCATTAATCAGCGTATCAGCATCAGCCCTCACTAGACCAATATCACCATTACCTTTTCTAATTAACAAAACAATTTATATCACCCATATCAAATCTAAATCAATTACAGGTTTGTTTTTATCTATATCCTTTTTAAATGTGAAGAATAATGCAGTAAAGCCATTTCTCTGATCAGCCATATCCTGAAATCTTTAGCATAACCTCTAATCTTAGTCTTTTTTATTTATAAAACATATTTCAAACGTGACAGCGATGTTACCTTGAAATGTACACAGAGATAAATCAGTACATAACTTTTTCTACTTTAACCTCAATATTAAACTTTAAATCAAATATATATTTGTTTCTGAAAAATTTCAGATTGCATAACAGAAATCCAAAAGTCCCTTCGGGTATTGTACTGCCCAAAACTAGTACAGTAGGTTGTGAATTTTTGAAAACTCAACATCACTTTCTTTTTCAACAAACCGTCAAAAAAAAAAACACCTGTTAAATAGGTTCAAGAAATGATTCCAGCTTGAATCAAGTGTTTGAACAAGTCAAACAAAAACTTTAATTGATCCATTACTCTCAAGTACAAAGTGTTACTCTTGAATTCACCGATAACAGAATCTGAAAATTTCTTCAAGATGACAGTACTGCCTGAGTATCTTTATTTTCCAACCAAAATACAAGAAAACCAAAACTTCCACCAAAACTTAGCACATTTCTGGCACCGTAAGTGTTTCGTTCTCTACAAGGTATTGTTTGCAGGAAAAAGGAACTTCTTTTAAAGGGAATTGCTTGCATCTTAATAGAATATTAAATAAGTGGTGTGCCACAGTGCTATGTGCCTAGTTTGTGAGGTGGCCAATACTTCACACAAAAAAAAAAAAAAAATACCTTGAAAACTTCTGCAGTGTTCTTGCATAGTTCACAAACTGCCAATAGGTGTGAAATTAAGGACACAAAATGTGCAATTTAGCATTCTTGAAGAGCATTACATAAAAAAAGTTTCAGCAAAAAGTGATTGGCATACAGTTAACATGTTATGGGCTTGTACATGGCATATTTGAGTTGAATCCTGTTTCTTCAGATCAAATGGCAAAGACGTACATATACAGAGTGACATTTAACTTGTTTTCATATAGTATGCCTCAAAAATTGATTAGATTAGATAGAACTGTATTGATCCTTTTGGGAAGGTTCCCTCAAGGAAATTAAAAATGTGTCAGCCACCGGAGGGTTGGGAAAAAACCTGATTACAAAAGTAAACAAATTGAGTTTTTTAAGGCACTGGAGCAAAAAGATAGTCAAATATGGCATTTGCACAAGTATTGATACTAAATCTTGTATTAGGTAATACTTTGGGGAAAGATATGACACTGCTGAGGACTCATATTTCAGACGAAAAGCTAGGGTTCTTGCAGTACTGTTTTTCTCTCTCTCATAATTTCATAAAGCTTCTCTCTCTGCACGAATACCACACAGGATGAACTATACAATGACATTTTTGCTCATATTTTTAATTTGAACATAGCAACTTGTACTGGTTTGGGGGGCAATTTTTTCAACAAGGGGGACATGGGAACAGGACCAAGATACATGACAGTGCTCAGCATGATCATGGAAGAAAACATGAAGAAACAAACTAGTGTGGATTGTAGCACATTTCATTCAACATATCTGACCCAACTTTCAAATGAATTCTTTAAAATCATGGGGACATAGATGTATGGGAGGGTTGGGCAGATGAGGGGTGGCTAGTTTAACTGTCAGTAGATGAAGTTGGCAAGTCTAGTAGGTTAAAGGTCACTCTCCCCATAGAGGGCAGTAGAGAAGGCAGTGTAGTCCAGTGCTCCAGGTGGTGCACCAGGGCCGGCGTAAGGGGGCATCCTCATGATGCAGTACTCTGCTTGTTCAGGGGGTAGTTCTCTCCTCAGTTCCTCCACTAGTATGTACGGCTGTGGTAGAGAGGAGACACAGATCAGACATATTGGATCTCTTTGAATCATAAATCAATGATATGAAAAATCCCCCCAAAAATTAGTGTTGCCTTACAATAGCCACACATTTGTCAGTAGGCCAGCAAAAAAAAAACCACACACATACAAACCTTGTCAGCTGCCAGGATTCGGAAGGATGCCACAACTTGCTCTGCCGTGTCTGTGTCAGCCGTCTCTCTGGTCATAAAGTCAATGAAAGATTGGAAAGAGACATTTCCAGTCCCATTGGGGTCCACAAGTATCATTATGCGGGCAAACTCAACCTCGCCCTGAGAAAGACACAAATGGAGAATGAGAAGAGTGTGTAGTACGTATTTTAAGAAAAAGTCAAAGAGTGTCTGGTTACATGGTACCATCAACCCAACCACTTCAGGATTACCATACCAAGTCATAACCCATAGAGATGAGGCAGGCTCTGAAGTCATCAGTCTCCATGGCTCCATTTTTCTTCTACAGTCAGAGGCCAGATTTTAGGTTCAGCAAACAGGAAATAAGAGGAGAGTGGAGTCAGAGGAGATTAAAGGGAAGATTGAAGCATAATAGAGGCCCAAGCCAAGTCACAAACATGTAGCACCATGTGCTGTTGATTTGGTATTAAACCTGACAGCAATAATGCAAGACCAAAGACATGTTTTCAAACCTCCCTCAGATCTGACTCCAACAATGGGATGTTTTGATCTATTATAAGAGACATAACTCCAGAGGAATGCTTCCAACTTTTATCACCCAATCAGCTTTGTGATGATTTGGCTTTGTCATAGGACGAATCGATGTTGAAGGAGATTTGAGAGATTAAAAACCCATTAAAACAGTAATTGAAAGATTTCATATACTTGCATGAACGCACTGACTGTGCACATGAAAGTTGAGCTCAAATAGCATGATTACTGAGAATGTAAGTAGAAAGTAGCTGAATACTTTTTGACATGTGTGATCAATTTTGCAGGAATAGTATTTCTGTTGCTCTGGCATGGTGTAATTTATTTACAATGGGCAATTCTTACAAGTGTAGCTTTAAACAAGCTTAATCCTCAAAGACAACATCCACCATTGACCTAAATTTCCACATTACAATAGCAGCTATGGTTGATAATGCATTATGTGTAGTTATCTGAGAAGGCCCAGGGAGTAGAACTGTTACATTCTCATCTCGTCTCACCACATGGACTCACTACAGGTCAAATATACAATCAGCAACTGAACATTGCTCCTGGGTTTAGTAAGGGCTTCTCTGTAGGGAGGTCACTTGTGCCATCTCTCAGTACAATACAGCAACCACCCTTTTGCTCCCCTTCTTGTCTCCAAGAGACCCAGAGATCAGCCATTCTATAACAAAAAGAGTTTAGTTGTGAGGAACGGCATTAAGCTGTACCCTGTCAAAGTGGTTGAAGGAGGATCTGAACTCATTCATCTGCTGCTGGCTGATTCCTTTGGCATCACGAGTCAGGATCTGGGTCTCAATCTCGTTGATGGTCCGCGCGATGGTTGTGAGTAGCAGCTCCCAGCCAACACGGATGTGCTGTGTTGACAAAGACAACATTACCACAGAGACACAAGCAGCTGTGATTGTTAAATGTTTCAAAAGTGAACATGTTAAAGAACAATTAGTGTATATGCTTACGTACAGATCTGTGAATTTTTTAAATAAGTATTTCATTTACAAATTTCTGGATGTATGCGAGTGTACACAACCATAATAGGAAAAGTCTTTTAACTAGGTTTGCATACCTCCATAGTGTAGTTGGTGTGTTTGTTGTCAAACACCAGTGACTCTTGGATTAGTTGGTGGTCTCCCTCCAGTTTGTCGATGTTGGGCTTGTAAGCAACAATGACATGCTCCACTTGCTTCAGCTGGGTCATCTGGTCCTCCAGGGTGCCTCCAATCTCCACAGAACAGCGCCCAATTTCCTATTAGGATAAAGAGATACTACATTTTTTAACCAAGTAAAATTAGGCAATGCTGTTTTTACGAGGGAGTCTTTACCAGTGCTACAAGTAAAATTAGTCAGGACAAATCAGGTCAACAAATGTTCAATGTATGTGTTATTTAATTATCATTGTTATTAGTAAAGCCACTATCAGTGCATCTCCCTTATATGCAATGCATTTAAATGTGATTATCCTCCATTTTCCATCTTAATTTTATCAGTTGGAGATAACTGCTTTATTGCCCACGAGATCTTTATGTACTATGTCTGACCTCCATCCTGGTCTGGATCCAAGGACCAATGAGATTAGCCTGGGCAGCAAACTGTCGTCTCAGCCTTTCGTGCGCATGCTGACGGGCCATCTCCTCTTGGAGGGCACCATCTCTCTGGGGAACCAGCTTCTTCACCTAAAAAAAATGCTCATTTGTAATTACAACCATTTAAATCAAGTCACTGTATGCTTAAATGTTTGTATTATATATTCAAGATCCTTCATCGGTGCTGAGTCTTATTTACACAAGCTGATTCTGAGTAATGCCTCTAAATCCTGCTACATGTGTCTGAGTGAACATGAGATGAGTTGTAGTTACATTTTCCCACTTGTTGAGGAGCTCTTCAATTGTGAGGGTGCTGTAGGGGTTTACAATGCTGGCCTTGATCCCATAGCTCTGGGAAATTTTCTGCACCTCATTTTGGATTCCCAATATGGCCTGTCTCTCTGCGTCTGCCTCAGGGAGAGTCGCTTTGAACTGCTCATGAGCTGAGATTAGACTCTGAAAGGGGAAAAGGGAAGTCCTGAAATGTTATTAAAATTTAAATTTCAGAAAGAGCAATAACATTTTATGCTTTTCTCTTTCAGATGCGACAGACCTGCAAACACTCCTCAGTGTGTGATATTGAACATCCATGAATCACAAGAAAATTGAGTGCAGGGTCAATCCTAACAGAGCTTTTTAATGGTAAAAATTCTGTGAAATGAAGCTCGAATTTGCAATGAGAAAGTAAGAGTGCTGTAATCGAACCTACCTGGACCTCGTCGGTTGTATGCACTATGAACATGTCCTGCAAATCCTCCATGGCCCCTTCCATCCAGTTGTTGAAAGGGGCAGACCTCTTTGCAAACTCCAGGAACAACTGATCAATAGTCTCCAGCAGCTTCTCTGTTCGCTGAGAGAATTACACAAAATTCACATATCTGTTGTACATTTTTAACTCCTAAGAAAAGTCAGTAAAAGGTGGCCCTCTGGCCTTTGAAGTACTCAAAATCTTTCTCTCCAATTTCCCCATCACCTGTCTTAATAACTAATCCCTGGGTTCAAAACATTGGTATGGCCTTGTTAACCCCCAACCCTGGCTCAGTTATTCCCGAGAGAGTCCCTCCACCCCAGCAGGGGACATTGGGTAGTTGGAAGATGGAACACGGACCCCTGTCCCCGTCATTCAGAATTAATCCTTGGCTCTTTTCCCAGGCCCCCACACATTTGCAGGTCTGGAATGACCAGCATGGATCAGAGGAAGTGGCTGGTGGGCGTTGAGCCAGCCACTCTCTATAAAGGATTCTTACATCTATTTCTCCTTTATCCTTTTACCCTTCCTGTTTTACCATTCTATCTGGGTCATGGATGGTAAAAGGGGATCCAGTTATCTCTCCTCATTAATCACTTGTGTCTTCACTGTTCAGATGTCATTGACAGACACTTGAATATGCTTACACTGACATTTTGATTAAGTTTGTCTTGGTTGCAGCTTCATCCAGCCTGTCAATTGTGGCCCATGTGGAACATTAGCACACTCTTGTGGGGACTTATCCAAATGAAAAAAGCAAAAGTAAACCCTGCCAGCTTGAGCTGCTCAAAGGACTATTGAGTAGATCAGATAAGAGTACCACTTCAAAATGATATCGGAATGTTTCCCCTCACCTCCAGTGACTCCCTCCTCTTCTGAGTCAGGGTACCCAACTTGTCCCACAGATCACAGATGCTCTGGCAGCGCTGATTCACAGCAGCCACATCATGGTAATCCAGCTCACTGAAAAAAGCAAGAACTGTATTTAAGTGATCAGAGATATGGAAACAGTATTACTATTATGCCCTTAAATTTGCTTTGCAGTTTGCAAAATGAGCTCAGGTTCTCACCTATCGTTTTCAGCCCACCCAATACTTGAATCAGTACAGCCACACCGACCAAAATTAAAGTCAGGCTGGTGCCAGGAAGGCAAAGTCTGAACTTTAAATTTAAGACATTTTATCTAGTAAGTTTAACATACAAGTATTGAGCATCAGACTTGTGTTGCTGGTTAGATTTTTAAGTTCAATACCTTTTGCTTGAAAAGTGACAAATCAAACTTTAGGCAAAAACATCAAAAATAAAACACTTTAGGCATTGTGGGTTTTTTCACATTTTATTTAAATATCAGAACAAGCAACTTGAAAACAGTAATTTGAGTAAACTGCAGGGGCTGGAGCTGCCTTTACCCAGATCTTCAAGTTGGTTTTCAAACTTGATCCTGCTTAAATTTTGTCATAGTCCTGGGGCCTCTGCAAGATCTGATCACCGGGTACTCCCTTGGTGGGCATAGCTTGTTGTTGAACCACAGGTTGCTGCTGAACCACTGGAATGGGTTGGTATTGGTACGTGGGAATGTAGTACCTCTCATAATGAACTTCATCCAAATGGTCTTTGCCTTGTTCAACACCGGACTGGTAGTGAGTGACTGTACCTGGAGGAAGCTGACCAGTTAGGAAGAGGAAGAACTGGTCTGGTCTCAACAGTCCCACTTCTTGTGAAACTAGCTGCTCAGGGCCTCCTGATGTCAAGATAACCGATGGCTGCCCTGTTCCTAAAGGAGTCTGTCCAGGATACAGTTGTGTTGTTCCTTGTTGAAACTGCACAGAACGAGGTTGCATGTGGCCAAAATCTTCTGTTTCCCTCTCAGCAGATCCATGCTCAACCACAGCTTCATAATGACTCAAATCACCACCCTGGTAGACAGGTTCTGAGGAAGATGAATGATGACTCAGCTCCTCTGTTTCCCTTTCAGAACTGCCATGCTCAAAGCGGCCTTCATAATTGTCCAGATCACCACCCTGGTATGAAGATTCAGAAGATGACGAGTGTTGACTAAGTTCTTCAGTCTCTCGTTCTGATCCACCATGCTCAAAGCGGCCTTCATAGTTGTCAAGATCACCACCTTGGAATGAACGTCCTGTTGGAGTTGAATGCTGGCCGAGCTCTTCAGTCTCTCGTTCTGATCCGCCATGCTCAAAGCGGCCTTCATAGTTGTCAAGATCACCACCCTGGAAAGAACGTCCTGTTGGAGTTGAATGCTGGCTGAGCTCTTCAGTCTCTCGTTCTGATCCGCCATGCTCAAAGCGGCCTTCATAGTTGTCAAGATCACCACCCTGGAAAGAACGTCCTGTTGGAGTTGAATGCTGGCCCAGCTCTTCAGTCTCTCTTTCTGATCCGCCATGCTCAAAGCGGCCTTCATAGTTGTCAAGATCACCACCCTGGAAAGAACGTCCTGTTGGAGTTGAATGCTGGCCCAGCTCTTCAGTCTCTCTTTCTGATCCGCCATGCTCAAAGCGGCCTTCATAGTTGTCAAGATCACCACCCTGGAAAGAACGTCCTGTTGGAGTTGAATGCTGGCCCAGCTCTTCAGTCTCTCTTTCTGATCCGCCATGCTCAAAGCGGCCTTCATAGTTGTCAAGATCACCACCCTGGAAAGAACGTCCTGTTGGAGCTGAATGCTGGCCCAGCTCTTCAGTCTCTCGTTCTGATCCGCCATGTTCATATCTTCCCATGTAGTTGTCAAGATCACCACCCTGGTATACTGGCCCCGTTGGAGATGAATGATGACCCAGTTCTTCAGTCTCTCTTTCTGATCCGCCATGTTCATATCTACCCATGTAGTTGTCAAGATCACCACCTTGGTAGACTGGTCCTGATGGAGTCGAATGATGACCCAGCTCCTCAGTCTCTCGTTCTGACCCACCATGTTCATATCTTCCCAAATAATTGTCAAGATCCCCACCCTGATAAGAAGGCCCTGAGGAGGTGGCGTGTTGACCCAGCTCTTCAGTCTGCCGTTCTGACCCACCGTGTTCATATCTTCCAAGATAGTTGTCAAGATCCCCACCCTGATAAGAAGGCCCTGAGGAGGTGGCATGTTGACCCAGCTCTTCAGTCTGCCGTTCTGACCCACCATGTTCATATCTTCCCAAATAGTTGTCAAGATCACCCCCCTGGTAAGACGGCCCTGAAGGGGTGGAGTGGTGACCCAGCTCACTAGTCTGCCGTTCTGACCCACCATGCTCGTATCTTCCAAGATAGTTGTCAAGATCACCACCCTGGTAAGATGGTCCTGAAGGGGTGGAGTGGTGACCCAGCTCACTAGTCTGCCGTTCTGACCCACCATGCTCATATCTTCCAAGGTAGTTGTCAAGATCACCACTGTGGTAGGAAGGCTGGGGGGGAGAAATGCTATTGGAATACAGGGGCTGAGCCATGCTGTGAGCAGATGGAGATCCTCCATAATAAGCCCCACTTGGAGCAGCATTTAATGGAGCTACATTATACACTGGGGTGGCACTTGCTGGACTTATTCCCACTGCTGGTTTTGGGTTATGCAGAATTGAGACAGGTTGAATCGGATTGGAGGGCTGCTGAGCAGGAACATTCTGGGATGAGCTCAAGCCTAAGTGGAAAAACAAGAGGTAAAATTCAATTAAAGAAAGTCTAAGAACATTAGGTGAAATCTCATACTGCTAGATTAACTGAAGTGTTACCTTTTTTAGCAGGAAAGCAGTGGACATTCCAGCATGACAGTGCAATAAGGAGCAACTGACTGAAAGGGAAAAACAGCAGGGTCAAACTCTTGGTAAAATAACAGGCAGAGTGTTAAAAAAAACTAAAACATTAAACCAGTACATACCTTATGGGTAACAGAGAGGCCATTTTGCTTCTCAGCTGAAATGTTAGCCTCCTTTTTCAGTGCCTAGGTTAAATATGAAGCCAATCACACCAGATGGGTAACGAAGGCCAGGTGTTCACTGGTGCCACAGGTGTTCATCATTGACCGCTGATTGGATATGTCAACATGCCAGCAAACCACACCCTTCAGTTTTGTGCAGAGATATTCAGTGATGACTAAAGGAGAAGGTAGTTTGGAGGAAGCTTTTTACCATGTGGTTCAAACTTCAAGGTATTGAAGCTACAATACTTTTGAAGTAATGTTTATGAGAAAGAAACAAAAATTAAGATTGTATTGGGTGATTTTGGGTGCTGCAAGATAACCCTCCCTCCCTCCTCCTCCTCCTCCTCTCCTTCCCTTCCTCTGTGATTGTGTTTGGCAGGAGTAAAACACTCTCCTGGGCCTCCATGACACATGCAAATATTTGTTAAAAGAGTGCATACTTGAGCTCCTGAGCAATAGCAGCAATCTGCTCCACTCTGTCCTGGTGAGCCGCCAAGTCACTCTCAAAGGCCTCATGTTTTCGAAGCAATGCTCTGATTTCTGTCAGGGTGGCTGATTCATAGTCCTTCTGGGACAGCATCAGTTCCTTACCTGAATAACACACACATGCAAAGAGAGCAAGAGGTTTCAGGTCAGGGAGAGGAACAGCTAAATGATTAACAAGTTTGATCTAAACAGCAGGCCTTATTTGGCCAATGCAGATGGAGAAAATGACTTCAAGCCTACTTTAAGCTGATTATGTTTGAAAAATTGAAAACTTTCCATCATATCTAATTAGGAAGCCTGAACTAAAAGTCTAAAAACGCTCTAATGATTAAAAGAAATACTTAGAACTGAAAAGCAAGAATGCAGATGCGGCTAGATAAATCATTAGCTTATAAGCTGAGATAAAAAAACGGAGAAAAACAACAACTGACCACTGGCCCAGTTCTCATGATTGGTGGCTTTTTGGCGGAACTTTTCAGCCAGGTGGTCCAGCCTCTCAAGCCTGCGAATCTCTGTGAGGAGCCACTCCTCGTAGCCTTTCTCTGCCTGCTCCAGGCCCTGCCACGCACTTGCTATGTCCTGTATACATACAGAAACGGTGTTTGACTTTGATGAATAGACAAGGTAAAATATACACAATAGAAAATATGATTTATTCATCCAAAAGGAAATTACAGTTCTGAACTATTCCAAAATTGAAAGAAAAGATTTTCCAATATATGTGAAATATAAAAGTAAAAAGTTTATAGTAACTTAAAAAGTGAATAAGAGAAGAAACAGCGCCCAAAACAGAATGGCATTAGAAGTAAAAGAATGTAGGTAAAGAATGAAGCTAGATAAGAGTAATGTCTGGAGCTTTCAAGCCCTTTGTATCTTCTCAGTTTCCAATAAACTTGTCATGAGATCTGTTTTGCACTCTTTGAATTACAAGCAGTGGGAAAATTCTTCACTGCAACTTACAGACACCATCTTCCCCTCAGAGGGCATGAAGGCGGGACGATTGCTGATGCGCAACTTGGTCTGCAGGGTGTTGAAGTTAATTTCCAGCTGGCACTTCTCCTGCACCTTGGGGGGCTTGTGCTGGCGTCTGTAGTCCCTGAAGTCCTCCAGCTTCCGCTGCATCTCTGCCATGGTCTTTTCTGGGGTTCGATTCTCCAGCCAGGGTGTGGTCCGGCGGATCCACTCCAGCAGCTGGGAAACACAAGGATAATGTATGAATAAAAGGAAAAGCAAAAGTCTCCTTCATGCTTAGATAGCAGAGCACAGGAAGGCAGTGATGAATTATTAATTTTTAAGCAGATGGGTCACAGCTCATCGCAGCAATGGGGTACATGAGTGGGTGAAGGACGGAGTGTGCTTCTCCTTTGAACTTCTTTCATCATGAGAGCGAAGTTACATGTCATTTACACTGTACAAACAATTACACACTGAGGGTATAAAGTTTTTTTAATTTAGCTTTGAAGCATCAAAGGTTTTATTTCACAATGTGTCATCACTTTGCAGGAAAATCGCTCTGCATTTACATTTGTATTTAATAAAATTCAAACAATACTTTACCTCACTGGCCAGTCTCTCATACTCCTCCATCATTTTCTCATTCTCCTGGTTTACACCGAGCACCTTACAGATCCTGTTGGCAGCTGTCTCTGCCTGAAAGCATAAGATGAATTTATAACATAATTTTATATGCAGATTACCACTGTGGGTTATGCCACTCAAGGTCAGTCCAATATTTACATTAGCAAGACACTAAATATTTACACATGAATCAAAATATCAAGATTTGGCTTATGCTTTTGTCTTTGACTCTGTGCTGTTGGTGATAACTTAGTCATCTGAAGCAGGAAAGGTGAGGGCAATAGGTATAGCACTGATACCTGCTCTGCTCCAGCAAAAGCATGGTAAAAGCAGGACACATAGGTCATGATAGCTCTCTCATCAGGCTTAGGGGTGTTGATGATATCTGTTGCATTAAAAGAGAAGAAAGGAGAGTTACAGAAAGAAGTTTATAAAAAAGGGTAAAATCAAAAATGTGGAACATTTATACGGAGAATGTAAAGGGAACAAGTTTGTTCTGCAACTTTTGGTCAAAGAGGATATTAAGCTAGAAATAGACAAGTTATCTTTGTATACAACCAGGTTAGTGAAATGTGCTTCAAATCCATGATTTAAAGGGCAAATTATAAGAGCGTTGAAATTAGAGTACATCTATTTCACAAAACATTACCTTCTGCATCCAGCATTTTGGGAATGTCCAGGTGTTTCTCCGCTATGTCGAAAGCCAGGTTCAGGTTCCCCAGAGGATCATCCTAAATACAGAAACACAATTCTACATCACTGGGCAGCAATGCTGGACTTAAAATGCCACCACGCTGACCTCCATGCTATGGTGGACACATCATACTCCCTGATCACCTACTCTGCAGCACTCACTTTACATTTATATTTGAGAGCTGCTGCACAAAAACCCTTGACTGATTGTGAAAGTTTATTAGGACTTCACATGTAGATACTTGTAGATGTATAAGCCCCCCAAAATCTGCCTGATTGGTTAAATCACATACTATGTTTTTCTAACCACCAAGTAAATTGAACAAATTATGAATCACTGTTTGTTCATAATAAGTTATTTTTATTCTGATATGCCAGACCGATGAAAACTTGATCTACATAACTGTCTTAGCAGTGATAATATTAGTTTTTTACTTAGAAGAAGTGCATGTATTTTTTAATCACAGGTATTAGCTTTTCAAACAGGAGAAACCATGTGTTCTCACAGAGTGGGAGTGGTGCATTGAGCCAACAGCTGACAGTGAAGTCTGCCCTGCTAATGGGACAGTCAGTGAGGTGAGTGAGGACAGTGGGGTAAAGGGATCATGCTATCATGCTGCTGCTGCTATTGTTCCTATCTCTGTACTGCTGTTCCATAATGGTGGAGCGTTGGGCTGGGGTGGGGGCGGGTACACTACATGACAGGGCCAGCTGCTCATAGATCAAGTACAGGACAGAGACGTGGATGAATAGGGTGGTAAATTGATGACGGGATGGGGCAATGGATGAATAGAAGGATACCCCAAGGCCTATGCGTGTGTATGTGTGTGTGTGTGTGCACCCCTGACTAGATCTGTCTGAGTAGGCCGCATCACAGCAAGCTTAACGAATGCGCTCACCTGGAGCCAGACTCAACAGCTGACTGGCTCACTGTGAATCTGTCTCCTGGCAATGTAAGCAGAACTGCGAAGTAGAGGTGTGACTGGACGTGTGAATATGTGTGTCAGATTGATTGAAAGAGCGAGAAAAAGCAGACCCAAGAAATAGATTTTATGTCAGACTTATGTTGAGTCCCCTTCATGAACTATGAGAATCAGCACCATTCTTGCACTGCTATCTCAGATTAAACCAAAAGATATCACAGTGATCATTTGAAAAAAATCTTCCTGACTTTTTTGAGCCTTGGAGTCTCATCGGGGGGAACACTACGTGACAATAGTTGCAGCAAAGCTTAAGCCTTAGCGCTGCAGGGACTCGGCTCATGTTGCTGTAACTATTCAGGGTCAACTGCAAGTCAGGACAGGGAGTCATGTACTGAAAAGTGAGTGCTTCTGTTTCCAAAACAAATGAAACGTCACTCCTCATAACCAGTTGCAGTGAGAAGAGAAGCCTCAAATTAGCTCTTGCTTTCTTCTGGCCGAGGCAACACCTTCTTCCAAGAGGAAAAGAGGGTGCGTTACTCGTAGGTTACAATCACAGGGAGGCTGTCAGCTGTTCTCTCAAGCTCTGTGATAATACGCATCATGGCTCACTGAGGCCCTCACCTGTTTATTCGAAAACACTGACAATCCTGGCTATCCATTGGAGCTACAATATTCAAATGAGTTGAGGGTTTGTTTGCACTGAATAAACAATGTAAGCTCAAGAAATAAACACACCAGTACGTCTGGGTATCATTTGTCTTAGTTTAAAAGCAGACATGCCTGAGTTTGCATATATATATGACTTCAGGTTTTCGTCAACAACAAACCCTCACCATGTAATCTAATGAGGTAATGGGCACAGAAAGGTGCAAAATATAAACAGAATTCAAATAGGAGGCAACAGTCTTTTTATACTACTTATGCGGGAATTGTGAACCAAGCATCAGCCTCGGTTAGGAATAATGAGGCATGATGTGGGACTAACCTAACGCTGTTCTGCTTAAAAGAAGAATCACACCCCTAGTATTATCTACACCAGTCAAATAACTTGCTGTTTATCCACAATGAACATTCAACCCAAATAGCTTACACAGTAAACAACAGAGGGTGTCCTTAAAATTGCGAAATATCTGAAAGTAACATTAATATTTCAGGAAACATCCAGCTGTGGATGTAATTGAAGATTTATCATTGCTCACAGCACATCATTAAAAGTTGCCTCAAGAGTTGTTTATTTGAGTTCTTTCTTTGTGTGTTTATTTTGATCAGTTTTCTTTGGGAAATTGGTGTTAATTTAAGTGGAAATCACTCTGTTAGTGATAGACACGGCATCCTGGTTACAAGTGAAACCACACGACACCTTGTTGAGTTTAGAGTAGTCGAGGAGGTCGGGTCTGTGTCTATGAATCAGGGCGCAGAAGGCCAGGCCATCCTTCCAGCTACAGGGGCCGATGAGCAGAAAGAACCAACATGTCAGCACAAAGAGGAAACATGCTAACTGCACCTAGAGATGAAGCTGCTGAAGTCCAGATTTTGGTAATTCTATTCTGTAAAGCTTAATCCTTAAAAGACTCCTCTTGATAAGCCTTTTTACCGCATTTATAATGATTTGGAATGAGTGCTGACATTTTCCAACCTTTGTCTGGAGTATGACATTATAAAACAGAATAAAACAATGAAGATTAGCTTTTGACATTAAGTGTTACCAAAACCAACCAGCATGTAAGACTCAGTGAAAGTAATGATGACCTCTTACCTGACATGGAAGTTTTGGACATTGACATTCCTGTAGGGGGCAGTCTTTCTCTGACACCACAGAAGAAGACCTTCCTTGGCAGATGTTTCTGAGAAGCAAAATAGATGTTAAATAGTATGTGTTGCAAAGAGGGCTGATTTTTTGTTTTTTATATAGTTCTCCAACTTGATTTGAAATTTCACCTTCCACAGAAATGTCTTGAATGGCAAAGCGGAGGATGATAGTCCAGATCATTCCAAGTGTCATCTTTACATTACCATCCACAATCTCTGAAAGGACAAAAAAACAGTTAGAACAATAAACTGCTAGTGTAACTTACTATGTGGGTTCACACTTTTGACTGTAATGAAAAGGGAGAGCCTCCCTGTGTGAGGCCATCATCTTAAGAGCCCCCCAGGTAAGTGGTTAAAATAGACATACTTAGAAAGATGGTAGATTTAAAGCTCTGTAGACAAAAGTGAGCTCTTAACTCTGACTCAAGAGTCACTGAACTCGCCATTACCCTGAGTGTCCTCTTCAAACCAACACAAGTATATATTCTGTGAAGTATACCGAACTCAAGCATCTTTGACCTTTTATCACTAAGATAAATGTATGTTTTGGTTAGTGGAAAGGGAGTAACGTCAGCCAAACAGGAAAAATGCTTTTTCAAATGCCTTGGCTCCCTCAGCTGGTATTTTGGCTCCTTACAATGGAAGTGCATTGTCCATTCTATATACAGACAGTGGTTCACATTGGACCCCTGACAGCTTGAAGTTTATTTATAAATACACAAAGGCTTTCTTTACCTTCAGCTCCAATGGAGACCAGTTTCACTCCTTTGCTTGTGATGAAGTCCAGCGCTTTATTGACATTGGCAATCTTATGAAACCGCATCTTCCCTCTGTCTGGCTTAGGTAACCTTTCTCCTACAAAGAGAGCAATATGTCAGGTATTAATGCAGTGTTATGTGTCTGCTTCCCCAAAAGATGCTGTTAAAGATGGTACTTCATCACAAAAAATGGATTTAAACCACCACATGGCTGGCAGACCACCAAATGTGCATTTATTTTAATGATGGACTAAAAAGTAACAGATTATTAGGGGAAATAAACGTGAAGTTTTGAGACAAATACTTCCCTTTAGTTGACATACCTGAAATTACTTCCAGAAGCAGCATGAGTTTCAGACCATTCCTGAAGTCCTCTTCAATGTTTTCGATCTGGGTACCAGCTTTCCTCAGGTGAGAGTTACACCAGGCTGTGAACGTCTGACAGGAATAGAAAGTGAAGGTCATTATCATGGGATTTACATGCTTAAGTAAATTGGCATTTGAGTTGTTTCTACGTTCTTCTTACTGAACTGACTGGAGAAGTGTCACTATTTTGTGAGTTTTGATCGATGCAAGTCTTATGTAGAATTCAGAAAATCATTGTTTTCACTGACACCAGGGATGGTTAAGTGAATGAGAGTTGACATCCCGTTGGACAGTTACCAGAACAGTTTGCTTTAACACAGCTTGCTTGTGTCAAGAGAAGTGAGGCTGTTATCACATTAATGGGACATCTCTTGGGTTTCCCCTCACAAAGCATTGACTTGTCATCAGTCCTCATGCTATTTTGGGCAACCAATAAAGACAGTTAAGGTGTCTTTTTTAAGTCATGGTACTATTTCTTAATGCTGTTACAAAACAGTTAGACGTCCTGTAAATCTTTTCCAGCATTCCTTCAAGAAGAATGATTTCGAAATGTAAGGATCACACAGGAAATAACATATATCTCTGTGGAAGACCTAAACAAACCAAGACAGCTAACAGCTTAGCAAGTCTTCACTGCAAGAGTATACCAAATAAATGTTGACCTTTGTGATCAGTGCCACATTTTCGGATTAACCTTCAGTGACCTATCAGTATCAAGTTGCAACTTTTTTCTTCTCCCAAAGCTAACAACTAACTCTGTCAGGCACTGAAATACTGTAAATCATGTTAAGACGGGATCATTGTCTTCTCCTATTTTTATAAGGCCTTTCAATAGCGACTAACAGAGTTCATGGGCGCTCGGCACAGCGCAGATGAAAGCTGGGAGCCGACCGCAGAGCACATTCCGGCCGATATAAGGCGTTAAATTTAGACCGCTCTGCTGTGCCTCACGATAAGAGGCCAGGAGGAAAACGTCTAACTGTCCCGCCATGTCAACATGGACGGAAATGTCACATGGATGCGGAGCAAGTTTTCCCTTCACGTCACTCTTTGTCACTTATGATGTGATTGGTTACAGCTGCAAGGCGACAACTTTATCACAGAACATGAATGCAGCCCTTCCAGGTCACACTTGTTACTCTGCTGAGATATGAGGACAGGCAGGAATGGATACAAGAGGGGAACATAGTCAGAAATCCAAATCATTTGAAGGATAACCAACCAGAGTGAATGAACAGATCTGTCAAAGTATACTGCAGTGGGTTACTTCGATCAACTAGAAACATATTTTCAATTACTGTAACACTGAGCTAATTGACAGATACCGCAGAACAATGCAGTTTTATGCAGTGTGTAGTGTGAATTTTTGCCTCTTCATTTTTCACATTTGTAAAATGAAATGAGTGGTTCTTGAGTTTTTTTAAGTTGCTGTAGGATTTTGAAATATTACTTTTACACTTTGAGGTGGTTAATCTGACCATAATTGGAAACTGATTTGCATTTGTAGCCCTTAAGAAGAAGAAATAGTCTTGTTTATGTATTTTTCAACAGGCTCATATTTTATTTTGGCTACTTTGGCACAATTATAAGTTCAGAGAGATGATCTTTTTCAACCCAAAATCTTATACCTTCCTGATGGTGCAAAGACTGACTTTAGAAAATTAGGCTCAAAAACTACTGCATTTTACACTCAGTGTTACAATGAGCTTCCCTCCTTGATAAAAATGTGGCCTATAGTTCCCCTAACTTTGACTCAGCCACAGTTGTAAACCCTGCTGCCCACTTTCCAGGCACCACCACCCTCACTTGTGGCCTCTCCGGCACTACCAGTGACGATTAAAGCTAAAAATATTTATGCATCACATCCAAAGGGGACCAACCCTTTCCATAAAGTGGCTTAGGCTTGTCTGGCTTAGCTAGGCCAAAGGCTATCCTGCTGGAGTTGAACTGACCCCTATAAATAAGACATTTTTGCTCATTCGCTCCAGTAAACAGTTGGTGCCGACTTGGCTCTAAAAGCTTCAGCAGTGTCCTCTATGAACCTGCCTGTGTCAGGTAACAGAAAAGTATCATTGGATTAACCAATACTTAACATCCAATAAAGAAAAGCCCCAGCAGCTGCTTTGCAGAGTTTGAAACTATTTAGTTAAAACCATGCCAAGTCAATGGTAGAGACATACAATATGTTTTTAACATTTATTTTACAGCAATAACAAATCAAATGCCTTGTTTGTTTTGCATTTTTTACTTTAAGCAAATATTAACTTTTGCATTTTTTAACTATGCTCTGAATAAGTAATGCTTTTTGGTGATTTATTGTGCTGGATTAATATTGTACGAATATAGCTTTCATAGTTGCTAGTTGTTTTTCACTTAAACCAACTGTACAGTCGCTTAGTCTGAGATCTAAACCAATTAAAGCAGAAAAAATGGTACTTGGGCTTTGAGGATGTCCTATTGGTTCAGTATTGGTCCACTTCTGTAAGGAGATAGCTGGAAGGACAATTTCATACCAGTCTTTGTTTATGTGAACAAACACTGTTCTCTTGTGAACACCAGCCCATAAGAACTAATAACATCTCAGTAAACTGTAATGTAGGTGTGTGTTTTGGCTTGGGCCCTGACTGTTGTGCTGCTGTCTTGTGTTTCCAAAAATACCCAGTTTTGTCATCCATGTGGGGGCCACAGGAGGTTATAGGCATAAGGCTGATGGTCCCCAGTTGAGCAAAGAGCTAGAGTTTAAGGCCCAGGCCAACTATCAAAGCCCTAAAACCAACTGACAGTGCGGAAGACCGGGGCTATATTGAGATGAGCTGGTGCTGGTACAATATTTCTGCATGGTTTCTATAAACAAAAGAATTCCGCACCAAGGACACTGGATTAACCCTACTATAATGCCTTTTGGTCCTGAGGTTAAAATTAGATGTAGCGTCCATTCTAATCCCAAGAGCGTCATCATGTGTTAGAAGCATCTGTTGACAGCTCGCATTCCGCGCGTATCAGTGGAGAGGCAGCGGTCTGGAGAGCCGCTGGAAGGCAGAGCTATTGTTAGATGGTACCCACTGCATCCGTCCGTCAAGCCCACTACCCCAGACCCTGGGCTGCGTCAAGGTAGCAGCATGGACAAAGAAACATGCCGTAAGTTAAATAGGTGGGACATTCAAAATCTAAACTATTGAGAATTTTAAAAAATTGAGTTTGAGCATTGGAGTGAGTGGTGTTGGAGAAGTCATTGTGTTATTCTTAATCCTTTGGTGCCAATATGGATACTTAGCAATTTAAAGCAACAAATGCCAAATCAGGCTGTGGGATAGATACTAATTACTTATAAACTACTTATAAATACTTATAAACGGTTAATAGATAGTTTATTAATGTTTACTCATCATTTTAACACAGGATATAGACCAATTATAAATGGCAAATAGATAGTTTATTAATGTAAGGAAATAGTTACTTTACCATTAACAAGCAATGAAATTATGATGAATTATTTTCATTAATTATTAATGGACTATTCATTTATTCACAAGGTTTATATAGGGTTTAAATATTGGTAGTAAAATATCTAGATTAAAATGTGTGTCAGCAGCACTTTGTAAATGGTTAATATTTGGTTTTTAAACCATCTAAAAACGTTACTTAGATGGTTATTGTAAAGTTGCAACTGATGTACTTTGTAAATGATTAACAAGTGGTTTATAAACCACCTATAAACATTACTTAGATGGTTATTGTAAAGTTAGGGTTAGGTTTTTTTAAATTGTAAAAATGTACAATTTATTACTGGTCTATATGCTATTTATAAATGATGATTAAACATTCATAAACTATCTGCTTAATATGTATAAATGGTCTATTTACCATTTTAAAGTTGTGGTTATTGTAAAGTGTTACTGGTATGAAAAATTAAAAAAATAGTGAAATAAACGTTAGGAGTTCCGTTTTAAGTTTTTATATACATGTTCACTTTTTCCTTTACGTTTATACCCCAAGTTATGGTACTTGTAACCAGGGTTCTCACTTTAGTGTTTTATTTTGAAAGTACGAGCCGGATGTTGTGCTTATATCGTGCTTGAACTCACTATGTACTTGTGGAGTTTGTCAGAAACTTTTGTATTGTTTCAAATGTCCAAATTTAACAATTATAACCCTCCCAGTCACAATGGTTTGTACAGAAAAGTCTCCATTAGATAATCAGTAATGTAACCACATTTTAGTCTTTGTATCCATCACTCAGAACAAACATTTGGTCAGGATTTTTTCTTTTTTTTTTTGGTTTGTTTTTGACTTACTTTCCTCTGCTGTTGTTCCCAGGCAGGGTCCAGGAGCATATCCCTGTCCCACTCATCCTCCTGTATCATGTACTCCTCCTCGTAGCCGTTATTATAGTGCACCGTGGTCTCCACCTGGGTCATCATCATCATGACTGTGCCGTTTCTGTTTCAGTTAAAACTTCAATACTTGTTGTCCTTGACCACGGACAGCTGAAATAGCTCTAACTCTGAGGTGCTCTCGATGGTCTCTTGACTTTCTCTTCTTCTGCTCTTTCTCACTCCGTCACGCTCGCCCTTGTCCTCTCGACCCGACAGACGTCTGGCCCCGGTTGCCACAGATGAACAAGCGACTGTATCATTAGTACTGGAGAGTCACGTGACGCCTGCATACCTTCCCCCCCAAAATCCCCAGACACACACACAAACACACACCTCACCCTCACTCACACAGCAGCACAACAATTTTTTGACTTCAGACCAATAACACAGTCTTTATTGTAGAAAAACAACAATTTCAGACTTTTGTTTAGAAAATAAAACAACACAAAACTTGCTTGGGACATATAAATAGAAAATTTCTTCCATGGAAAACTCATATATTCTTTCACTGAAAAACCATAGCCATCCCAGATGTTTAACCCAAATTGATTATCCTTTAAAAAAAAAAAAGTGGGTTTTAAAATCTCCCATAGGCACAATGTTGTGTGTCTAGAACATTTTAACCATACTCAACGTGCTTGTCTTGGGTGCTTTGCGAATTCAGTGCAGGTCCATAGAAAACACCGGAATAGTCAAGATGAACAAGTATACGTTGCAAAACGAAATAATGCGTTTTATGTGAATGAAAATGTGTGATTCATCTGTGTCAAGGTGTGAAAATACGTTTTGTAATTTGCTTGTCTGAGTACAAAAAAGGACATTTAAGTATAAATCCAACAGAATGTCTTGTTACCATTAGAATGAATAAAACCTTACAAACACTATTGCTTTGAGGCAGACCAACAAGGAAAAGGATTTGTCCAAAAGTGTGCAGTATGACCGAAGACTCGCGCTGATATCTCACAGAAAATGGAGTGATTTTTTTCTTGAGCAAAATACTTCTCTGGGCTGTAGTCAGATTCTCCCTTTTACTGGATGTCTGACTTCTCTACAAAGGGGAAGCCTTTCGTTCGATAAGGAGCACTTAGTTTTTGACTGAAGGTTATTTTTATAACAGATTAAAACCACACATACACAGACAAATTCTGTGAAACCCATGTAAGGGGTACGCAAGCAAGGAGCGTAAGTCCATTTAAAAATAAGCCAGTTAAAGAAAAACAAACAGGTTTTAATGTGTGAAATTCTCAGCTATAGTCAGTAAAATGTACAAATCTTTAACTTTTTAAAAAAACCACAGACCCGAGTGCTCTCTTTATAAAATGAAAGGAAGCCCCCTGCACATTTAAGGTCACTTAACAAGAAGGAGCTGGTCCCTACAGACAGTATTGAGGGATTACATGACCACAGAGTTCATACAGAGTGCAAAGAACAACACATGGGAGAGTGAGGAGGGCTAGAGTGTTTCTCAAAATCATTCAACAAACCTAGAGCTCCTTACATCCCTCAACAATACTAATACTGTCCAGAGGATTGACATGAACTAAAACAAGTAGATTAGAGTTTTACAGCTAGGGAAAAAAGGAGTCAGTGTGGAGTGAATGAGAGACATTTTGACCCTCTGAATATGTACTGTATGTATCATCTGTGTCTGCAGTAGTGTTCTGTGGTCCTGGGTGGTTCACAGGGAAGAGGAGAGGTGAGTAGGGAAGATGGTGGAGAGGCTTCTTTTTGTTTCAATCATTCTGTTTCATTTAGGCCACAAGGCCGCCGCCACTCCTGGCCTCGTTCATGGATCCATTTGTTCGATACTAAAAGCAGAACAAAGATCATAAATACAAACAATCCAGCTCTTTACTTGATACTCAGCACAAATGTTTACTCTCCTTATCACATTTTTAATGACTCTTGATCATTTAAGTTTTTAAATTTCCCCAAGCAATGACAGTACTCAAGATGATATTATATGCAAACTTGGCCTTACCCCACTTGTTGCCAACCAGCACTGGACATGCTGCATGTCTGGTGCTGTAGTCTCCCTCTCCACTGGCAAACAGATTGTACCAGAACACTGCAGTGCCCTAGAGCACACACGTAAAAGAAAACAGACGTTAGCTCTACTGTGAACCCTCCAGGGTTTTGAGTTTGTCAATGTAAGTTTGTAATGCCTTAAGAAAATGTCCTTTCTGTGACCAGACTGAACAAATTAGGAATTACTTTTAGAAGATAGTCCTTCTTAACATAAAAAATATTTCTCTCTGGTGGATTGTTTTATTGTTCACTGTTAGAGCAAAATAACTGGGACTGTTCTTCAAAAAAAAAAATCACAAAACACAGTTTTCTGTTCTACATATTTTCCCTTTATATTGTTCCTAAAAATAATACCAACAAAAACAAGGATATCTCTGGATAGCTACAGTTAAACCAATTTGAACACAGCTTCACAGTCAACATGAATATTTTGTAACAAAAGTGAAAAGAAGAGCAGTCACCTTTTGGGGCCACACTGCAGCACCAACATCTGGGAAAACTGTGGCTCCACCAGCTGCTACATCACTCATCTAATGCACAGACAGAGAAGCAAAGAGAGATTAGTCCTTGGCTGCCACATCAAGTTATTTAGTCATACTTCTGAGTTCAAGTTTGTGACACATTGAAGAACTCAGCTGGTTAATATTATACTTCAGAGGTATTTCACAGTCCTGTCTACTGAAATGATCTGAGGTTGTATCTCAAATCATCCTCCCTCTGGCATCAGAAAAGTGGGTTCTACTTCAGCAGAGACTGTAGCACATTGATAAAAACAAAAACCCAGAATCATAAATGATAGCTGGTCCATGATATGTGTCTCACTAGCAAAACCACAGGAGGAAATTTCTGGAGAGCTTCATTTGCCTAATTTATTGGCTGCTCAGATCATAAGCAGCTCTCTTAATCACAGGGACTGAACTTCACTTCACATTGTACAGGGTGATGAAGCTCATTCCCCTGCCTGCTTATTGCCTCATTTATATCAGGTAAAAGTAAGAAGAAGCATGCACTGCTCAAAATCATGAACACTGTATATATTTGCCTGTTTTATCTAAAAGAGCCAGGGTTTGATTGTTGTTCTTGAACAATTTTTCAGCTTTTCTGGGCACATTTGAGCTTGAAAATCACTTAATGACAACTTGATATTTTCTCTTTCAGCTTGTTGAATTTGACTCATACCTTCATAAAAAGACTGACCAATTCCAAACCCACAACGCCTTGTTTTATACCTCCATCATTTTAGAAAAGATGGTTCATACTGACATATTTGAAAAATCCCATCCACATTACATCCATTTCTGATGGCACTGAAATATTATTTAACCAGAGTTTATATGACTCAAGTTCACACATTTTGTTTGCAGGTTTATTTGGAAAGAGTTTACTCACATAGAAGAGCCATGTAGCTATGCGGTTCCCAGTGCCCAGCTCTTTAAAGGCATCTGGCTCATCTTTCTGCAGAGAGAGAGTCCACATCAGCTTCAGTAACTGTCATATTAATAAAAACATACATTGGAAGAACTTAAATGTATAAATGATAAAAGGACTTACCCTTCCAAAGTCAAAGTGAGGCTCGTACTGACCTCCGACTCCATAATTTGCAACCTAAAGAGATTTAAACAATTTATCTGACAATCGAAAAAGACTGACCAGCACACACACAAACAGATGCTTCCAGAGGGAAAAGGATATTGGAGTATATCACACCATACTGTTTGAACATGCTAACTAAAAATAAAAAGAGAGATTGAATTTAATGTTAATAACTTTTAGCCACTTAGCTAACTCGTCTTTACCTGCAGCTCCTCAGCTGTGTCCATTTCCAGCCCTGTGAGATCCTCAATTCTCTGGTTGATTGTTTCAATCATTGGATCTTCATAGCCAGTGAGCCAAGCACTGGAATATGAGAGGAGGAACAGAGTAATTAAGAAAAAGAACATAGTATAGAGTATGGCTGTCAGACACACTTTTGTCCACAAGATGGCAGTAAAGGTTTGATTTCTGAAGCAGGCAACAGAGAGCCATGTCATGCAGGAAGCTTGCCATTAGAAGCTCAGAATGAAAGAGAAGTTTGGCCTCACATTTGGAAAATAAGGAGACAGGAAGTTCAGGTGTGGAAACTTTAAAGGATGAGAAAACTGGCCCAAGATTCAGAACCTCCAATCAGCTCAGAGTACAGGGTTGTTCAAGTTTTGAACTACGTATATGAGCGAATTAGAACAGGAACATTTTGCACAAGGGTCAGGCTGAGGACTACAGCAAAATATTTTCCTGGATTTAACAGTCCTCACACTGCCTGCCTTTCATACTTATTCCAACGACCTAGTCTAAGAGACGGCCTCTAAAAATACAGCTGCTGGCCAAGCCCTAGCAACTCTTTCTTGTGGACTGTTAAAACATGTCACAGCTGGAGCTCTGCTGGCCACATCAGTGTCTGAATTGGCATGTAGTCTGGTTGATGTCATAATATGCCACGATATCCACATTAAAAACTGTCAAGGATAGTAAAAATTGAAGACACAGTTTTAATTAAGTCCCTAACAAACAGGACAGAAGGAATTATTTTCAGCACTGTCTCAAATATATGAGATTTCTTCTTTCACAATACCTTGGGGAATACTTCCTCCTCCACTGTCTCATGGAAGTGTTTCTAAGATTTTCTGCAGATCTAATTTGTGATGTGTGTTTGAGAGAGACAGTGTGCGATAAGTTGTGCTTTTTGCAAAGTCTTACGAGCCAACAAATTCTTTCGTTGTGTCTTCAAGCCGGTTCAGAAAGAGTTCAGATTTGTCTAATAAGAACTGTTGCGTATGTTCAACCTTCAAATAATGTCCCCTAAAAGTGGGAATACATGCTGGCTCACACGTACACACAAAAACATCAAAGGGCACACCCCACCCTTGCACGGACATGCACACTCATCCAAGCATTAATTAGCACCTACAGTTCAACCAAAGAAATGTGGTGTTTTTGGGATTTCTGCTATTTTTAATTCTGGTTGAGAGTCAACTTACAATTAACAATGTATCCATCCAAGTAAGCCAGTCATTGCATTCAAATATGGGATGTTTTAGACAAAGAAGCTTCAAAGTTTGAGTGATTTTAAGCAAGAACACTCAGGCTTTTTTTCTCTCTCTCATGCTGGTTTTGGAAGTCAAAGAGGCAAAGAAGGACTGCAGCAGCAGTAATGACTCATACAAGATCGCTGTACGGATTAATCCCTGGAAAGCGCAATAGGGGAATACAGATTCAGTGTTCTTGATCTCAGGTAACCCGGAGTAAGTGGCTGGGGAAAGAACACAGCTTGCCACAGCTGTGCATTCCATGAAAATGGCTTAACTGTGGATTAAACTGAAAGAATAAACAATATTCAACTACACCGAAAACTCATAACAACACAGGATAGCTGAATTCAGTTTAACTCAGTTTCATATCTGTTTGAGTTTGTACCTCAGATAAATTAGAACCTCCCCATGTGTTGGTTTTTCAAGTGTAGATAAATATTTTCATCTTTTCTTTGTTGTTAACAAGTTAGAGGGATACAGAGATAAAGCTGAAGCGATGGATTAAGACTACAGGGAGAGGACATCATGGCCCTCCTGGTAACCTGTGACCCCTTACCTCTTGGAGACTCTGTATTGGGCCGTTGTAAGTTTCCCAGTTTGGGGGTCATGCACCGTGGCTCGCCTTAACTACAGTAGTTTTCCGCAGCAGAGGGACACCGAAGATGAGGACAAGAAGATTTACAAAAAAAAAAACAGGGTGGAATGTGACACACGAGGGTGTGTGGAAAGCAAAGGAAGGAAAGAGGGAGAGAAAGAGAGGCAGATACGGTCACTAGCTGTCAATGATATTATCAAAAAGGGCCAAAGGAGTGTTTCAAGAGGCACTTCTAATAACTCATTTTCAAAATTTTAAATATTGGCATGCTGGGAATTCCCATGTGCCTCTGAAACACTTCCTGGCTCTCGCAATGCTACTATGTTAATAACCGGTAGAAAAGCAACACCTCTTTATCGTCCTCTTGTGTTACCTTTCTTAAGCAGAGTTCTGAGCCGAAACATATCCACAAAGTAAACTTTTAGAAACCAAAAATCCCTCCATTTTTCTTCAATTCCTGTGTCCATGAGATAATACGCTTGCAAGTTACATGTTTCACCAACCAATAATGGCCTACAAATTTTTGTGCTTCAGCTCAGGAGCCTTTAGTCTTTGCCAGGGTTGAGAAGATTGATGCAGACAAGCGGGACTTGAGAGGAGGAATGGGATGAGTCATTGAGGGGAAAAAGAGGGGGGAAATCTCACTGTCTCCCCTCTTTGACCACTCTTCTTGACGGCGCCTGCCTATGCCTTACCTTTTGCTGATCCGATATGAAGCTGTCTCCAGCACTCCAGTGATGGGGTTGGAGATTGTGGCCCTGCGTAGCTGTGAAGCCAGGGACACGATTTACCCACACACAGCCATACACACATACAGTGATGTGTGTGTGTGTCTATGTGTTTGCAAAACTAGCTCAACCAGCCTCACAGTTTCAACCGCAGGCCACCCAATACACTGAACCACATAGCAGAGAATGTGCAGGCTTGAACTGTAAAGTTACCAATATGACTTTTAACATGCATCATGGATGACTGAGGGTCACTCACTCGTGGTTTTGCCAGCTGCTTGATCCTCTCGATTTCCTTGTCAGAGATGATGTCAAGGTAGCGGACAATATAAGGGCGGTCCCATTCATCTTGCTGTTTGACAGGTGATAGCACGTACTTGGGGTTGCGGTTGTTGTCATGGTAACGGCAGAATAGTCGGCTCTGCCTGCGGGGAGTCTAATTAAGGGTAAAGAAAAGCAAAATATCAAAAGGGATATAAATTTATGACATTAAAAATCATGCTTCTCTCTTTATCTTTCTCACCAGTTTGATGCCCTCCCCACGACAGAGCATCTCATACTTCTTCCTCTCCGGGATCAGGCTGTTGGGGACCTTCTTTTTCGGCTTCTCTTTCTTTTCAGTTGTTTCTCTTTTGCCTCGCTCTTTCTGTTTTGTCGCTGCTTCCTCTGCAGCTTTTTTCTGCTTTTCCAGCTGGAATTCAAAGTACTTCACGTTGCCCTTGGCTCGCTGGTGCTCGGGATCTGAAAACAAGGAATAAGAAGCCAACAGAAATAATAGCGCTGATTACTAACAGTAACAGCTGCAGTACTGTCGACAAAGAGTATCAGCTACCAAATAACTGAATCAGGAACATGTTATTATACTCTGTTTTCCTGGAAACCTCCCCTTTTGATCGATCAATGGGGAGAATGTTTTTCACAGAATCGTCAGACCCATCTCACACCCTCATCTTTAAGGATGAGCTCAAGCCGTCTGGCAGACAATGCAAAGTCCCACGGTGCAAACTAACAATTAAAAAACCTCATCCGTGCCTACATTGAACAGATATTTGAATATTGTCTGTGAGAAAATGTCAGCTGTTAAACAGCACGACTGTGTTCTTAACATTGTCTTCCCACAATCTCTTTCACTCACTCATGATACCCTTTCTCCTGAACATGAGCAACTCTGCAACAGCATGTTAATAAATTTCACTGGTGTGAATTTTTCTTGTTCAAAAATGGATTGTTGTTTATTCCTTTAATTGTGTTGTTAAGAGCTTTAATAGGGTCAGCCAAACATCTACAGCTCTGGAGTGAGTCTAAGACAAATTTCACACAGAAGACGATGATGACCCATTGTATTATATTGCATTATATTGTCCTATAAAAAATATGTTAACAGGACAAATCAATTCAATCCCCAATATCAGTGAAGTAAGGTGAAAAATGGCCCAACAGCCTGTACAGCAAACATTTAGAATCAGTCTGTAGTCTTATCAGTGCTTATCAAACCCATTGTCTGACTGCACCTGTGAGTTTTAAATAACCCGCCAAACATCCCAAACCCACACCCCTCAATGACGATCCCAGAAGTGACATGCCTACAAAAATAAAACTTGAAATAAATACATTTTGGCTCCTACATAGTCATTTCTACATCTCTGAATGTCTACATTGTTCTTATCAATGACACTGTTGTAACAAATACACCACTGAGACTGAAATCAGGCTAATACCTGACTGTAAGAGGTAGAATAACACACCTGAGCATGAGACATGTGAAGACATGGATCTTAGGTTCAAACACAATAACGCAATAGATCAGACAGTTCATCCTTTGTGTGCTTTAGAAATGCTGCCTACAAGGAATGTTCGCTTTTGTCTGAAATCTAGTAACCTAGATAGATGTGAAAATGATCCTTTTGTACTTTTCCTTCTTAACTACACTGTGTCCTACATTTTTCATTGGGGACTTACATAGTCAGACTTCTAAGTGTCAGGTTTTATAAAAACAGTCCAAAAATAGAAAAAAGGGCCAGTTTTGAGTCCAAACCCTCAACATCACTTCACACTTGATCTCACATTGAAGTCCTTCATAGTGTGCAGAGACTCACCCAGCTCAAGCAGCTTCTTGGTGTATTCCAGAGCCCGCTCTATTTCCCCCTGCTGGTAGATGGAGTAGCTGAGGTAGTCGAGCACGGTCACCTTGTCTATCGTTGACTCCTCTCCCTCATCGAGCTGCTTCATAGCCTGGGCCATCCACAGCTCCGTGTGGTAGTAATCAACCTCAGAGTAGGCAATTTTGCCCAGCTCGTAACAGTCCTCCACGGTCATATGACTCTTGTGTTTCACTCCTGGTGGGACGGGGACACAGGAGGAGGAATTTGAATATATACCGAATCTATCTTTTGTCATTGAAATATAACAATGGAAACTACAACTTCTATTCTTTCTTGGTTTGCAATTAACTAGGGGTTTCTAGTATGTATGAGGAACTTTTAGATGCTAACCTGGTAAGTTTCCAGTTGAAATAGTGTTGGCATCCAGTCTATAGGTGTCCTGTAACCGAAGAAGAGCTTTTGCAGCCCCAGTCTGGTCCTCATCTGTGGGGAAGTACTGTCTCTGGATGGTCAGGTTGGAAATGAATCCTAAAACAGATGGATGGAAAATTGTACTGTAAATGGTTTTGTTGGGTCTTATAACAGAGAAGTTAACAATTTGTTTCGAGTCAGAACGCTACTTCAATTATGTAAAGGTTGCTGAAAGAGGCACTTCATTGGTAGTGTCAGGTAACATGAGCCCTACAATGATGACACATATGAGCAAGCGTAAAATCCTTGAGACCAAAAAAATGCATTTTAAGCTCTATAGATCGTGTGCTGATAGATGATATCACAATATTGAGCATGAGCAAAAAAAATATTACGGAAAGACTTTATCATCCATACCATCAGTGGTGTCGCTGAGTACAAGACTCTCCAGGTCCCCCCACTCCGTGTTCAGCCTCTTCATTAGTTTGAAGGCATTGACAGGGTGCCCCAGGAAGCCCTCAGGATCCTGAGTGGCTGTGGCTGACAATGAGTCTAATTTGTCAGCCCACCTAGAAAAAAAGATTGTAAAACATACTTTTAAACTTTCGCTTTTACTAGAAGGATTTATGGTCTTCCATAATTTTTGAGGGCAGTCCTGTATATCTTACTTTGACCCTACTGTTTACGCCGTCAAAATTGCACAGAACTGTGTAGTCTCCGTGCCTGTAAACTCACTTTTTGACCTGCTCAAGCTTGTTCTCCTCTGCTTTGATGTAGTCCTTCAGGGAGGTGACCAGGTCTTTTTCTGTGTACAGCAGATCCGTCATCTGACCTGAAAAGGGAACAGATGTATTTCAGCATTAATACTTTGGGATCAGATCATCGAAGGGTCCACAGAAGTATATAAAATGTTCCTTTTTTTTTACCAATGGAGGTGAAGAAGTCATTGTGGGCAGAAATCGTCTGTAGGCAGCTCAGCAGTAACAAACACCAACACGGTAGCCCCATCCTGAAGAAAAGAGTGATATTATTAGGTATATTCTTCTTAAGATCACTTGAGAATTTAATGAGACAGAAAAACTGGCTCTTATGTCAGACTCACAGTGGAGCTGCAACTTGATATAAAAGGCTGCCATATGCTAACATCCCTTGAAAGGACAGATGTTTGAGTCACCTACTGTCTGGATTACTTGAGCTCCCTCTCAGAGAGCCACATCAAACATTCCAGCTTTAACTACTTATTCAGAGTGCTGCTTCCCCGTCATCCTGAATCTACTACAAATGATCAAATTGTTGCCTGCACTCTGTCTTGTGCTGCTTTTACACAATATAAAACAGAAGATAATCCACAGACATATTGCTGGTAGATTGAGGGAAATCTGCTCTGAATAAAAGCCATGTGAGCCATGTCTATGGACTGTCTGGAGTAACTGGGGCATTATTTGTGAAAAAAGGCAGTCGCAGTTTCCTAAACATAGAAGTTAGAAAAGCTTTGACCTAAAAACTCCAAAAGTGTGCTAATTCTTTTAGAAGTGTGGCCTTTCAGCCACCACACAAAGCCATATTTTAGTCTGTGGTGGCTGCTGCTGTGTCCGGTCTAGCTTTGGAGTTGGCACAGTCATGCGTGAGGAGTGGCACTATAATCATTTTCCCCAGACAGTCAGAAATTACATGAAAAAACAAAGAGTAAAAAAAAAAAAAGGAAACACAAAGAAAGGTGTGATTGTAAGTGTGTGGACTCTAACTTGAGATTTTCCTCGCAGGTAGGGTAGTTTAAAATGAACAGCAGCAGAACCAGTCTGAACTGAAATCAAAACAGGTGACTTGGATCTACAAGGACCGGAATAACAAGAGATACAGTAACTCAGATGATGCTTGGATTCCAGCTTTAGGAAGTCCACAATCAACACATATTAAATCCTGTTAAAGAACTGAAAAACTCATGGGACTGAACATATACTGTGCCTATAACTCAGCATTTGTGACACGTGTTAAAATGTTTCTACTGCCCATAGAAATATATAAGTAGGAAAGAGGTGGAAAAAAATTATGTCCACATAAAAATCTCCCAAGATCATAATAAAAATGCTGAAGCTGAGTTTAGATTTTTGGATTCATGATATCCAAGTAGAACTAAAACAGCAGAGATGCACAAACCCTGGCCTTTGGCTGTGTTAATGGGTCAAGGAATTTGGGTCACTTTATAAAAAATGAGCCAAGTACGGCTCATTTTGTGAAGCTTGAAATTTTTTAAGGTTCCCATGGGTCAGACATAACAAAGATAAAGGAACCCACAATCAGGTCACTTCATGACTAATCCTCGCACTACTCCTCTTCAGTTGGGTATCTTTCTGAGAAAGAATCACCTTTGGCGCGAGTTTTAATGAGTCAATTGATTTGAATAATGAAGAATTTTCACCAATAATGCTGATAATCCTTAATCTATTAAGCTTAGACCACTGTTTGTTGGATTCAAGTTTTCAAATAAAAAATAAATACATTTTTTGGCAAAATTTTTCACAGTTTGGGACATCTAAGGAAAAAAATAATTTGTAATATTAAAATTATTTTTGCAATTAGTTGATAATAAAATCAGTAGCAGCTGGTGCCCTTCCTTGGCTATGGTGCTTCTACATCCTTAATTCAGCTGTTATATAGTAAACAAAATTTAACCTTCTACCTTTGAGTGAAAATAAAAGAGCAGATCAACATCTACAGAGGTAAAACAATTTTTTTCTTCTATGTAAAAATCTGACTCTGGCACAGCAGCAGGGCCCATTCAACTGCACAACAAACCAATTACAAAGTGTTTCAGGCATGCTATCCATGCACTTGCACTGCACTGACATACTTCTAGTGGAAAAGTAAAGGTCATGCACGAAAAGGTTCATAGTAAGAGATTAGTCGTTCTTCCTGCTGCAGGCCGACAGCAGGCTCAGGCAGGTTCTGACCCTGCCACCAAGGCAATCTTCCAAAACAGCAATTTTACAAGGCATTTCAGTTCAGCAGCAGGCACTGGAGAGAAGGGAAATCAATCTTTCAGAGGCCCATTAAATTACAGCAAATTTTGTTTGCATTTGAGTCAAAACCGACTTTCATTTAGAAAAACATGCAAAGAAAAGTGCAAATTATCATTATTCTGTCCCTGCTACTGTTGTAAATATTCCCAGAATCTGGGTTAGTACTTTGTCCTTGATACCATGAATATAACTCTGCCACTTTTCCTGAACACAACTTAGTACTTTGTGATTACTGTAATGACGGGGTGGTAGCTATTGAGCCTCGTTATTATAATGTTGTCGAATTGAAATGCCAAGATTAAAGCTGAAAGTGTGACAGTTATAATTTAGATAAATATTGTATGCCACACACATTAAATTTCAGCAGTAGTGAGAGTGTTTGTGCATATACTGTTCATACATGAATGAGACGTGAATCATTCCTCGTGACTCATTGAAAAAAACTACCTACCAGACACATGAGATGCACTCGGTTTGAACAGATTTTAGGAGACTTTTTTGGAGGAAATTTTCCATTATTTTCTGACCTATAGGCCTATACATTTCACTGCTTTCAAAAAGATTGGATTTTTTTAACAGCCACAGGTCAACTATGATAAAAACAGCAACAACAACAACAACAACAAATGAATCAAAGCGCACATTTTAGCCAAGATAAATCTCGATGATGTTACATTTTCCCATTACTTCTGCCTTTCTTCATATGCATAAGTAAGAACGAGACTAAAGCAACAACTCTCCTAGTGGAACTTTAATGTGGAAGAGAATACATGCAAAAACCAAAACAAGAACCGGCAAGACAGGGAGTGCTTACTAATTTTTATTCAAAAATGAGAAAGGCCTGAAGAAAACTCACTTTTAGATTAGAATCAAGTGACACAAGTGAGGATTTTCAGTAAACAATGATACTCAGCACAATTTTTGCATTCCCACTACTCTCACTTCTGTTTTAGCCCGATTGTAGAAACATTTAAGTGTACAAGTTATTCCAGAAGCTTCATCGCGCAGCAGAGGAGTCACATAACAGGATGTGGATGGAAGAGGACTGCCACGTCTTCGCCCCTCCCCGCCAGCCAGGGAAGCTCGTATTAAAGACTACACAGACAGACAGTACCCCATGGTGTCTGAACTGATTTTACCTACAATGAACTGTCGAGCACCCCTGTTTATTTCTGACCCAGGGGTTAATTTCTGGAGGGGTGGTCGTACTTTTAGCCCACTGTAAGTTCAGTCAATAATTATCCAACGAGACATAATTGGGAAATTTAAGCGTCTATCAACATTAGCTTTTTTCCACTGTATAGTCTGATAACCATCACTCACTAACTAAAGAGTTCACCATTCTACACATATCCTGTCGTGTATTTTAGGATTTTATTGAGAAAACGTACTATGGAGGAGCAGCAGCAGCATCCCACGCTGCTTTGCACTGGAATGTCACCACAGACTAAACAGACGAGTTTCACACAAAAAAACTCCGATTTGGTGGCCCGGGCTCAGTCTTCGCATCTTAAGCCGAGTGAAAATTGCACGATACACTGTCTCTTTATTAGTTTTATAGAGTGAATTTCGTTTCTGCTGCTGAGAACTACCACATAAATCAAAGTTTGGGTTAGCTAGTGTTTGGCTAGCTATGGTAGCTAACGTTGTGTATAAAACTGTACCGGGACTCTGGAATGTTAGTTAAGCCAAAGTTTCCAATGTGTAACGGTAGCAAATACAAACATAACACCCCCTAAAATGCCATTTACGTTAAAATGGTGCTATGAGGGATAACCGGACAGACAGAAAAGGCTGGTTGTTTTTTTTTTATTAATAGTCCAGGAAAGAAGTCAATAGTTACCTGAACGACAGCATCCTGAAGCGGAAAAATGTCCCCGGTCCTCGGGTCTTCTGAAGCCGGACACTCGGTTCGGGGAGAAGATGAGCACGGCGTGTATCTGGAGGATCGTCTTATCTGTGATGTTTCAGTGCAGCGCTCCTGGCCATCTGCTGGTAAAGGGCTGGATTTTTGGAGGTCTGTCTCAATGCTACGTGCGGATTCTCACATGCATACAGCCTCCTGCAAGACTTTTCGGGGGCTGTCGTTTAGAAAATTGCTATGGGAGGTGCTTAGTTTGTCTTGACCCGTGGCTAAGAGTTTTTTGGGGGGTTTTATTGTAATTTGGTTTGGCACAGATAGATTTAGCTTTTGCCACACTTGTCAAACCAGCTGTGTCCCTGCTGCAGTGACCAATGACAGTGGCCTGATCTTGAGTCATTGTCGTCATCCCATTACTGTTTTGTTTTTTTTTACTTCTTTAATTTCGTTTGGAAATCACTTTGTAACCCTATAGCCTACTTTGAAAGTGCAAGATAGATAAAGTTTGTCATTATTATTAATATTTTTTTCCTGGACTGTATCCCCCATTGACAAAAAGTTGAGTCTACCCCATATGCCCCCAAAGGCTCAGTTCACACTGTTCAGATCTTTTTTTTTTCATCTGGCAACCTAGTTTAATGTCTTCCTTTTCACCTGCTTGGTCTCCTCCTACTTCACTCTAGAAAATTCCTCCCTCCCAACCAAAAACTGTGACTGGAGGGAGGGAATTCCTGCTGTACGCCATTGAGTTCAACAGGGTGGAGCTGTGTGTCTGTGTGTGCCAGAGAGAAGCAAGCTGTGCTGCTAAGTTACTGCAATATATCTAGTTGCCAGACACATCACATGTAAACTAGATAACTCTCACTGTCATGTCCCACATAAACACAGCAGAATACTTTGTATGTCTATGGTAAACACCGGTTACTCATTCATTTTTTTAAAATATTTTTCTGTATGGATACATTTTGAACAGATGGCATGACTCAGCATATCAGAAAAAAAGTCCCCTTGTTGAGAATTAAAAAACATGAAATATTTCATGTAAAATGTAACACAGACACTTCATAAATATCTAATTTTCTATCAACAAACAAATGTCACATTCATGATTTTATTTATACTTCTGTTATTGAGGCATAAAATGAAAAATACTGTATGGAAGCAAAAAAAATGATGTCAAACTTATGTGGGAAATACTGTATTTTGATCCCTGAGAGTCTTGAAGTAAAAGATAAACCGAGGTTTGTACAGTCTTAGCTTGTCTTCCTGTTGTGTAAGTAAACTGTCAGAGACTATTTAAGACTTTTAATCCTTGTGAACTGTAGGAAAAGTGGAGTCATCTGCGATTTTCTGATAGCACAACGTGTTGGGGGAAAGTATCTGGGTTGTTAGCGTGGCGTTGACCACGTGTGATAATCAAAGGCTTGTAAGGCAAGGCCCTGGTAAAGGCCCCGCAAGATTTCTAAGGGGTAGATGGTGAGGGTGTGGTGCTCAGATTCAAGCATTACCGCGTGTGGTGTGTAGAGAAAAGGATAGAGGGTGTAGAAGGCTGAGAATCCCTCCAGCAGGATGACAGCATCCCAAACCACTGAGCTGAAAGAAACAACAGTAAGGTCAGGAGAGTCTGACCTGGCTTTCACACCGTCAACTGAAATAAACAGAGAGACAATCAAAGAACTCAGTCTAACATACAGCACCATTAAAATCTTCACATGCTGAAACTTAGCAGACTGAACCATTAACTGTTTTTAAAGATGAATTACAAACCATCAACTCCTTTCGCTATGTAAAAATGAAGCCAAAATATACTGCGACAGATGCTGACACCTCTTTCCATTTTAAGCCGGTCTGTGCATTAGTCATTGACTCTCACAGCTTAATTCTTGGATGCAGATAAGAATGATGAGCACTAACAGTAATTACCCTAATGGTGTCTCCTCTGTTAAGATAGAGAAGGCAGGTTTTATGACAGTGGCCAGGCAGTATGAGGAGCTTAAGTCTTTTGACTTCACTTTAAGGCGTTTTTTTACACCAACTGTCTTTTTACACAGTCCATTTCTAAGAGCAGTATTATTACGTACTTCTGCAGCTCTATGCAGCTGATTTAGACAGCCCAGCTCAGGGTGGATCACGGCCACTTCTAAGATGAGGATGTTATTGGTGAATTGTATGCCACTGTATAGAAGTTGCCATAAAGTGTCAAGTACTCAAAATTATATTTGTACATAGTAAAGCATCTGCTTCTAGAGCCCACTGGAGTAACCCACCTTTCTGTGTTGTGACAGTCCAGGATGAGCATATAGTATGGATAATATACAGCAGGTTGACTGTCCTATACACATGCATTGGTGTGATATATCCTCACTGTACACAAGCTAATTCTGGAAGAGCAGGCACCAGCACCTTATCTTTCTCACATTCTGCCTGAAGTCCAAGAAATACAGACACAGCAGTTTGTTTGAAGCTGTGTTAGAAATAATTCTATATAAAACAGAAAGAGCAGTGAAAATACAGCTTTTACCTTTGTTCTTAATAGATACAATGGAAGAATAGTCACTGTTTGTACTGTTGACCTCTCTGCAACAGATGCTGCTTACTGTTTGGGATGTGTTGACAGGTTCTTGAGAGGCTGCTTCACAGCTGTTGTTCACTCTGGTATATACCCACAAACACATAAACACAGGAACATTATAAAAGGCTGCACACAAAACAATGTAATGTGCACCCAATGTCCTAAAGAGAGGAAATCTACCTGGACAGCACAGCACCCATGTTGATGTAATCTGGCAGATGCGTCAACTGATTTCACCAGCAATGCATAGAATACTAGGCTTCACCAAAAAGAGGCCATATTAAATTAGTTGAAAAAGTGATCTTACAAAGACCAATAGCAATTTTATTTTGAAAACTGTAAAAAGCAACACTTGTAGTACTGTTGTGACTCTAATTCTGACTCTGCTTCAACCTGCCCAAATCTGGCTGGTGGTCTTGGAAACACAGTACAAGATAAGAGCTCTAGAGATCCACATGGTAGCTGGCTTTGACAGGTGACAGAGCAGGGACCTGGGAAGGCATCCCACTTCACCTAAATTCACTCACAACAATTGCAGATTATCCGGTTATTTGATCTGGACAAGGTCTCAAATCTTAAGAAAGTCAGTCAAGTTAGAATAATTACAATAGACCACACCAAATAAAAAACACAGTTCACTTGATTTAAACGACACACATGGTTGGCTCAATATAACGCTATTTCTGTTATAATAAATGTTTTACTAAGCTTTTTTTTTCACTGAATGTGCCTCTGTTAATATAATCTTTTCATGACACTGGCCACAGATTGAGTGAAAGAGGTCTGAAGAAGGCATCAAGGAACCTTAGAGCTGAAGAGTTGGCTAATGGGAAATCAGTTGGACATATCTGGAGTCTGCTAAGGTAGAAGCAGGAAAGTTTAAGCCGATGGCCCTGCACCAGAGAGTAGAACTTTGTATAAAGCCGGTCAGGAGATCAACCAGGAGGATGTCTGGACAGGCAGAACAGCCCTACAAGATGGCCTGGAATCCTGCAACATTCTTGGATAGATGATAAGTACACACTGTGCACTGTGGGTGGACTCTCTCAAAAAAAGAAGGCAGAGGACTACTACGCAGAACTCCAGCTGGAAGTCAATGAGGGAGGGGAATCTCCCGCTCAAGAGAATCCACTGTAACGCCTGGTTCAGGTTAACATGGGCGCCGATCTGAAACTCTGTGCGCGGCGCTTCCGTTCCGCGCGCGGCGCTTCCAGTGTGACGTCTGGTTCACACTGGAAGCGCCGCGCGCGGAACGGAAGCGCCGCGCACAGAGTTTCAGATCGGCGCCCATGTTAACCTATGAGACTGTTCACACAGCACGCGCGCGGAAGCGCCGCGCGCGGAAGGATCCACTTTGAGATTGCTGACAAACGATTAAAAACTCTCAATGAGAGTCTTGTAACTGATGATTACTGATGCCATAGGTTGCTTGTGCACCGGGAATGCTTAGCAGGAAGCCAGATTAGTTTAGTTTAGTAGGATTCAGCTATCACATTGCAGGAGTTATTCTGTCAGCATGGGGTCCAGCACAGCTTTACAGTGGAGAAAGTGCAACAACAAAAAAATTGTTGTTGAAATGTATCACAAGAATCTGTGTGACAAACACGTTTGGATCAGAATCATCAACATCTTCATCAGTACCAGTATACCAGTTTATACCAGAAATTTCAGGAAAAGATATCAGCAAGAATGATCGACTGGGTCTTTTGTGGTGGTAGGCCAAGAGAGCTGTGATATAGTTGTACACTGAGCTGCTGATTCCCAGACTTTGATAAAAAAAAAAGTCTGAGAAGAAGGGAAATAAAGCAGTGGTCACGTCCGAGAGCAGTCTAATGCAGGCAAACATAATCGAAGAGGGATGGAGAAAAAATTGAAAGTCTGGGAATGCAAAAAGACACAAATGACAATGACAAAGTAGCTTACAAAAAATTTCAGTGTAAAAGGTAAGTACCTGATGAGGAAATCAGATGAAGTAGATGAATTAGTGAGGAAGTCCAGGTAAGTGCACAGAGGAGAAAGAGGAGAGTGAGTACAGCTGATGGTGCAGTCATTTGGTAAAGAAGATAAGGTCAGACAGCATCTGGCGAATCTCTAAAGGTCTGGGAATAACAAAAACATGTCCAATAGGAAAAGAAAGAAGCACAAACTTTGACAACAATTTATGCTTTCACTAAGTGACAAGAAACCAAAATTACAAATGTAGTCGAGTAAAAGCATAATGGTGGAAAAAATGCTGCACTGGCAGAGTAAAGGAATACTGTTGCAATTACTCGACAAACTCTAGTTATTGAGAAATGTTCAACAGTGACGGATAAAAATAAAATATTTCAACACAATCTCTGTCAGGAAATTTTGTTTTATTTTCCTCATACTGATCATCTCACTGATATTGAAAGCTTGATATAGCTTTTAATAGATTGCTACTGCCCTCTGTTGTCTCCCTGGGGAAGTTTACTGCTAACAAGTGAAAAGTCTTTGTGAGCGGTCAGTGCACACCTCTGTGGAGTACACGTCACATATCAGTGGCTCACATATTATATGTACACATATAATTACTCACTAACCCTCTATTATATTGGACTCACTTTGACAGCTTAAATGAGTGCTGACACAAAGCCCTCTGAAGGTATAGCACTGTTGTAAAGCTATGGACCAATCAAATGCCTCCATGTTAGGACCTTCACCCTTTCAGTGTGATGAGGCAGTTTACTTAAGCAAACCCTCCCTCATTCTGCCATGTGCTGGTGGATCCCATTATGCCTTCAGGGCTTGGGATCCAGACAGAAACATAAAATGTGAAAATTGTCAGGAATGTTCAACAGGTTGGAAAAAAAAGATATAGTCTTTCATTCTCAAAATACATTACAGTGAAGCTGGAAATGACTATGAATTGGTGGCATATGGGTCACATTCCTCTTTCAATGCAACCAATTACTCCCTATAATTCATTATAGTCATAAAATATGTCAGCAAACAGATATCTTAATGGATAGTGCAGGTGCTATTTACCTTCATGGACTTCAAACAACTGTTATACTCGATTGCTTCTCTAATTATGGCACGACAAACACACCAGACCAAAGTCCACCCACCCACACACACACACACACACACACACACACACACACACACACACACACACACAGAGAGGAAACAGCCCTCATGAGAGGCGAGTGCCTGCAGCAGGTAGAGACTTAACCCGCACAGACAGAGACACGTAAAGGCGGGCATTCACTCACATCCTCGTAAATAATAGGCCTACTTTCATTGAAAAACACGGTATTATGAGTGAAGGGAGTCTGGAGATCAAAGATGACTGGATGAGGAATTTCAGATGGTGAGTATAGCCTTTATTTACTGACTTAATCACGGCTTCGTGCGCTTCATGACGGAAAGGTTGAACTACGTAGTAACAACACGCAACTTCATTAAGTGCGGTCATTAAGTTTAATGCGATTCGCTGCTTTTAAACACGGTTGCCTTTTCCGATGCGAAAATGACTCAGCAAGTTTATGTAGCTTGAATCTCGTTTTGCATGTGTAAGCAAGTAGTGATGGGCACGGCAGTTCTTTTAGATGTACTGAACCACTTGAATCAGTTTACTAAAAAGATTCGTTCAAAAGATTCGTTCACCGAATCATTCAGCGCTTCTCGGGAGGTGCCTGCGACTCTGACCTCCTGAACTGATAGACAGCTGAACTGTTCAGAATTCATTTCAATTCATTGCTTCTGGGACCGTAAAACGAGAGTGTTTGGCTTTGTTGCTCTGGAAAACAGGTTTGTAAAAATGAACTTGTATAAAAGTCATGATGTTTCAGGTGTACTGTCCTTTGGTATGCTATTTATCTGGTCTGCTCGGTAAATTGGGCTCAGTGAGTCATTCGTTACATGCCCTGTCCCCCCGCAAACGGCTGCAATGATAGAATGTTGCAGGGTTTTACGCACTACTTGTTACATGCTGTGTCCTATTGTATGCAAGTGGCAATTTAGCAGTAAAAAAAAAGTTGGTTTTGTCTGATCAAAATGATCCCAGAGAGTGTAGTTCGATGCGTGATTCATATACAAAGTGATTCAGGTGCCGGTGCGTGCGGTCCCTCATTTTCCGGCTGCTCGCCTGGCAATGCTGTGCCGCTTACAGCTCAACTGAAGTGAGAAATGAACGAATCACTTGAGGAAGTGATTCGGTTCAGTACGTTCACTCAAAAGATTCTATTCTTTTGAACGAATCGTTCGCGAACGACAAAACACTATAATCAAGTGAGATGCACGTGTTTTTAAATTTCCACTCAAGTTTACTGTTCTATGAAAAATTGGTTGAAAAAAACAGAATAGCTTGAACCTTTTAGCAATATATTTGATGCATTTTTACATCAAAGCTGGTTATTGATTTCAGAGTCATTATTATAATTTTTGGTCAAACAGAAACCGCGTAAAAAATATACTGACAGGTAGGCTATTAGCCTTTCAATGTGGCGTAGGTAGTTCCAAAGGCAAATTATGTGTTGTTTCAAATTTGTATATTTCGTTGCATGATCTTTGTATGTTTCTGTCCGCAGCATAGGGAGGTGGAGTAAGGGATGGTGTGCCTCACTGACAAAGTGTCTTTTATCTAATCACGTACTGAAGCCACTGGTCTCCACCCTCTGCCTCGTGGTTGTGGTCATATATGGATTGGCTGACAGACTCAGAAACTTTGTGGCTGGCATTTTATTCGCCCAGTATCGTTACCCGTATGCTGTGGCTCTCTGCTTTACACAGGTTGGTGCTCTGCTGCCCGGCTTGTATCTTCCAGAGGATGATTCACACCTTTAACCTGAATTACTCAATCTTATCTGTAGATAAATGTATAACTAGAATTTGTGTGAACGTGTGTTAATTCTGTAAGAGTCCACATAATGAAAACTGACTTAAAGGGATATTCCAGCATAAAATTAATTCAGGGTCAAACACACTAACACTGAGTGAGACACCCCCTCAAGAGATGAATGTTGCTGACTCCTTGCTTCTGTAGTTATACCAACTTTAGTAACGACCGCACGATAGCAATACACAGTGGTCTGAGGAGCCACGCACAAACCTCAACCAAAACGCCACTTTATAGCCACAAATAATGCTCAGAACAGCACCTAACTTCATCAACAGTAAATATAGGGTCAGCACTAGTGCCACAGCACTAGCCACCTAACATCTTTTTAGCTTTGCCTGATTTCTTTAACAGGGGCTAAACACAACTCACCCGCTCTCTTCCAGCAGCCGCTTGTTTGTAGGAAGACCTTGGGCCAGTCCATTACAGACTACAGCGGGGTTACACAGCTCAAGGAAGAACATTTATGATCATTACTTTATCATTTCCTTGAAGTAATAATCATCATATTAATCATTTTGCACTGCAGATGCGGTAGTTCTTCTGCCTTAGCGTCTCGGTCTGATTGCAGTCCATAATGGACTGGCCCGAGGTCTCGCTACAAACAAGCAGCTGCTGGAAGAGAGTAGGTGAGTTGTGTTTAGTCTAATCAGGCAATGCTAAAAAGATGTTTGGTGGCTAGTGCTATGGCTGGGACCCTATATGTAATGTTGATGAAGTTAGGTGCTGTTCTGAGCATTATTTGTGGCTATAATGCGGCGTTTTGGTTGAGGTTTATATGTGGCTCCTGGAATAATGAGGTATCCACTTAAGCTGCAATGTCATGTGGCTTCATGTTGACTCAGCAAAAATTAAAGAAAACTCTGCACTTCATCCCAAATGCTTGTGCCAAATAAACCTTTTTGTTTTTAAAACTTTTAGTACTTTTGTAGTATGCTGCTTGGTGCTGACATAATGCATTACTACTCATATGGTGTCAGTGTGAAACAGAAAGTTGAAAAAACAGGCACTTTCTTATTGATTTTTGTTAACCATTAAGTTAACACCATACCAATATAATGACGTGTTGCCTCCAGGCTGCTGTAACTGTGTCAGAGTTTTCCATGTCCATGTGTGCTACTTTGAATAGCATATCATGTGGAGCCACAATAGCAGAAGGGACTCAGTATTGTTGAATACTTCTCCATATGTTTAACTAAATGATTGACAAAAGGATCAACGTGTAGATGTCGTCCTGTCCAAAGGTTGGAACTAGCTAATTACTGAGCTTCATGAATGATAGTCATGTGATTGTGCTTTTTGATCTTGAGTGTTTTAGATGTGGTTTAAATAAAGTAAAATATATAGGGTACACAAGTTCTCACAAATTAAGTCTATAAATCTTTTATTCTGATGAAGAAATCCTCCATAAGATTTACCCATCCAGGCAACCCCAATGATTTACAAGTTCTGAGGTTACAACAGGGAGTGGCTGTAGAGACTGACTGGCGTTAAGGTGCAGGGATCCACGTGGCAGTTCAGTTCAAATTACTTTATTTATCCCAAGAGGGGTATTTACTGTGGTGGGTGTCATCCACCACAGTAAATACCCCCACATCCTGGATCTTAGTCCACTTAGGTGTTAGATAGTGATAATTATGGTATTTTAAAGGGGAAAAATGCTCTTTTTCCCTCAAAGTGCTTTCAAATCTCAGAAAAAAAGGCCAAATATTTTTAAAAAGTAATGGAGAAACATTTGTTTAAGTTCCCGTATTTTCTATAAAACTCTAACTCCTGTTTTACTCTATTCTGTGTAGGTTCTGGTCTCTCTCCTGGTATTAAATCTCTTCCACGTTCTGAATCTGGTGCCTCTGAAGCGTTACTCACGGTCCCTGGGCGAGAGGGTTTTGGTGCCCGCTATCTGTAGCAGCATCTACGCCGTGCTGGCTACATGGGCGAAAGCTAGCAGCACATACGATGGCCTCTTCACCATCTCTCTGCCTCTGCTGCCCATACTAACTGTTGGCTTTAGTTTCTGCCAAAAGCTGGTTCCTCCTCCAGCTCTCCATTACTTTGTTCTGAGTACCCTCCTGTGTGGAGCATCTTTTACCATCCAAGGTAATAAAGAGATAATAAATAAATAAAAGGATATTTGCTGAAGGTGTAATTGAAGATTCTTCCATTCAGAGTTAACCATTAAATCATCAACTTCCTCTCTCTCTCTGCAGCCTCATGGGGTGTAGCAGGTGTTACACCTCTGGAGTACATCTATATACCTCTGGCTTTACTCCTCTACAGTCTGTCTCTCACTTGGCTGGCTAAAGTTTTAGAAACTGAACGTCACATACCTCCTGATTCCCAAGCATCAGTGTTTGACATCTACTACGCCCAGCTGGTGAACCAGTTTTGGGTGCTGGGCCTCCTGTGGCTGCTGCACCCGCACAGTCCCTGGCATGTGTTGAGTAAGAGCAGCTGGCACAGTTTGCTCTTCCATGGATACCTGCTCGCTGTTCAGTTGCTGGGGATGGTGCTAAACTTCTTGGATGGTGTTACAGCTCTGTGCCTGTCACCACTCGCTGCTGCTCTGCTCCACTCAGCCAGGCAGGTGGTACGGCCGTACCTTCAGCTTTTGTAGTATCGCTTGGAAGGACTAAGAAAAACGCAGTCTCTTTTGTTTTTACTGTTTATGTGCAACTTAAACACATTTATTCATTTGATTCTGTGGGAAAAAATGTGTTTAACTCCTTGTTCACATGACCTCTGCTACTGGGATTCTTTCCCTACTGTGATAACACAAACAGAGTTAGTTCAGAGGGGAAGTTACAGTATTAACTATTACTATGACAACGCCAATGATTTACCCTGTGGTCCAGAAGTGGAACAAAAGCCAGATTTTTTTGTTTCATTTAATTTATTTCCATAACTTGTATATTTATTATTATCAGAAAACAAGACTCTTTCTAAATTTTGATCGACGAGTTTTTTAACAGCCAGGGTATTTTATACAAATAATGCTGCTTTTACCAAACTTTAACAAGATTATGAATGCACTGTTGTTTATACTTTTAGATAATGTCAGCATCTTTTGATATTTATGACGAGGTGTGGGTTGTCTGCACTGAAGACGGACCATTCAGCCCACCTAATGGCTCTCAGTTTTATAAACATTTGAGCTCAGGCCATTGTCTGAATTAATGTAAACCATAGGTTGTGGAAGTTGCTCTTGAATGACTCTGGCTGCTTAAGTTAGACAGATGAGGAGGGCTCTTCATGAGAGGTAGAGGTAGATGATACTGATATGATTCTTTAAGTTATTTTATGCCTTAATTTAAGAGTACGTGCTTACTTTTATTTAATTACCTCTCTTGATACATATAGACGTGCAATTTATCTAACGATAGAAGTAAACATTTATTTATTGACTCTCTGAAACAGAAATGGATAGAAACAGGAGAAACTAGGTAAAAATAATGCTAAAAAGGGAATATATGCTTTAAAAAAATAGATTTTCACCAGAATCAGTTTATTGGAAAAATATTTATTCAACTGGTTTAAATGCACAAAAAGCAGCATGGATTAAAACATCTGTCCGTCATAATTTGCTGTTATTTTAAATCAAACACTAGACTCAATGGGAAACTACTTCTTATATTATCAATTCTGCATTATGGCCCTTATTTATTCTTTACATTATTCACTTAGTTATTTCAGATTGCGAGGAACTTGGTTTGCAGGATTGAGGACAAGATTCATGACCACACAGACTTCAAAAACAAACAGTATTAACACAGAAACCCTAAAGGTTAGATTTTTCTACACTGCCATAAAGCTGTTCCAGGTAAAGTCCTGTCAATTTTGTGTCATTTTAATTAACTTTATTTTAAGCTCATCTTGTCATTGACAGTAATGGACATGAAGTGCAGATGACATTTTTTGTCCAGAAAAACTGAATGTACTAAAGACCAGTATTGTTCAAATAAAAATGCTCTGTGACTCTTGAATCATCCATGAGTGCTTTGTCTTACTGTAGTTTTGTCTATGTCTACCTTCTGCCCTCATGAGGGATCTGAGTTTGGTGGGAGGTGTAGTCCAAGACTCTGCAGCAGGTTTGAAGCTGGTCCAGCCAGTCCGGCCTGACTGCTGAGAGACTCCAGCAGATTAGTGACCAGATTGAGGTCAACATCGAGAGGTTGGATCCCCTCTGTGTCCTCTGAACCGTCTTGCATCGGCAAATTGTCTTTGGTGGAGGGATGTGGGGAGCCATTGTTGTGGTCTGGCTTATTGTAACTCTGCAGAGAGGACAAATATAGGGAAAAAAACAGATTTTAATCTAGATTAAGATCTAGATATATTCATGTTAAATTATATATTGAGGTTTAGGCTAAAAAGAGGGAAATACATGTAGATATGAAGACATTTTACCGTCTGATTAAAGCTCTGTCCTATATTGGTGCTCATCAGCTCCTGGTCCATTTGGTCCATGTATCTTCTGAGACCATCCAGAGTCTCAGTCCCATCCATCTCTGCCTCACAAGATGATCCTTTTGCTCTCTCTCCTTCTTGTTCTTCTTCTTCCTCCTCCTCCTCATCATCATCATCTTCATCTAGATCATCTGAATCTAGCTCATCTTCTTTGCTTCCTATCAAATAAATAAGAAAAAAATATTTAGTGTACCAAAGAGATGTGGTAAACGTTCATTTTCCACATCTTCCATTACAGTGATGTACCTAACAGTCTGTCCAGTGCATTAGCCATGGAGTCAGGGTCAAAACTGAAAGGCTGAGTCGAACTGCTCCTAAAATACAAAGAAAAGCGAGGAGAAACTTAAACCTTTGAATCCAGCTCAAATGAATGTGTGGCTTTGCTTTTCTGTTTATCAGTCTCACCAGGGCAACTCAGCTCCTTCATGCGATGACATGGCGTTAAGGAAGTTCTTCATGCCCTGACTAACCGCTACCAGACTGTAACCTTGCTGCTCTTCCTCCTCCTCCTCCCTGCTGTCCTTTTTCTCCTTGCTCCTCTCCTCTGTGCCCCCAGCAGGCTGTGTTTGTTTGGTGGAGCTGGACTTTTGGCTGCCAACATCAGCTCTCCACCCACTCCTGTCCTGTAGTATGCGCTCCAAGTCCTGAGCTGTGATATCCAGCCAGCTGTCACCTGGAGACGGACAACAAGAGAGACTCATTATGGAAAAACGGTTGAAAGAGAGAGCAGGGATAGAATGAGATATGCAAAAGAGCACACATTGGAAGGGGGTGGCTGCAAAAAAGAAGATTAAGGTGGCAGACACAAATGTAAATAGTGTTAGCTATACAGCTCATGTATAGTCATATAAGCCTTAATAAAGATTATGTAAGAAAACAATCTAAATATAAGCCTTCACAAACAGACTTCACTTTAAAAAAACAGTATATTTGAAGGTAACTGTTTAAACAACTTTATTCATACATTTAACTGAACAGGATTACAGTCTGAGCTCAACATTATAAGCATAATATCAGTACTGGCTAATAAAAGCCTAAAATATCAATTATTATCATTGGCTAAAATGAGTATGAAATCATTTGAATATCAGATATCAGTAAAAATCTAATTTCATGCAGCCCCACACTGTGCATGTACTTAGTACGTTTCATAACTGTAAACTGAAAAAGGTTCAAAATCTACATAACAGCTTCACTATCTCCATATTATACCTGAAAACCTTCTGCTGGTGCAAGTCTGCTCGATAAATGCTTATACTTTTGATAAACAATACTGCAGGAATGGCTTTTGTATTTGTATTTTTTAAGACATTTTGACACACCTCTTATTTAATTTTGAAACAAATCTGAGCACATAAAAATCTGCCAGAGATAAATCTACATTTATTCATTTATTTATGTTGTAATTTTGTACAAGCGCTCTCCAAGTCTTAAAGTTCTTAGTGTTGCTCTGTCAAATCACAAATTTTAACTTACTGTCCTCTGGGGGGAGCTGTGACTCTTGTTTCCTCAGCTCCTCCAAGTTAAATGGTTTGCAGCTGTGCAGCAGCTGGAGCACCTCCTCACCTGGGGACAAAACACTGAGAGACGAAATACAATATACATTAGGTACATCCAGAGAGGTGCATTTCAATTTCAAAGGCATATAAATTTATAAAGACACACATGCACAGCCACACCATCCTCACCTGGATTTGGAGGCGACAGACTGTTTGAAAAAGTTTTCTGCAGATCTGAAGAGCTCTCTGTATTGAGCTGAACCCTCCAGTTCTCCCTGCATTTGAGAACAGACAAAGCAAAAACTTGAGTTTCTTACAGCTGAGAAGAAAACAATATGTGCTTTTGGATCCACTTTCACTGGATTACTTTCTTCTGAGTCTCATTATTCAAACAGTATTACTGACCCTAAAGTACTCGTTCCTCTTCAGACTGTCCATGAAGCTTTTCCACTGTGGGTTACAACTGACGGGGGCATCAGGCTCTGAAGAAGGCAGCCTGCATTTGGAGCACAGGATCTCAAAACCATGGGCCTGGAAGCGAAACACACACACAGGCGGGGACTTAAAGTTAAGCGCTGAGCTGCAACACCCTGATTGCAGATGACTTTACACACTTTGCAATACACAGAAAGCATTATTTGAGTCATCTTAACTGAAAATTAAAAGAGGAGGAAAATATAATTGCTTACCAGTTTCATGCCAAGCTCATGGGCTTTATACTGCGGATGAGAGCGAGGGGGTAAGGTGAAGCCGCTCCTCCGGTCTGGGGTGAACTGTTGTTGCTGGAGTTGAGCGTAGAGGCAGCGTGTGAATGTCACCTGGATGGCATAAATACAAGATTTTTAAGTTTGCTGACAAACAATACGAATGAAAAACCAGCACACAGAACGCAATTACACTTACACACATGGAAATCAAATGAGAGCAATATGTAAATCCTCTGAGTGACAACAACCATGAATCTTTCTGTGTTTTTACCGTGGTGAGGACCCGTGTATTAGGAGGAAAGGTCTTGAAGCTGCGACACGCCTGAAGATCAACTGGATCCCGCAGGTAAAATGCAGAAACTGCAGGGGCCACCAGGTGAGGATGCTGAGCTAACACCGTGACAATACCTGCAGGAACGAAGCAGTGGGCGCGATGGAGGCTGGTTTGAATCTTCTCTGGGCACCTAAATGGACAAAAGGAATAATGAAGAATGCTTACCACAGGATGCTCTGCATACAATTGCATACAGAAAATGTGCTTCTATGTGTTTGTGTTTTAGTTTTATAGCAAGTTACTGTCTAAACTTTGGGTCGTCACTTTTTGCTTTTCTCATCTAGTGTAAAACTAGCACCAATTCTGAGTCATTCAATAAAGCTTTTTTTACTTTTTATTTCATATGGCACCAGACATGGATGTCACTAAATTTAAGTACCCTTTGTGAGTAGGGGTAAACGCTTGCTTATTTTTCTACAAAACAAAGGTCCTCGGGCCACAATATGATGCTCCTCACCCTTCCAGTCGCTTTGTCAAGGCTGAACGAATCTTGGGGCTTGCAGTACACACCTCTGGGTGGCTAGAGAGCAGTTCTAAAGCTTGTGTCACACTTGGTACCTCATCTTTTGAGATGCCTACTGAACAGGATTTGGAGGGACATGGGAGAATATGTAACTCTCCTCTGAAGAAGAAGACCTGAAAAGAGAGAATAATTAGGGCAACAAAGACTATTAATACAGACAATGACACGAGGAAGATATTAATGAACTTCTTAAATATCTTTAAAAGGGCGATACCAGTGGGGTTTCATGTTTGACACCGAAGCAAAGATTTGTGATATTTTTTCACTGATGTTAACCGGAAGAAACCATTCAACCGTTCAACAAGGGGATTTTAATATCCCAGATTTTGAATGTTATGCAAACAGTGAGAGATTAATTTTGTGATTACTGTTTCAATTTTATAGCTGGAAAAACACTGAACTAAGACCAAGTGTGGCTTAAGAAATACGATATTAGTCTAGAAATGAAGCAGACCATTGCTATCCTAAGCTCATCAAATCCATAAGTCCATTAAACCAACACATTCAAAAACAAAGTAAACCTACTATTAGATCTAGTCATGTGGTAGACTCACTCTGTTTTCACTGGTGTCAGGATTCAGCCACTTTGGAAGGTAATCTGCTGCTTCAATCAGAAGAAACTCTCCATCATTGTCCTCAACCCTTCATATACAAAGTAGAAATCAGAAGCAGGTAAAACAACCAAATCACACTTTTGCATTTTAACGTAACTATAAAATCTTGGTTTTCTTCTTTTCTCCATTTGTGTTAAAGCATGAAAACTCAAGCCGGTTTGTCTCACCTGGCTGCAAGTTCTGGGAAAGCTTCTGTGATTTGCTTTAAGAGATACACAATAAACCACTCATCCTCTATATTGTCCCCAAACTGAGAACTCCCTCCAATGTGAGCTGGGACACCACCTGTAAATGCAAAATAACATAAATGTATGCAGCAGGTATGACTAAATATCCCAAATATTTATACTGATTTGTACCAATACCTTTCTCAGGATGATACTTGAGGTTGAAGGGCTGATGTTGCCAAATATACTGTATTAAGAGGGGGGCAACTTTGGCCAGAATCTCATCCACTAGATGTGTAAGAAGCTCCTCTGTCTGCTGTGTAGTTAAATCATCTGGTTTGACCAAGAAGAGTTTGTACTGAACCATGTCCTCCTGAATCACTCTCCTCTGCAGGGCGTCCATTATGGTATGTTTTCGAGAAATGACTGAAAATAGACGACATGTCATGGTTATACATCAGACACACTATGCTCTGGGTTGCTGTTATAGTTTATCCTCCCACCGAACATTTTTGGTCTGAAAGAGGCCTAGACGACTGGTCTAAAATCAGGCTACCACAGGTCTAAAAATGAAATTTTTTTAGCTGTCTAAATTTAGACCAGGTTTAGACCATGACTAAATCTGAGCTATATCTATACTACACTGTATATTGCTCAAAGGCTGTCATGATTATTTTGGTAAAGTACTTGGAGATCAGTTATGCAACTCACACTTGCTTTTTAAAATAAGTAGTTATCGAATAATGGGTTGAAGTGCAATTTCTAAATTCCGTCTAATACACAGAATCTAGACGGTTGAAATTAGGTTTAAAAAAAAAAAAGAACCAGACATCTTATGGCCGTCTATTGCTCAGTCGGTTTGTACTGCCTGTAAATTCAACTAAAGACAGACCAAAGCATTTGCTGACGGCTCAGTTCAGTAACCAATTCAATTCCTCCACGATTTTTTTTTATGCCGATCCGATTTAAATTGCGATTCTACGATATTGTCGATTTTTAGTCCGCATTTTTAACACCAGTAAAACAGTTGAATGATTATGATTGTCTACTGACTTGTCCAGGAACCATATTTCGCCAAAATACACAAGTATTGTAAGTCAGTTTTAAGATTTATTCTTAAATTAGAAATTTGAACGCAAAAATCAATTTAAATATTGTAAAACAAAAAATCGCGATAATTATTTGTTTTACAATTTTTTCTCCCACCCCTTTGTAACCAACTGCTCACAATATGAAATCAATATTAAAGGTAATCTCGATCAAACATACCTTGTCTTCTGTATATTCAACACGTTGGTTTCATGTGGTCAAAACAGGATTATCGACTAGAAAAAGGAAACTTCCATCATTTGTGAGCTGTACGTTTCTATCACGCCGCCTGTCACTGTTTGGTTCCCTCACGAAATTCCACTCGACTATGAACCCGTGGTGATAACAATAGTTCCGACAGACGTAGCAAGCAATAATCGCCACGTGTAAAATATATAATAAAATGAGCCACAATTAACGACTATTTTATAAAAGTCGTCTCAGTAGAAGCAAAATACACATTTTTAATTGCAGACCGTACTATTTATACCATCATCTACTGACGACAAACGGACACATTTCCAGAGGTAATCACGCTGTGGCAATGGCTGCTGGGACTTGTAGTAGTACTACCTATTCAGTCACGACTTTTTTAAGGCAGTCAGAAATCAATTCCCCATGAGCCCATGGGGGTGCGAAGCAGCGTATCCATGACAGCCGTGTTATTGTTGTTGGTGCTGCTAGCTGTAGCATAGAAAATCCCTCGAGTTGACGTTGGCTAGCCCAACTAACGTTGCACACAGTTGTTCTACTTTAAGATTTTAACATAATTCAGGAGCATTATTAGGAGCACGTTTCTTATTAATGTAGCAGGTTCAAATCGTCTTATGATGTGGTACGATGACTTGACCAATGCCGTTCTTGCCTTATTGATGTTTAATCCGTCTGATATTGGAACTAGCTAGCCACTTGTAGCCTCCTCCTTCTTCTTCTAAAATTAGCTCCAGCGACCAGAAGCAACATTAGCACCTGCAGCCTTTGTCTGAGGGGGGTATTTTCATCCGCACACTGGAGGAAATGTCAGACCTTCCTCCAAACTCTTCCCAGGGAGCCCAGGACGTGGATGCGAGAATGAGAGACGAAGGTTTGAGACGATAAACTGAGACCAAGGAAATGATTTCACGATACAACAGGAGACCTGTATCACACAAACTTGAGATGTGAGTATTGGACATGAAGACTGCTTCAGATGATATTGTAGAGTTATATTTTTATTGCTCCAGACTGTCCATCTGTTATATCAAGATCCATTAACTGGCTTAGACTGATACAATTTAGTGTTAAAATCCAAGTGAGCCTCATCGAAGGGACATAATATTGTTATATTGTATGTTACAAATGTTCAGCTTTAAATATATTATATATCATAGGTGGTATAAAGGCTATGTCAGAGGAATAAGATGAAAAAAGACCACATATGAATATATAACATCATCATCATTTCCATACTTTGTAGGTGGATTGTACCACCACATCCTCTCTGTGTGGGGTTTCTGGGGCAGCTTAAGACTGTGCCAAAGACAGACAGAGCTCACTGTGAGTCTACATCCACAGGAAGATGTTCAGGGGTGTATTGTTATACAGAATCCATTTAGATTAAGGCAAGACCAGTAGATGTCTGTATCCACTGAGGATGATAAGAGTCTAATCAGAGCCTAAAGAACATTGGTAATTGGTAATCACTCAGTTTATTTGAATATATTTTGGTTATTTATACTCTTGCTGTTCTGTAATATCTTATTTATTTCTTAATTTTATATCTAAAATATTTAAAGTTTAATGCATGGGTTTGCTAGATGTCATATTTCTTGTTTTTTCTGTTTATGTTACAGTTTTAACTTTAACAGCATTACATAGAGCTTAGAATTGCTCTTTGTTTAAATGCTGCTTTACACATAAACTTGTCTGTTTGAGCTATTTATTTGTTTAGTGCTGTTAAATAATTTCATTATTTTTAGATTTTTGTTAGTATTCCTAGTCTATCATTTGTTATTTTATTTAGTATTTGTGTTTTGTTTCATTTGGGTGCATTTGCGGAGCACCTGAAGTCATATAGGTAGGTTGCCGGTAGGGGACCAGCACGCACCTGGGTTGGCTAATGTTTTTTACCAGAGCGGGAGAGACAAGGAATTTTTCTATGTTCTTTGTTTGCTTGCTTTTTGGTTAAATAAACCACGTTTTTCTTTGAGCTTGAATTTTGCTTGGACGTTAAGTTTTTCCCACCCGCCTACAATACAGCCCATGGTGCAAAAGTAGCGTTTGATTCGTTTAATTTGAAGTTTGATTTGAAACTTTTGTTTGGTTGACAAACGGCTACTACATTGTCTTTCCTTTATGTTTTTACAGGTGAACCTGTTTTTACACATTATGCTTGCAAATTCACTTTCGATGTCATTCATTCATTATTATTTTTCTATTTTGGTTTTCTTGCACGCAGTCGTGGGTTATCTCGAAGCAGCCTTGACCACCACCCTCTCCCAGAGGAGGCAGATGATAACCAAACCCCTCAGCGCTACCTGCATGACCTCCAGGAAGCTGTCTCTGCTCACAACAGGTAACCTAGTCCTGGTGAAGAAACCCTTGACATGCTGAAAGAAGGCAAAGATCAAACTACCAGCACCCAAACATACTCCTGTCTGTATGATTTGTAAAGTGACACCATCTGGAGTGGATGCTTGATCCTCAGAGCTCCCGCCATGTGAAATGAGACACCAAGAAGCAGTGGATTAATTGATATCACATTGCCTCCTTCAGATGTGCAGTTAAAAGAATAAATAATGAGGTAGCCTGTTAGAATATTGAATCACTTTGACATTTGCCCTTTACTTCCACTTTGAAATTCTGCCTTTGATAATGTCAGCAACAGCCACCACATTTCCTACAACAGAGACCCTGTGAATCCCTATAAACATGTGCTATAAGCTATATCTCCTTCACAGTTTACCACAGGACATAACCCTGACATACTCTCTCTCCTTTTTTTTTGCAGCTCTGATACATCTGCTGCCTCCGGCCACTCAGACTGTCCCACTGTCATCTCAGTAGATTCCAGCCAGTCCTGGTCAGGTATCCACAGCTCTACAGGCACTGGCATCTCTACAGAGAGAAGCTCTGTTTTCTCCTGGGGTTATGATGTAAGTCTTCCACTGAAACTGCTGTTTTAATATAAAATTATACACAAGTTTTTCACCTTATCTCCTATAGTGTTGCAGACCTAAATAGGAGACCCACAGGGCAAACTTTTGTGCATGTCTCATCATCAAATTTTGAATTCTTTTCTAAGATATGTCACCCTTTGGCAACCAAGAGGAAAACCATAGACCATCACTGTTTGGTGGAAGGCCTATTTGTCTGCAGCTTCTTATGATATTCTGTCCCTTTGGGTATTGCTTTGTTCTTATGCTGCGCTTTCTTGCCTCAGCTGGTCGACCAGCCTCTTTCTGATTCAGTGATTGATCAAGTTTGGTGCCCACAAGCTGCTTCTGAAACATAAAAAACTAAGATAGTCATTTACACAAACTAACTTGCTTATTTTGATGCCACAGAAGAATGTCCAGCTTGACCACAAACACATAGAAACATCCCAAGAGTCTGTTGGGGCTGATTATTATGCACGATGAAGGTTGTGGTTAGAAACAGACTGAAAAGCAGCAACTTTCAGTTACAGAGTTGGAGTGTTGAAAGAAAGGAATGACAAGCTTTTCTCCTTGTGTTTCCTTCTCTTTGTTTTTTTTTTCCTTTTTTTTTTTTTGTCTCACAGGAGTTTGACAAAGCAGCGTCACGGCAGGTGCAGCAAATGTTTGAGGAGATCGACAAAGAGCTTTACGAGGGAAGAGGCAGCGGAGGAGGGATACTCCAGGGGCTGCAGGATGAATGTCAGCAGTGGGCCACACGTTTTCCTCATCTCCGGTATGTTATCCAAAGTTTCCTCTCCTTTAACTTTCTGTGTGAAACAGGGCAGTCGTGGGATCAAACATAAATTCTAATTGTGGAAATAAGTCTGTATGAAAACAATTCTTTTGCCCACTTAATGATTGTTTGTCTCTTAGGATTCTTGGGACCCAGCTGGTGTGTCCCAGTGATGAGGGCTTCCAGTGGTACACTACTCCAGGTGTAATTAGCTCTTCCAGCAGCTCATCAGCAGGCAAAGAGAGCAGTGGGAAGTCTCAAGAGAATGATAAAGGGGGCACAGAGTAAGTCTTAACTGCACTAATTGATTGGTAGACTGACTGACTCAAGTTAAAATTCACCTTTTAGATACCGTCTCCTTTCCTTTAGTTTCATTGCAGTGCAAAAAAATCATGTCGTTCACAAAGTGACAAGGTAGCTAAATTTGTCCAATCCACAGATCAAAACATAAAGACTGTTCATCTACTACCACAAACTTGGATACATAGAAAATCTTTATTTCTAGAAGCTGCAGCCAGAATACGTTTGATACTTTTACTAAAAAAAATTCTGCGCTGATAAATAGGTCGCCAAGACTTTTGACATAAAATTTTTGATTCATTTATACCAATCCCTGCAGCTGTGGCTTGTTTTTTTTTCAACCATTGCAAATGCATCCATGTGTTGCTTTATTGATTGCAGAATTTGGCTGAAAATATTAGGTCTCTCTCTTTTGAAAGGCTGTAGGCAGGCTGTCCAGAAGACCGGGGTTGATGCATTAATTATGAAGGAGTCTGTGGTTTTGTGACCTAGATGCTTTGGTTTCTTAATGAAGTTTATAGGCCAGGGTTAGCCATCAGAGATAAAGTCAAGACTGCCACTTTTCATGGTAGACTGGTTATAACAAGACAGTGCTAATATCTTACTGCTTACGTCTGAGTAGACATGATAAAGTTGCTGAAAAATCAAAAGGAAAATGCCTCAGGTATATGTGGCTGGATTTTTGTATATTCATGAGATAAGGGAAAATCAACAGCATCTGTGTGTTTTTGACTTAACTTCACGTTCCCCTGTGTTGGGTTACAGGCTGAATGTTCAGGGACGGAAGGCAGCACTCACCAAGTCCTCTTCAGCAGAGATGGAAGAGACTCTGGACACATCCAGCAGCCATGACAAGCCAAGAGTAATTGAAGTAGAAGGCCAGATGGAGGAATACCTGGCTTATGATAGCAGGGATTTGTGAGTTGCTCACTTTCCCTCAGCTACACATTGATGTGCTTAGCCTAGCTTAACCTGAGCTGCTGTCAGTTTTGTTCAGATAATCTTCTATATTTCTCTTCCACAGGGAGGAAGAGTGGGAACAGGACAGTCTTGTGTCAGGTCGAAGGCATCACCGTATGCCCCCTGTTTCACCACACCGGTGTCGCCGCCAAGCAGTTCTGGACCTGCTGTTTGATGATGTGTGGCAGCAGCTTGTTGGCTGGATGAAAGAGCTGGTTCAACGCCACTGGGAATGCTGCGCCTCAAGTAGAGATTAACACACCTCATTTGCACCCGCTGCACCTAATTCAGTTGATCACATGTGGATTCTTGAGCATGGTATTTGATTGATTGATTCTATCTTTGAATTTCCAGATGATGAAAAGATTTCTGGGAACTTAAGCCCTGTGCAACAAGACTCCCAGAACCCCTTCATGCTGCTCTCCATGCTGCCCACAATGCTGCCAAAACCAGGCCAGAGCAGGGTGCCCCCCCTCACGGCTAGCCTGCACATCCAGGTCAGTGGGTTGAGGGGTGGTTGGGTTTCACTCAGAGAGAAGACTAACCTAAATTGTAGTTCAGGACATCAATTCAGGGCTTCACATCCAGTTTATTTTCTTTTTGAAAATGTGCTTTTTACTGCTGAATGACACATTCAGCAAAGGTGACAGTGGTTTTTATACAACAGAAGTTTATAGCATGATAAAAAAAACTGTTTTTAGGTGTGTAACATATTTAATTTTTATACACACTGTACGGGAGGGGGTTGTTTTTTATTGTCCGCCTGTTTGGATAATACCAAAGATGATAACATCTTTTCAGCATCTTTAAATGTTCCACTTTACACCCGATTGTCACCTTTCCCCTCCTCCTGCCTACTGCTCTTTCAGTCTTTCCATGCCTCTGGTTCATTAACTTGTATCACTGTTTTCTTCCCTCCCCTTTCCACTCCACTGCCCTTCACTTTTAATGTGTGTTTTCTTTACTTCCCTTCCCTTTCATACTGTTTATTCTTTATTTCTCTGTTCTTTTTTTGCCTTTTTCTTCCCACGTTCTTCTTTGGGTCATGACCTTTTCCCTCTTTAAGAACACAAAGTCAAAGGGCTCAAAGCACAAGACCAGACGGAAATCCAAAAAGCAGAAAAGGCCTTCCAGTGTATGTAACTCCTCATGTAGAGCCAAAATGTTGTTCTTAGAATAAACGTGCTTGTGCCTGTTGAATAACATGAAGTATCATCCCTTTATCTTTTTAATAAGTGCAGATTTTCTTTTGTTTTCTGTAGACTTTTCCTTATTTTCACATAGAGAATGTTGGAATGCTGTGTTTTCCTACTACTGCTTGTGTTGCACCTAAAGTGACATTAATATTTCTTTTGGTTGGGGGCTAAGATGGTATGCGGTCCTTCTGAATGCATGATATTGAGCACAGACTGTCTTGTAGATAAAGAATGAGCATATGGCATCTGATACTTTGTGTATATTATGTCTTTTCCCCTCTCTTGTCTTCTCTTGTTCTTAAACTCTTAATCATTGTCAACTTTTCGCCTGTTCTTATCTTTGCTCCTCTTTTCCCATCTCACCACTTCCTCCTTTACCTCTCATACTCTCAACCAGACTGGCCGGGCACCAGTAGGAACCGCAGCCACCCAGCACAACCTGAACGACCTCATTGTGATCCACAGCATGCCCCTGCAGCAGAGGAACCTGGGAGTGCTGGACAGAAACCAGTACGGACACATTTTACATAATTGCAAATAGAGAAAAAAGCAAAATCACATTTAGCAAACAATGGTGCATTCTTGATGAAAGATTTTAATCCTTGAATGGGACCAAAATGTGGCACTGATGTCCTGTAAACCAAGTCAACACAGTCCATGTAACAAGAAGCCTAGCCTCCTAGTTCCTGGTTCCTAACACCTTGATTGGCAGAGTAATTTGGCAACAGTTGAAAATGCACCATTCATCGATTGTGCTCCTCAATTCCTGCACAGGGAGCCAGAAGAGCGGGCGTCCCACAGACCTGGCTCCAGCATAGGCCCCTCCAGCAAACCTCGTCCTCGCAAAACCCTTGAGCAGAGCACCGCCTCCCTATCCCGCCTGGCGCTGTCTGCCCAACGCAGAAACCCTCATCCCCGAAACCTCCTGCCACTGGTTCCCAGCCTGAGCCAATCCATCGCCGCTGGATCCATGGACGAGGTCGTCCGCGGGACACGTTTGTGAGTTTAGCATTATTAGAGACCTCTGCCGACTCCACCCAAACATAAGTCCCACTTTTGATACTCTCTTATTTTCCCTGTGGTCTCAGAATTTTCCTTGAGGTAGAGTTAGATAACTTTGAAACAGACGTGCTTTCAGCTCGTGCCTCATGGCTGTGTGCTGCAGAGTTATGATGGAGGTGTCATGTATGAAACCAACTTCACAGGTGAACTTCTCATGAACTGCAGGGAAAGAGGCTAATTATGTGAAATGTGTCACAATGTTTTGGAGTTTATGGGAATGTCAAGTCTTCTGTGGAATACTACCGACGAGGAAAAGAAAGTGTTCAAAAAGTGGGCTTTTGATTTTAGTTTACTTTTCAGTCATGCCAGTGAGACTCAAGTTTAGGAAGTTGTTTAGCCTGGTTAGGAAATAGTGGGGCACATTGAACTTGAAACTACAACTTACTTTTTTCAGTTTTTGCAAGGATCAAACACCCAAGACAGAACTTTGAAACTAAATAAACTTTTTAAAGGTACTCTGGGTACTCTTATGAGGAATTTTTTGACCTCTCTGAAATAGGCTTACATTCATATTGATGCCTTTTTATGATATCCAAGAGCAAACAAGACCATCAGGGACGAGATTTGCAATTTGTGTTTTTATACAGAACCACCGCCAGCGACCACATGACATCTTCACTCTCCCCAATGAGAAGGAACACACTACTCCCCCCCATCAGTGCTGGAGAACCAGACTCATCACAGTTAGGGCAGAGATCAAAAGCTGGACAGGTATGTTAACACCTATGAAATACAGCTACACTGAAAGTGAAGCTTTTCAAACTGTTTGAAGAAACCTGTATCGGTTCATACTTTTACCAGCGTCAGAGAGGCACATCCAGCCGTGCCCACAGTGCTATAAATGACAAAGCTGGCAGCTCCATACCGAGGGATCGTCACCACCTGCTGGACGTCATCTCTCGACCAAATACCACTCACACATACAGGGTAAGATGCTCCTCGTGAACTTGGAAATGCAAAATACTATCAAGCTATCTTTGTATGTTTGTAGTTATGTTTTGTCAGTGAGTGAGTACATACAATCTTTGAATGCCAGAGGTGGTATGTTTAACTCTTTGTTTTGTTTTCAGTCAGACACTCCCTACCGCCGGTCCTTCACAGTATTGGACAACATTGGGCAGGGACGTCCAGGCAGAGCCTCTGTAGCTGCAGGTCAGCACGATAAGATTGGCTAATATCTTAGCAGCACGATAAGCTATGATAGTGGATATATTTATTTTTCTCTGCGATGATGTGTGCACAAATCTTTTTAAATTAAGTGCCTGGTTGTCCAGTGTTGTACTCAAATTATCATTTATTCCACTAGATTCTCTTGGAATTGGTGTGACCGGTATCAGTCTTGGCATCAGCAGCTCATCTTTCTTGGACTCATACTCCCATCACCCTTTGGGCCATTTGCCCATCAAAGATGAAGAGGAACCAGACACGCAAGCCCCTGTCCCAGGTCAGTAGATCAAAGAGGCTGTTGAAACTCTGCCAGGCCTGGTCTTGGATCAAATATAAATGAAAGGAAAATCTTTTTTTTTTCATGTCTGGATTTCAATATGTTCATTTCATACATTTAACCCCGTCCTCTATCCCATAGCCGCTCTGGTGCCTGTGTCCATCCCCACTCGGTCTTATTCCCGCGGAGGGATATCATCCAGAGCAAAGAGACCTGGTTTGTAGTTTGGACTCATCTGCCAGTCACCTTTATATGGCTCAACAAAGCGCTCCTCTGTTGCATCTGTGCCCACAGATTTTTTTTTAAATTTTACAGAAGTAGCAGATTTTTTCATATCATGCTGCTTTGGTGAAGTTTTTGTCAGAGGAGTTTTTGTATTTTTAATAAATCAGCTAATTCAGCTGCCAATCACAAATAACCAACATGTAACACTGACTCCATCATTATGTACAGTTTGAGTTTATGGGTGGATGTTGGTACAATGTTTGTATGATCTGAATGTGTACATATCTTATTTATATATATACATGAATGTACTGTATATTATCCTCTGTGGTGTGTTGTTGTGCTCATAAATACCTATGCAGGGAATAACACATCCACCCAGACAGGGATATAAAGGACATAAAGCGCACTTTTCCCCCTCTGGTATTGCAACAGAGGGTTTGGTACTGTATCTTTTTTAAGGGACACACATACTCAAGCACCCTGAGTAAAAAATAAACTGGCCTAAAGCCTTTCATTGCATAGAATTGCACATTGAAACAAGAACAGATGCCATCTTGTAGGTTTTTTTCCCCCATTAAATACAACCCCAATTCCAAAAACATAGGGATGCTGGTTAAAGCATTGATAGATTGTCATTGACAGATTTCAATGGTTTTCAAGTCAGTTTGTGTATATCTATATGTATATTATAAAAAGTATATTTAATTGAGCATGTTGCAAAGGCAGCAGGTCAGATGTTGAAACAGAAAACTGGAGACGTTTTAGGAGAAAGACACAATAGATGTTCATAAAGCCCATTTTAGATGAACTGAGGCAAAGTGGAAAAATTACTTTGGTCTGATGGATCAATATGGCATCCTTATAAAGAGGAGAGGGACCACCTGACTTAGTATCAGTGCACACTGGTATTGGTAGCTGACACAATATGAATGAATATGAATACTGGGCTTTTTATGGCTACATTATACAGTATCCCAACTTTTTTTGGAAATGGGGTGACAAGCAGAGGGGATCTGATGCTGTAAAAGCACTGACAGAACTTTGCAGCTCATTACACCTCATTTTGTGTAATTTGTAAGATGCAATCATTAGGAGCTGTAAATAAGAGTCAAAGTCATTCTATCTATTAAGAATAATGTATTGTTGGTCATGTTTCCTCCTTACTGAAATGAAGCCAAGCAGGGTTGCTTTGACAAGTGGCATCAGGGTAGTTTTTCCTTCATTTCTTTTTAGAATCAATTATCAGAAGCCATGCTACAGAGGTGACAAAGCTTGAAACTGGAAGCTTTTCTTCAATGCATTTTCTCTGATTCTTTTGTACAGAAAACAATAAAAGTAATTTTACAAACAAAACATGAAGATGAGTTTATTTGAGTTCATCAAGACAAGGAATAAAATATGCATTTACAACTATTAAATCTAAGCGCACATAAAGCTGTTCTGGTTACACCATATGAGAAACAGCAATTAACAAGCTTATTCATTTTGAAAGGTGGTTGAACAATTAAAGATTTATCTACATTTGGACCATTATATCCAGAGCCTGTGCTGTATATTATTCACTTCTTACTTCTCTTCCCTTTCTGGGGTTTCTCACTTTTTTTTGAGTATTTTGCCTCGAGATCAGACAGGAAACTGTTAAAATTCTTCTCTCTTGACTGTTGTCTTTGCTGAAAAATAAAATAAAAAAAGGTTCAGTTAAAAACAGTCAAGAAAATACTTCTCTGAAACATCTGCAAAACTGTGAATGCTTTTGTTACCTTAAGCATCATGACAAGACTGTCATCTTCATCACCAAGCCCCATCTCTTTCTGCATTTCTTCAGCTTCTTTCCGCTCTCTATCAGCCTGGGAGGCCAACCGTGGAGAATGTTAGAGAAATTACTCCTGTCAGTGTAGATTTAAAGATAAATAGACAATTTTAACACATTTCTCACCCTCTTTCTACGAGCTCTCTTCTTCTTTTCGGTCTCCTGAGTAAATGCAGGGAATGCTGTGACTTCTTCACTGTCGATGGCTGCCTGGATGATGTCGCGGAACCTGGGCTCATCTTCCTGAGAGCAGCAGAGGGCTGAAGCCATGATGGAGTCCATGTCTCCCTGGTGCTGCATGTACAGCTGGATCACATCCTGACGCTCCTCATCAGTGCCCTTATATTTCTTCTCAAACTCAAGGATGTCCTGCACTGTGATCTAAAAAGTAGTGTGTTAACATTTTCAAAAACAGAATAAAAAATTAAGCCTTGCATAGCATATACTTGCATTTAAATCTGAGGTTACTGCTTTTATATTTCAATCCTTAATCTATAGATCCAGTGGCACAATAGCCTTGCACAAAATGTTAAATGATCCTAATTACAATTCCTGGAATAGAGGTGACTCACTCTTTATGCCACTTTCTTTTGTATGTAGTTCATGTAAGTATCAGTGACTCATTTTTGAGTCATGGTAATGAAATAACAGGGAACACCTGCCGTCCTCCAATACCTTAGGGAAGAGCAGTCTCCAGTAGTCTTCCCAACAGCGATCTTGACTCAAGACGTCAGACTCTTCATCCACCACCCCCTGCTCATCATATACAGCTCTCTGCTCCTTATCGCTGAGCACCGCATACAACTTTCCCAGCACCTAGAAACAAATAATAATAATAATAATAATAACTTGGACTTCATGGTGAACATTTTAGTTACACTCGGAAAATATTTCATTCACAGATGTAAATACCCCAAGATGAAGCCCCACTTCAATGGATGGATAAGACCCTCACATTCTCTTTTCTTTTTTCCATGTTGTTTTGTTAATCTAAAAAGCTGGTTTAACACTTTATACTTCAAGTATCACCAATGGGCCTTAATGTTTGTATTTTGTTAAATAATAAAATGTTTACAAAGTAAAAGAGAAGCAAAAATATAATGTAAGACAAAATTCTACACATATATGACTGAGAAATATTGTATGCGTTCACTGTATACATAAATGATCAACCTCAGGCTGTGAGGATGTGGTTGGATATCCTCAAAATGTGACTAACATCAGATTTTTGCTTATCAGTTGTACATTTGCTATAACGGTTGTGTTAGCACACTATGAGCAATAATGCACATGATGAACTCTTATCTTTCACTGGTCCAAAATGAACCGTTTTTAAACTATGATTCTTATATTACCTCTATAAGCAAAAACAACAGCAAAAAAACAAAACAACAACTGACTAAAGAGATATTCCAGTGTAAAATTAATTTAGAGTCAAACACACCGTAACACCGAGTTAGACACCCCCTCGAGAGATGAATGTTGCCGACTGCTTGCTTCTCTAGTTATACCAACTTTAGTAACGACCGCACGATAGCAATACACAGCAGTCTGAGGAGCCATAAACAAACCTCAACCAAAACGCCACTCTATAGCCACAAATAATGCTCAGAACAGATCCTAACTTCATCAACAGTACATACAGGGTCCCAGCCATAGCACTAGCCACCAAACTTTGCCGAATTTCTTTAGCAAGGAGACTAAACACAACTCACCTACTCTCTTCCAGCAGCCCCTTGTTTGTAGAGAGACCTTGGGCCAGTCCATTAAGGACTACAGCGGGGTGGCACAGTTCAAGGAAGAACATTTATGATCATTTCTTCATTGAAATGCAATCAGACTGAGACGCTAAGGTAGAAGAACTACCACGTCTGCAGTGCAAAATGATTAACATGGTGATTATTACTTCAAGGACATTATAAAGAAATGATCATAAATGCTCTTCCTTGAACTGCGTCACCCCGCTGTACTCCGGTATAACTAGAGAAGCAAGCTGTCGGGAACGTTCATCTCTCGAGGGGGTGTCTAACTCGGTGTTACGGTGTGTTTGACCCTAACTTTATTTTACACTGGAATATCCCTTTAAGTTTGTAATTGAAACAGTTTTAGGAACAGGTGTAACTTGGAAGGGATCATTTTGTACCTTGCAAAAAATGATGTAGCTAAACTGCAGTATAGCAATACAAAAAGGATATACAGCACACCTAATGAGCACCAACACGTTACAGAGTCTCTCTGTCAGTCTAAGATCTAACCCTGAAGGCTCTGGGTCAGCAGGACACTGCTCGTGTCTCTACTTTTGTTAGCTATATTAGCTAGCTGCTAAGGCTAGCTTCAGCTTCTTCTGTGTTTACGTCCACCTAGAGGAGCTAACCTGGAATTTCTCCGTGGCCTGCGGGTCTTCAGGAGCCCTGTCAGGGTGGACTTTGAGAGACACTTTGTAGTAGCTCCTCCGGATGTCTGCCTCGGCTGCGTCTTTGTTGATACCCAGCACCTCGTACAGGTTTTGGGTCTTGAAGAGCTCCTGGCACCGCTCGAGCAATCCCATCTTTCTGACGCTCCTCCCGGTCGACGTTTAACAGAGATTTAAGTTGGTGAGTTTGTGCTCCTAAATGTTCCGGTTGCTTTGAAAGCAGATTTTTGAGGTTTTATTGTGCAGGCCTTCTCGAGTTCCTATGTTCAGCTTTGTCAGTGTTAGTGATATCAATTTGGCGCGCTGGACTGTCACAAACTCCATTACGTATAGCGACGTGCTTACGTATACATCTTAAACGAATTCTCATTGGTTACTACCTTCTCACTCGTCACACTTGTATGGATAACGCTAATGATCATCATTTTCAAGAGTGAAAAATGTTTTTTTGGAAATAAATGTCTAACCCCTTCACCCATGTGCTTCTAACCTTCACAAAATCTATGAATTGATGTCCATCTCCTAAATATTTGGTCACATGATTAATTTTCTTTTACCATTTCCAAGCAACAGGAGGTGGCTCAACTTACCCCACTCTCCACTATATACCTACTGACCTTATCATAACGGCCATAACAATGTTGCATAGAATGTTATGTTTTTGGTTTCTTATCATGGACGTCTGGAGTGGACACGGGCCATTATTTGTTTACTCATTTTTTAGTCACTCTTTATTCACTAATTACAAATCTCATGTCTCTAACTCATCTCTTCTGGCTCTACTGTAGGTCTGCTTTTTCTACCAGTAGACTAAACCACTGGCATGTCCTTATTTATGAAGTGATTCTTAACTTGCTGCCCTCTTATTTATACTCTAGTATTAAATGAAAAATGCTGATAGTTGCAGTCTTTGCTCTGTGATCTAGTCTCAAGACTTAGTTTTGCTCTCTGTCCCTGAAGTGAGTCTTGAAATGAGTAAAAGGAGTTTTAGATATGCTGCTACTGCAGCTTGGAATTTGCTGCAAAAGAATTTGGTTTTGAGGCAGCTGGTTTCTCTGAATGTTTTTCATAGGAGATTGAGGACAGTGGAGGAATGCATTAGGGCTGCAGATGCTTTGAATGATGATTTCTGTTCTGTGACCCAGAATATGATGGACCAAGGAATACTTAGTACTGCAGGATTTGTACGTGGAGTGCAGATTAAAACTAGGAGCAGCTGCCTGGACCTGGAAGATCTGTCTGCTGCTGGAAGCTGAAACTGGATGAGGAGGGACTGCTGCATCTTGTGACTCTTTGACCTGTAGCTTGACTTGGACTTGATAAACAGATTTACCAAAGAATGACTGGAGACATCCGTCTAATTCTTAGTTATGAGTTTTGACTGAACTGCTTTCTGACTCAGAGTTTAAATATTTAGTTTAGTTGTGTTAGGCTACTAGGCCCTGCCTCAGACTCCCAGTGGCTCTTTGTTTTGTGAAGTTGCTAGACGAGCGGAGATCCAACTTCCAACAGTGCATGTGTCAGAGGCCAGACTGCAACAACAGAGACTTAAATCTCTAGATTCTTTGATCTTTTGATAATTATTGCCTTTATCACCAGGAAACAGACCTTGTCATCTTGAATATCATGAACTATGTCATTATACAACAAGAAAAGCTAGTTTCAATATTTCAAGAAAACTAGTAAGATAGCAAATTAACTTGTTGTAAGAAGAAAACAGACATTGCTCAGAGATTAGGGGGTCAATAAGGTCTCAAGAAAACAACTTAACTTGACAACACATCACACAATTATCTGAAGAAAATGGTTTCAGGGCCATTTATGGCTTCTATATATTCTTGGAAAATATAAATGTGTATTGTCTTGACATGAGAAATGTATCTGTTTGTTACAGACTGCAACAACAGTCTGTTTGTATATATAAGTTTAATTGCAATGAGTGTCTCTCCTATTCAGCCCCTGTTACTGAAATGAATGTGTTGAATCTCCCTTTACATAAAAGTCCTGCATCAGTAGCAAAAGAAATCATCTCTACGAGTGACGGTGGAAGCTATCTAAATGATTTAGTTGCATGAAAATGTAATTCTGAAGTTCAGTATACATAAATGCATCACTCAGTCACAAGCCCACTGATACCCCAGTATTTATTGGTGCATTTGAAGCAGCACAAGAATACATCAAAGACAATGAGGCAAGTCACTAAGTATTTTTCACTGCTTCATGCAAAAGCAGAACACAAAGATACACACTGACTTTGAACTAAGCTTCTGTAGATTGCACCCATCTGTGTTTATAAGCCTGTACAATATGCAGCTCTGGAGATATACACTGCGAACCCCCCAGTCTCAGATGTTATCCAATTATTACCCCATCTGTTTCTGTTGCATATTTGGCACAGTCTCTGTTGTTGTTTTTGTGTTGACTCTTTGTCATCAAAAACCTTGTCTGTCCTTTGTACTCACACACAGAATAAGCACTTGGACAACTGGCACATCATTACCATGATCAACAATGGAAAACAAAATGACAAAAGCAAAGAAGTTGTAATGTAAATGTTATGAACTTTTGCTGGTGTGCAGATTTGTCTCATATGCTTTCCATCCACCTGCATGAACAGTGCAAGTGAAGTTTGACCCCGTTCCCTGCTCCTTCAGAGGGAGAATTTCCTTGTCATGGTTACAGTCTCTCCACAACAGTCAAACGGCTTCATTCTCATGGTCAGTCTTTACATCATGTCCATGGCCGATACGTTTTGCCCTTTAACCTGGACAGTCTAATAGCCTCCTGTAGGGGGCGGCAGCTCAGCACTCCTTTCTGGTCTTCACCATCTTGCTGGCGTACTTTATAGGAATCCCCCAGCGTCTCATTAGATAGACATCAAACACGTATGCCATCCCTGGCTCCAGGCCTCCAATCACAGCTGTAGTGACAGCCCTCCGAGGATTCAGCTCCTGGAAATACTTGCACAGAACTCTCTCGGTGTCAGAGCGGGACTCTGGCCCCAGACAGGGTGCAGTCAGAGCCCCGGTCTCTGCTTCACTGCTCCCAAGCTTCCTTCGGTAAACACAATATAGGCTTCTTTCCTCTGTGCCCATCCAGGCCAGGGTGATGCTGTTGCAACCACGTAACCGGTTGAAAGACTTTATCTGCAAGGTGGAGGGTAGAGATGGGACCCCTCTGCGATGGTAGGCTGAGGAGGTCTGCAGTTTGACAGAAGCTGTCAGACCTCCAGGGAGAGCTGGGTCTGTCGCAGTCCCTTCTCTCTCGAGGTGGATAAGGTATGTAGGACTTCCCTGGAGCCAGATATGTTCCAAATCTCCTCCTACAGCCTTTGATGTCAATACTTGACCTTTACTCGAAACAGTAACTTTGACTTTTTCACCTTTGCCGCAGCTCTGCAGAGTGAGGAGGCCACTCTGCTGCAAACCTCGTGGGCGGAAACTGAAGAATTGCTCTGAGCGGACGCCTTGGTCGTGGAAAGTCACCCATCTCAGCTCCCCGTCTCTAAGGGTAGTGATCGCCGGTCGAGCTTCCTCATGCGTTCGAGCAAATGTGCCCTTGTAGGCTGCACTGGTCCCGTTCACCCTGTCGAAAACAAAGACGTCAAAGTAATACTGGGTTTCAGGGAGGAGCTCAGAGACTGTGCAGACGCTTTCAGTCCCCTGACAAGCACACTGCAGATCAGCAAACTCATCAACAAGGGAGGAAGGTGCGCTCTCAGACTCTGAGTCCCACTGCTGCCACCACCACTCCTTCAGAATCGGCCATGCTGTCACCCTCCTCCTCCTCTCCTTCTTCTCCTGCTTCTGATCATTATCTTTCCTCACACTTTGTTGTGCAGCACAGACACTGGGGTAGTTCTGCTGAGGGTTGGCAAGAACACAGTATTCGTAACTTTTCTGTGTGAGTGGAAGTCTGGTGATGGAGACACTGGGCGCCCAGCTGAGGGTGACACTGGTCATGCCGACACCCAACGTGTGAACTCGAGGGTCAGCTGGGAGGAGAGGGAAGGCGCCTGGAGGTCCCAGGCCTTCATGGAGGAACACTGTAACTCTGGTGTTTTTCTGTTTGGAGCGAAGCCTCAGGATGTAGACAGACGTATGAGGGTAGGAAGGACCCTGGTAGGTGTCCACTGTGTTTCCTGTGAAGCTGTGCATTTTCTCCTCTGTACCAGGACCTCGCCACCAAACTTCGGGCACACTCTTTTTGGTGCTCCCTGTGGAAACAATAGACAAATCAGAACATGTTTTGTTTACTTAAACAGTCTAACATTAATCAGAGACATTGATGGCATCAGTTCTGTTGTCTCTGAACAGACCTCAGAGAAATTCATGGCTATAAATATAACATTTACCTTCTCATTAGATGTTATTTTTATATTCTACTTATGTTAAGATAAAACAAAAAAGATAGAGCATGTGTTTTTTAAGCTATATTTGAATTTTGAACAGGGCCAGCTGGCTTTGTTGTCCAGCCAGCCCTCATTATAGCTGTGTGTGTGTGTGTGTGTCCTGGCTGTGTATCCATATAGTTATAAAGAGAAAAAAAGCATATGAACCAGGTTTTAACATATTCTCTTAGTTTAAGTTTGAATTTAGATTCTTGGGGGTTCAGGGGGAACACGAGCAGTAATATTTAGCATTTCTATTATGAGAGACAATGATACAAACTTGAGCCAAGAGTGCTTTTCAACAAAACTCTCATCCTGCTTTCTTTTGCAGTAAGAGCCAAATATATATATTTAATTGCTGCCAATTCTGCAGTGTAAGAAAGGCACTTTTAACAGTGCCTCATAGATCACTTTTTCTGTAAAAGAGATGTCATGCACACAAAAAAATAGGTAATATAGAAAATATCAAGCCTATATTGATAGGGTTCCCTGATGGTCTTCCTTACTTTTGCTGCTCATGAAGAGGCACGGCAGTCCTTTCTATTTATACTTGACAATCAGTTAAAAACCTCTCAAAAGATTTTATTAGATTAAAACTGCAAGTGTGATTTTATCATTGACTTTTGATTGAAATTGGGTTTGGATGTCTCAGACCTATGACAACCTTTTCTCAACCAGCATCAGTATGTCTAGAGTTACAGCTTTATCTTAAAATCTAATAATTTGTTCATTCAAGCACTATAAGGTCTGAAATAAGTACTTTGGCATCATTTCTACGAACTTCTTTCAAGCAGTAGCTGGATTCACATTTAAGACATAATATAAGATAATCTTATTTTCATTACAAAAATTCTGCATGAGCTGTGTAGTGTTAACAAAAAGGCCAGAGATATCATTAGAACCCATATTGCCAGTCTATATGGATAGAGTTAGATGAATACACTTTTTTTCTGGGATGTGAATGATACACATGTCTGTGTATCAATAAATACTTCATGGTTCATCCTGTCTTAAGATGAGAAATAGTTCATTAAATGTGTCCAAATGTTACAGAATCAAAGTGAAAAATTCAGGCTGCAAGCTCAAAGTCTTAATAAATCATGTGTCATATTATGACTTGATTATGGTATTATACCAAGTGAAGAAGACTGTTTAGTTCACCTGGAAGAGTTCCCATACAATACTCTGAGGCATCCTCCCTCCTTTAGATGTCTACACTTACTTTAGTTCGATGCTGCATCACTTTCAGCTCTTCATGCCCAATGTTTCAAGCTATTTTCCTATTTGGCTGCCCTATTTTACTCTTCCTAATTTATGCCATTTTAAACATTGCAGACTTCAAGCACCGTATTTCTTCTTTATTTGACATTTAAATCAAGACAGAAGCCCTTTCTGGCTAATGTGTCCATGTTTTATGACGTTTTAAAATCCCAATCTGAATCCTTGCATCAAATTTATGACGGTGTGACAACCAGATATAATCCGACCCTGTCCTTGTCAGAGAGGCATTAAGATGGGAGAAGTTTTCAGTGCTTTTGGCTCAAACTACTCTAACAACTGACTGGATGAGATGACAGTATATCCCACAAATCAACTATGTGTTGAAATCAAAATAATAGCAAAACTTACACCTTCAGATATGTCTGCAGAGTAAATCCAACATTTTTTTGGCTCATTGCCCACTTTGTAGTCAGGCTATCTGAGTTTATCTGTTGAGTCTTAGTTTCACTGTAAAGGTACAATACTCAAAGGATTAGCAGCAGTATGAACCCGAAAAAGAAACCATGAACATGTGAGAGTTTCGTGAGAATTTGTTGACTCTGAAGGTTACAGAAATTAAGATTTGTGAAAAGTAAAATCTCTCTCTCTCTCTCTCTCTCTCTCTCTCTCTCTCTTTCTCTCTCTCTCAATGAAATCTGTGCACAGAGTTAAAAAGTTTACTAGTAGAATAAACTATATCAAATTTTTCTTCAAAGCCTTAATTACCAATGTAGAGCACCATCAAAGTGGTGTCTTCTGCTGTAAAAGTGGAGCTCATGAGAGTACATCCAGTTCTCTTTTAGCCAAAGCCAGTTTCCAATCCAGATACACTACAATCCAGAGCATATGGGTACTGTTCTGGTGAGAAAAGCATTAGTTTTTTTATGACAGTGATTGAATACATGAGAAAGTGGCAATAAGTAACTCTTGAATCTTAAAGGTGCCAGGGGAGTTATTTTGTCAAAGACTAGATTTCCTTAAAAAACTGAAAGGCTATTTGTTAATAAAATTTAATGGTAAAAACAGTTCATTCATGATGATAATTATTGAAATAAGCTCTCTGCATTGCTCTAAAAATGAGTGGTTGGTTTATTAAATACATCCTGTCTTCCTTGTAAAAAGAGGAAACCCAGATATTCTCAGATAGGGTTTTGGTTTAAAATTGAGTTTGGTTGCTTTGTTTTAAGTGTTTGCTGAGGCTAAGCCACGTCATTTTGACCTGAAGGGTAATCAGAAAGTGAAAACAACACAAGGGCTAAAATAGTTGGGACAAAAAAAATCTAAAATCTTATATTTAATGTCTTTCACAACTGTGAATCCAGTGAATTCGCGCTCAAGTTGAAAACTTTATCTTGAACAAAATGCTATAGCTGCACTTGCATGTAGATATCTTTGTGCTGATATTAAAAGCAAACTAATATCTATTATGCAGTTGAGAATTTGAGGCCAAGACATTTTGGAAACTGTGGTGTGAATGCTTGGTTAGAATCAGTGTTGCTTTAACATCCAGGGTAAAGCTTTGTCTTCATCATCATTTGACTTTTTTAGGATAATAATTCCTCTTGTATCCCAATCATAAAGTGAAAAGTGAACTCTACTCCAAATACAAAGTTAATAAGGACTGGGGTGTTGACCCTCCACTTAATCCCTGTCAATGGTGATAATGTGTAATTGCTTGTCTCAGCTCCTAATAATCTCTTTAGTGTATCTAAAGGTGTGTATGTGTGCGGTCTGACTGCCCACTCACACTGCAGGCTCTTCAGCGGTTTGTCCTTCAGGGTGCGAGCAGCCAGGCTCCACTCGATGGGGAGGTCACATGGGCTGACAGTCACCGACATCCCTCGAGTCTTCTTCTTCAGTGTGAAAAACAGCCTGTGTGCGTTAAGATAACCGTGAGAAGTTGTTTGATTCATCGCAGGAAACGTCAAAAAGATAACATCCTTTTTGATGGCACTGGATGAGAAGATATCTTATGATGCAGACTGCGCAACATCCTTTTATTCTGATGGATGATTTGTAGATTACCTCTGTCTCACAGCTTGAAAGTTTTGCTGTTCCTTCACACTTCTATTCACGCGTTTGTCTAAATGCTGATCAGACGGCAGATCAGGAGATGTGACCCGGGAGTGCCATGATAAGACTGCACAGACAGTTTTAGATTGATATCAGCCTGTTTTCCGTTACTATCTGGGATCTTGTATTGCATAGGAATGTCCTCCTCTGTGTTTTTAGTGCAATTTAGTTCACAGATCTGCAAATTGGACATGCCTAAGAGGACATTTAACAATCAATCTTGGGGCCCAGACTGTTCAGTAGTGTGTCATCTCTTCACAGCTCCCCCTCATTAGAATTAAACCTCCTGCATTGTTATTTATTAATTAATATTTGTTTACCCTCCTCACAAACATCATTATTCATGATTCTATGCAGATGGCGCTTGTTTCCAAACAGATGTGCGACACTGTCATTCTCAAGGGCGCTTTGCAGCTTATTTAACAGAGTGATTAATTTCTGAACTGATGTTTTCTCTTCGTTTATTTGCTGTGGGTTACGACGTGACCGCGCCGGTGGACAGACTGCAGCACACAGGGAGATGCAGATCACAATTTTCAGCTCCCACTTTTAGAAAGCAAGCACTGGCACTGGTGTGTAAGGTTCAGGCCAAATGGGCTCCACTTCCTCTTGCTCGCTCTACAGTGGTGCTGGAAGCAGATTCGGTCTACAAGGTGGATGGTGGAGGGCTGGTGGCTTGTTATTGGAGTGAGAGTAACAAGGGCAAATCAAGTTATTTCAAGAATGTTCTGCTGAGATCATCCTCTTTAATCCAGGACTTTTAAAAAAATCTATTATCCTCTTGTTGATGCTTTAAAATCCATCTTTACTGGACAAATTCATTGTTTAGCTGTACGACATACATGATGAACATCAGGCTGGAGTGGTTCCCAGTCACTTTGTAGCTTTTTTGGCAATCCCTCCTCCATCATTGTTAGTGGTCAAGCTCAGGTGTTCCTTTATCACATTCATATTCATTCATTTATGTTTTTTACTTCTATATTCAGTATATTCAGTTTCTTACATGAATATTAATCTTGATACAAGTTATTTGATCACTTTATTGAGCTGTTAATTTGCATACCCAACCTAATAAGCTTTGATGAACTTTTTTTGTTATAAAAAAAGTGGAAATTCAGTCATAAAATTGAACGATTAGTGACGTTAAAGTATCTGTGAGGAACCTTCTGTTTGTGGTGATTGTGGCGCCGCCTCTGGACAACTTGGTAATAAACATCACTGTTAATATTAGTCTGTTCTACAAATATCTTCCTCAAAAACTTCTTACTGGAGCTTTAATTTTTCAAAAGTAACTACGTAAATATTAGAATGCATAACTTTGACTTCAGACTGTGAATTTAATGTGTAGTTTTGATACTTTTACACAAAAATCTAAGGCTACAGAGTTTTTGAAAGATTTTTTTTTCTGTTTTCAGGAAAAAAGATTTTTGCACCAAAATGCAGATACAGTTGAAAAGGCTTACATAAGCATGTCAGACTCAGTTAAAAGTGATAATGTAATATTAGTCTGATGTAAAAATACCATAGAAGACTATTATGTGAGTTCACATAGAGCAGTCTTTTCAGTGAACGGCTGTTTGAAACCGTGATCCTAGAGTTAAAAGCTATTGAACTTCATGTAATTACTCCCCCCTGCACTGTGATATGATCATGGAGAACAGTAAGGTTTGACTTTTGCCACCCACATGAAAAATGACATGGGGCATTATGAAAGATCCCAACTTCAGAAGGTGTTTTCAAAAACACTTTCAGTAACCTAAAACTCCATTTACAAGTGGATTGAAGGTTAAACGACAGAAAATGAAAACTTGTGCCAACCTCTGGCAACTACTGAAGTCCTGTATAAGATGTTCTTTGTTACGAAATTGGGCTTCATTATTATAATTATGATTATTATTTTAATTAGATTTTTTTAAAGAACAGAAAAAATAGTAAATCTGAACAAATAATGCTAAAAAAATCCTTTTAATGTTTCCTCAAACTTTTCTCCATGCCATAGGTTTCCATACCTGCGGGTTCGTCCTTTGGGTAGCGTTATCGCTGTCATCTTTCCTTCGGGTAACCACGTGGTCGGCCGAAGCGGGACCTCATTCTCAGGGGCCAGGGCCAAGTGTGTCTGGGGCCAAAACATCACCAGAGCTGCACCGAGGCACCAGGATAAGGATGTGAGCGCCATCTCTCGCCTTCACTCTTTGACTTTCCTTCAGACACTACTTCTTGGATATCTCCCTGACACTGATGGTGGAAAGGTCAGAAACATCAATCAGATCTCATTAACATACACACAGATCGTAACACACTGAAACACACTTAGTTAAATTCCTACAGCAGCTTTCACACAGACACTAAAGAGCTGTAGCAGCTGATGATTCATTGATATGAAGAATCATCCGATCCTATTCAGACAGAATTATTCATGCAGGAGGGGAAAGAAATTGCCATGTTATATTACTCTGCAGTGTGTGTGTGTGTGTGTGTGTGTGGCACAGCTTGACTCTCGCTGTAAAAACCCACCAATCACACTACTTTTCAAAGTGTGAAGTGGGCTGCTAATATCACTTTGAAGTCGACGCCTTTATATCTACATTTCTATTTTTAGTCTGGGGAGTTCAAATGGGTCTGCTCACCAAATATCTTTCATCGTGGGGCATTTGGTGGCCATTTTATCGGGGCAAAGTGACGCCGTGCTGGTGTGGGGGAAGTACACAAACACCTGGAGGAGCTCTGGTGAAGTGAAAAAGAAATCTACGCAAATTACATCATGAGAAGCTCTTATATTTGACTACGGTGTTGACATTTCCCTCTGTGTGTCTTCTTTAAGGGTGTGTTTTGATGTGCGTATGTGTGTGGTTGTGTTTTAGTGATAGCTGTAAGAATGATTACAGGTTTCACTGTTCTCCCTGCTCCCCAGAGAAAGCACATTTGTTCAAAGTCACCCAGTCTTCACACACACACTCCCCGCCTTCCTCTAACAAGGTGTATTATGTCAGCGCTGTGCCCTATAGATCAGATGACAATCACAGTGGAACCACGAAGGCAGCTACAGAAGGCACATCTGAGTCTTTCGGGGCCCCGGGACGCTCCCACATCCAAACTCACAAACCCCGACGCACAGCTACAAAGTCGCCTGCTCATTATCCTTGCAAAGAACGAAGGGGAGTGAACGACCCATAAAGCTTTAACTGAGAGACATGCAGCAGGGGGAGAGAGGCAGATTGGAATAGGAGGAGAGGAAGGGGAAGAGGCAGAGGAAAGGAGAGGAAGAAAAGGAGGATGTTGGATTCTGGAGTAATTAGAGGCAAGAGATGATGGAGAGAAAGAGGAGAAAGTGAAACCAGAAAATCAGAGCAAGGGGTGGGAATAAAATCGCAGAGCCACAAGGTTGCGATGAATTTGTTTCAGCGTTTGAGTCAAACACATGCAGCTGATTGGTGTTTACTTCAGCCCCCATGGCGAATGGGTTCTAATGTGCCACATATTACCAGACGGCAGCACACAACCTCGCAGCACCTTTTTCTCACACACCCCCTCATTCAATCTTGATAAAGATGAAGACACACACACACACACACACACACAGACACACACATACACACACTGAAAGAAAAAAAGAAGCTTGGCGGGCTTGCTTCTTCAAACCGGGCCCTGCTGATAAAATATGCATATGGCTCCTCAGCAAATTACGGCCGATTGAATTTTCATAAGGCAAAAGAAAAAAAAAAAGGCTGGTCTTACAGAGCAAGGGAGCTCGGTGAACTTAACTACCGGCCTCTATAAATAAATACACACTCCCCTTTAAACACACGACTTTGATGGTCCTACTTAGCTCTCTGTTTTTCTTCTTCTTCTGGATGAGTTTCCTCTTTCCGTTATGTTTATCCCAGACTGTCAGCTGACTGCGTTTATTCTGGATACTGTTTGGGTTTTAATTAAAGACACTTCAACCTTGCTCTGTTTCTCTTCCTCCCTCTCTCTCCCTCTCTCAGCCTTCTTTTCCTGTCTACTTTACTTTCTATTCAGCCCTCTTATTTAGAAGTTGAAGCCGGCTCAGTTTCAGAGGGGCAGGTTGAGTGCTGTGTGCGCTCTCTGTCCGCACATTGTACTCACTATCTTCCATCTCTCTGGCAGGACCATCTGCCTTCTGTTATCTGTGAGTAGGGACAGATTAAATGGCATGGGGTGGTCCCTGCAGGATCCACTGTCCCCCCCAAACTACTGTGGGGGGAAAATATGGCCTGTGGTTCAAGGTGGGGGTTGACAGGATGATGGCGGGCTAACATGCAGTGACCGTGGAAGTTGATAGGATTTTCCGGCTGATTTTCCACTGCGCTGCGTGTATGTTTGCATATATTGAGCAGTCTCCTCTCTACTTTACTTTCATTGTCTCTTTTCTCTGCATGCATCTCTGACTCTTTTTCCTTAAAACACTTTTTCCTACACACACTTTCTTTCTCCCTTTACACTATGATCCCTGTCCCACTCCACAGCAGATTAATACTTGTATTTCTAAATGAAAATTAAATTCGTTGATGTCTGGGAGCTGTGGTCGACACAGTTAGCATTGAGATAAACAGAAAACACATATAAACAGCCTTTAAATGTACAAAAATATCATAGTGTCAGTCAGAAAAGTGTCCTGCATCTGTTTCAACCTTTTTTAACACCGTCCAGAGATCACACAAACATACACATGCACGAGCAAAGTAAAGAACTGACCTAAAGAAAGAAGTTGCTGACTTACAGATTCAGAGGAAATTTGAGACTCTTACGCGCACACACTCTCACACATGCTCTGCAAGGACAACAACATGCATGCATGCATCCCCCCCTTACCTTCTCTCCGTGCACACTCTCCTACTCCTGCGCAGGGAGTGAGGGATGGGATCAGATGAGAGAGGGAGTGAGGATGGAGCAGGAGGAGGAGGAGAGGGAGGAGGAGGAGCGACAGCAGGTTGTTGTCGGGTGTTCCTCTGACTCTGTCTCCCATGGGGTGCTGCTCACTCCCTGATACTTCAGGAGGTGTTTCTTTCAGGGCTCAGGTGTCCCTTCAGGGCTGTCCCGGCACCTCTGCGCTCTTCGAGCCCCTCAAGGCGCTCTTCTCACTCTTCCTCTCTCTGTCTGTGTGTCTCTCAGTGATTCACACATGGAGGCTTGTCCTGCTAAAGAGTGTGTGAATGTCATCCAGTCCCTTCTCCTCTTCTTTTCTTGCTTTCTTCTCTGTTAATCTTTCTCTCCTTTCTCCTTCTGTTTACCTCCTCCTCTGTTGGTGAACGCGGCTCACTTGCAATTCAAATAGGCTCATGTGTGAATGTGTGCGAGCGTGTGTGTGTGTTTGTGTATCTGTATGTGCAATCTGAGAGCAAAGGAGTGAGTGTGTGAGGGGGCTGGTTGGTGAGGTCGGTGAATGGGGGTGGTGATGAGAAGAGAAAGAGAGAGAGCGAAAGGGGAGGTGATGTAAAAGTTAAATACATTAACCATTCTGTAGCTGCTCTGATAACATCTGTATTAGGAGCAGGCTGCAGACAGCATGTTAGAGGTTACACTGTCTTTGTGGCCTTATCGCCTGTTCAATCAGGTGCTCAGTCTGCCTCTAAATGAACATGTTTAAATGGAAAGGCGACCTCTCAGGCACCGAATGGATTTATGCAAATATTTAATGTTTGCTCTCTGGATTTTAACAAATTAAAAACTGTACCACGTTAAATAATAGGGGGAACAATTTAACGTGTGGAACTGATTAAGAAGCAACTCAGCAAATGTAACCAAATTTTTCTAATTTCATTCGTAACATTTTTTTTTATACCGCATGATTCCCAGAGATCATATTTTGCCACAGGTTTTTAACAATATTTAGAGTTTACTGCATACCCCCTAATTTTGGGGTGGCTTATTGGGTTTTGACTGTTCTTATCTCAAAAATTGCTAATGCACAGTTGGTGAATGGATGGCTTTTTGTTCAGGACTTTCCATGTCAAAAATAGAACAGTGTGTTTTATGGTATAAGAATAATAAGATCTATACTGTCTGCTGAGTCTGACTGGACTTAAAACAGTGTGTGGTACTTTTTTCTCTCCTGTCCAGATCCTGTCAATTGCCATACTTATTCTCGGATTTAAGAAATGTCACTTTTCACAGAAGTGTCTGTTAAATTACGTTGTATCATAACAGCATTCGAATTAAATAACAGAGTAAGACATTAACACAAAGTGGCTTTTTAAGTAAAACATAGAGAGATAAGACCTTTCTGCTTGGCCTCTGAGTCCTGCTCTCAGGACTCTAATTTGTATAAGTACTCGTTCACTGTAAATCATCCTGCTTATTTTACAGCTACTAATTAAAGACACAAACAACTGAATATAAAATATCAATTTAAAGAGGATATTATTGATCTCCCCCCGTTGTGGTAAGAATTAACATTAAACTGTACATTTAAATTCCCAGTCAAAAGAAAACATCAGCTCACTCTTTTATTATACATCACATAAAACTCAACATGATTTGTCTGTGTGAATATTTATATTAACATTTCTGTCCTCATTCTGGTGTCCTTCTCTTTGGGGCTTTGCTCTTGGCACACCTTTTAAAATAGACACTGACTGATTAGAATATTTAACCAGACAGGGCATGTTAAATAACATGAAACTTGTATGTTATCCAGCAAAAACGCTGCTGTTAAGCCAACAGTGAATAAACTCTATCAGCATTGCTTCTTGGTTCTCTTAAAGGATAAATATTAAAGCTCCTGTGGGGAACTTTCTGTAAAAAACTCCTCACAGGAGCTTTAAACCAGAGGTGCTCCCAGATGCTTGGCATAGCTGAGTTTGGGACAAACACAAACAAAAATCTTGGTGAACCGTTTTATTTCTAACATGAACAAAGTTTATAGTACAAAAATTATAATCTATAAATTTACTCTAGAGTTTTTTGTGGAGCAACAGCAGAGTCAGGCTAGCTGCTTCCTCATAATTTTGTCTTTGTGCTGTAGGCTAACTGGCTGTAAATTCATGTTGGCATTATCAACTACTTCTTCATAGCTTTAAGTCTTTTACTTCATAAGCATCAATTATGTTAAAATTCAAGAAGTTGTTGCATTGTGGCTAGCAGCAGCTAGCTTGTACCTACTTGCTTCCTGGATCTGTGTTTTGTAGTGAACCTCCCTGTATGTGGAGCTGAAATTAAAAGCCTAAGCCCCTGCATATAATAGAGAGGGCAAAATAAAGTGAAAAGAAAGTCTACCGGAAAGAGCCTATATAAGTATGTATACGGGACGGCCATTTTGAAGCCTTTATGTCCTCCACCTATAGGTCAAGTGTGGATCTCAGGGGATTTAGGGGTTGGACGTTCATATCAGTGGCTCTCAAACCCAGCCCAGCCCTCTCATCTCCACACAATGGAGGGCCTCATGTACACTGCTCTCTCTCCTGAGCGCTTTAATCAATATCATGAGGAAAATAGAAAGAGGCCCACTACATTGTGCGCTAACTCCCCCTTTCCCTTCTGCTATGGGGCCTTTTCTCACTCATTCAGCAGGTACTTCAGTGTAGGACTATTGAGGTCGCTCTGAATGGGACCCACTCCACCCAGAGGGAATATTGTCTGACCGCAGGCTAAAATCTGAGAGACCCCCCCCTCCCTTTTCACTCTATCTTGGCCTGCCCGTCTCAGCCCCGCAAAATCACTTCAAAGAGGAATAAAAAATGTGGCACATGAGCGCTATTAATAAATGCATCACTTTAGTGGCCGCAACTGGTCTTTTTTTGAGTGAGGACCCTTTGCTGCTGCTGGACTCTCTTTCAAAGCCACCAGTTTTCCTCTCTCTGCATTTGCTGGCCCACTTTACAGTCCCTAAGAAGTTCTGAAAGTCGGCAATCTGGCAGAGCTTGATACGGCGGCTGCTTTTTGAAGATTGGATGGTGATTAACCTTAGAGAGATTACTGCTCACATACAACTTTGTGTATGTGTGAGCTGCGTCATAACAACAGTTTTAGCAGGGGTAGAATTTGAGTCGAGAATGGCGGTGCGTTTCAGTAAGACTTTCTGGACATCTGTCAGACATGTGTCAGCCCTGGAAGTGATGCACAGGCCTCGTGCGACACAAGCTTTAACACAGACATCCTCTCTCTCTGTTTTACTGCCGTCGTGACTGGCCTGGATATTTCTTTTGATCCCACAGCTCTCTTTCCTCTTGTGTTGCCTGTCGTTTAATAATTTATCCACATACATACAGTCACCGGACAAACTCCATCCGCACAGAAAGCGACAGAGTAAAAATTTCATTTGGCATAATTACATGAAAAGGAAAGTGCAAAACTGGCCCTTTCATCTATTATTGATTTCTGCTTACAAGCCATGCATAATGAAAGGGGTGGGTGGGGGGGTGTCTTTATGACAACCATGTATTAAATATCATGTTCTGCAGGTCGGGGGGTCTCTGGCTGGATGCTTTCACTGCCACAGTTAGTGGGCTTTGGTGTGGATTTGTAGCTTACATGCAATGTGTTGTAAAAGCAAATGGACAAAGAGGGATTGACAGCAAGAGAAAGACTGACAGAAAGAGAGATGATAGGAAATGGGGGGACAAGAAGAACGGAGGGAGGGAGGGAGGGAGGGGGTGGTGCTAGCTGACAACGGGTTAACAGGAATCTTTATTTTTAACAACATGTCATCAACAGCCGCCCATCTGCTCCTGTGCTGTCAGAGTCCCTTGGGAGCGCATGTGTAAGTGTGTGTGTGTGTGTGTGTGTGCGTGTGTGTAAGTATATACGAGAGAGAGAGAGAGAGAGAGAGAGAGAGAGAGAGAGAGAGAGAGAGAGAGAGAGAGAGAGAGAGAGAGAGAGAGAGAGAGAGAGAGAGAGAGAGAGAGAGAGAGAGAGAGAGAGAGAGAGAGAGAGAGAGAGAGCCATCACAGATCAGATCACTGATCAGGACCCATAGGAGGAGGAGGAGACGAGGAGAGAGCAAGGTTAGAGAGATGGGTGTGAGGGTTGGGTGGGTGGAGCATGGATATCTCCCTCCCTCCTGTGATATCCAAAGAGTGAGCGTGACAGAGGAGGATGAGTGGGAGTGGAGGTGAATGGGGCATGTGTGTGTGTGTGTTTGTGTGTGTGTGCAGGAAGGTAAAGCAGGATTAGGTGGATCAATCTACAACTCTGTATTTGGATGGGGGGAGGGAATAGAAGGAAGGTGGTGGTCTGGAGGTAATGAGAGGGAATCTATTAGCACAGATGAGTGGGGAAGGGGGTTAAAACACACAAAGAAAGGAGGAGGAGGTGGTGTAGGCGATGCTGGACCTCCAGGGCTGGCCTTAACAACCCATACTGTGTTTCTTTTAGAAAAAAAGGACTAATCTTTGGAGGAGAAATGAAGCAAAAGAGTGGAGATGTTTGTCTGTGGACTTAAACTCTGTACTCAGTTCTTTTTTTTTTGGTCTTGGAGAGGCAGGACCAGCAGCTTGCCATCCTGCAGGTCACTCATCATTAGCAAATACAGTTTCATCTCAGTACAGTGCTACTAATCTCCCCACTGTGCAACTATTTTCCTTCTTTTCCCTTCCAGTCTAGACTTGTTTTTCCCAGCGCAGCCCCCCAGTGAACCAGTCGACTTTATCAAAAGTTTTGAGTGAAGTTCCAACAGATTGAAAACATGTAATGCGCTCTCTCTTTGCACAACATGTAAAGCAAGTTGCCTCAGTTTGCTGTAAATCAACATCTCATATTGACGACTGAAATCTCCCTCCCTTTTTCTCATCTTCTTCTCAGTGTCTTTCTCTCCCACCCCATCCTTCAGGCGTGCTAAATTCGAGGGATAATTAGTCCAGAGAAACCAGTCAAACCAAAAGAAGCAACCCCGGGCCACACATACTCATCCTTTTATTGATCTCATAGTAGCAACACAAGCAAACACACAAACACAAATCACACTCTACTCAGAGGCAAGCAAACCCAGATGCAACAAGAGTTTTTTTTTAGGAGCATTTATAATGGTTAGTGATATGCAAAGATACAAAAAGACAGCAAGCTTGCATTCAGGTTTTTATGACCTTGGCAGAGTTGAAGTGTTTGAAACATTCTGCATTATGTTTGAAAATTTAGTTGGATGTAAAGGAAATTTTTTGCAGCATCAAAACATTTTTTTTTTGCACTCCGTCTTCCTCTCAGTTCCCCCCAGCCATCCCTCCCCCCTCCCGCTCTCTCCGTTCTCAGTCTTTCCCTCATTTCTGATCCATTTTTTATGCATTACTCCATTACTCTCAACTCCCATTTACAGTGCATTACCTCCTTCCTCCCATCTTCCACAAACACACTTTATACTCCTCTCTCCTTCCTTTCAGTCACTTTGCTCTCCTCCAGTGCATCATGACACTTTACTCCTCTTTTCTCCTTCACCCCCCTCTTTATTATCTCTTTGTCTCATACCCGGTCACGTCATCCCATACTCAGGGTTTCTATCCCCTTATCCCTTCCTCCCATCCAGATTGTCATTCACTATACATCACCCTGTCCATTTACACTCTTCTCTGATTGGTTATTCAAAGCAGGTCATGCAGTTTGGTTCCTTTATTGCTTAATGTCTCTTCTCTTTTACAACACGAATGTACAAATGTCAGCTAATATCATTAACAGTGTAGTGGTCAGTCTGCTCAGACATTTACTATCTCATTTAAGCACACACATGAGTGCACAGATTACCATCAAACTCCTGTTTAATAGGGTGCTGTGTCACTTTATAACACACAGAAATCAAAAGTGAGACAGACTGAAAGAATAAGCAGTACGGAGATCTCATTCTGTGCTTTTAAATCAGACCATTTGTCTGCAGTGTGTTATGTGCACTATTTAAGATCCGCAGGAGCTTGTTGTTGAGTTTCACGTCAGAGGTTGTTCTCTTTGATCGTAGGACACAGCTTTCGGGAGCCCATTCTCATTGCTGTGAATAAAACAAGAAAAAAAAATCAATTTGATTTAGAATTGCCTAGGATGTTAAGTGGAACATAAGGCAGAGATTTGGGACAGAGCTCGGCGATCACCAACTACGGATGAAGACATTTCGACTAAGTAATGAGTAATTATGAATTTTGATATAAGTCTGAATAATTTCAAGTAACAAATGCTGCACATAATCCATCTGACTCAGTCGTAGAGTTTGCTTGTGTAGAGTGTGTTTTGGTAAACTCATCATGTAGACCATGGGTTAGGTCATCGTATAATTAAAGAGAAAAAAAAACAGTGGGAGCTGAAAAACTTGTTCAAAGACTTATTTCGATTAGACTCTTCTGGTTTTCTGGTTTGACTCCTCAAAACTGAAGAAAGAGGGTAAAAGTGCAGCGCTTAGTGAGACAGGAAACTGTATAATGGACGATGCCGACTGCAGCTGTATGTGATCCACTGGTTCTCTGATCCTGGCTGTTGATACCAAGTTCCTCTCATGACGGCATAGGCTCGCAGTTTACACATATGTACCTCCAGGTAACTTGTGCTATCCTCCCTCTTCCAATAAGCACAGAAGTATCTCTCTTTTCTCCTTCTCAATGATCTTCTGTAAACTCTGACTCAAAAAGGCGTCTTCACGAGTAATGGACACATTATTGTCTCTATCAAGAAACGTGTGTATAACATTCTGGAAATAGCTTTCAAACTAAGTAGCTTTCTGATAGGGAAGTAGACCTCTGAGGATTATCTAAATATAGTGAACTATTAAGACCAACTTAAGGGTTCAGGTCAGACTCTCTTTAAATAAGCTAAGTCATGTGGTACAGCTGACCCTGTCTACAGCGGCTGATAGCCCGGCTTTTGTGCAAGTTCCCTGACTCAATACAGGGCCTGAGCTGAGTGGCATCTTCAGTGGGTAATATGCTTACAATTGACAAGTACCTCATACAACCCCACTTCAGTGAAAAAATACACAGACTTTTCTCTTTGAATGGAGCTGCAATGGAACCAAAAAACAGCCATGAAGTTTTTAATCTGAACATAGATAAATAAATAAAAAACTGAAAGCAATTTGAGAAAAAAACTTATTTGCCATTGAGACCCAAATATTAAAATTTAATTGAAAATTTATAGGCCTAAACAGGAGCCACACAGTAAAACATATTTTGGATTCATGAAGACAATGATAGACGTGATCAATTTCTACCATTTTTAAATATGTGATCTCCAATATTACTGATTATTTCAATAGTTAACAAATACTATTCAAGGGCTTAAAATTTCTAAAAGTTTTACTATATTTTCCATAGATAATATAAACTGTTCAAATTCAAGAAACCTCACATCCAAATCATGTCTAGATATCCTGGCTCTTTTTCTCATCAGAATAATTTATCTTTCAGTAGTTAAACCTGTCGCAAAAAAATCGAAGGCTGACAGGTAAATATTTAGGAAACCAAAGGCGAACAACCAGGCTTGTGTTGTTAGTGGTTAGTACTATGAAAAGACTCAGGTAGTTGTCTTTTAAGGGGTCTTTTTTAGGCTCTGTGAATAAAAACCATCATAAATCTGTAAAGGTTAATTTGTCCCGAGTCATTTAGAGTCAGTGTATCTTGGGCCGCACTGCAGCTATTTTGGTCATTCAGGTTTTTTCAACCTTTCATTTGAGTTCATCAGTTTTATGAGTGTGTAATACTTAATCGCCCCTTTAATGAATTAGGTAATTATCATCCAGGAAATTATTTTGGAGGAAAAAGGGGTCATGTTAAGACTTTTGGTGCTGAAGGGCAAAAGATGATGATTAAGAAATCTGTGCTTTAGAGTAATAGTTTAAAATATTGGCTTTTCTTTGAATAACTGAAATATAAAACGTTTAATTACAGTAAAACAGATATTAACAATCTGTAACATTAACTAACATCTATCTGTGATCTGGACTTATAGAAATATTTGACAAACTTTGTTACTTACACATAAAATGGAAGAACCAGGTTTCTGAACGATCCACCAGGCAGGCGGTCCACTCCTGCAGGGTCACCTTCCTGTTCTTGTTACTGTCACATGACCTGCAAATATAACACGTAATAAAAAATGGTGGAACACATGGGATCACTCATCCCATGCAATTATTACAGGCAAAAAACGGTTATAGATCTGCGTAGGTGGGCACACAGACCAGTTTAAGATGTATGTTTACAACAGCATCAGGTCTCTACAACAGTCAGCGTCTCTCTGTTCACCCTACAGCGTTCTCTCTGAAGGGTATTCCTTCAATTTGAGTTAATCCATGGGCAGCGGGAGGCACAGTGGGTAATAAACATTATCATTGCTGGGAATGGCTTGACATTGACACAGCAAGCCCTGCTCCCACAAAACCTGTCACTGCAGACTGGCAGGGGAAAAAAGGGGGGGTTGGGTGGGGAAATGGATGGTGGAAAAAAAGGGGGAAATGGAGGAATAAAAGAATGAGAGATGAGTAAAAATGAAGGAGGAATTGACAAAGAGGGAGCCAGAGGATGGATCTATTTGTGGTAAAGTAGGAAGCACAGATGGGGAAGAGAGGTGCTCCAACATAGAGGAGGAGAAAGATGATGGAGGGATGGTGTGGTCATAAGATCGGAGGGGAGGAGGACACAGGAAGTGGGTATTGGCATGGAGGGTGCATAGATAGATGGCGTGCAGAGAGAGCAGCATGGTGGGAGGTGCAACTTGGTCACAAAGCGGAGGCGATATGAACCTTGGAGTGACATTTTTAACCCTTAGTGTTTTAGTAATTAGCTGAAAAATAACATATTGCAGGAGACAGACGGTTCACATTATGGGCCCTATAAGTGACATAAGGTGATGGCGATGGTGATATGGGCATGGTGAGCTGCAGTTCTTGCAAAATGGATCCCTTGGTCTGTTTACAGTTCATCTTTGAAATACAAATACCTGTGATTAGAGAATGCTTGGACAAGATTTAGTTTTTGAGATTTTTCAGTTTAAGTTCAAGACTAAAGAAGCTCAGGATGAGTAGATTTTCAATCATCGTTTGTTTATATCACTTTGTCTATAATCTGAGTTTCTTATCATCTGATCATGAGCATTTATCCTTTAAAAGATTCCCTAACCAGTCTTTGTCATGATGACCTCTTTCCACTAGTCATCCTGCTGCTGCTAAACTTCACTGTTCTCCTCTCTGTTCCTCCACTTTGTCATTTCAGCGTCATCTTCACACCTAGTTACCTTCACACCTCATCATCAATGTTCGGTTTTGGTTCTTTGGATATCCACTCTTGCCACATCCTGCATACTTCCTTCACCACCACCACCACAAGTGTCTAGGCTCCATCAGGGGGTTATCCTACAATGCAGCCAGCTTTATCACCCTTTAAAGTTATGACGATGCCACATTGGGGTGTATTTGCCGAAGATATTGCACATTTAATATCCTCCTCTGAATCTTGTAAAATAAACTCCAGTTGACTTGTTACGTTGCATCCACCAGCACTGTAATGTTTCAGTGGGCTTTGGCTGCATGCAGGAAAAATAGCCCATGAGGCAAGCAAAAGAGGTGTAATGTATTGGCTGAAATGCGAGAAATATACCAGCTCGCAGGAGCCATCTGCTGTTGTCTGACACCCATCCATCCATCCATCTTCACCTGTTTATCCGAGGCCGGGTTGTGGGGGCAGCAGCCTGAGCAGAGAAACCCAGACTTCCCTCTCCCCAGCCACTTCGTCCAGCTCTTCCCAGGGGACCCTGAGGCGTTCCCAGGCCAGCTGAGAGAAACAGTCTCTCCAGCGTGTCCTGGGTCTTCCCTGCGGTCTCCTACCAGTGGGTCGTGCCCTGAAGGCCTCACCAGCAAGGCGTCCAGGAGGCATCCTAATTAGGTGCCCAAGCCACTCCTCATAACGTGGAGGAGCAGCGGCTCTACTCCAAACCCCTCCAGAATAACTGAGCTTCTCACCCTATCTCATTTGAGCCGCTTGTACTCTCCATCTTGTTCTTTTGGTCACTACTCGTCTGACACGTCTGAGTTTATTTTGAAACTGAATGTGAATGGCAATAATCTGGATTTACAGGTAGATATTTCATACATTATTTTAACTATCAATACACCTTAAAACTAGGCATGGAAGAGTAAGCCTTGGACCAGCAATTTGTTCTCCTTAATCATGGGTCAAACTCTTGAAATAGCCCTCTAGCATTAGTGGCTAGAGGTAGGACTCACTTAAAGAACTGAGCAGCACAGTGCTCCAGAGGCATCTTCTTATAATGCAGCTTCCTCAGGTCCCGGCGGCTCAACTTGCCATCTTTGTTCTTGTCCAGTAAAGTAAATCTTTGCTAAAAAAAAAGCAGAAAAGAAGTGGAATCAGTTTCAAGCATAGAAAAAACTACCACGGTTTGCACCTTCTACTAGCAAGCATTATTGGCTACATGACAAGGTCCAAGCAACAGAAACATTTAATCAGTAAATAAAGGCTAATTTTGTCATCATTAATATCTACGAAATAAGCGACTACAGCTGTAAGAAAATTATAACAAGGAAACACACCCACTCTGTCTCTTTGGCTCAACAAAGGCTGTACATAAAGATTGAGCGCATGACCCCTCCCTCAAAGTGAAGCTAAAACCTTTAAAGCTCTCCCTACTGTCTGACAACAGCATAGGTGAAAAACCTGTCTCCTTCAGATGGAGCAAACTTTTCTCAGACATGGTTTTCATCAGTGCTGTTAGTATATGTTCTTCCTTAATTTTTCACACCTGTTCTGTCTGATACCTTTTTCCCTTAAATGTTTCATTTTAAATAATAATTCGGTGCTGTGACAGTGAATGTAATCCTAAAATGATCATCTCTGTTGCCAAATGCAGCCTCTGCAGAGCTGTGCTGATTCTGTCTGTAGGGGGAACAGCTGGAAAAAGACATAACAAACACATACAAAATAGGGGGGCTGATCGGGTTTGTCCGGCTTTGTTCAGGGAAGTTTATAAAATCCTTTAAATGCTGTTTTGTACAAGAGTTTTGATTTTGTGTCAGGGTGGACTTACTGAATTAGAAAAAAAACCCACGATCTGACCCGAAAAACTCTCAAAAATTAACTTTGTGCGATTCCATGACTCCGCCACCGAATAGTCGTGTCCTCTTTTTGGGAAGTCCGAATATTGTCACCCTAGTACAAAAGAGCTCTTTAAATTAAAGTTTTAGCTTTAAACATACACAAGAAGCTGTTACTCTCTCGGCTGCACCAACCTGAGGGATTTTTACTGTTTTATCTGTATGTTTGGTCAGTAGGCCTAAGTCAATACTGGGGCTTCATCTGTCAATCTCTTATATGCAGGCTCACACACCGAACAACTAGTGCAAGATTTTAGCATCTGTCATGGGGATTTAGGCTTATCTTCACTTTTGTGCTTCAGGGGTCTGTCTTCATAACCAGTCATAATTAGCAAATGCTAGCATTCCTAGATGTTGGTATAGCTGCATCAAAATATTGGCATTAGCATTATTAGCCATTTAGCATGCTAACATTGGCAGTTATCCCTGTAAATAGTGATTTGTTTCCATACGGCATCATTCAAAGGAAAAATCTATGTAAACGCTAATGGTGTTGCAGATGTATGAAGCGCCATAACAGCTCTTTTATTTGAAACACTCTTGGTTGTATTGTGTTTCATAGCATGAAAATAATGCATGAGTTCCCTTTTAATTCATTTGAGGCCATGAGGTCAAGGTTGCTAGTGGGAGCATATTAAGTTATCCCTCCATTCACCATCTTATTGAATAATTCAGTGATTATTGACCAGTTCCTATTTATACATGGTGTTCTTGAGAGCCACTGTCTCATTTTGCGGATGACCACACCACAAGAAACACAAGAACTTGCCACTTACAGTAGGTTGTTAATATTGATTTCTCTCCAGACAGCCCATGCAGAGCAGTTTGTATGCTAGCATGATAATGGTGTCTGATGTCATGAAACAACTTTTATGTGTACAGTGTAAGATTATGCTGAGAGTAAAAGTGAACCCTCGGTATATTCTTCTTCTTGCTTTTGTTGGTTGCGGGTGTTGATTTCATTGACATCATTGTAAGCTGAGGTCATCGTTGTAAGCTGAGGTCATCCTAGATTACAAATAATGTTTACGAAGCTGAACTCATTATCCCTGTTTGAATGCAGTCTTTCTGTGTCTGTCAGTCTGCTCCTCAGGCTCACTTTAAGTGTGAAGTGTTAGATACCTGTGCCAGTTGTGTCCTCTGGGCGTGACTGAGGCAGCTCTGGGGCGGGGGAGCAGGTGCATAAGATTCCCCCATACGGCTCAAGAGTAAAAACCAGTCCAAGAGACGATATGGAAACTGGTTGAGCTCATCCTCACTGCACTTAGCCTTTGGCACTGATCAAGAAGTATAACATAGCTATTTAGAAAGCTGCATGGCACAATGGAAATTGCTTAAGATATCGAATGATTTGTGGTTGTATGTTTGTGTTTACCTAGACAGGGTCCTGAGTGAGCAAGTCCAATTCGACGGCTCTTTCTGCAGGCTTCTTTATGCAGCAAACACTCATTCCCATAGGTTTTTCCCAGAACGCTGCACACTGGTGCCCTCTGCCTGAATGCATGTGCCCATACAGAAAGCGATATAAGAGGATAGATCCCAGTGAGCACAGCTGTGTTTCATTAACTGCTGAAATTGAAAGGATTTAAGCCAAGAATCTACATCTTTTTATTGTTAACTTGACAATCAACTTTCAAAGGGTACATTTATGCACATTTCCTGGTCAGAATCTTTATATAATTAAATCCTAAACACTTGGTTCACACGCAACAAGTTGTTTACCGTGGACACGTCTGAGGACAGACACACTTGGGAACGAGGACCTCATTTTCCTGGACAACCTGGCACCAGGATCCCACTGGGCTGCGGCATTTCAACAGCTCGCAAAGCTTTTCTGAAACATAAAGAATCCATCTTGCTCCATAATGTTTTCTCATCTCTAGTTTTACATCTGCAAGTTTTCTTCAGACCTGCTCTGATGACGACTTTAACTTTCAGTGCTGAGAACAGGTGTTTTGATTAGAGCATGATCTGAAATGTCCCAATAACGTTTATTTCGAACATGAAATACCAGAGATAAGTGGATAAAAAGAAGTTAGAAGAGGACAGAGTAAAGCAAATGAATCGTGTGACCAACGACTGTTTTTCAGTAGTTGCATAACCTTCAATTCATGCCCTGAAATGCCATGTTGTGCACATATGTGACCCAAAGTGACAGTTTGTGCTCAGTATTAAAAACATATCTTGAAATGAGACGTTCAAAACAACTAGTTTATTAGAAAGTGGTAAAAGTGAAACATCATTGTACTTTGTTACTTACTTATTGGTTGACACAAATATAATGATCAAGCTTCTTTTTTTTTTTTTGACTTGATTGGGTTGTTAATTTGCTTTTAGATGCAAAATATTGCAGGTTGAATTTTAAGTCCATGTCCAATTATTGTATTTATGTATAATTACAGATAGATTCTTGATTTTTCAGTGTACTTTTGATATATGTGTCTTGTATTTTCTTTACCTTTAAAATAGCCCAATTAGCTCTGGATGCTATATTAAAGCTCCTGTGCGTATGTTTTGGTTTGCGCCCCCTGTAGACAAATCAGTCTTTTGACAGATAAATGCACCATGTATTGCGAGTATTTTGAGAGGAAGTGGTAAAAACAGGGCTGTTTCCTAAGTTGCTGAGCTGACACCTACCTCCCTTTGCACCCGTTTCAGGCATTCAAAATTAGGAAATAAGAATAAGAATAAGCATGCTGCTGATGGTAGTGTTTGCTTTTGCATATTATGAGAGGGCACCAATATGATTTTCACTCTATTTCATGAATGTGGAAAACTCTTCACAGGAGCGTTAACGCACAAGATCTTTTTTTTTTTTTACTTGCTGCTGCACATTTTTCTGCTCACTGGGATTTGGACAGATAGCAATGTTTTTCAGCAGATCCATAGGAGATATACCTGGCATGCAGTCAGAAGTTGGCATGCCTCTACTGCATATTAAAGTCTTACCTGGATCTACTCTGCCAATATACGGTCTCAGGCTCTCCTCAGCTTGTCTCTGTTTACGCAGGGCTCTGCCTCCCTGACACACACACACACACACACACACACACACACACACACACACACACACACACACACACACACACACACACACACACGGATACAGTATTTTGAGTGCTTTCTTGGCAGAGCTGAGCAAATGAAAGGATCATATGCTTTTCTTTTTATGTCACTCCAAAGGCATGCACCTAACTCAGGTATGAACTTGTCATCTTAAACCATTTGTCTTATACTTTGGATCATGATGTGTCTACACATGACAGCAATCAGACTGATGCACCGCAGATGAAGAGCCTTACATGAGCCTTGAATCTAAATAATCAAGAATGTAAACTACTCTTAGTCTTTCTCGTGTCTATGATAACAACACATGTCCTTAAATGTAAATGAAAATGGCATGTGCCCCATAGTATTTAACATCCATCTCCTTGCATACGCTCCGATTTCTAAACTTATATGTCAAGCAACTTTGTAGTTTGCGCCAGATCCACATCTGCCCTCAAAGACCTCCAAGATCAGATTGGAAACAGGTGCAACACTAGCCAAAAATACTGGAGCCACGCTTTCACGGTTCAGGAATTGCCGGGTTAACACTTAATACAAAACAATCATCATGGTTATAACAGCAAACAGGTGAAAGAGGACTGTATGGACAGTATTCTAACAAAACATGCACGGTTATAATCCTGGTAAAAGAAAACCATTAGGACACAACAATGAAGATTTGCTCAAGGCTATTTTATATTTTGTCTTGTTCTATTAGATGTATTCAGACTTCAGTTTAAGTCTGCTGGTCATCAAATTTAGACAAACAACAAAAAAAAGTTTGACTCACTGTGGCTACCCAGATGTAAAGACTCAGCAGTAGAAACAGGTCAGAGGTCAAGCGCAGGTTCATGGTTGAAACATCCAGAAATCTAGATTTAAAAAACCCTGAAAAAGGGAAATATTAGACTTAATCATGCTTACCCTTCACATATAGCTTGCGATTCTTGTTTTAGACAGACCATATGCAATTGTAAAAAACTATACAGCTATATCCATCATCACATCTATCTAGTCTCTCATTTCTTAAATTAATGTATGTAAAATTTTGCAAATAAAAAATGCTAAAGAGGGGTTAAGTGATAAGAAGTGCATTTTCTCTGTCTGTCTTCTGTGGTGTCATTCTCAGACACTATCTCTAGCCATTCTCATAATGCAGCCTGAAACAATGCATCTCATTGATTCCCAGAAAAGACTAATCCTCCATCACAGACGAAATAGAGGTTTGAATTTCACTGAGAAGACATTCAGCTACCAGTTGAGGAAGTTATTACAATGTAAAAATTTCTAACCCTATAGCTGCTTGGGAAATGATAATAAAAAACATCTCACCAGGGTATCTGTGACTGCTTCCCTCTTTCGCTTAATTCCCCTGTTAGAGTTCTCCGTCTTCTCCTTCTTGCCAGATACTTTTCTTTTCCAGTCTCTCTGGCGCCTGTGAAAGTGTACTCTTCTTACAGCACTCTTCACTTTATCTTTTTATTTGATCCATCTATTTTTACATTCTTTCCTTATCTAACCCCTCCTCTCTGCTTTTCCCCTTTACTGTCTGCATCACTATCTCCTCCTTACGTTTGCTTCCTGTAGGCTGCAGGAGAGCACAGGTACCTAAACTGAGCGTCACTACAACACATTGAGCTGTTGACTATCACTGATGAAAATAGGACAAAGTACAGTGAGATACCAGGGAAAAGATGTTAGAGGAGGGAGAGAATGATTTTTTTGGGGGAGAGAGAATGGTTTTCATTGAAGATGGCAAAGGTCCATGGGAAAATTTATGAGCCAGTGAAACCATATGGTCACATTTCTCGCCTTTACAGCTCTCTCCTTCTCTCTCTGTGTGTCTTTTTGCTCTCAAACTATGCGTGTTTTTTGCATGCAGACATACACAAACTATGCAAAGCTGAAAAAAAGTGTGTAGAAGAATGATGCCTTCAAACATGAACTATCTCAGGCAATATTAGGGAAGAGGCTGCCCTCCGATGGCAAGAATGGTCAATAACAGTTTCACTCACTGGCAGATGTATTTCACAAAATCCATTTCAAATCAAGTTATTGGTCGTTCTGTTCTTGTATGCCCTTAATACCAAATTTTCATGAACTAACTTGGTTTAAATTTAGTTTTCTGACTCAGTCCCATCTTAAAATATTTAATGAAACCGTTCCAGCGATTTCCCTGAGTAAGCCCCTCCGGTGGTACGAAAGAAACATTAAATTTTAAGTTGGGGAGGGAGAAAACACAAAATAAAAACACATGAATAAGTAAAAGTGTCAGAATAATGAAATAAATGTATCCTTGGAAAACATTATGTGATTAAATCTCTGCTCTGTTTGTTGTTTTTTAGGGGAAGCCACTATTTAGTCAAGGATGGAATGCAGACTGTGCAGATTGAGCAACTGCTCCATAGACCCAGACCCCCAGGGGCCCTTAGTTAGAGCACATTACACAGTTGTTTGGCAACAAGTAACTCCATATCACTACATCAGACAAAGCTGTAGCCTAAAGGCAGTTCCTATTTTCTTTTCATTTGTGCTCACAACCTGTCTCATGAAAAAAGTATAAATTCACGGGTTAAAAACTATGGTGATTAAAGATCAACAGATGGGTTAAGGCTTATATAGAGAGCACCTGGGGTGACCAATCCGTAAAGTAGAGGACTCTTCTGACGGGACAAGAATCTGCAATTGGATTACTCAATAATAAAGTTAGTAGGAGTTATGCCAACCCAGCAGCAATCCTTCTGAAACGTACTAAATAAGTAAATAAATAAATCATAAAAAATCTGCACTGTACTAAAACTGCAACTATCATACACTCAATTATATCTTTCAAGTCTGTAATTATGAAAACAGCTTTGTAGAGATTGAAAGCTTTCAAACTATTTTAACATCTTTTTCCCCAAAAAGACACAATTTTAAAGGTACCTTGAAAATTACAACCACAGGCCATTTAAACATGAAGAAACTCCTTTCTTGTAACTGCCCAAAGGCAAGGTAAAAATCTTATCTTTTAATTTTGTATGTTCTTTTTTGTTGTTGTAGGTAGTGAAAACACTTTTGGCTGTATAGTGCAGTGCTTAGCAGTTTCACTTGAGGGGGGGTTTTCATAGCCTTGTAGCCCATGTGGAGCTTTTTTGTTGTGTCCTAAACAGTAGGGGAAAGTAGGGTAAGATGAGCCATTTTTCATATTTCGGATCACTACATCAAGGTGATCATAGTTTTGTCTCTAACTCGTGTATCTGCATATATTTCAAGATGTTGTTCATCCCTGCAAAGCAACAGAATGAGTGTAAACATAACTGTCTTGATTATATAGCATGCCAAAAAAAGTGGTCTCCTATGGTCAACTTACCCCCTGTATGGGGTAAGTTGACCATAGGAGTGGGGTAGGTTGAGACATATCCCTACTACCCCCCCACTCTCCACCCCAGCCCTCCCTCACCTTCTCTCTCCCTAAATAACAGTCACTTCTTCACAATTATGTTTATTTTTTATCTATTATATGCTATTCAGCTGGTACAATATTTCTTCTTTTGATTAAAAGCTGTTTTGTAAAAAGTCATTTTAACATGAGAATGCCTTTAAGTGATTCAGAACATTCACAGCTGTATCTTTGAAAAGAAAAAGTCACACATTTCAACAATCTGAACTGAAACTCTGATCCTCTCATCAGACTCCTTTACTTTCTCAGTTGAGCCACTGGCTTAACTTACCCCAGAACTACTATTATGACTTTATTAGTCCTATAAGCTAAAATGGTGGACTTTTATTCTAGGTTTTTGACCTCATACTGTAGCTCATAGATACCACAATTGATGTATAAAACAAATTTAAAGTGATGTTTTTGGTCTGAACACAATTCTAATAAAACTTATGACAGACTAAATTCACTTTCAAGAGTGGAAAATGATTTTTTTTTTAAATAAATGTCTAACCTCTTCACCCATGTGCTTCTAACCTTCACAGACTCCATGAATTGATGCCCATCTCTGAAATATTTGGTCACATGATCAATTTCTTTTACCATTTCCAAGTAACAGGGGGTGGCTCAACTTACCCCACTCTCCCCTATTTAGGAACGTTCAGCTATCTGCAGGCTGCTTTTAAAGAAAGCTCTGATTACTCCCCACAAAATCACTACAGCCCACAGTTACCACTCCTCGCAACTCTCGCCACATATTTCGTACATATATTAAGTTTTTTGTCTCGTGTTAGGCACAGATAAGATCTCCGGTTTTATAATAAGCACCGTCGCGTGCACAGAGCACCACAACACAACACTGCTGCACGCTCATCGGAGCCTGACGTCACATCAACGGCTCGAGGGGAGGATGTAGTTTCCACGCCAGCTGTAGTCGATGAACCGAAGTGAACGAAGCAGTGGTTATAAATGTTCGCTAAAAAACAAAAGAACTTAAATTAATGTTGAATTTTTAAAGCAAACCTTAAGATAGTAAAGGTATTCAGGAAAATTAAACACTTTGAGATGAGCGTGCAGTGTCACCCTTTGAGACCCAGGTGACATGTAGTTCTCGCTCCGCCCAGCTGGAAGCGAGAGGACGATGTCGGAATGATAAACTGCTGTGGAGAGTCAGCCTGCAACCCTGTGGCTGTCTGCTGTGGTTACTCCTTCTACTACAGCGGTTACTCTTTCCTTTGACTATTGAAAAACATTTATGTAGTTAAATTGTGATTTAGGTTTTTACGTTACTGTATGGACGTGTTTTTTTCCGTTAGTATCGCTCAGGATCATCAGATGGTCGGTGTTGACACCGTGACGGCGTAAAAAAATAACGGGGTTTGTGATTCAGTTGCTTCGGGGTATTTTTTTTTCTTTATTTAAAGTGGAAATACGAGAAACTCCCTCCATGTTGCGTGCATAGGCTATTTCCAGTCGCCTCTACTGTGCAGGACTCAACATAGTTGATGTATAGAAGGACTTTTGCATCGACTAGCTGTCACTTCATGAATGAATCTTAAGCTTCAAAGCTGTTCAAGACTCTTGAACAGAAAGTAAAAGACTATCGCCACTTTACAGCATGTTTTCACCCACAAGACAACGAGCAAGTGGACTGACACACCGTTGAAGCTGTAAAAATGCTCCTAAAGGCATAACCAGGTAAGATAAGTTATATTTTACTAGGTTACACAATCTTATTTATCACAGTAGCTACTATGAAAGTAACAGTGTTGGCTCTAAGTCGTTTTTAAAGAGACATTTCTGTTTTTCTGGATGGTCATACGTTGGTACAGGACAAGGCTGCAGTGTATTTGTTTAACTGTACCGATGTAGACAACAACCCAGTGGAGATTAAATGATGTTGCCAGTAGCCTATATCTCAGTAATTCCCAATGAAGCAGAAGAGGCCATGTTTTCTGACGTCACAACATCACCCCCAGCAGTCATGAGACAGAGGCTACTGGAAAAAGTCAGTGGGTCATGAATCAGGATGAGCAGGCCACCATGGAAAATGAACAGTATGATAAAAGTGACTCCTCTTAAGGTAGTTGACTGACTATAAATATGTATGTTGGAGTTTTAATGCTTTTTAAGTACAGCATCAGGCCACAGTCTGTTGCACAGAGTAGGACTTAGTGCAGTTTGAGTTTCTCTGAAGAAACTTGCCTTCGTAATGCCCATGAGAGGATTAAATGGTAACTTTAACCTTACTCCTGTGTTAGCTTTTACTACACACCCAGCATGTGAATGGGTCGGTTTTGACCTGTGTCTTAAATCGGCTGCAAATTACACTAAAAACAATTCGGGTCAACAGCGACCCTAACACGACAAGAACCATAATTTTACTGACAGCATTTAATAATTTTGTCAATTTAATTTTTCTATTTTTATTTTGTTCAAAGGAAGCACTTCACACATCTATAAAACAAGACAGGCGCGTTGGAGAAAAAAGACCAAAATGTAGCAAAGGAATTCCCGCACACTGTCCAACTTGCAAGCAATCATTTATATGCAATGTTTCTGTACTAGACCTTCATCAGGCAAGCATTTTCTTGTTCAAGAGAAGCCATCTTGAATAGGGAGTAGTCATTTCTCCATGACCAATCCCATTCTCACGCGTAAACACAGAGGAACAAAATCATCATTGGGTAATTTAACCAAAGAGACAGCAAATAAACAACAAAACACTTTGTGTGACATCAGTCTAAAGTAATACCCACATGTCCAGAAGAGAAATCCATAACATAGTAATTTGATTAAAAATAAATCAGTATTTTAAAATACTTTTTAGGAGATAAGTTTACATTGTAAGTTAAAAAGAGACATATTTAATTAACAAATCTCAAATATCTAGTACAAAAGGGCACATCTATCATCAAAATATACATCTAATAACAATGATCCAAAGTTCATTTTGTGCATTTTGAACTACATACACTTACAATGACAGTGAATGACAACAACAAAAAAAGGTCATCCAGATACCGACAAAATCCCTTTGCTATTTATATTTTGTTGAAATAGGGGTTACTGACAAAGTCAAAAAAGTCTTGATGCAAAAAAGTTAATTTGTGTGGTTCTTTTAAGCATTTAAAAACACAGACCCTGGTGCAGACCCTAACACAGGAGGAAGGTTAACATACAGATACCTCCTGATTCTCTTTGCCAGGCGCTCAAATCTAATTGAGATTTTTATAACATGCAGCGCAGCCTCACACTCACATATTTTAACACCACAACTGAAGTTGCTGTCAATCATGTTTCGTAACTATCTGTGCGTGTTTGTACAGTTTTAGCCTGTGATCTATTAGAACCCAGACAGTGATAAACGCCATGACATCAACACACCAGAACACATTAGAACAAGAAATGACTGAGTGCCCCTGGTGTAAGAGAGCTGGACACTCCACTGGTGCTACAGTGTTTGGGTGGGGCTGCATTTGGACACACACACACACAGACATGCAAATCAATTTGTGTGTTCCTCAGGCACCTGTTGGCTAGGGTCCTGGAGCGCCACCTTGGCTGGGGGTGTGTTTACAAATCTGATTTCCCCCAACGACAGCTGAATGTCTCAACTGTGCATCTGTCTGCAGAAGACCCCCCAAACTGTAGTTCAGTATGTTGGGGTTTTTCCCTCTGTCCCTGGCATCTGTTAGCCTTATAAAGGCCCCATATCTTGCTATGCGTAGAGGCATACATCATAGTTGTGAGGCTCTCTACGGGCAACCTTGAGGCCACCAGATAAGATTTAAGCCTGCTTGCATGATGCTAAAAGCAGATATTATAACACGGATAAGTTATTTCCACAGCAATGATAGAAATCGCAGACTGAGTGAGTCCTTGTAGAGCAAGGTCAGTGTTAAACATTTCTTCAGACTGTCAGACACCAGCTCATGGACTAGTGTGCTGTATCTTTTTTAACTCATCCAATTTCCTGACAGAAGAGGACTCATTTTTGTTCTCTTTACTTTGTTTGCACACACTCCGCTCTACTCCCTGTGGCTCACAATCAATGGTGGATCAAATGACCGGGTGTATAAAATGTCCAGGGATGAGCTCATTCTTGATGGTGTACTGTGGTTGTTCTCATGTACGTGTTGTGGTGTCTCGGTGGAGCCAAGTGACTCAGTCTGACTTTTCACTGATCCTCCTTGCCCTCCTCTCTCCCTGTATGCGGTCTATCATTAGAGCTATACTTAGCTACGCTTATCAGTTCTGTCATTGCCTTGGTAAGCCCGCAGATGTTTAAGTGCTTGGAATAGCTCGGTGTGTAACAGAGTGTAGATACAGGATCACGGGTGACGTGCTGTAGGATCAGAAATGGAGCATTGCTGGAGAGAGGAGTCTGTCTTTCTATTCAAGTCTGTCTATTACTGAGCTATGTCCAAAATACAGTGTGGCAAATAAGTCCTTTGAGATTCAACCTAAATCTTTCTACTAAATATTCTTACTTAGAGGAAAACATTAATCGAAATAACACACAGTTATCTTGTTTGCACTCATGATATCGTAGCGCTGAAATTTGAGGAAGCAGTTTTGAATGGGTCAAGTGGTTTTGTTAGTGCATGTGTCCTTCAACGGTGTGTTTACACAGGTGCTTGCATGAAGACAAGGCAGGGTGGTAGCAGCAATTGTGTCTCATTATTGGCTGGATGATGGCGTTTATTGTCAAGGTACAATGAGCAGCTGGTTAAAGGTCTGAAACCTTTGACTCAACATGAAAAATGTTCCTGCCGCACTTATCCTTCACATTTGAACTTGTCACTGCAGAAAAAATCTGACAGGGTTTTCGGCAGGAGATAATTTACAGATTATTATAAGCACTGAAACCCACCTAGTGAAGTTTTTAACTAGTTAAAAAACAGACTAAAACCAGTATTGATGCCTTTTTACTCCTGGCAGTAGCTTCTTAAGATCTGGTGTGGGTGAGATAGTTTTCACATCACCTTAATTCAGAGGGCTAGTGGTTAGACCGAATAAAACACTTTCCAAACACAAAATGTTCATTATCTCTATTCTCACAAAGCTCCACCTCTCTGAAACCATGCATTTTTTAACCAACTGGAATTTGTCCTGTTTTTCTCCCATAAAACTACTTCCAATTCCAACAAAACATGGCTTTATTAGACAGCTTTTTTCGACATTTAAGTTGCTAGAAGCAGAAGCCATGCCAAATGCATGACAGATGTTGTAAATCTGACTTCTGCTGTCACAAAACACAGCATTCGATAACTCTTAGCAATTTTTGTATCCTCCTGCAATGTGAGCTGTCATTCACTGTCTTCAGAGTGAGCCAATGAGTTCAGGAGTTGCAGACTGAGCTGTTTAGTTTAACCTTCACGAAAATATGAGAGTGATTTGATAAAGACATTCATTTAAGTGTGCTCACTTACAACACTGCCATCAATGATAAGAATGATTGTTTCTAAAGTTATTCAGAAAATCTCACCTAGGGCTAGGTATAAGACAAATTGATTGACTTTCTGCAACCTAAACAACTTGTATAATATTTTTCATGGCAAAAAAACTTCCAGTAAGAGCTCAGATGATGAAGGGTAAAAAAAAAAACTGTCTCAAACATGCCCTGGACTAAATCAGCAAAGAGAAAAGAGGTGCCCTTTTTGTCCACAGGGGGCGCTAAAATCAACACAAACTTAAAGTTCCTCACAGGAACTTTGAATAAACACTCTTGCAATGCTTTATTCTGAGAGTACCCTATATAATGTCTGAGCTGAGCTCCGTTTCTGTATGATGTCTGCACTTTATAGCATGACAGCTGTCGTTGTTGATATATATTACTTACTATACACCCAGCATGCTTCACCGAGCTCCGTTTTATCTCTTTAGCTTCAGGTGATATAACTCCATTAAGCTTGCACTACACCAGGTCACAGAGGTCACTCCTTTAAAACCTTTAGATCTAATTCAATAATCCCTCCTGGCTTGTCATGTGATATAATAGAGAGTCTACAGTATGTGCTGTTTGGGATTAGACACTGGAGTCATGGTTTGAGGGTAAAAGTGAATTTTGAACATATCTTCACAAAAACAAACACAGTCATTCTCATCATATGTTTCCCACATGCATGGTTGTTTTTCTGGGACATACTGGCCTCTTTCAAGAGCACTTATTAATCAATATGTCAGGGTGGCTTCACATGTTCCTGTATCTCTTTCAGGTAACTCTACTTTCAAAGCTGTCAGACACTTCCTCACTTACTTTTGCTTCAAGATAACGTTGAGTATTTGTTGTTGCAAAGTAAGTTTGACTTCTTGATCTCAGTTGGTATTAGAGTGGTGTTGTATTTATTCATTATCCATGTCCCGTTCAAAGTCCATATTCAAATTATTTCCAGTGTCAGTTTATGCTGTTTTCTCCTGCTCAGACATGATGTTGATATCCAAATGTTGTATTTGCATGGCAGGCTTAGGTGCACTATCTTAGATAACTTAGCATTTCATTGTCTTATGGTGCCTCCCTGTGTTCAGAGTAGTTCAAACAGCACATGTACATCGAGCAAAACAGCAGTGAGCACTATCTGTTAATCCCGGAGGGCCCCTGAGGTGAACAGAAGAGTACTCTAGTGTATCTGACCCTCTTTTGGATAGGTTCCCATCCACTTAAATCAGTTGACTGAACAGCTCTAAACCCTGTGAAAAAGTGGACACAAAGACATGGCACTTGATAAATGTTAACCACCAACTGTGGCCTTATTTGATGTGAGGAGGCCTTGTTCTCCCTGTGAGACTGTCTTCTGGTTACTGTACAATAAAGCGCTGCCTTAGGATACAGTAGAGATACACTTCACATGAGTGTTTTTTTTTTTTTTTTTGAGTGAAACAGCCTGATAGAGAGAGCGGAAAGGAAAGAGGCACAGGAAAAGAGGAAGTTGGGCAGAGAGGAAGTTGACTTAATAGTGTATTGTCCATTCACAGAGGAATAATCCACAAGGAGCATGGTCTATTAAAAGCTTCATATTTACACTGTGTATCATTTCCTAAGCTTAAACAGAGTCATAGTATCATGAGATGCATCAAATCCATTCTCATGACAGGTCTGTGTTTAGATTTTTGTCAGGTGGCGATGAAGAAAAACCCGAAACGTTACATCAAAAGAGGCAAAATTTTAAATGAACTCACGTGTCAGAGAAAAAAAAACAGTTGATACAGCTTCTGCCATTACTGTTCTTGAATCAGTGGAAAGTGTAGGTTAAGAGCGTGCAGTCAACTTTACATGTGACTCTTGAGTCCCAGTCGTTAATGTTTATGTGTGACTGTTAATGAGTCTTGTGACAAAGAATGGGTCTTTGCCAAAAGGGCTTTATTGCAGTGCATAACCCCATGAATGTGCCTCCCCTTTGGAATTATCATCTTTGAACTTCGGTTTCATGTTATATTGAGCTTCAGAAGTATGATCCTCTCAGGCATTTTCTCATGATGTACATTTTTCTCTTAAGCTTCTATGCAGCTTATATTCATACAGAGGTAATAGTTGTGCAATATCTGGGATTTTAAAAAATGATCACAGTGATATGTATGCTTTCCCAACAGTGTAACCCATGTCCTGTGTGCTGTTGATAGACATTGCCTGTTGATATTTGCAGAATTCTTAGTGATATTTATTTGACCATTTGCTGTATATCCTGTGCTACAGATAAAAATGTGGTGAAGTTATCTTCCACAGCAACTTGCTTAGTGATCAGTGCTCAATGAGTTCTTTACTGAATTCTACTCTTTACATGTTACATGAAAGAATCATGATTTTCATTTTTAACTACAACCAAAGCTGTATGCAAAGTTATAAGAAAAAAAGATTGGTAAATCAAAATTTGTATGAAATAAATTCAACTGTTTGTCCAGTTAGTTCGGCAGAGGTGACATTATTAAGCAGGAGAAAGTTAGTACAACAAATATAGCAGCACTTGGGGAAAGACATTAGGAATGCAAGCAGGGCACAAATGAGATGGACCTGACACATAAGGATCGGAAGATGTGCTACATGAAAATAAAATACTTTGTAAATAAGACAAACACAAAGGAAAGACAAATGCTAAATTAGCAAAGCAGTCCAAAAAAAAATGTATAAATTGCACTCGATTGTATCGCAATACTCTGTGTTGCAAAATGTTAAAAATCACAATAATATCATATTGTGGCCCAAGTATCGGGATAATATTGTATCGTGGAGCCACTTGTGATTCCTGCCCCTACTGTGATGCACATCTACCAAAGATTTTCATAACCTTAAATGAGATTATTTAGCCTCATATCTTCTAGATGACATGCTGCCATTGTGAACACTTGTAGTTGCGTTTACATCCAATCAAATGACTCTTCTTAATGTAAAAAGGCTACTTGTGCTGCTGAAACCTCTAAAAACCAATACCTACTCTGAAGGTCTTTGCAGCTCTCAGCTCTTTTAACCCACTTTTGTTGTTTGCTTGACCCACAAACCGATAAATCTTTACATGAGAACTCATAAATCCAGATCATGAGCTCACACAAATCGGTTAATGCTATCCGGTCTAGCTTGAAAAAGCTAAAAGCTGCTGGAAGGAATTACTGGTGAGAGAAAGTTAAATATGTAGAAAGCAAGGGAGCTTCATATTCACTCTGATGAGTCATGGCTTAAGTTGTGTTTTAGGGATCTGAACAAGTAGATAGAAATAAAACATGGCTGGTAGAGAGAGTCCAGATTAGTTATTGCACATTTTTACAGGAGATGAGAAACAAGTTTGTCATTTTAGAATCCATGGTAGCCTCTGTCTGCAGAAAGCTTACCAGCTGACCACTGACAGGTGAAGTGATTATCAGAGATTATCTTTTCATGATAGCACCTGTTAGTAGGTGGGTAGCAAGGGAACATTTTGTCCTCGAATTTGATGTTTCTGAAGCAGAAAAAATGGGTGAGCAGAAGGATGTGAGTGACTTTGACAGGGGCCAGACTGTGATGGCTAGATGACTGGGTCAGAGAATCTCCAAAGTTGCACTTTTTGGTGGGTGTTCAAGTGAGTAACAAAACTCCAAAGTTTTATTTTGCATTGGTTCGAGGTTTAATGACAGAACTCGTCAGTGATCCCCTGTCATGGTCCCAGTGAAGTGTGATTGTCATTTGGAAAGAAAAGTAAGACTTGGGCTGCTTTTTGACCTGCTTTTGGCTCCCATCTTTATAAATGGATCTAATAAAGTCGCAGACAGTGACTGACACCTCTGCTGTTGCTCGGGCGACACTCATCAGCCTTTCTAACCCTCGTGGCCAATCAGGAGGTGAGAATTAAACAGGGCTGTCAAACAGACTCCGAGACTCACCCAGTGGTTCAAGTGAAGGTCATTCTGCACATTACAGGGACAGCAGATACTCACATCTGACATGCTGTACACATACCTAGAAAGATAAAGCAGACAGGAAAGAGATGTTTGGAAAAACGTTATTACAGTGATGGAAATGTGGACATCTGGGCTTATAAAACTGTAAGGATAATTGGATTTATATAAGTCCTATGCCAGGGTGTCTACTGCTAAGCCTCACACCTCAGAAGGAAAGCAGCAGGATTATTCTTATGGATGAGTCAAGGAGGATGATGGGTGCGTTTTAGGGGTGCTGTGTGTCGTGACTATTTGCTAGAATGACTTTTTGTAGTCGCTTTTTCAGTTCTGTATGTATTGACTCTTTACTTTCTTTACACCATTTAAAATGTTCAAAAATGTTTTTGTCTTGAATCAGCTCCACAGATGTAAAAACATAGAACAGATTGTTATAGTAAAACATATCACTTATCATAAATCTTCACAAAAATGTCAACCTGAGTGGGACCACTGCTCTGTCAGTCATGAAATGAGTAAGGCATCGTATTCTACCTCCCTTGAGCCTTTCGAGTAATCTCATGACGTAGGACAGCAATGTGCTCAATGATAAGTGCTGTTTTCGCTTGTAAATACTTTTTGTGTTAGAAGGATTATTTGGCTTTAGTATTTAGACTTTGAACCATATTGTGGATAAATAGTCAGATTTTTCCTGCTACAAATAATCTCTTTTGTACGGAGAATGAGTCTTTCCAAAATGTTTCTTTTTTGGCTGTATTCCCCACAAGCATCTCTTCTTTCACTCTTCCTTCCTCTTGCACGAATGAATCGGGGGCTCCTTAAGAGACGCACTATCAAATATTAAAGGCACCCATGAAGCCTCTGTTCTCTCCACCCACACACCCATCAGCACACACCCCACACGTCACATCATACACACACGCGCGTACAAACACACACGCGCAGCCCCACATGCAAGGAGAGAGACGAGACAGATCAACCACAGAAGAGTGTCTTCCTGTTCCTGTACTCTCCCCTCTCTTAGGGCGGTACCTTACTCTCAGTGAAGATGATGAAGGAAACTAAAGTGCAGAGTGACTTAGCAGGATGCAGCTCTTGTCCTAGTGATTAACCATGGGATGAAAGTGATTGGAATAATCAACATTAGTTCACAGAGTTAAGGTAATTCTTTGTTTCTGCTTTATATGTGTCTCTGCTTGTGGTGGTCCTGTGTCATCCAACATACAGCATGTGTTATGATGAGTTACTGCAGTTACTTATGTAGCAGGTTGCCTTGCCTGAACTTTCTTAGGACAGACTGTTTCCTCTGTTGTTTTTTTGTCATCTGATCCAGCACAGTTAGCATCACCAAACCATCTCTGCTCTCATTGGATTAGCATGTCTTAGCATCAGTGCAGCTCAGCCCAGTATTGCTTTCACTCAATACACATTAGCCTAGCGTCAGTGTTGCTTTCATCCCTGTCTTATTCTATTAGCCTGCTCTAATGGCACTCTGTTAATCTCTTCAGGGAGAGAGCTATGGCCCACTACTGCCCTGTCCAGATGACTGGCCCAGTTATTACTCCACAGAGACACAGGGCTCTGTCAATATGTAAATGAGGCTGCACAGATTCAATAGACTTTCTGAAATTGATCTCTGCTGTGGCCTGACAGCACTAGCCTTTGCATCCATTCAGTCTTTTTGAACTGTGGAAAAAAGGAGACTGCTCAGAGATAGTGGTTGTTGTAAGGACCTTGGGTGCTCCATTGGTTATTAACACACTTATTGCCGAGTAAAGCCAGCCAGACTTGGTCCTTTAGACCTTGATTCTTTAACAATTGATCTGTATAGCTGAGTAATTGTATGAGGCAATTAAAAACGGATCTATTGGGATAGGCAGAATTAGGGTGATTCAGAGAAATTGCAAGTCACAGCTGATTTCCATATTGGGCCAAACAAGGGAAATGTTTTCCTTCTGCTCATCCATCTTGTCTGTGCTTTTATTCTTTGCAGGGTGTCTTTTATGAGTTCTCCTCAGTTGGCAACCTCAGCTCAGTTTATGTGATTTAGAGATATCTTATTTCTATGACTCTCTATCATGAGACAGTTGATGTGAGCCACGGAAAGAGACAAAATCTTTTGGGGCTTTTTTTGTCCATCCATCCACCCAACCTTTCCTCCCGTGATCTTGAAGGAATATCTGCCTGTTGGATTCAAATGATGATTTAGATTTCAAGATAGACTTGTAGATTGTGAGGCTGCATGTCAAAGGTCAAGGCCTCAGTAGTTTCTCATAAAAAGTAGTTTAGCTAAAACACTTGTTTCATTTGAAATAATAACACCGCTCACTTTTGTCCTTGAGTACCTTTGTTAGTAGAACTGTCTGAAAACAGCAGAATAACCACATGGTTTGTTGAGTTAAAAAAAACACCAGTATACATGCATCTAAGTTTGTGAGGACATTCTCCAACAAGGATTATAAAAAACTTTTCTTTTTTTGTGTACCAGTGCTCCTTTTTTCTGTGCAGTTCTTTCTTACTGTTTTCTTTTTTCAGTTTCTTTTTACTGTTTGTTTTTTGATGTGGCATTAATTAACAGTATAATACATTTTCGTTCAGATTCCTTAAAGTAGATTTCTACACTAAAATGACAAATGAATGACTGCCAGATCTGCAGAGGGATGCATTTATAATCAAATCAACTGATACTTTTTTAGTTCCCAGTTGTGTATGCTGTATTCTTGTACAGTGTGTACGTCAACAACATCTGGTCTACTCTTATTACTGCACTAACTAATAGTAAGAGACTCACTGTGTTGCTCTGTCAACATTTATAAGTATTTTTTTAAACTGAATGATTTCAAACATGCCATAAAAAGACAGGTTTTTGTTTTGTTCAGAACCCCTTATTCTCTTTTTTCCTCTGGGGTATCCACAGTCTAATTTCAGTCGAATAAGAAGTCCCCCCTTCTAATCTGTTGAAATTGAATCGAATGACAAGTGTGTTCTGACAAACTGTGAGGTTGTGAAGTGTTGTATTGGTGGGGAACTACAAGCACTGCTAGTTGGAGACAGACTGGCTGTGGGGATAAACAGCAGGATTGGGGATTTACTGTGTGTAGTAGAGCACCTCCATTCATGCGTAACCCCAGTGACCCAATAGATCATTGCCCCCTGGCTGTCATATCCTATCTGCATCTATGCTGTTACCCCTGAAGAATGCATCTCTGTGGTGAGTGTGCCCGTGCAGTTTACAAGTGAAAGCTTTGCCAGAAGAGTTATGAACATCCTCAGCCTCTCAAATCGGATTTTTCAGCCCTCCTGCTTGTCTGCCAGGTGCTTTCTGTCTGGCTGTCCTTTGAGTCAGAAATAAAGTAATCCCAAATAACCTTCTTGGCAGAGAGAAAGCTCTCATTCCCTATAAGACATAGAGAAAGAAAGAGAGGATGTCATCTTATTTCTTGCTTATTCCACATGTGGGTATCAGTGCTAAATTGCAGGTCTTGTAAAAGAGAAATCCGCCCTAAGTCTTGTCTCATTCCCTCTCTGCTGTCTTACAGTAATTAAAAGTGCATGTTTATGTTATATCACTTCTCCTCCTCTTTATGATCATTTTATTTCTTTCCGGCTCGGGCTTGTCTCTTTCATTAATGTTTCTCATTAAGTCCGTCTTGCTTCGAGGTAAAGCCATTGCAAATACACAAGCGCCAGGCAGTTCTGGATGTCGATCTGTCAATCATAACACACACACAAAAAAGATGAAACTTTTATGCTTTTGACAAACTTTCCGTACAGTGACAAACTCGGATTTCTTCTAAACTGAATTATTAAAGCTATTGTGATGTGTCTCAAAGCTCAACTGGATTAAAATCGGATCAACAAAACTTGGACTTGCTGTAGGGTTTCTGCTATGTTCACAAGGTCTACATATGGAGAAGTATGATAAAACCCAAGGTCAGACTTTGTCAAGGTTTTGTGTGTTGCCTCACAAACAGCTAAGAGTTGAAGATGGAAGGTTGTTGACATCAGTTGATGTGAGGTTTATCACAGGCCTTGTGCTTGTTATGTTACGTTGCTCTGGGATATTTATTTACAGTACTTTACTCTGGGGGGAGGGGAAGGATTTCAGATATGAGCCTTTGACAGATGGCCTGCACGGTTTACTGCCCTACCTCGAAATGTGTGTCAGACTGTTGAAATCTTGTTATTTATTTGTGGTGCTTTCAAGCTGACCTGTGTCTTTGTTCCAGGATTGGGGGTTAGAGCTGGGTAGCGACCGTAGAGTTTTGCCACAGGACTTTTATTTTTGTTGCTCATTTTGTTTTTCAGTTGACGTTTGCAAGTTTTTTTTGTACTCAGCAGTCCAAGATGTATGAAATAGCACAGGCATAGGTAGTATTGACAAATCAATATGGGCAATAGAGCTTCACTTATGGACTATATCATGTGACAGCAGTCAGCTACTGACTAGCCATTAGAAAACTGTTTGACTGTTTGTACTGGAGTACAGTAGCTCCTAACCAGTTCACAAAAGCACTATGCCAGTAAACTGTGGGTATGTTTCAAGATTGATTAAATGCAGAGAAAGTTATCTTTCACAGGAAAAAGCTGAGGTTTTTTTTAAGCTCTCTTTACATCTGTTTGTGTCAGTTAATCACTTTTAAGAATTTTGGGACTTTTTTTCATAATGCCACTTGAATTATTAGGGGACATCAATTATCAGGTCTTCAAAATTTTTCTCACAACTAGTTTTGACAGAAGATGTAAAACTAAGGCTATGGAACTGTTATATTGAATCATGGCTCCTCACTGTATTTGTGGTAGCAGCAAAAATATAACAGTTCTTATAATATTGGAAGAAGACAAGCTGTAAATGAGGGGATTTTTAATAGTGATGAAAAAATAAGAAAACAACAACAGAGAGGACCCAGATGAAGATATACTGGTCACAGCAGTGCATGGATTGACTGCTTTGTAATCGTGATCCGCTGGACTGGACAAGAATGGGACTGTTGACAGTTTAGCAGAAAATCTTAATCTAATTGCTTCCTATTAAACACACATAGACACACAGTCACCACCCCCTCCCCAGGGGCAAAGAGGCTTTGGTTGCCATGCCTGCACATGCTGACCTGATTTTGTGTGTAAATAAGTGTGTGTTTTTGTATTTGCACCAGTGTATGTTTATGCAGCAGATTAGGGTAGTGGCATAGCCCGACACTACGGTGGCAGCAGTGAGTGTGCCTCTTTGATTGTAGACACGTGTGTCTGAGCATGGGAATGTGGGGCAATGAGGTACAGAAAAGGAGACCCACATTGTAACACAACACCCCTCCCCCAGCTCTTCAAAAGTTGAATAGATGATTGCTCCAGTATCTGCCTTTCTGTCTATATGCCTGTTAATCAAGGGATTCATTCACACGAGACAAACTACCTGATCTGTAGTGGAGCATTAATACAGCAGGTACTTATTAAAAGTCCATTGGTATTTGTGATTATTGATGGTAATTGAGAAAACAATAGGTTATTTTCTCTACAAACAGTTTCAATAACAGCTTGCAGCCTCATACAGACAAATCACTATTTTGCTAACTGCACCTGCCATCTGGAGCTTGGTAACGTTTGTATCCATTATCCTCCTGAACAAGCCAGATGGATGCAACACACAGGTGCTAAACATGTACACTTGTCACATGGCTGATTGACATTGAATTAATCTAACAATGAGTTAAAAAAGACAGCCCTCTGTTTTCCCTCCATTGGTTTTTTCATGTTTTACAACATCCATTCACTATTCACAGATTTTTGGCGACCCTCCCAGCACTTGTTTCCCGACATCCTCTCAGGAATTGTCTCTTTTTATTTGTTGTTGCCTATACTCTGAAAAACCTATGCCAGCTACTGTTTTAAAAGTCTCTCTAACTTCTATTCATGGTGGCCCTCTCTTACCGCTTTAATATTTTATAGCCTTGCAACCTGTAACCCTATTCTTTTTTTTTTTTTTTTTTTAGTGTTGTAGGTTTTTCTTTCTGCTTGGCATGAAGTCACATGACTGAATAACTAACAGTGAGACAGACGCCTGATTTGTAAAGTGTGATTACAATTTGTGGCTGTTAATCCGTGTAGCAGTCACAAAAGGACAGAGGCTTATGGAGCCTTTGTGTCTCACATGACTACAAGAAAGCAGAAAGGCTGACCTGCTGTGACAAAGCCTCAAGTCGCCCTTTAATCTTGCTCAATTAATCCCTAATGCTCCTCATAGTCAGTGATCTTTGAAAAGAGACGGACATGTAACTACTGCAGCAGGTAGACAGGACTACCCGTAGCATTTGAAGGGTTTGTAATGACAGATATCTCTAACACTGTTTGTATGGTTGACTTTGTTCACTGGAAACGTACAGGTGGACATTACAGCACAACTTGACTGACCTGACAGACCAATTTAGAAATGTTAGCTTGTATTACCTCTTTGTGTTCAAATGTAAAGCACAGGCTGGATCACTGTTCTGGACAGAGTATGACTATGGTAAGATACATCAGTTGGATTTGTTTTGTGTGATATCTATTGTTCCGGGAAGTTGTGATTTTAAGTTTTAAAGGAATTTGTTATATTCTCATGCTTCATAGCAGTGCCACAAGTTAAACCATCGATGCTGACAACAAATGATCTTTTATCCTGTCTTTCTGTTTCCACAGTTGTGTGTGATCCCATGCCCCCCATGCCTTTGTTGGCATCTAATGGAAGAAAAAGCGCCCATCAGGTCTACTATGGTATCCAGGTTGCCTAAATTCGGTGGTCGTTCCTCAACCGGTGGCGCAAGCCCCTTATCCAATGGCTCTACACAACCAACTACTCCTGCACAGGATGGCAAGACTACTCCACCAGGAACACGCACAAATGGTGTGGTCCATGCCTCTCCATTCTCCATGAAATGGAAGAAGGATGAGGGGACAATACCCCCCAGCCCCTCTATCCCCATCAACCTAGTGGATGGGGGAGAAGATAAGGCTCCAAAACAGCTTCCCTCGATAACAAAGGAGGTCAAAAAAGTTGCTCCAGGAACACCCAAGATACGAAGGTCAGGTTCTTTGACTGTAGCTGTCTCCAGTCCTACTGCTATTCCAAAGCAACCCTTAAAGATGAGTTCCAAAGTAGGGACCAAGCTCGGGCAAAGTCCTTTGAACGGAGGCCCTAAAATGAGCCCCACAGGCTCCAGCATTCCTGCAAGAACAGGATCAGATTCCCGCCTCTTGTGCCCAAGTTTAGGCTCCAGCTCTCCCAGAAGTAGCTCTCAGGACAGCCTATCCCAGTCAAGTGACAGCCTGAAGACCTTGGCACTCGATAACATGGTTCGCTCCAACAGTTTCACTCACTTTAAGCAAATCCCCTCACCTACCAACCAACCCATGAAACGGTCCTTCTCTTTCAACCGGGCTGTGGAGCTTGCAAAGCCTCTGGCAAACACTCAACTGTCTCCTCGTAGGAGTAGTTTCCTCAAACCCCCCCAGCTGAGCAATGGAAGAGTGGGTGTTGGACTTGGAAGCATTAATGGCAACATTGGAGGTGGAGGACTTGGAGGATTGCAGTATAGTAGGACCCCTCCAGCTGCCTCCTCTCTGCCCACTCTTTCAATCCCTCCAGCACCCAGTACTCCCAGGGCTCTAAGGAAGCCTCTGCTCCCCAGCTGCGTGCTGACCAAGCCATTGAGTAGCAGTGGGAGTCCTTTGGGCTACAGGCTGGCTCGGTCTGGGCAGGCAAAGCAACAGAAGCCTCTTTTCCCAGGTAAAGTCAAGGGTGACATCAAACCTCCAACAACCCCTGATTGTGATGGGCTTGAAGAAAAAGCGATAGACAGTAAGCAGACTGGCGAGGTTGACAAAGCAGACCCCTACAGTGACAGTGATGGATGCTCTGGAGATGGAGAAGGAAAAAGAGGTGTGCTTATTATGAGTTCTGACCAGGTAGCAGGTGAGACTCTAGAGGACATGTCTTTATCTTCTGCCTCATCTCTAGAAAGAGTCGACATCAGTGAAGAGTTTCTGGATGACTTTGACAGTGTGGGGGATGTATTCAGTGATGGGGATCTGCCTGACAACAGAAAAACTGGCAAAACAGCTCAGACCCCCCTACACAGCTTTCTCAATGAAACACTTGACTGGGACTCAATGGATCTTGAAGGTATAAACTCTATTTGAGAAAAAAATGGTTCTTTTTCGATGTTACGTATGCCTCAGGGATTCAGGCCTGTGTTTTTCTGATTTATGCAGGACACAAAGATGAAAGCCCCATGCAGGACTCCCAGGGACCACTGGGATCATCTTCAGAGCCTGCTGACGGCCTTCAGGCTTCATCTTTGGAGCTGTCACCCTCTAACAGCTCTGGTGGTACCTACATGTGGGATGAGGATGGTTTGGAACCCCTTGGAGTGCCGAGGACACTTCCATGTGACAGCTATGATGACTCAGAGCTCAACAGCATGGTGAGTTCTGTTTCTACAGGCATTAGCAAAGCCTTTATATTTACACGTCAGCCCTGAAACTTGGGTTTGGGAATTTTCATGTTTGTTGATGAGTTACAAAAAATGTCACTCAGTGTGTCCTTATTAATCGATCGTCAATCAATCTCATCTTTCAGAAAAGGGCGAGAGAAGCCAAAAATCTTCTGTGCTGTTTATTAGCCCAAAAATTCAGAAAACACTAAATCCTGTTACAGCTTTGACAAGCTCATATGACTGTGACGAAGTACTTGTGAGACTACAAGTATGGAAGTTTTCAGTATCTCTTGGAGAGGGAGAGGGTTTAGAGGAAAAGCTAACCTTTTCCAGAGTTGGCTCTTTGAAATGTTTTATGTCCCATAAACAGTAGCACTACCAGTGTATAGTTAATAACAGTATAACAGTGGAAGTGCTTAGAAAGTTAGTTTAAGTTTATTCAGCTCATATACTCTGGCCATTACCAGACTCATACGATATGAAACACTTGTAGAGTTCCGACAAAGCTCCTGGTCACAACTTACAGCCTTTTAGCATTTTGCTCTGTACTCTTTAGTCCATTAACTAGTGCCCCTTTTAAATAATTCCTCTTTCCCTCTATAATTAGGGATTAAATGAGCAGTACAACGGCTAAAAGGAAATGTAAAATTGTCTATAGTTCTGTGCCAGTTTTTGCTACCACTTTGATGCCAAGGCCTCCTTCTCCCCGAGAGGAATGCTGACCTGGCCACCAACCGTGTGTTAATTGCATTGCTGGCCTTGCTGTTTTTTTTTTTTTTTTCATTCCAGTACCAAGGCATCTGAGCTCTGGAATTTGTAAAGAGCTTAAAAATGAGCTGGATTAGACGAAAAATAAGCTTAATGTGTTTACCACTTTTACCATGTGATGTTGACACAAGCTTGGAAGTCACTGACATTGGTATATATTTGTCCCACAAGGGAGGATCCATCAGCTACTAGAATACTAAAGGAAGGAGGAGAGAGCGCTTTGTGTGTAGGTGTGTGTGTGTGTGTGTGTGTGTGTGGTGTTGTTGTCAGTACAAGCACACATGCATTAACCATGTGCACTTGCTTAAGAGTCTTTCAACTTGTGAATATGTGCATGAACACGCCTGTTTTTGAGTTGAGAAGCTCAGCTGTCATCACGAGGCAAAGTGACGGCAGGTCAGCATCAAAGTATTGATGTCTTGATAAAGTGAACTGCAGACAACCGTAGACTTAATATGTAGCCACTTTGTGGTCTGTGTAAATCCCTTTATTTACTATTTATGTTAAAATATTTGAGAAAGTAATGCTTAGAATTTTACAGAATACGGAATTACAAGAGGCTATTGTATGGATGGAGTCTTACTACAAAATATTTTGACCCAAACTTCCTTCATTATATCGTCACACTATTTCGTAACAGAATAAGAGTGCAAAAAAGGAGCTATTGAAGTCAAATTACAAAGTAACAAGAATACCCAATGCTATTCAACTCGACCAGAACAAAACAGCTACAGGGCCACTGGTATATCTTTGAAAAGGAAATGTGTGTGGCTTTTGAGTCTAACCAGAGGTTGTTTAGCTGCAGTCACAGCCATTATTACTGGCCTTGGCCACTGCAGCAAAACTGATTGAAGTCTGTGGAGAAAGACTTACTGGTACATGTTTGCAGACATGAGTGTGACCTTTCAGTAAAAAAAGAAAATCTTTCTATCGCACTGCCCAGTACAGTGATACTGTCTCCCAACACATGTATTGTGAATAGTATCATCTCTAACGTGTGCACATACGGTCAACTGCCTGGAGGAAACCTATTGTGATGGACTCGGCTGTCAGAGAGATAAAGGCTTAATGACCTGTGCAAGAAACAAGAAGTCAGAGAGAGAAAAAGCAAAGAAGAAAAGGGTGTAACCAGAAAAAGCTGGAGAGACTGATTGCTGATGTATAAAGATCAGCTCCATGGGGAGCCTGCCTTTCAGATATTAGACTGAGCTCTTTGATTAGAAGAAATGAGCCCACTTACTGTAATTGGATGCACTGAGCTCACTCTATCCCACCTCTACTTCTGCTCTCTTTTGGTTTCATTCACTTCATTTGCATTGCTCATGTAAGCACTCTACCCATTTACAGAGTAAACTGTTCACCATAATGACAGAAGAAAACCATGAGAATAATCTTGTTACAAAGCAGCGTCTGTGTCCAAAAGGATTAGTGATTCTTTTGGATTTATCCTACACAAACACTATAGTCTGCAGAGGAAAAAATGAGGCATCAAACAATGAGTATCACAGTTAATAAATTAAAGCCTCCTTTGAATTTAAGCATCTGAAAGCTTCTTTCGCTGGAAAGAAAGAAACCTAGAGCATTTCTGTCTCATCCAAATCCTACTATATATAAAATGAAGTGCATGCAGTCATGGCTTAACAAAAAAAGCAGATCAAAAATGATGTTGATAGCATTTATGTTATCACTCTGTATTCTTCCTCTGTTTTTCAGTAGATGATGCGATGTTTCAGTGATTTAACAGCTCATAGAGGGGTTATCTTGCCAATCTGCAGTTCCTAACTCAGTCCACTTGGAGGCACTGTGCATCCTTAAGACACCACAATGTGGATGCGCTCTTTGCCTGCTTGTGTGTCCCGGTGTTTTCTAGCTATATATGGCACTATCTGCGTTCTTATACCTCTGTGCAAAATCAGGAAGTGGGCTACCTGAGCTGATAATAACATCCCCATGATGCACCATACAGCTTGGTACTGTACCAGCTTTATGAAATTGGCAGTGTGAAATGGAGGGTCACTTCTCAAAGTGACTGTTAATGTTTTCCTAGCCTCAGTGCAATTTATCACGCAGAGCAACAAGGCACAATTTAAATGGTTTAACTATTTTAGAGAACTCGAGATTACTTCTTTTATTTTGTCAGGCAGCCCACAAGCAATCATAAATTCCCAAAATAAGGGAAAGAACTTAAAGTGGAATAGTAGAAAACACCTGTGCAGTATCTTACAGCCCAATACAATACACCCGTGAGACAAATAAACTCAGCGAAGCGTGTGATGTTTTATTTGTGTGCAAAAGGGGATGGAATTCAGAGTTTGGCTTAAGTTAGTTGCAGTATTTTTTGAGCCTCTGTATTTTGTATTTTGTAAACTGTAGCCCATATATGTAGTCTCTGCTTCTTTATGTATATAGTCAGTTTTTAGCCCCTGACTCACCATTAGATACAGAGAGTAATCAAATGTTTGAGACTAATGCTTGAGAATAACCATAGAGTAAAATTAGTGAATCACCACAATCTCAAATGTAGCATGTACTGCAGGGTCACTATACTGTATTGCATTACATTGTCAAAAACATTAAGCATCTGGCTCAATGTTTCCTTCTTTTGGAAACTCAAACTTCATGGACAAGTAACTTTAGGCAAAATTAACTCCGTAAATTTCTGTTTTATTTCCTTTAGAGCTGGTCTGTTGATTCCATTATGCATTCAGTTTCTCCTAAAAAAAGTATTTCCCCCAAATTAAAATCCCATATCCCTTCGAGCAGCATGAAACTTTCATGAAAAAAGCCTGAATGTTTACCTGTTTCTTCTTATTATTCTGTCTTCTTCATTCCTTCCTCAACAAACAAAATCCTGGTGGATCTATAATCCTTTGGTTTCTCCCCCTTTGCCTCCCCAAAGCTGCAGAGGTACGACTGCTTCTTATCCCCGATTTCTTTGTTTTGCCTCTAATTTTAGGCTTTTGCGAAGCCAAGTGAAGACAGGTCAATTCATTAGTGTTTAAATGAGTGAGGTGCTTAAGCCCTTTGTCTGCAGAGTGCCTATCCATTTATAGAATATGGTGCCAGTGAAGCGGCGATGCTGCTGCATTAATGAGGCTTGTAGCTCTGCTGCTTTTGTTGCTCTTGATTTTAAACAGACAGCAGCAACACTTTATGGTAAACAGTGTTTTTGTGCACCATTTTGTGTGTACAGAACTTTCATTAGAGATCATTACACAGGCATACAACCCAGAATTATTGCTTGTAGAGACCTCAGTCTGAGTCATTCCTAAAATTACAGCCTATTCATCTCTAATCATCAACCATGACTGCCTTTGATTTCTACCATCAGCCTTGACTCTTTCTTTTACTACAGAACATTACCATGCTGCCTCTTGGAAGAAAGTTGTTACTCGTTTGGACCTAATGCGTAGCATACTTTCCACGGATGGCCCCTTATATGGAAGATGAAAGAAATGACATTATCAGTTTAATTGTAGCGTACCGTTGTTTCTAGATGTAAGGTAAAAATAGTTCCGTCTCTGAGTTTTCTTGCATTTTCTATAATTAGAGTTTTTTTGGAAACTGTATCCATACAATATCTTTTTTTTGGTTGGGCATGAAAGTCCCTGAACAAGTTTTACAAATGTGCTGGAGGAAGTTTAACAGAAGAGAAGAACAGAAGTTCACAGCTTTTCATTTTCAGACAGAACATTGTGATAGTTTCTATATAAAAACTATGAGTGAGTTGTTATGAATGTTACAGAAACAGAGTTTCAGCAGATACTGTTCCATAGAGTGGATCTATGTATATGTAGCTGGAGCCACCTCTGATATTTGCAGCACATTGAAATTTGATTTGTATGATATCTTTTTAGCCCTGTATATTCATTCGGTCCGGGTTGCGTTTTGTGTTGATGCTTTCAGCACCCAGTCTGTCATTGAGAGCTGAGCTATTCTTTCTGGAGATCTGCACTGATACCAGTTCTTTTCACTTTAGCTATCAGGCATTCAACCCCAATTCCAGTGAAGTTGAGACGTTGTATAAAACATGAATAAAAACAGAATATAATAATTTGCAAATCCTTTCAACTTGTATTCAGTTAAGTAGACTACAAAGACAAGATGTTTAATGTTCAAATATTCACTCATTTTGAATTTGATGCCCACAATGTCCAAAAATGTTGGGACAAGGGCAACAAAAGACAATTAAGAAATGCTCCAAAAACACCTGTTTGCATCACTCCACAGGTGAACAGACTCATTAAAAACAGATGAGAGTAACAACTGGTTACTAAAGGAACATTTCTGATAGTCTCAGTTGTTCACAAGCAAGGGTGGGGCAAAGTTTATGAACAACCGCATGAGCAAATTGTCCAACAGGTTAAGAACAACGTTTCTCAGCAGACAATTATGAGAAATTTAAGGATTTCATCATCGACAGTCCATCAAGTATCATCAGAAGATTCAGAGAATCTTGAGAAATCTCTGCACTTAAAGCCAAATACCAATATTGAGTACTTGTGACCTTCGACCTCTTAGGGTCGCGCTGCATTAAACAGGGGCAAGTTCAAACTCTACCATGCAAAGCCAAAGTTATATGTCAGCCACATCCAAAACCGCTGGCTTCTCTGAGCCTGAGCTCACCTGAGATGGACTGACACAAAGTGGGTAAGTGTGCTTTGGTCTGACAAGTCCCCATCTCAAATTATTCTTGGAAATCATGGTTTGGTGTCCTCCTTTTTAAAGAAGAAAAGGACCATCCAGATTGTTATCAGAACAGAGTTTGCATGCCAGCATCTGTGGTGGTATGGGGATATGTTAGTGCCCATGAAATGGGTGACTTTCACATCTGTGAATCCTGAATTAATGCTGAAAGTTACACACAGGTTTTGGAGCAACATATGCTGCTATCGAAGCCATGTCTTTTTCAGGGATGTCCCATTTCATAAACACAGAGCAAAATTGTTATAAAGCTGTAAACTGTCTTGAAAATTGAGTTTGTGAAGAAACACTGTAAAAAGTTTCAAAAAATTCCTGTAGGATACAATTTCCAATCAGATGTGCTAAATAAATGAAAAAGAGGCTGAACAATAACACTGCACACTGTGATATTCAGCCACCCAAACTCACTCACTGCTGCCTTTCTACAGACAAATTTAATGTCTTGATCAGAGTTTTCTATAAGCTTATCCTCAAGGAAGGAGGGAAAGAAACTGATGGAACTCCTTGTCCTTTTATAACTTAAAGAAAGTTGTAGTTTTGATCTACTGATTTCATCTTACAACAGACACTGATCTGAGCATTGAAGCCTTGAAGCTATTTCACTTAAAAAATGCAAAACTGAAAATGCTTACTTATCCTTTTTGGTTATATTTCATGTAAAGTTTTGACAGCCAAATTGTCAAATCATTCCTACACCACAAGAGAAGCTTAAATATGAGCATTTATGTCCCGCTGTTTTTCTTACCTGTCACTTCTTTCTACATTTTGCATGTTCAGCAGTAACTTAAGTCTCGAGTCTGTGTTTAACTTTGTATAATCCTAAATTGACTTATCAGTTTGGATACCAGCTTTATATTACTGATAAACCTGTTCTCAATTCTTAGGGTTAGAGAAGCCAGAAAACCAAAAGACAGAGGGGATATGTTGATCTCACTTCGAAGCACAGGCCTCTGGACTCCTGTGTGGATGGGCTGTTTTTATCCCAAGAAATATTTTGTTTTGCTTAAGGTTGGAGCTCTTAATACCAGAGTGTTATCTGCCTACATGGCTGTGTATTGTGTTGTTCTTTTATCTTCAACTGAAGTTTCAAAAAACATTCAGCGCTCTCTAACTCCATTTTTTCTCTTCAGCCTGTTCCCTCCAAAATGCTGCCGTGTTTCTCCCTGAATGTGTGCCTATGCATAGAAGAAAAAATCCAACCAAAATAACCTCTTGGTACAAATATCATTCATACCCTTCTTTTCCTCTTGTCAAACATGAAGCAGACAATAATTAAACTTTTATCACTGCCAGGAAAGCTGTAAAATTGGACTCTAAGCAATAAATGTCATGAAGTCACTTGGTGAAGTGAAGTGTGAACAAATACAGAAGTAATGAAACATGACCCTTTACCATTAATTCTTCTCCAACAGGGACGTTCAGTCCTGTCAGCTGAAAAGATAGGCTGTTATTGCTTGAGAGGGGTTATGATAAAATAATTAAGACAGGCTCTTATCTCTGTTTTTCCTAAACCTTTTAAGTCTAGTCAACATTTTCTCAATAAGCTGACCAGCCTTTCATATAGGCAGATGGAGTTTTTCTTTCCTTTGATGGCTGTGAGGGAGAAACAACTGCATGCATTGAGATTTAGTAACTGTAACATGGTGTAATATTGAGATGAATATAATGTAAATCATCAGAATACATCAGTGATTTTCAAATAGTTTTTTTACTCCAAGAAAGTCACATTTACAGAGTGATTGATGTGACGTGACAGTGTTATAAAGGAACAGACATAATCTTGTTTTGTTTCCTCCACATTTCTGGCTTGCTTTAATATTGCTTTTGTATTCCTCTCCATGCCAATCCCAGGCTTTGTTGACAGTTTGCAGTATCCTATTTTACTGTTGTCAATACTGAAGCAAACCTCCTCTAAAGCTTACCTATTCTTTACTGCCATGATGCCCAAGCAAAAGTGTAACGAGGGGAATAAAAGGAGAATCAATATAAAATAAATTGCTTTTTAATTCAAGGTTTTCTGTCATTTTCCTTTGTAAACCTATAATTGGGTGTAACTCTTTAGATTTCTTGGCTCCTCAAACTCATACATTTCTCAAACAATGAGTGCTTGCAGCAAACACCTAATTATCCCTGTAAAAGCCAATAAGACCAACAAGGCTTTACAGTGGGTGTAGATTAAGATTATCCTACACTGCACACATCTTAGAATGGAGCGACAGAAGCTGAAAATTGACTTTTTGTTGGAAAACGGTCCCAGTTCAAGAGCTGCAAATGACTCGAGTAAATGGATTATAATGACATTCAGGAATGATGTTGGACAGAGGACATATCCTCCATCAAAAGCAACACCGAGTCCCAGAATATAGAGTTTAAAGAATTATACTGTAAAGTAAGGGTGTTAATGTCTCACTCGAGATGCATACACTATACACTCACACATGCTCAACAGCAGTAGCAAAGCACTTCTCCCCTAGTTACTAATACATTGCTGTGCATCAGCTATCTCTTTTTAGGTCTGTATTTGTCAGAACATTAATTTTGAAGGCCCTGACCTTTAGAGATGAATTATGCTGGAAAAAAGGTATTTTTGATAACTTGCTGTCTTTTCTGAAAAAATAGCTCAACAGAAATTTTGGTCCAACCTATTTGAAAGGAAAAAAGAAGTTTTGTTTAATGTGAGACTGAGGAGAAAAGACTGAATGAAAGAGGATGTCTGAGAAGAATAAGCACAGGGAATCTCAACTTCTCTCTGGCATTTATTGATTTTAAAATCTCAAACAAGGCTAAGGTTTATTTTGAAACTCTTGGCTTGAACTGAAAATAAGATGCCTGCTTTGCTGTTTTGGTGGATTATGTGCCATGTTTCTGATTTACATTCAACCCATGAACAGTCAATTTCTACCAAAGATTTCAAAAAGTTTCTCACAGAGAAAGCAGTGTGCAAGAATTGAGGTTATTCTGTAATGAGCTGTTTTTTCTCTTCTCAAGTCTGTTGTGCCGACACCAGGATCATTCAAGGGCAAACTGACAGAGTGAGAAAAGTTCAGCCTCAAAACTTTTCAGTGATTCAAAGGTGCTAATCAGTGTCTGATCCATCTGTGTTTGTTGGATTATTCAGCTGATGCCACACAAGGAGCAGAGTGTGTGCCATGAAATAGACCTTATCTTTACTGCTCCAATTCCTGATGCTGCTTTTGCTGCAGGGTTTGGATTGATGTAGTACCCCTGAGTGTCTTCGATGAATCAAAATGTTCACGCCATCTAACAAATTCATCCACCACCACTGGTCAAATCATTATCTTCTCAGCAAGAACAAGTACAGCAGCTTATCTTACATTCACTTCACAAACACATCTGATGTGGTTTTGAGGATTCCTTAATAAGCAAATAGTGACTGCACTTGTGTTTTAAACATCTTTTATATTCAGCTTTGAATAAATTAGAATGTAAAGTAGGGGTGGGAATCACTCATGGCCCCACGATATGATATTATCAAGATACTTTGGCCACAATACGATATTATTGAGATTTTTAACATTTTGCAATACAGTGAGTATTGCGATACAATATATTGTGATTTATACAATTTTTTCAACTGTTTAGCTAATTTAGCGTTTGGCTTTCCTTTATGTTTGTCTTATTTACGCTGTATTTTATTTTCATGTCACACATCTTGCAAAACGTACATATATTTGTCACACTAACGTTCTCCTGCTCTATGATGTCACCTCTGCCAACCTCACTGGACAAACAGTCGATTTTATTTTCCATTATTATAGATTTGACTTCAAATAAGCAATTAATGAAAAAAATTTATATTTGGTAAATGAGACGATACAATATATCACCAGACAAAATATCGTGATACTGTGTTGTATCGATTTTTTGTCCCACCTCTAATGTAAAGTGTGAGAATGGTTTGTGTTGGTAAGGTATCTAATTGCATCACAAGCAATAATATACTACCCTAGTAACCATGCTAACAATAAGAATAAGAATAAGAAGAACTTTATTAATCCCTGAAGGGAAATTCAATTAAGTTATTCTTATTCTTATTCTTAGCATGGTAACTAGGGTAGTATATTCTTGCTTGTGAGCCTGCAATTAGATACCTTACCAACAGTAAGGGGTGCGGGATTTGAACTTTGTGACTAAGTCCGTTACCGTATTATATAGTATCGCATTGTATCGCATTGTATCGCATTGTATCGTATTGTATCGTATCGTATCGTGTTGTGGCGTATCAAATCGTATTGTATTGTATTGTATGGTTTTGTATGGTATCGTGTCGTATCTTATTGTGTCGTTTCGTGTCGTATTGGGTCGTATTGTATTGTAAGGATTTGTCTGGTATCGTATCCTAATCAAAACATATTGTAACAAATTGTATTGAGCTATATCGTATTGCATTGTATCCAATTCTATCATATCATGATGTCTGTTATTGTAACATTCAGAAGTTTTCTTGACATAACAGTTTCTTTCATAAGATTTTTTATAATCTATTTTCAGCTGTTTTTTAAAACGTCAAATATGATTGTGTGAGTGTGAAGATTTGAGAACCACAATGGACATACACACATCTAATCCACCACTTACAGTTGCACACACTCAAACTGAGCCGTTGACTCCTCTGCTGAGAGATTATCCAGAATTAGGCGCTCCAAGCTGTTGTGTCCTGCCAGTGTGAAATGTAATTTTCAGAAGAGCTACACACTGTAACAAAAAGAATCAATCAAAACCGGGACAGAGACAGAAAGTTAGTGGTGAACATAACTTTGATTTAGACAAAAAAAAAAGACTAAATATAATGAAGCTTCAGTGGGTTGGATGAATACCATGTAACTGAGACACCATAGGGACGAGGCAGAACTAGGAGAATAAAAGCTGACTATAGCTCAGGTGGACTATTGTTTTGGTGACTAAATCGCTGAGCTACTGAACCAAAGTCTACGTCTATCGTGTATGCAGGGGGGGTTAAAATCCGAAATACATTTGAAGAAGAGTAGTCACAAAGAAAGAAGGATGAGGCTTTAAATTTATCACAGGAAATTTCCAACATATATGGTCCCTTTAGTTGGCATCTGAACGTTCGTAGAAAAAGATCCCCTGAAATCTCAGCATTCATTGTCAAACTCCTGGTCACATTACAGTGATTGACATCACCATTATATTTGATTTTCTTACTGAAGTGATGTTGTAGGCAAAACGTGATCATGTAGATAAAGTAGGTGCCAAGTTTACATATGATTTCAACTTCAACTCCAACAGCTCTCTACACCAGCCTTTCACAGGCTAATATGCAGGAGACATGAAGAGCCTTTTAGAGTTTTTATTTTTTCTCCACACACACAGCTAAGTGTATGATTTTGTACTGAGTTGTAAGATTCCTTTTTGTTCACATCGGTTCACTGGCTGGTCATGTATAGTGAGGACACTAATGGAGGACTTGCAGCAGCTGCCATTAGGCTGCTTATATGATGTGTTTGGTTTACTGAATAGAGGCTGCAAGTCTTTTAGACACACTTACAGGTGAGCCATCAAGAGATGAAAAGTTCCAGGCATAAAGTGTCTGCAGACAAGAAATGGGCATCATATCTAGGGTTCAGATTTTCATTGCCAGTGTGTTTTTGTAATTTTGTCAAGGCATAGAGCAGACTATTCTTGAATAAAGCAGAGCACATCTCTCCATACAAGAGAGCACTCTGCTTAAAGTAATATTCTTAAAAACAAATCTTCAATTATTTTTCTCACCTTATCTATTAAAAGATTTACAAGGTTAGAGAGAAACGAGCAACAGGTTGTGGGAGTGAAGCTTGATTAGAAAACTAGCGGAATGAAACTGATGAGACAGGTTAATACGCACAAACAACAAAGATTCCTCCCACACACTGGTTTGGAGAATTTAGAAGCATACAGGAGTTTTTTTGGTTTGTTTATTTTATTTCATTTCTTTAATTATTTCTTCTGTCTAAAGCCTGAAACTCTGAGCAGCAGTCAGTAATTTTGCATTATTTCAGCACTTCTTTCGATGAAATACTTATGTTTGTGCCTTTTTGTCAAAACCCTGTCAATTTGGTCTCCTGAAGCATCAAATCGCCTTGGAAAACAAAGCTTTGAACTATTGATTCATTCCTGAGCTTTTTTGGTGTGCTTTGAATTAACGGTAGCAGTCAGACTAACAGTATATTTTGGAGTTGTTGTGATAATGTTTTTTATTTTATTATTTTTTGAGTAAAGTTCCAAACAAAAAAGTAGTTTCCTAGAAACCTTTCCATGGTATAATGTATGGAAAATTCTGCTGCTTGAGTTGCTGAAGGTAAAACAATATAATAATAAAGGTAACATGGTTTTGCTTGATCAATAATTAACAAATAACTAACAAAAGTTGAAGAAACAGAAATAATTTTATTAAAAGTGTAGCTAATTAAAAAGGTCTGAAATGCTCAAAACTGACTTCAACAGTTCTTGACAAAGGGAAATTATACGGTGTGGTTATTTCACTCTGCATTAGAATGGATTATTTCCGCTGTTCTATCCAGCTCCAGTGTGTAATAGTGTCTTTAACTCAAACAGGCTCTGTTGGAAAACATGTCTAAAGCCAGTCTAATAGAGGGATCCTGAAATATGCCAAAACAACTCACAACAGGAGTATGGGACCATGCATTTGCACTTAATTGGAGGGAAGGGATTTATGTTTGTGTACACAATATGACAAAATATCCTTTCAAGGCTTTATTAGGCAGTATTGGTGTATTTTGTGCTTTTGTGCATTGTGTGCTCGTTTTGTTTCTGAACCTATTCATAGTTTTATGTATTTGGCCCCTGAGGTCCAGATATTTCACTCCCAGCAGTTGGTCTAACAGCGAAAAACGCTTTCTCCCCGAGGCGAAATGATAAAATGACTCTAATGCACTCCTAATGTTTCTATAATGTGCCTGTTATGTTATCTAATGCCTTACAATGAAGTCAGCTTTACCTGTGATTATTTTTGTGGTTTTCAGGATATCCTGAACAACCTGGACCCCCAGGGGAACGGAGAATTGGACGACGATGACCTCATGCTGGATGTGGACCTCCCTGAGGATGGACTGCATGGTCAGCACACACATACACACATAGACACATGCACACACTCTCTACATTAAATGCACTGCACTTGCCTTACTCCTGATTTGAATTTATAAGGTTATTCCATGGCCATGACAAATGCTTCAGTTTCATTGGCTGGGGGCTGTCCATTATATTCCTATAAGCAGAAACCACCGGAAACTGTCCTGATCATAATTGTAAATTAATGTGTTACTAGGGTCCACGCATACTATTTCCAGCAAAATCCTTTTATGGCATATAATGACCTGAATAAATTGAATCCTTTCTTGCCTTGGGGTGAGGATTTTTTCCTCTGCAACATCCATTAAATGCTTTTAATGGACAACAATGTGTCCATTATTTGCTGTTATTTTTTAATATTTGGTTGCTGAAGAGATATTAAATTACAGCGCTGACACTGCCGCACAAACTGACCCTGAATGACAGCTCGACAGCTGACTCAGGGCGGCATTAAGCCAGCTGTCCAACTCTGTTTAAATGAGCAGATGCGCACACACCAGCAACAGGAGTACAGTTTATGTTTGACTGTCTTGACAGCAGTGATATCATGTTTGTTCAATAGCTTTTCTATACATTATACCGCCCACTCTGATCTTGACATCATACCTGTTAAAGCATCATGAGTTTTCTATGTCATCTTTTCGCCTTTTCTGTCTGCAATCAATTACCAATCTGTAAAATAGCTTCTTTGTAGTTACAGGTAATCAAGCCACATGAGTTCTACATAATAATAGTGTTGAGAAGGTCATTATGGATTCATCAGATAGTGTGTATCACTGATGTAAGAGGAGGAGGAGACAGATGCAGAGAAAGAGGAGGTTATGAATGTTGACCTCACCTGTCATGGAACATAATGAATTCCAGGAAGTGATTTTTTCTGTTGTCAGTCAGAAAGGCAGCTCTGTGAATGTAATAGTCATGGCTAATGTGTTTGAGGTGATGTGTGAAGACTCTTACCCTGACAGGCTTGGGAAGATGAAACAAACACTAATGCATTATGCACTGGGCCCATTTGCCTCTGTGTGCACATGTAGACACACGTAATAAGTTTCACTTTGCAAAGCAGTCTAATGCAACATCCCTGCAGTTAAAATCCCTAATTTACGGTGGCCATAATGTTCAGTTATCATGGAGAGGATTTTAGAGAGGTGTTGATTTAACTTTATGGTCATTTTGTGGGCTTGTCTGCTATGTCAATCTGTCTCACTCTGAGATGTTTTTAATATTCAGTCAACCCTGATTGATATAAACTACAGCTGCCAAAAGGACCATTAAGTTAAATCAACACTCAAAAATTGAGCATAACAACCTTTATTAGAGTAGAATTTACTCCCGGCCTGTTGCTTAGGCAGCATTAGTTTTCGCTGGGTCTGGGTAATAAACTTTCAGGTGGGTATACATTAGTGAGGCAGGTTTACTCCTCTGATGTAATTCTTCAGTGTGTAAACATTGATCTCCTTGTTTCTGAGAGGAGGAGACAGAGATATTGAGAGAAAGAGAGAGAGTAAGTGAGAGAGGCAGAGGGGTAGAGCTATGTTCACAGCAGAGGAATGTGAATCAGAGTCTCGTCCCTTCCTACTCCTTTTTTGGGAAGCGGCCATATTTTTAGCTCTCTATGTCATGGCTGGAGTAAGTGTCACAAGGAGCACAGTGAAAGGAGGACACAACAGAGTGTCCAGTTAGACCCGGCCCACAGGGCAGGCCTTAGGACATGGGGATACGGAAGGGTGTTTCCCTCCTTCCTAAGACACCCTGACGCTGCCACAAAGCAGGAAGAAAGTGGAGAAGAAGAGTGAAATTTTAAAACAGGGGGGCGTAGAAGGGGCCTCATGTTACATTTTCAACCAGTTGTCAGGCCCCGTGACGGGAAAGAGGCCCCAGTTTTTCTCCCATGCCTGCCTCAGCTGGTGACTCTTTAGCTTGGAAACAAACCAGCCACCTCAGCTGCTCTCCCACCACAGTCATCTCTCCCCTGTTCCAGTTCCTAGGGAGTATCCACAAAAACAAGGCTGTCAACAAAGACAGACTCAGGCAGTGTTGGAGCAGGGAGCTCACTCTGGCCCTTTAAACTCCTCACCAACCCACTTGCCGAGGGATCATTTCTCTCTCCTCTCCGTCTGTGCTTCTCTACCTTTATGGATGTACTTTTTTCAAGTTGGAATGTTACTTTTTGGAGGACTTTGCTGAAGGTGAAAGGCATTATTGGAAACACTCAAGTTTCTTGGAATGTAACAGTTCAGCTCCTGTGCCATATGTTGACACTCAGGGTAAAGTATTTGAACCTCTTCACACATGCCCAGGATTGAGTCTCTTCTTTTCCTTCTTTATCTCTCTTTTATTTCCTCCTTTCCTCCCTTTTTTTTCCTCATCCCAAAGCTTGTCTGGTGTATAAAAGTCAAGGGTCCTTTTGATTTCCGGAAGGGTCGCGCTCTGTTAGTTGTCAATTCTGTTGCCGTCCTGGTTCATTTCACAGCTATATGCTATTGAGTGTCGGGAAATACTCTGTCCTTTTACCTCCTTGAAAATGAAATGGCCCGTCACTGTGTGTGAGCCTGTGTTTGCATTTAAAGGGTGCAGAAGTTGAAAGAAATAGGGAATGAGATATATCAGATCATGATTTGTATGCAGATACTCCAGATGTGTTTGGGATATACACAGCAGTATTCATTACCTCAAGATATGAAAAATTGATTCATGATCTTTTTTTCTTTTTTTCTGTGAACCTTAGAGTGTTGGCAGAAGGCAGGCAGAGAAAAATAGAGAAAAACAAATTGTAACCTTTGGAAAATGCTGTTCATCTTCACAAGCATGCACTCTGTTTTTCTTTTTTTCCATAAGAAATACGAGTGGGGTTTTATTCTCTATACTACCTATATGGCACATCACAAAGACAGGCTTTACAAAATCAGGATAGAAATCAGTGTGTTCAGGCTCTCTTATGCCCGTCCTCTTTGTTTCAGACATGCACTTTAGTTTTCTCACTGTGTAATCCTCTTTCTGTAGACCCTGACAGGATGTCCCACAGTGAGCGCTCAGAGAGAGCCACTCGGCAGGGACAGCGAAGGAAACACCACCGATGGAGTGGACCAGAACACTTCCACAATGACAGCAGGTTAGTTTGGCTTTAAAGATAAAAAATGATGCCGGAAAAGGAGCAAGAAACTTCGAAAGTAAAAACACAATAAAGTGAACATCACTCTATTCACCCTCTGTAACTATTTCTCTCCTTGGCTATTTGTCTCTGTCTCAGGGCCAATGTCTTTCAGCAATATGATGGTCTCAAGTCTTCAAGAATTTCTTCAAAATCGCTTCCCTCTGAGGACAGGCAACAAAGCTACGTGTCGGCACTGGATGAAATCACACTCAGACATATGAGTCAGGACTGCAGCTCCCTGAAGAACCAGCTGCTCAGGCTCAGAACATTACTGCAGGTTTGGCCAGCATCACATCTCAATGCATCTGTATACAAAACCGTGTACGCTACTAGTTTGTGTAGTACTGATCTGCTGCTATGATAGTACAAAAAGCACATTCTAAGTAGACAAAAATCCTTACATTTTTAGGTTATTATACAATAGTTCGAACACTTACATGTTACATTCACTAAACTTGTTCTGCCTAATGATGCTAAATTCTCCACACAATATCTTAAATAGATCTTTCACTGTCAGTCTGAAGAATAAGCTGGATAGAAAAGACGTCAGCTGTAGAAATGTATGGTTAAATGCACAAAACTCACAGTCATTCAAAGCACACAACCCAATCTAGGAAATTGTTTAAATGCACAGTGTAAGCACTTCACACTACGTGCTCTGCAATATGAAATTATCTTGAATGCCTTGACCAAGTTTACCCTCAATAGCGTAAAAAGGAAAATGTTCTCTTGCATTTGAATCAAATCTCTTTCAGATGTAGTCATTCACTCACTGTAATTAGCCAAACACTTTGGCAGAGCCTCGGGTGGGAAAATAATTCTGATCGCCCATATGTAACCTCGTTCTTTATTGTGTACAGTATGTGTGTCTTTTGTATTATATCAAGCTCGAGGTAGTGTTTGTAAAAATGAGCTTCGAGCCTTGCACAATCCAGATTAATCTTTATTTTTTGTGTGGTCAGACATTCAAGACAATTCTATATACGCACGCTGTTTCCAACTTTTGTTATCTACCTGAGTTGAATTGAGAGCAGGAGTTTGGAGATGTTTCAGACACATTTATATATTACATTCTTTAGATTATTCCAGACATTATCACACACATTTCAATGCTTGATTTATGAATGTAGCAAGTGTGATTTATTCAGTCTGTTTTTATTGCATTCTCTGTATGCACAAGGTGAAATCTGGACCTGCTTTGGGGAAAGACACAGGCGCTGCCCTTAATTATAAATCTGAAAGGATGTACTTGAGGAAGTAAATATATTTGATGTTTATGAATATGCTCAGTGGCTCTACCTTGGGTCTCGAAAACTAGCAGCCTGCAGTTCATGGTCAGCAGTGTCAGCGTGCTAAAGAGCAAACCTTTTCCATCCTTGTGAAATTTTGCTCTTCAGTTTTGCCCGGGGCATTTGTCATTGATTCAGCTCTCAATGTTCTCTGTGACTGTGTGTATGCCTGCTCCCCTGTGCATGTGTTTTTGTGTGTGTGTGTGTGTGTTTGATTGCCTCTAGCTCGAGGATACTGACTCTCCTGCTGAAGCTCCCGAGGACATTGAAGACAATACCACTGCAACACAAGTAGGAACTTTTGCCCTAGCTTTACAGTGATGATTGATTGGTTATGTGTATGATAGTCCACTACAACTTACTCTACACTTATTCTTGTGTGTGTTCTCAGTTGGGGGAGCTGATTAAGGAAGTACAGGTGCTCAGAGAGGAGCTGAGAAGTCGGGACAAGACCATTGCTCAGCTCTCGCTGCAGTGCCAACAACTACAACAACAGCAGCGGGAACAAACGGTCAGTATGTGTAAACAGGATTGATACACAAAAACCTTTGAGACAGTACTTTGTATTATATTCTAGGGATGTATGGGTACAGTATTATCATTCAGCTTGTATGGTTTAGATTGCTAAAATAAGGAAACTTCTGCAGGTGCTGGATCAAAATCAAATAAACAAGGGGAAGGGAAGAGAGATCTGCTCACTGCAACGATAGCTCTCAGCTCACTGAAGCAGCCAGCAAATTTTATCGTAGTCATTTAAATTTCATAATGACAGGTCAAGGTCTCTGATTGAGCAAAACATTGTGGTGTTAAATTAAATTTGTGGAAAGATATCATTACAGCGTGCGGATCGTTTGTCTGGTTCTGACTCTGTTACGTGCCTTCATTGAGGAACAGCCTATTCATTTTTTGCTGTTGGTGTCTCTTGTTTGGTGTTTTGAAAGGTCAAAGTTGAGTAAGTTAGATGATAATAATTAATTGATGACGTTAGTCACAGGGAGGGTCATGGCTGTAGAGTGTGGATTCTTTTAGAATCACAAATTTACCTGAAAGAAGAAGCACACCCAGTGAGTACTGTTTGCACAATCTAGATAGAAAAGAACAACGAGTTAGTTCGATAATAGGGAAGTAGAACGACAATACTAGACTTGTCTCATATTAAAAAAAAAAAAAAACTGTTATTATTAAATTTTGATCAGACCAGACATAGAAAAGGACAGAAATGCACAAGTTTCGAGTTACCTTGAAAGAATTGATGTAGGACTTTCAATAACAAGGTTCTGTGTCGTGAAGATAGCAGCCTTCTCTTTATGTTGAGAAGATAAGGTTGAAAATATGGTACACGTTTTTAGAGACACTGAACTTAAAGTATTGAACCTATGAAAGAAGTCATAGATATGATGGAGAGATTCATATGTAACATAAAGTGGAGCATTGAGGCTTATACACTCCTTAAAGGGATATTCTGGCGTGAGTTTAAGTTATGGTCAAACACACCATTACACCAAGTTAGACACCCCCCTCTAGAGATAAATGTTGCCAACTGCTAGCTTCTCTGGTCATAATAACTTCAGCAACGGCGCAACAGCGATACACAGCAGTCTACGTCTTAACACACAAACCTCAACCAAAACGCCACTCTGTAGCCACAAATAATGCTCAGAACAGCACCTAACTCCATCAACAGTACATATATGATCCCAGCCACAGCACTAGCCACCAAACATCTTTCTAGCTTTGCCTAATTTCTTTAGCAATGAGACTAAACACAACTCACCTACTCTCCTCCAGCAGCTGCTTGTTTGTGGAGTCGATCACTGAGTGCAGTGGATCATTTCCATGAAATAATTATCATCATAATGATCATTTTGCACTGCAGACGCAGTAGTTCTTCTGCCTTACCACCTCGGTCTGATTGCATTTCCGTTAAGTAATAATCATAAATGTTCGTCTTTGAGCTGCGAAACTCCACTAAGACGTAGACTGCTGTGGATTGCTATTGTGTGGTCATTACTAAAGTTGGTATAACTAGATCTTATAGATACTTGTTAGGGGATACATTTGGATTTTAACTTTTGCTTGAAAAGATTCTAGGTTGATCAGATCTAATGAAGAAAAAGCATAAAAAGATGGAAAAAAATTAACAAAATAAATTATTTTTATTCATGCAATGACCTGGTGCATCACAGCCAAATAAAGACTGATAAAAAAGCAGCATGTAAAAGGCAAGTTCTACCATGCTCAGCTACCTCTTGGTCAGTGAAGACATGCTGGAGTCCCCTTCCTCTTAAGAGTGGGAGTCGAGTTTGTACTCTGCTGCTAAGACTGCCTACTAGTAACCTTCCGTTCTGTATGCTTTAAGCTGGCTCCATCTCCACTCTAACATTCATTAGTGTCTCAACATAGCTCCCTTGTTAGCCAAACAACTGTGTGCTTCTCTGACATTATTCAAATCCTCGCCGTATTGAGAAATACCAAAATGTCAAAGGGAGGCTCGTCCGCCAGCCTCCCTTCCGCATAATGTCTCTCCAATTAGAATTAGCACCCACCCACCCACCCACAGGAGGTTCTTCAGTCCTGCAATATAATGTTGCACCTTCGCCCTTGACAAGCATAAGGAGTCAAAAAAGAGCTCAGACATGTTTTCAGATCTGTGCCTGACATTAATAAGAGTGGAGACTTACAGAGGGAAGATGTTGTGGGACATAGAAAAAAGATAAGACAGTAACTGAGATTTTCACTCCACCGGCTGTGTTACAGCTCTACGTGGGCACCACGAGTTAGGTTAGAGGAATGCAGAGGATGGTTGGTGTTCCCATGGCCTCTAATGTCCCTGCAGCACAGATCTGCATAACAATGAGGCCCCTCAAAAAAAAAACATAGACACTTAGTTTTACTGCAAGAAAAATACATTTAAAACACTGCCAGTGATCAGTTTCATTTGATATCTGACATTGGGAAAGTACAGTTTGTACTGGGAGTCAGTAAGACGTTGATACTACAGTTGGTTAAGGGCAGTGGTTCTCAATCCAGTCCTCAAGCCCCTCCTGTCTTGCATGTTTGGATGTTTCCCTGCTCCAACACACCTGATTCAAATAATCAGCTCGTTATTAAGCCATTACAGAGCTTGATAACGAGCTGATCATTTGAATCAGGTGTGTTGGAGCAGGGAAACATCCAAAACATGCAGGACAGTGGGCCTCGAGGACTGGGGCAGGTAATAGAAGAAAGGGAAGTGTAATAGAAACAATGCTGAGATACAGAAGTGTGTGTGTGTGTGTTAGGGGGAGCTTGACTGAGCTGAACATAATGGAATAATGACAAAACAATACACAAACTGAGTGTGTGGTGGTGAAAGAGTCCAAGCTTTAGGCGGTCTGTGTTTGTGTTTAGGGCTGCAGGGAGAGACCGGGAAAGAAAATGAAGTAATGGAAGAGAAAAATAGAGGAGCTATCAAAAAGAGAAAACTGATTTCTCCATCTTCTTTGACAGAATGCAGTTTGGGATGCTGCTTCCACCGCTGTCAAGGCAGACTGCTCATGATTATGCGCTCTGCTTGTTTGAGCTTTATTGAAGTTTTCGCCAAGGCTGGCAAAAAGAACCAATTTCTGTCAGATTCTGCCTCTGTCCTGGCAGCCAAGTACAAGTTGCTCTGCTATAAGAGAGAATGTGTAGGAGATTTAGCTCTGAATACTTGAGAAAAGGCGCATCATTAGCTGCTCTGACATTCTAGCTCAATATTAGATTGTGTCAATAGTTTTAGAAAGGCTAATAAGTTGAAGCAGTAGTCAGTCAAAGTTGATTTAGATGAAAAAGGTGGAAATGCAGGTTCAACATTTGCTCAGAGTAAATGCCAGCTAGTTTAATTTACCGCTGAATCTTTAAAATCCCATGTAAAGGTTCTTTTAATCAATTTTTGCCTGGCTGGATTTTCTCAAAAGTCATGCCCATTATTTCATTTTAGAACTCGGAGGATACTCTGCTGTGTTTTCTACCCATTCAATCCCACACAGTGAAGCTATCAGAAAGGATTCATTCAGGGTGATAAGCTCAGTATGAAAGTTAAACAGCTCAATAAAGTCTCCCTCTTCCATTCATTGTTTTCCTCTCAGCCTGCTCAAGGTCGACAGTTCAGGTGTCAGTGCCACCACCAGAGGGCTCCCTCTTCACTGCGGCAGAGCGACAGACAGTCGGACAAACGCTATCACTATGACAAGGCCACCCAGACTTACTGGAGACCGCCAGGCCATACCGTGAGTCCAATAATGCACAACACCAAATACAACATCCCTGACCTCTGTTTTCAACTTTTGTTTCACCTGAAAGGGTTCCTCAAATATGAGGTTTGTGAGGCATAAAATGTTTGTTTTTCACTGTAAGTCTATAATCAGGAAGAAATTATGTTAATTCACAGTTGTGACTGTGCAAGTGACGTTTTTTGCTGACTCATTTTACATAATTTAGCCATACACTTTTCCATTATTCTTCTGCTTCTCTCTGGCCTGTTCTAAGACTGCATCATGTCCTTTCTTTGGAATACAGTGTACGAGGTTGTCAGTAAGCTTGTCTCACAGTTAATACCGACATCAAACTCTACGGGGGTAGGTGCTGGAGTGGCATAGAAAGAAGAGATGTACAAAAGATATGTAGGAGGAAAAGAGAGAGGGAGGGACAAAGAGGAAGTAGACAGTGAGACGCAGGGATAGAAAAGGTGGGAGATGGGTGGATTTGTGTTCAGTGTGTACAGTATCATGCTATAATAGCATGCTGTGTGGCAGCCAAGTATTGATTCAATAGCAGGAGTGCCACAGGCAGGGTGCCTAGTAAACACTCCCCTAATTGACCTGCTCTCAGCTCCAAACAGTCACACACTCACAAAGAGGTAGACGGAAGCTCTGTGAGGAGATTACAGAGAGAAATGATAAAAATACACTTTTAAACCTTTGGGATGTGTGGTATTATCCATTTAGCCATAATAATAATTATTTAAGATAATGTTTGGCACACAGGATTTCACAAGTGCACTGAAAAGGTGTTGGTCAAAAGCATATTTAAATGCTGCATGTAATGCCACAGAGAAAAAGATAACAAATGGAAAAGCAGGCATCCTTACTACAGCAAGTCCCTGCTTACCAAAAGACCATATGGTTTAACAGTTGCTATGGCAACCATCAAAGCAAGGCTAGCTGTGCTCGGTGGGAATCATCTCCATGAAGGGTACATCTACCTGTGACCCATTGTACCTGGTGTGTAATAACACACTAAACCATAAAAAAGCATTAATACTGCGTTTGCAAGCTTTTTGTGTTTTTTTTTCTATATTTTTATTTCCTTTCCTCTTTTATATTATTACTTTTCTTAGCCCCATCCTGATTCCTCCCATCCTTTTCTGTTCCATCACCAGAGTAGAGGCTATTTCCTGCACTCTGTTCTGCAGCTTTGTGAGCACTAACACATTATGTTAGCTACCTTTTACTTTGCAGGGCATGTAGTTGCTCTGCTGTGGGTTTCTTTGTTTTTGGTTTTTGACAAGCCAACAAGAGAAGAGAGCAGCAGGTAAACAAATAACAAAAAGAAGAGCTGTTTTTTTTCTCTGTTTTTCTTACTCTTAGATGCTATCAAAGCTGTTGGTGTCGCTCTGACAGGTTTAGCACCTACAGCAAGCTCAAGTTCACAGTGTTTCTCATTCAATGCTGCACTACAATCTTTCACAGGTTTTCCTTTTTAAAGCTTCCTTTCCAGTGATGCTCTCTCTAACCTTTGCCATTTTATGCACAAATATTACCTTTTTTTTGTGGCTCACACATTCCCCAAGTCTGACTGTTTTCATCTAACTTTTCGATACTTCTTTTCTAACACACTCAAACACAGACACTCAAATTTATAATCTGGCGTCATCTTTATAGTTTCCTTCCTTCTCGCTCTCTGAAATACCCTTTTCTGTTGATTTTCCTCTCCTCTGACATTTAAAGTGCCGCTGTATCAGTGTTGGAGTACCTCTTGCCCTCTGATAGTATTTTCGTGCGCTTAGCTGAAAGGATCAGCCAAGAATAATTTTGATGTCAGAGGCCATAAACTGTAATCTTTTTTTAAGCTCTAATTCTGCTATCTTGTTTCCTTATCAGTAGCCCAGAGGGTAAACTTTTAACACTAACACATGGAGGTCTAGAGGTGAGTTCCTGACTGAGTCCTGCCAACAACTTGGGCTTGAACTTTAGACTACTGGGGTGGGGAATTTTCTGTTCTGTAAACTCAGATTACGAGGATAGAAAGGAGCAAGCTTGTAGCCTTTGATCTTTGGACATTCAAGAAAATGTAGTCACTGTTATGCAGTTTGAAATTCATGAGGTTAGTATATTAAGCCATCTACTCCTTTTTAATTTGTAGTTGAAGGATAAAAACATTGTGGGCTATCACTCTATAGGCTGCACTTACAAATTCTCTGTGGAGACCAGGGTTGTACTTATCTCCTACAGTCTTCACAGTCTGTAGGAAGACTTTGGCAACATACCCCAACCAACTGCTTTGGGCACCAGCTTCTACAGCTTTTCCATTTTAATCTGCTTCCAATTCAATTTGAGTCCCGAGCATGCTTAGAAATGAAAACCTTGTGATGTTGTTTATGTCTGCCAATGCACAAGACGAAAAACACATACTGTATGTAGGGCACACTTGTTGCAGCAAGATGCATAGATGATGTGACAGGAGAAAAAACTTACATTTCACTTGTAGAAAAAATATTCTTTTTGAATAGATCCCCTGAGCAATCACAGCAGCAGGAATGTTTTCTTTGCTTCTTCGTCCTTTCACAACAAATAACTATGAGCTGCACAATTTAAGTCATTTCGGATGTAGAAACAGAAAACTACACAGCATTTGTGCGCATGTTTTTGTTTTGTGTTTGTGTGTGGGAGCCCCACATTGTGTGTGAGTGGGATGTGCCACACGTATCTTTTGTACTGAAGTGCAGGGCACACTCAGCGTGACAGAACAATGAGTTCAGCAGACTGAGGACTGGGGAGCCGACCTTCTTAATAACCCAGATAAACAAACAAAAACAGATGAGCTGCAGCGGTGCAACAATGGCAACACAATAGGCAGTGTTTCATCAGTGGCAGACAGAGACGATAATTACAGCTCCCCTCCTACTCCCTCTTTGCTTCTTAAACATCCTCTCTTTCTCCTCTTCTCACTCCTTCTCTCTCCCTGTCTTTTATCACTCATGCTCTCACAATCAGCTATTTTTCTTCTCTTCTGGCTCCAGTGATTCTTACTCTCACTGTGTTTCTCTCCTCTTGCTTTGACATAACCTCTCTTCTTTTTACCTCAGATGTAATTAGATCAATTTACTACCGAGGAGAGGCAGAAAGAGAGAAAAGAGAAAGAAAAAGAGAGAACAGGGGAGAGGGAGTGAGAGGGATGGAAGGTTAGTGATCAGTGTTAAGCTGTCCGTTGAAAGAACAAGCTTTCCACACACAGATCCTGACTTTACCTCTCCACCCACATCCCCCTCTGTCTGCCGCCTTGCATCACACACACACACACACACACGCACACACACACGCAGTCAGACACTTACCTTCACATACACACTCGTTTAAACACAACACACAGCAGAGTGATGTTAGACAGGTGAGGATTTAATCGCTAAAGTCAGTGAAATGAGACATCGCAGTTAGACTTGAGGTATTAGGTGTATTCGGCCGCGAGGAGCTCTGTGTGGTGGATTTGAGGATTCGAGCAGGGAAAGGCCGTTTTAGGGCCACATTATCCAGGTCTTTACTAAATACTGTTTTATTTGAAGAAAAGGTTGCACGATGGAAAAGAACAACTTTTTGCTTGACTTTTAAATTCTCGTCCTACTTTGCCAAGTTTCACCATCTGCTGTTGGGGCTCTGCACAGGCGAAGTAGCTTAACGAATCCTGAGAGTCCATTTTATCACGAGATGGGCCTCCAGTGAGCATACCGCCACTACCATTACTTGTATGGCTGCCATTTCTATGGAGAATGATAATTCAAACACATCTGTTCTGTTATATTTTTTATTCGTTATTGCACTTCCCTGCATTCCTTATTATTTCTTTGGCAAATTTCATCCAGTTTGAACATAATAAGCACTTTACTTTTATGAAAAGAAAAGGAAATTGAAATGACTTTAGCCTTTTAGTGAAACATGATTCCGGTCTGTAATGATTGGTTACCCTCCAGTCACAATAAAAGAGGTTAGAAGGGCTGTCAGCGGAATCTGATGTTCTTTCTTTTTTTTTGTAGATAGAAATCCCATCATCAAATTGAAATGCTTTAAAATGTTAAAAAGTGTGAACTTTTTAAGGTATTTTAAACTGAGCTTTATTACCAGGCATCAATTCCCTGAGTCTCTGTGCAGGCGGCCAGAAAAAAAAAAAAAGAGTGAGAAGTTTTATTGAAATTGATGGAATATGAAAACTTTTGTACTTTCCAATTGCTGTCTCAGTGCCCTCATGAAGTTCTGTCAGCCCCTCATTGAAGAGCGTTTACATGGAAAACTGACAGGTTAAGTTTCTGCAGATTTCTAATAAAGCTGCCAGACACTGACAGAATTATTCCAGAGCCCTCCAACGTGCCCTCTTGTTCTCATCGCCTGAGGTTTCCTCTCTGTAAATGACGCCTCGACGGGAGGCTTCTGCTCAGACCTCCTGCTGAAACAGATGTTGCTGCTCAGGGAAGGACATGGACGAGAGCAGATCAGGGAAACTCATTCCTTCTCTCCTCCAGCAGTCGCACCAGGAGGGCTCTGAAATAGCATGAGCTGGTCCTGCTGGGAACTTGCTACCTTCCCCTTCCTTGTCTTCTCCCTCATCTACTCTCTGGTGTTCTTTGTCCCCCTTTACAGAATCAGCAGCTCTTTCATTTGTATTAGAGCCCCATTTGAGCGGCTGTCCTCTCAACAGAGCTGAGGGGAAAATTGTTGCATTTGATAAGGTTTTAGTCTGTCAGTGTGCTCATCGTGATGGCTCTGCTGCCTCTTCACTTTGCCTCTCCAAAGGGGGTCTCTGGTCTTTGAATTGCCTGACCTAAAGATTGGCTTGGTGTCAAGAAAAAGCCCTCGAAGATTTTCAGGTTCATGTTTGTGCATAGAGATACAAGCTAAAAAAGTTCATAAGCAACTGAGGCCGCAAAATGAGAAAGTACAGCATCTAGGGAGCAGGAATAAAGTTTATTGTCCGTGTAAAACAGACAGAGTGAGACAAGTGAAGATTGATCCAAGCTGTCACTTTGTGCTTTAATGAAATGCAGAGTTAAAACACACTTTCTTGTGACAAATAATGTGGTAAATAAAGATACATTTACCAATTTAGTGAACATAAAAAACACCTTTAAAGTGGTACTTGTAGAAACATTGGCTGTCCTCTCCAGTTAGTTCACTTGTAAAACTGTTTACCTCTGCCGTGCTCTTCTATAATGGCTTAAAGGCAACGCAGTGGGCATGCTTCATAATGTATATGCCTCTATTTCTAAACAAAAAGTAGAATAGCTATACATAATCTATATTCTTGTGTCTTCTGTTGTTTTTGAACAGTTTTGAGTCTTAATATTTTGATCTCTTATGCCTCACTGACTTGGTTATCACAAGCTCGTGATTTACAGCCGAGCATCTGAAGGACGAGTGCAGTCATGTGCTCATCATGTGTACGTTCAAATCCACTGGAAGTAAATTTTATGTTGGGAATAACATCTCCATAAACCGGCCAACTGGAAGCATATTTAAAAGACATATGAATATAAATGATGTGACCAATTGCGGAGATGTTGGCATGACAAAGTTTGATACATGAATAGTTTTGCATTCATTGCGCTGCTAAAACTGTCTAAATCGTTGGACTTTTCTTTGAATTTTTGTGCTCTGTGAGAGCAAGAATGACCAATTTTGGAGAAAGAGGCACAGAAATATGCAGAGAATGTGCAGAATATTTCTGTTTCAGGGAGTTGTGTTGCCTTGAGAAACTCGCAGACAGGGTTCGATATTTCACTCATTCAAAACATCAATGAACAAACAGAAAATTCAAGAGTCCCGGGGGTCTTTATTTTTCAACATTTTTGGCAATAGAAAAAAGCTGTTCTTGCTTTAAAGGCTTTGTTTTCCTCTCAGTTATTTATTGACAGTAAGCATGGTACAGATGAATGCTGTCTGAGTGTCTGCGTGTCAGTACACATGCGCATGTTGGCCTGTGTGCTGTGTTAAACGGGCTATCCATTCTCATTAACACTGACCGCATTAATGCCCGTGAGTGCGTTTTCTGTGTTAGCATGCTTCTGTGTGCATGTGGGGTATGTCATGCCTTTTGTCCTTTGTGTCTTTCTCTGCGTAGGGTGTGCTGCCCACCCCGCTGCTGTCCCCGTGGCAGGCACAGCACCAGGGCTTGACCCGTACCAGCATGCCCCAGCGCAGACAGAGTGAGTCACTAACATCTTTTGCCGCCTCTTATGCATCTTTTCATAACACAACATATCAAGTGAGTGTCAGATAATAACAGATAGCCTAGCTTTTCCTCCTAACTTACTACCAAATTGTGTTCTAGGTATTCATGTAACTATTAAACTACGTTTGTTTGCTTTAGGATTAACCTGGAACAAGATTGTACCATGCAAAGGATTTTTTTTTGTAGTCTTACTTCTTGTTCTGTTTGATTAATTAACTGGACTCCTTTTTTATTTGGTCTAAATATTTTGCATTTAATCAAGAAGAGACTAACTTCTGAATATGAAAGATAAACACTCAGTCCAGACCCCCAAAACTCCCAGTTTGCCATCTCCTGGGTACTTCCAAATTATGCATGATTTCAACAATGATGCCTTCAAAAGACCCATGCTCCATCTGTGAGAAGGTTGGGTCTACCTACACTAACACTTGACCACAAGCCCCCCCCCAAACCCTGACCTTTGGTACGGATAGACAGCAAGAGCCACCAGCGCATCAACATGGCTATTGAGTGGATGGCATGCTGGATATCTTTACTGGTATTTTGACAAGTTAGGCCCACAACACCTTGGGGAGGCTAAGCAGTCAGCTGCAGTGCCCTGGAACTACTCCCCCTCTATGCCAGCTCTCATCACTCATCATACCTGCATGCAAAGGAAGAAAACAAAATGCAAAAGCGGGAGAAGTGTGTATAGAGAGATGTTAGAAAGAGGACAGGGAAGGCAGAGCCCACTGGCTAAAACTCACTCCTGCCTGGTTTTGACTCCTCCACTTATCTTTATCAATCTTATATTATTTGTAGTAAATGTGTAGTGCTATGATATAGTGATTATAACTCTTGAATTAAAATTATGACCTGATCTTGCCTTTGGATTCTAAAAAATAGTAAGATAAACAACCCTTTTTCCGAATTCTGTCAGAGTACGGCTCACTGAAATCTTTGAGACAGATGTAAGTGCATAAACAATGACAGCACAATCACAACAAGCCTGCCTATCTCAGTGAATCACACAACAAAGCTTTTGCCCCACTGTGTAACGTCAAGGTAGCAATCAGGGTAGGCAGGCAGAGAGAATGATGACAAGTAAATAGACTTCAGGAAAGGAGAGAGAGAGAGAGAGAGAGAGAGAGTGAGTGCAGAGCAGAAAAAATAAAGATGGAAACCTAGGTATTGTTCCTCTGATATCCATCCCAGCGGGGCTCAGTTTTGTATCAACAGAAAAGGTGAAAAATGTGGCACTGCTGCTTTTATTTGTGTATACCGAGTGTTATTTCACCATTGAGTGCTCCTGTGTTTATGAACAATTTAGAGATATATGTGAGTAGAGCTCAGTGTTCAGTTAAAAGTGCATTTTTTCACTTATATAAAAGAGTACTTAAACAAAATGTACTTTCAATGAAATATAAAATAGAAGATTGGAAGATTTTATATCGTTTAAGCTTACTATAATGTAGCTGAAGTTATGCGCAGTTGTATTTATAGAATGAGAAGCATAAGAAAGAAACCTTTAAGGATTTGACCACCTGCTGCGAGCTGAGGCTGTAAACAAACCAGCAAAGTGCTCTTACCAGAATTCAAGTTTTTTAGATACTACTGGCTCTGAAAGGAGAAAGGAGTTGGCTCTTGCTTAACTAATGCACTTTTCATATTTAATCATTGGTTATTCTGTGTATCTGGGTCGCGTCTGACTTTCTCTTGCAAGCTAATTGTGTTATTTCTGCCTTTAACGTTACCTGACCTCAACAAGTGAATCTTTTGGGTTTGTATCCTGTAATTTATTACCTACACTCCAGCGCCTCCCTCTCTTCTAACACCTTCCCTCTCCTCGTCTCATTTCTTTACTCCATTGCTCACAGAAACTCTCAAATGTTCTCTCTCTTGTACCCTTGCCTTCTCGCAATCAATGCTTATTGCAAGGAGTGGAGCACCTAGTGCAGTACTTCTATGACACAGCGTGGTACAGTAATACTTTCTTAACATGGAGTCGGTTTGAAGCCCTTCACTCTTGCACGCTGGGCTGTGGTTGGTGATGCATGATCTTGAACGTGTGCGTTTGCATGCTTCTATTTTGAATATCAGTTGATTTTGAGTTTGATCTGATCATCCTTTTAGAGATGATAGATCCTGTTATGTAAAATTATTATTTTGTCACATCTTCATTGACTTGTACTCATGTAAGTTCATTTATTTTTGGTGCTTTTATTTTTCTCAGTTGAAGAGTGTGTTTTTTACTCCCATACCATCACATTAAGTATAGAAGGAGTGCTATGGCATGCAGTGGTAAATCTCTGTGTGTGGATTTATTTTTTTGTTTATTTATTCATCAAAAAACAGTCATTTTATTACTCAGATTGTTTGCCTTGAAGGATTTGGATGTGAGGTGTTTTGAAAGCGCCATTTCACTTTCCCCCCTCTGCTATTGGACATGAATTCATATTGCTGCTGCTCTCTTTAGCGGTCCTCATTCTTACTCTCCTGTCTATAGCAGTTAAGCACAGCAAGCAAAAGACAAATCTGTGGAATCATACATCCTCTTCTCTCGCACTATCTCTGCAGCTTAAACTCATGTAAACAGGATTCGAATTGCTTTTTCACCACCACTTCTATTAAATGATCCAATGAAATGTAATCCAGGCCTTGAAATAGAGAGCAACTCTCATCTGCATATGTGCTGCAATCACATTGTCTTCTGGCACACATAATAAGGATTATTCACACCCTTTTTCAGGTTCTTGAATGTGGTGTTTCTCATCACACAGCCATTTTTCACAGTGAAAGAGGCTGACGATGAGATTAGTAGTTTCGGGCTCTGACATCTGCCAGGTGTTTATAATTGCCACATTTCTTGGTCGTATTTGTGTTAATGTGATTGCGACCATTAGTGAGCTGAGGCATTTACTTCTCAGCGATGCAGAGAGGCGCTCTGATTGATTGCTGCTAATTATTAGTATCTGTAGCTGACAGATGTTGATGCAAATAATTGTTATAGAGACTGTATATTGTTACTACGTGTCACTTTCACTGACAGCTTGACTAGCTTCAAAAATTTGGACTTTTGTTAAGCCTTGCTATCAAATTTAATATGTATATATCTATTATTCTTATTGTAAAGGAAATTATAGATTGGTTTTTTCTTAAAGTACAAGTGCAGGAAGGCTTTTCTTATTGTAGAACAAGGATAAAGAATAACGTCACTCAACCTCAACCTACTTTCACTCCTGTTATGTTGTGAAAAAATCTTTATTTAGTTTGAACTCTGAGTGAGTAGAGGGTGATGGAAATGAAGCACTGTATGCCAGAGCTAAAAAAGGGCTTAATAACATGCTCATGATATGAGTGGCAGACTAATCACAGTTATTGTAAGAAGCAGAAATATGTTCTTTCTTGGAGTCTTTTTAAACCAAACTTTGGGATCTAAAAACAGTGTTTTTTGTATGAAAAAAAGAAGAAAAAAACCCCCCAAAAAACGTAAAACTGATGGTGAGATGAGGACAAGGGTTTCGTAAGAGGCCAGTGGATGCAGTGTGGCAGGGCACCAGGAGATGGAGCTGTGGCCCCTAACATCCATCTGCCTCACAGCACTTATGAGTGATGGTGAAAACAGGCAAAACAGCATGACCTGCACAGCTAAATATATATTCACTTCATTTGAGAAAATGTATTTTACAGTCTTTATGCTTCCTCTAAATTAGAGTTTTGTGAACATTCGGATGATTTGTGTTCTTCCTTAATGAAAGAAAATGAGTACTTCCGCTGGTGGTGATATAAACTAACTGTACTGCCATTGACCTTCCTCACCGAGAAAGTTTTCAACTAAAATAAGCAAAAGCATCTTGGGGTTTTAGAGATGTTCAGTTCATAAACTATTCGTAAAATGTACTCATAGCCTGAATAAAATATTCATACAGATGAATATTGACAGAAATTTCAGATCTGAGCAACTCAAGCTCTCTCTGGGGGTTGTTTGGACCAAAGACAGTTAATCTCGTATTCTGGTGTGTATTTGGATCTGTGGTCCAGAATAGTTGTTGTAAATCAGGAATCTTTTGGCATTATTACATTGGCTTAAACTTGAACACGGTGTTAAAAACAAACAAGAATTTCTTTTTTGAGACTGGTGCTTCAAGCTGAAAATATCGCTAAATTTGTGATTCATCTGCTGCAGTGCTTTGCAATTGGGAATAATGGAGACATGTAATTAACGCTTTTACAAACTGCACTTATTCAAACTAGTTAAAAAAAACTCTTCTGGGAAATTAAGAGATTGTTATTTTTCACTCTTACTCATTAAGTTGTTGATTAACATACTTTAAATTGGTAGTTTGTTCTTTTGTCATTAGCTGTTTTCCAACTCAGATATCACACACAGTGAGCTTCATTAAAGAGTGTTTGTTGCAGGTCTATAGTAGGTTTACATTAGGTGTTCTTGTTTTTGTGTTCATTCCCGGTACAGTATGTCCCCCAGTGGAGGACGACACCGCGGTTGGGCTACGTTTCATGCTGTTAACCGCTCAGCACGCTGTCATGCTGGCACCCGGCATAGTAGCGCACGGTTAGAGTGTTTTGAAGCCTCTCTGCTAACAGCGATCACAAAATGACTCAAAGACTTCAGTAGATTCCAGGCGCTCGCATGGCAAGGTTATTCTCCTCTGCTTGTTTTTAAGTGCTGAATCAGGCTTTCCTCTGTGACTTTGCCTCTCCAAATCTGGGAATGGTTCAGCAGCAGGCGGTGGGAACAGGCTTTGATATTAAAGAGTAAATAAACAAGTCAAAGAAAGGCAGAAATTTTCAAACGGATTTGTGGTTCAGAATTTCCTCTGCAGCTGCAAAATATTGAAAATCCTAGATTCGACAGGGATCAAAGAGGCCAGAAAAAAAAAAAAAACTTTTGAAAATGAGTGAATCCTAAAACAGGATGAAAGCAAGCCCTACCCCATCAAAACCTTTAGTTTAACTATTTTATAGTTAACTTTTTAAAAAATGTTCATATATATCCTCTCTCTCTTTCTCTCTCTCCAGCCTCAAATACTACAGCCCTTCAGCCCCTGCCTCAGCGAGCAGCACCACCAGGGAAAACTAGTAAAACCTCCCCGCACAGAGGGCCGCAGTGACTTGACACAGAGCAGATCAGAGGAAGCAACCCAAATAGATGCTGACTGTCTCCTTGGAGAACCTGGGGTGGACATGTCCGAGCCTGCAGACCTAGACGAGTCAAGTCATCTGCTCGACACCCACAGGCACCGCCAAGACTCCGAGGCTCCACGGGGAGTAACAAACAGAGACAGACCAGTAGCTGCAGCACAGCATGAGCAGAAAGCCCTCGCTGTGAAACTGCAGAACTCCATCACTCCCAAACCTGCTGCTGGTTCTACGTGCCCTTGCTTGCTGCAGCCTCCACGCCTTCACAAGCGCATGCATCTCCCGGCGCTCAAACCGAGGGGCGCTGGCAATTCAGGATGTTCCCCGAGCCCGTCGATCAACCACGGAAGACAGCTGCCCCCTCCAACCAGAGGCCTTCCCTGCTTCAACGCTGGACCCCAGGCACGTGCTCTAAGTCTTTGTCGCACTTCACCGCTTCAGCCTCGCAAAGCATCAGAGCCTTGCAGGAATCAAAGGAGCACCCACTCCAGTCAGGAGGAGCCCGACCAGGGGGCGCTTAAAAACTCTGGGTCAGCTAAGATCCTGATCCCTCTGAGTCGCTCGTGCCTCCCGAAGCCAAAGATCCCCTGAGGAGCTTCAACCAATGCTTCAAATCTTAAAACTGGAATCAATCTGACATCAACTTCATCCCTTCCCCTCCCTTGCCACAACACAGGAAGATTGTTTTACTTATTGAGCGTCAAAGAAACACAACATAAAGCTCTTCTACACACATGAACACTTCAGGGACTGCCAGTCTTATAGAAACTGTTGTTGCGACTGCTGTCTACCATCCCAGCCTGACTGATTGATAGACGTTGTCAGGCATGTAGCAGAATCTTGGACTTCACAGCAATCAATAGCAGTTTCTAATTTTCCTGAGCAAGGGGCATTCATGGGCAAGAAAATGAGTAAATGTCCAGGTTTGCCAGCCTTACGTACAAATGCTGCAGATATAAAGCAAAGAAAGTGTAACCGTTCAGCGAAGTCCAGTTTTTGTATTCTTTTGTGATGCCCTCAGGCTGTCATCACATTCTGAAGTCCGAGTTCACTCGTCCTCACACAGCTGTGCCCTCTGACACACAGGTGCATTTGGTTTTAAACACAGAGGTGACATGAATGTGACATTTCCCGAGTATTAGAAAGCCCAGGGGAAGAGAGGGGCAAGAATAAGAAGTGGGAAAGAAAGGGAGGAGGGGGGGATAAGAGCAGAGGTGCGGTGGTGGCTAGAGACTGAGAAGCAAATTCGTCAAAGTGCTCTGGAGCTGTCACATCCAGAGTAAAAATATATGTATGAGTGTGTGTCCATGTGAAAGTGAGAGATGAGAGATGTAGAGGTGAGGCACAAAGAGTACAGCACTTCACACTGTAGGTTCAGCCATGTTTGGAGCTCACTGTGCGTACATCCTGTAAACCTTTAGTCCTGCACACATTAGTGAAGGGGTTTATTCACCAGTGTGACTCAAAATGAGGTATAGGCATAAAAAAGATAACACCACACTCGCATTAGATGTACTGTTTATAATTAGTAAATACAGTTTTGAAGTTGAGAATAAGCTTTCATAATGCAGTGTAAAAGGACAGTGTAATACAGCACTTGTATACATGAGTGTACTCAGGTACAATGTATGAATCACAGCCATGGATGAACACGCGCATTAGTACTCAGACTCTCTGGATACTGTTATTTCAGGGTTACTTTTTGCGTTGTTAGATGGGAAACAGTGAAGAGGAAAAGGAAGTTTAATGCAGGAGGAGGAGGAGGAGGAGGAGGAGGAGGAGACAGTGTGTAGCACAACGGATTTAAAATCTTATTAGACGACAGAAAAATATCTGCCAGTGATTAAAATTAGAAAGTGTACAAACTGAATCATGGAAATATGATGTCAAAAACTGTAACCAGTCAAACTCAGGAAAAGTTACACCTTATTCGACAAAAAAAGACTTCTCCAGTAACCTTCTAGGTGGGTGTTTTTCTACCCCTTCGCTCCCTCAGTGACCCCACATGGAAACGTCAGCTAACAGGGATTCATTAAACAAGCAAAGCTGCTGCCTGATGTAGGTATGTGTGAGCGCTTGTGTGTGTTTGACTGTCTGAGTTGTTGTCCTTTTCCACCCCTTTCACTCTCTCTCTTTCTCTCACTGTCTCTCTCTGCCCTCGCTCTCTCGCACATCTCCTCGGGAACATCAAAGGTATTAGCACGGTATTTTCAGGTAGGCAGCCTTGGGGGGGTTTAGCGGTGTTTCTGTGGGACTTTTGGAGGATTGTGTTTATCTTCTCCTCGCCGAGCCCTTTTGCAGTCAAACGCTCCCGAAATGTCCCCAAACGGAGAGCAGCAGTGTGTTAAAAAGACCTTCTGACAGCAACTCTGTTCTCTTCTCTGTCACGCCGCGTGACCGCTTGGTGTACGCCTCTGGCACTGTCCGGTCTACTGCATCCAATAATGCACCCTACATAGACAGAGTGAGACAGTAAGAGAGAGAGTAAAAGAGAGAGAGAGAGAGAGGGACACACACATAGACACACACAACAAGCAGACACATCCGGACACAAGAGTTACATGGACACACATGCACAGGAACTCTGACAAAACTCAAAGAGACACGAAACTCAGAGCAAACACACACATCAGTTCTCACTTTTCGGTGGCCACAGAAGTGCACCGACTCACACACACTGACTTTGAATTTTATTAAAAAGTGCATAAAAGTGTTTTTCTTAGCTAACCAAGTTTTGCGTAGCCCCTCCAAAAAAGATGGCAGTCTCTAATTTGCTTGAGATTAGCAGTCTTGTCCATGTTGTAAGCAGGGATCCACGCGGCTGATAAAATGTGTTTACCTGTCAGATGGTTGGACATTGTGCCAAATCAGCCAAGCAGACACACTGCTGTGCGAGTCGAGAAAAAAAAGTCTTCTAATGAAAACGGAAACGAGACAGATAGATAGATACAGAGGAAGGACGGGCAGGGAAAAACAATAAGACAGAGCAGGAAGCAAGAGCAAAAACAAAAGAGATGTAAAGATGAAGTCGTGAAGGCACGATTACGACCGGCTGTTTTTTTGCAAATTTTCTGTGAAAGTTTGTCCACAAAATGTCATGCAGGTGTGTCTTAGAGTGGAGAGGGACTAAGGATACCTAACATGTTTGTTTGTGTGCACTTTGGCCTGATCCCCTCAGCTGTGCCACTCAATGCTTTGTAATGCCAAACAGGAAATCAATGTTGCCCGCTGAATGTGTTTGTGTATCGCTTTGTGGGTGTGTATGTGCATCTCCAGACACCTCTGCCTGCCAGGAAGTGTGTGTATGTGTGTGTGTAGAAAAGAGAGAGTGAGTGTGAGAGATGTATCTGCCCACGGGCCAAAGGCAAAGCCATGCCAGAGAAAGCAGGGCAGCGCCATCCTTCTCTCTCCATGCTGTAATCCCTATCTTCAAATCAATGTCCCCCGCTCAGTTTAGCCGTCTGGCCAATCACTCACTCATTCCTAGCTGCTTGCTATGACAACAAAACCACCACTGAAAACTCCAATGGATCGATTCAAACATAGAGTCATAACTCTGTTTAATTAGTAAGAACACTGAACGGTTATATGGCTGCACTGCACAGCAAGATAAAGGCACCAACAGGAGTTAAATTGTGTTTTCTGACCACATTCGACATCTAAAGAGCACATAATGCACTCATTAGGACAATTGTCTGCAATATTATGATGCTGCACATCAACTGAGACAACTGCTACCACACAAACATATAAAGAGAATTACTATAAAAGCAAAATAGAGCTATATAAATGGTCTCAAGCTTCTAGTTTGACCTTAAAGTGATGGATCTGTGGGACGTATTCACGATTTATAGCCCATTGTTTTGTCTTTACATCCTATCGCCTCACCTCAGATTAATGTGAATGCTAACATTACAAGTCTGCTGAATGAGGAAATATAACAAGATTGTGGTGCAAGGAAAAAAGAAAACTGCAGCTATGCCTCACTTTAATTTAAAGTAGCTCTGCTTTTGTTGTGTATCTACTGTACAACTAGGAGAGTACAGTTGTACTTTAACAGTAGTTTTAAATCAACCACACACGTATTAACAGTCATCATCTTTCCACTGAAGCGGTTTCATATAATCACTATAGAGTAGTTCTTCATACTTCATATATCTTCATGTAAGGTATAGTGTCGTCACTGTTTATTCCTAATATTGCCTAATATTAACTGGTTCCAGGTGTAAAGCACTGTGTCTGGTGTACTGTGCAATATTGTCCTGAAAATTGTCAAAAAGATGAGGGAGTGCTAAACTTTATTTCTAGCGACCTTTTATGCAAATGACAAAGCAAATAAAGCTTTGTTTGTATAAATTCTAATCTGATGCACTTTACGTGACGTGAGCAGCTGATGCTGAATTAAACTGGAGTTAGAGGCTACTTAGAATGCATTTGGGTTGAGCTTTGCCAGTGTGTCTACATTTGTGCAATGATATTTTTCTAGGAAGCCATGCGAGACAGCAATAAAGGTTAAACCAAAAAATCTGACAGGAGTGTTTATCTTCTTTTGAGCTTTTTTGAATTTTTCCATCTTTGATTAATTTTGTTTTTTTTTTTCTATCCCCAAATGAAAGCATGCAGACAACCTTGATGTGTGTTTCCCTTGAAATGCCACACTGCAGGTCGTTGGTAAAATGTTAAAAGAAGAGCAGTATATGTGCCGTGCTACAGGAAAAAAGCTGATTCTGTGGTTGGAGGTAAAACTTACATAGTTGTTGGTGTTCATTAGGATTTATTTCAGAACCTAACCATGCTTATTACTAAAACCTAAAGCTGCTGATCTCAGTTTAAAATGGAAGAAAAACCTTCTTCAAAGACTTTTTTTTGTTGTTTTCACTGTATGCAGGTTGTATTTATGTGAAATTAAAGTACGATTATGAAACAGCTGTGGTTTCTGTTTTCTTTTATGTCTTTAAAATGTCACAGATTTTCATTTGCGTATCTATAACAAAGCTCTATTAAATACCCCAGCAGAAGTGCCACAAATGTTCAAACGATGTTTAGCCTCCAAAGAGGATTGTAGCTGTCCCAAATTTCTTTTGACAAGAGACTACAAAATAAAAAATATTATGTGGAAGAGAAAAATAGGCACAGACATGGATATAAATCTGTTGTGCAAAAAGTTTCAAAGCAGGGACATTTCTCTTGTTGAATCAATGATAACAAGAAGGCATTATTCATCTCGCTTCATTACAAATCATGCAGCCTCAGTACACCTTGCATTAAGTCCACAACCTAATGAGGTTACGCGCTTCAGAGGCCATGGGTGGATAACAGCCAGCCGAGCGCAAGGAACAGCATGACACTGTCATTAAACTTGGAAAAGTGCAAGATGGAGTGCAAAAGGTTTTCTCTTGAAAGAAAGCCAGACTCTTTCCTCATAAACTGTCATACATATGTCGAAGGTTTGAACTCTTTTCATGCTACAGTGACGTAGGTCGCTTTTAAATAACAGGGTGTTTGTAGAGTAATTGAGAGTAATACTAAGGAAGGAAAGTGCACATTCTCTTGAGACATGACATGTCAGATTGTACAAATGACTCATCGGTCATACCAAGTATTTGCAAGAGTTCCTATAGTTTCCTTTCTAGCCATCATTTACAAGCTGTTAACTTTGAAAGTAAAATCTTATCCTACACCATCCTTCAATTCTTAAGCTGTGTCCACCTAATCTAAATCATTCAAGCTTGATGTGCCATCCCTAAACGAATTATTTAAACATAAAAATGCCTAATTTTAACAGTGGTCGAACTGAATTCAGACCGCACTGTTGCAGGTATGGATGTGACAGGGTGTGATAAACAGGTACAGAGCTGCCAAGCCTCACACTTTGAGTGTGACAGTCATGCAATTTGACCCATTCTCACACCACACGCCACACTTGACTTTTCTCACGCTTTTATTTCCATATTCAAAACTCTGTATTTATATTTTTCATGATAATAAACTTGGCTTGCCGTAGTTCGAGTAACTCTGATTGTCTGACAGAGATAACCAACCCCAGACCAATGTATCAGTAATTTGTGCATCTAACCAACCACAGAAGGCACCATGTGGTAGAAACCAATCAAAGGCAACATAAGGCAGGTCTTGGCATCTCTAACTGTCTTTCACACACAACAGCGCAGACATTTAAAACCCACTCGACGTAATACAATATTAACTAATAAATGTATTTTGTCAAAATTCTTGTTACAATTTCAATTTCTGGTTAATTAAGAATAGCATTAGGGAGAGCAGCTGGCATGGAGGCGAGGACATCAGTCTTCAGGTATAAATCCACGTTAAAAAAGGCAAAAAAATTTCACCAAACTCATCATAACACTAAAGTCTCACTCTTGACATTTTCTGAAACTTGGCAGCCCTGCAGGTACATAACACCAGTTGATACTTCGGGACCAGATGTTTCAATTACTTTCTTGTTAAAACCTGATGCATACATGTCCTAAATTCAACACCACTTCTGATAGCTATAAATTCAGGTGTGTTGATACCATAAATGTGAAGTACAGGTTATCAGAATTAAAAATACTCAATGTTTGACCTTTAGGCTAGCTCGGGATCAGGAGACTGGTTAGCTTGATGCTAACCCTGCAGCAACAAGGGAGAACTTAGCATTAATTCGCTATTTCACTTTTATATTTTGTAGCAGTTTAGTTAGGCCCATCCCCCACTTTTAATATAAAATCAGAGGTTTCTTAGCATTGCATAATTTCATTTGGAACAATCTCACAACATGCTAGCAAGTGCTATCTTTTAGCTGCTAGCCTCAAGCAGTGGTAAGGGGCTTGCTTGTAGCACACAGGAACAGAGAAATGGGCTGTTCTTCCAAACAAAACCTGTTTTTTCCTGAAGTCAAGTCAGTCATTTAAATATCAGTCATTAATAGGACCCCTTGAGTCTGCCCCATGCTGACACTTAATATGGGGAGTTTAAAACAATAGATCAATCAAGTGACTAACCAAGGAATATTTGCACCCTGCTGATTGGTTGACCTATATGCACATGACCCCTGCCAGTTCCTGTCATTTATATCCAAATACATGCCTCTCAAAAATGGCAGCCATCCAGCACCCCTCCTCCTCCTCTGCAGCCCTACTGTTCTCCTCCTCTAAAATGCTAACTAGCTCTGCTGCTACAGTTCGCTCACCTGAATATAAACAAACTCACCTGACAACTTGGGGTCAGCAGTTTTTGGAAAGAAGTGATGTTTGGCTTTGCACTTTGCTTCGCCTTTAATCTTATCAGCTGTGGCCTCAAACTAATCTTCAGCAGCAGTTTCCTCTGATATCACCTTATCAGGGTAAGTTTCTGCTGTTTGTGCTAACCTGCATATTGTAAAGTTTATGTTTGGCTCTGTTGCCTGCAGTCAGGCTGCTGGTTGTTGTATTGCTCTGCTTGTTAATCTGTTGGCTTCTGCTAGCTGCTGTGTTTTGTTGCAGTACCCAACCATATGCAGTGTTCGTGTCTGCAGAAATTTCTTTAAGGTTGCTTTTGGCGTGTCTCTTTAAAAGCTTTCATGTAGTCAGTTTTCTCTGTGGTGAACAACAAGGATTCATGATTGAGATTAAAAACGTTGGCAGAATTGGATTTAGCAGCACGTTTCCTCTTGATTAAATTGTTGTTTCTGTTTGTGGAGCTACTCCACTTGCTGAATTGTGAAGATTGGCTACAGATACATGAACACTTTTGTTTTCTTGCCATTTCTGCCCTTTAAAATACTCAACATGGTCGTCATCATCATCAAGCTAACCAATGGGAACTGGCTCATTGTACACATTAAAAGACTGAGTGCCACAGCCACTTTGCTGTTTTATCTTCTTTCTTTTCAGTCCTGCTGCATTCATGACCACTTGAAGCCTTCAAAGGCCATGAGGTTGTTTGTAAAAAACCCTTTACTAGTTTATGTGTCTATATGCATTATGTACAAGGCTGCATGGCTCTCTCTTTGTCATGATACAGAGTACAGTCCATTTCCCCCCTGGAGCTCACTTAAATCTTGACATTTACTGCAAAAGAAACACTCATACCACAAGGTTGATGGGTAAAAGGCTAATGAAGAGCTAGATTTGACCTGTAGGCACTCTGTACTTGTACAAAGATTTTGGATTTGTGCTGGATTTCTCGGTAACGTTTCAAGGTTTTGTTGCTTGAACCATAACAGACCTTGTCCTCTGTGTGATCACAGACGACAAGGTCTGTTATGGTGGATACTCTATTGCTAATGACAGAGTTCAGTTTGGAGAACGTTTTTTTTTTTTTTCCAATTCTTTTATAATACAGGAGATTTACGGGACAATACTAATACGGGAGGATGGTGGGAAAGAGGGGTCAAAGATGGTAGTTTCCCATGTCAGATATGTCCAGCACCTCGTGTTGCAGTTTTGAGCACTGTGTAACTCACGTCTTCCTTCTCCAACATGATGCACTGCTCTCATCTGCAATTACTGTAAAATCTTTGAAATCAAAATACACAATCAGCCTCTATTTACTGTCGCTGAACAAGACAACATGTATGTGAACATGCAAGCAGTTCAACACACTTAAGCCTTGAACTGAATTGGCTTAATATCAGGATTTGGCTGAGTATACTGTATGTATTGGCCTTTTATTTCTCTGATAAAAGTAATTTCTGTTTAAGGCAGTAATACAGGATGCCTGGACATATGTTTGAAAATGTATATCAATTTCTGTTTTAGTTGTCTGTGTCATCAGTTTTGCAGTAAGCTTGTTTGACTTTGATTCAGTAAGGCATTGTGTCTGCAGACAGCGTCTACGCTGAGGTGGGAGATGTGTGTCAATCGTGAAGGACCCGGCTTTAAAAACCGGCTTCAGAGAGCTGTGTGGGAGCAGAGAGGGTCTGTTCTTGCAGAGTTTAATGATCTGAACCATTAAAAAGAGCCTGAATTCCCATTACCAGCAGCTTTTTTTACTGAGGTCGCCTCTGAGCATTAACGCAGTCAATGCTTATCAGTTTCAGATATCAGTTATTGTCTGGTGAACTACTAATTAGATGTATCGACCTTGAAAAATCCTTATCAGTCAACCCCTAAGTTTATTTATTTTTTTATCAGTAAATACGTCCTCCTGTCCGATCCATCCAAACACTAATACAATAAATGCTGGTCTCACTACAAGTCTGAGTCCTCACCTCTGAGATCACAGTGGGAAATATTTGCTGTGCAAAAGCAGACATATTTATTTTTCTTGTTTTGTTGACTCGTTTCAGACGTTGTGGTTTATCTCTGTTATATTCTCTGTCTGTCTTGCAGCACTCTATCTTTAGCCCGCACTTTAAAAAGTTTGAGCCGCTGTTTCTGAAACTGTATACAGTGAGAGGTGCATCAAAGGTAAACAGGACACTGTTAATGATGATTATACAGTTTGTGATTTCAATCCCAGGTGTGTTGTTGCAAGGTTAATGTCAGGATTACACTTGGTTTAATGAGCAGTTTCATAGTTTACTTGACTGTGCTGCAGAGCGCCTTTGCTGAGGCCATCCCTGACAGCTGGTAATTTTACATCTCAATCATATTTAACAACGTTGGTGCAATAATTCAGCTCATTGTCTGTATATGTCACAGGTTCCCCAGCTCCTCATTAACTCTCCTTCTTAGTCATGAGATCTGTGATATGTGGGAGGAAGGTGCAGTAAATTTAACAGCATTTCTGGTGCAGTAACATAAGATTTGTTGAAACACTTAGAATACAACTTAATTATTTCAGCTTTAATTACATTCCTTCAACATTAAAGTATGATACACATCTTTTCTGAACAGTTAAGCAGCCCTTCAGTGGCAAAAAAACAAGTAAGTTTAGGCTCCAGTGTCTTAAGATCTCCTGTATTGAGTTGTCACTGTTGATTAATGTGCTCTGTCCCACAGAGATGAATAGAAAATACCAGATGTTTTTGCCAGATGATCTTTTAACAGAGGATTTATTTTTGCATTTCCTGTTCATTCTCTCCATCCACCTTTCTGTCACCGTTTCTTAAAATCTTAAATAAGTTGTGACAACCTGCAGGAGAGTTTCTTAAACAATTCAGCGGTGACAAAGACACATGAGGCCTTTTGTGTATTTGACTTGTTTTTAGACTTTCTCTGCCACCAGGGTACTCGGCCGCATCTCTTGAAGGAGAAATGCCAGCTTCATTCTCTTCCTCTGGCAATGCTTTCAAATATTCACAAACGCTGCAGGCGAGACGGCCTAACTTGAGTGTAGATGGAAGGTTTGGAAGGGAATACACAACATCGGAGTGTGCACCATGGGCTGGTAGAGGAACATGACTATAATTGGATCCCCTGACAGCTGTTTGACTTCTGCCTCCTCTAGGACGAGACCCCCACTCTCTGATGCTTTAATTCACACACAGACCCTCATTGCTATGCATAGCTGTCCTGATCAGTCAGAACAACACAGCGGTGATCACCTTTAATGACCTACAGATCACCCATCTACCGCTTCAGAGTGTCTGCTGTCAGGAGGATTTGTTGGCTGAGCAAGAAGGCAAACAATAAAACATAGTAGGGAAAATGATGGCCTCGTATAGGTTGGTGGTAAATTTTTTAAGTCTGGGTGAGGAGGCTAGACTTTACCTGACAAACAGATGAACAGTGGTGAAAGCTAGCATAAGCAAATGCCACAGTGCTTGTTCATTGCTTGTGTAGACCTGTCAACACTACAGCTAAAGAAAACTTTGTAGGAGCTGAAGTTTAAAATAAGTGCTATCTCTACACTGGTTGACATTATATACCTTTTATCAACCTGTTGCATTTTGTGCACACTTTAAACTTCATTATCACCTCATTAAAACAACCTAATGTCTGATCTCTTTTGGTAACGGCATTTTGTTTGATTTGTCAGTACTTTTCTTCTACTGATTTATTTCCAGCAGATGCTCTTGCGCTGGGGCGTGGATAATTTGGCTTTTTTGATCGCTGGTAATTGTCTAACCTTGTTTTGAAAACTTGCATATCAAAGAGCAAAATGTCAGGCATCCGTTCTTTTTGAAGGTCTGGGACTCGGTGGACAAAAGCTGCTAATTAGCTTCCAAACTAACCAAAGTCAGCATTTGTGTCAGTGCTTGAGATTGTGAAAATGTGACTCAGGCTCCGAAAAACTGTTCTTTTAGTGATTTAGTAGAAAAGAAAGCTGCCAACAGAGTGTTAGGTTAATGTTGCCAGTTTATTATTAAACTGTTGCCTGTTTGAATGTCCAGTGTTTATGGCTGGTGCATGGGTCACATTAGCAAGTACAAGGCCCCTGACTGGTATTTTATAGCCTCATATCTGGTCTTGTCCTCATCGCTGTGTGGGTTGTATTTATTCAAAATGACAATTTTTGGACAAGTGGGTTTGTGGGTTCATAAATGCCAATTCATCCACATCCAGAAGTCAACAAACCACCATTATTAAGGTGGGGTCTTTTAAGGAATTTTCCTTATGGAACTAATAAAGTAGTATCTTATCTTAATTTTTCCTCTTGCTCACTGACCCGTTAATGGCTTTTATTTTAAATGGACGATTAATGAAATGATATCATTGATAACGTCACTTTACTAGCTTGCCGGCTAATCAAGATGCTGCATGATATCTGTCCTGTTGCTGTTAAATGAACCGATACATGCTTAACCCTTTTAGTGCCTTTTGTATCATATTTGATACATACTTTTATGAACTTCTATCAAATCAATGTGATCAACAAATTACTAAAAAAACACCTGAATATACTGAAAACAAATGATAAAAATGTCCTCTTGTAGTTTATCAGTTTCTAAAAACATCTAATGTATCAAACAAGATAAATAAATATATTTGTTAAATTTGAAGGACATTTTCATTTTTGGGGGGTTTTCAGCAGTAAGTGAAATAAACATTTCAGCTCCAAAAAATTTTGAATTTTCTGGCCATAATTTGTGGTTTCAGACATTAAAGGGCTACGGCTAACATTTAAAAGAAATATTTAAAAGGGAAAAAAAAAAATTTGCTAATTCAAATAGTCTGTGACGATTAAATGCAACTGTTAATTGAATAATGTAATGAGCTATTTATACTCTAGTAATCTATTCTGGTACCACAGTCAGCAGTTGAATTACACTGAAGTGAAGGCAGCCATGCAAAATGTTGTCACACATATTGTTTGCTGGATTTTCTGGTTTTCCCCCATGGTTAATTTATAAGATTTATAACAAATAAAATAAAAATCTATTAATGAAGGCATCTGACTCAAGTGGTGGATTTATTCATTAAGAAAGAAGGGCAGATGTAGTAACCTTTTTTTAATGAAGATTTAAATCTTTCTAAATGCCTAATAATTTGGACTTTAATATGAAGAAAGGTGGGGATTGACTCCTTATCTGAAGCCCCCCCTCCAGTGGCCACTCCTGGAACTGCACTGGCCTCAGTTTTCAGCTCAGAGGTTGCTGCCTTCTTTCACTTTCTTTGTCCATCAGAAAAAGTTATATACAGTCTTTTCTTTTCTTTAATTGGCTTCTTCATTTGTCTTGAAACGATGCTGACAAAAGTGGCTTGTGAGAGCAGATGCAATATTTAATCTCTCACTGTATATTTTGACAGTACTCCTGATGTCACTGTAAATGAGGGCACGCCCTCAGTGACACCTCACAAATGACTGAAATGAAATTTCCAATTTATTCTCTTCAACAGTTCCCAGAAGTCTGGATTCCAGCAGATGAAAAGAAAGTGATTCTCACTCACTGTTGTAACATCCCGACACAGATTTGTCTTTTAAACATTACATACACTGTCGAGTTCAAAAGAGAGTTTATGAGCCGTGTTCATGGAGCCTCTAATTCCGGCTCCCTAGTCAAACCCTGATATGCAAGAGGAGATTTTTCCTCACATCTGCTTTAACTTCACAGTCTGTGCCGTCTGTTGGAAACATAGTCTCATTCTTCAATCTTTATAATTTTTTATTGTTAAGTCAGACCATGTGCATTGATAAATCATAAGTCTATATAAAGTATCTGGCTGAGTTAAAACACTAATTGAGAGTTGAATACTTGGTGTTCTGATAATGAGCTCATGAAAAAAACAACAGGACTGCTTCTACTAGACTGTCCTTTTATTTTGTTGGACTTTTTCTGTCTGGAGGAAGACTGATGAGAGAAAAACAGATGGCTAGGGGACTGACTTTACAAAATGAAGTCAGACATGGTGGTCAGGGACATGTCTGTAACAGTGGTGCTTGATGGAAAGAGAGTCTGAAAGGGCATGTGTTGGTTCTGTTTAATTTGAGGCTTATTTTTGTATTTGAACACAGCAGCTCAAGGTGAATCATACCAAAAATATATTAAATTTATTTCACTGAAAATATTCCATCAATAAATCGACAAGAAATAACCTAAATCGTTCTGCTGCATATCTCTAATCATCGGTTTGCTTTGCCGTTAGTATTGCATTTATTCATTCTTTCTTGCCAACTCTCTGTGTCTCATCTTTAAAAGCTAATTAGGGACAGTGATCCAGCTCATGTAAAGGTCTCCTCCTTTTGACTGAGCAAACACAGGCAGGTACAAAGAGAAACAACAGAAAAAGAAGGCAAGCAAAGAGAGAAAACCTTCAGAGCTGAATTGTAACCCAGACGCCGCTCAGTTAGCCTTCAGTTGCAAAGAATGTGTCAGACAGCTCGGAGGATTAAACAAACCCATTGTGGGTTGGAGTGCATCTGAGATGAGTGCCGACATGAAGGGTTGTATCAACACCTGCCAGAGAGACTGCATTCTGTGCACATTTTCAGAGCTTAACGGCAGCGTCTCTGATTCGCGATGAAAATCATCTTCAATGGGAGGATCTTTCATCTAATGGCCAGATTATTTATCTCTATCGATGTGCAGCTGTGATTTATCAAGACTAACCTCTGATGCATATTCACACCTTTTGTAGCTCGGTCAGGCATTCCTGCATGACTTCTTTGACAGCAATCTCTGTGATAACAACCACAAATGCATCCCCCCTTCCCTTTTTAAAATATTCGATTCAAGTGCAGACATAAATGGGATAAGCGTACAGGTGGCTGATGTCAGCGGATATCACAAAAGCAGGCGGACCACTATTTTGACCACACATGTGCCTTACTGTTGCAGGGGACTGTATTTACAGGACACAGAGAAAGCAACTAAAATTAGATCTCTGAAAATCAAAAATGTTGTTGCATCGACTGGGGATCATACGACATCAGAGTGAAATCAAAATGACAGTGCAGTATTTATTTGACTGGTAATCCCAAAAGTTGAGATTACAAAATGCTGTTTATTGCATTTATTTAATCCTTAATCATGACAAGAAGAAATTAAAAGTGATTTGTGTTGTTTTTGGAATTTTAAAGCTGTGAATAAAGATGAGATTGATCAACATTAACTATTTAAAGTCAGCTGATTAATAAGAAATTGTTTCACAGCCCAATTTATAATACATTTGTTGTTGAAGGAAAGTCCTCCAAAGATTACAAAACTAACAAAATCTACACAACAGCACTTTAATTATTGTCATAATTACAGTGTTGTGTCTCAATTAAGTACTTTAGGGCAACTTCTGCTGATACAATTTTCCTTTACGGCTCCAACCAGTCAGCGATTTCCTTAAATTAATAAGTCAGCAGTTACATTAAATGCCAGAAAATATCTGCCAAAGTTTCCTGAAGTCCTCTGACAGTCTTTTTGTTTTAACCCACATCACAAACCCCAGTACTGTTTTACCGCAATATAAAAAAATATAACAAATTACCCACAGAACTGAGAGACAGGAACATAAAGACCTTTTTGGCATAATTTCTCACCAAAAGTACCTTTTAATAATTAATTGGGCTTTTTTTATTGTCCATTTCTGCCATATACACAAGAATTGAAAAAGATGTTTCTCTCCAGCCCACAGTGGAAATAAAGCATTTGCAAGCTTAATGTTTTTATACCCACAACTTGTTTATTGAAATGTTTGTGCTTTACTTTAAATAGTCTATTTTGCCCTAATGAAAATGACTCCAAATTCCCCCGAGCCTCCTGAAGTCTGCAAAACTCCCTTAAAAGGATCCCTGTGAAAGGTGATGTGAATAAATGTATTGCATGGGGCTTTAAATTCTTGGTCTGTAATCCTTTTGATGCCTCAATCTGAGGCTCCCAACCTGCATTTCTCAACCCAAACTCCTCCTCTCTATTTTCAGGATAATAAAGCTAAACTCACCCACACAGACACCCACAGACAGTGGAGCTCACACAGGCTAAGATTACAGACACCCAGACACGAACCACAGGATGGGAAAAACATGAAAAATATGCAGTGTGAGCGTGTCTGGCTTAAACGAAAACCACGCTTCATGTTAATGTGCCAGAGAACAGGGTGATATTGATAAGCAGCTGATGCAATCTTTTTGCCTGGTTGATATGAATATGATATTTTTTATGTCACTTCATTTTCATAGTTCTTGTTTAGTGCCAAAAGCCTTGAAAATTGGTTTCAAAAGAGGTGAGTTCTTTCGTGTTTCCTACACACAAATGATACCTGGTGAGCTGCCCAGTTATACTTTTGCCATCCGAATATAATAGCCAAATATTTTTACATTTTTCATGTGTGTAAGATTTCCAATTTGCTATCTTTGAGAAAATCTATCCTAACCCTCTTCACCTCACATCAGACGACTTGTGGTACCTGATGCATGCCCTGCTGTGTGTGATCAGAGAGAGACCGATTGCTGCTGATGTTGTTCACTTATTGTCAAAAGATCAGACACATACAAGTCAAGGAGAAACAACAAGAAGTGAACATGCTGCTGTGTAAAAAGAGGTGCAAAGTGAAAAGAGTAAAATAAGACTAACCCAAATCTACGGACAACTGAGGTTCATGTGTGAAAGGCAAGTCAAGAAAATTTCAGGACCTGCAAGTCCAGATATGACCGTGAATGCCCCTTTAAGACATGTACAAAGTTCCTGAAATCACCCAGGGGAGCTGAGTGTAAGCGTTGTTTTTCACCCCGACATCACCTGGTATATTTTCTGCTAACTCACTTATTTCAGGGTAAAGTCCTGGTGAGCTCCGGTTAGAAGCAACAACTCTCCCAGATAATTTCCTGCGGGGAGCAGCAGCAGGGGGAGCGGGTGGGGTGTCTCATGTGGTTGTTGTTCTGTGTAGTTTTGCTACATGGTTGAAAAATGCAGCTGCAGTACAAATCAAAAACAAAGGTGGTTGGCTATTTATATAATTCTTCAGGTCACAAACAGCAGTAGGTTTACTGAAAGGCTAAGGCAGTATTGTAAGAAACTTTTCCACACGTCAATAGATTATTGTCCTCTCAAATAATACAAATAATACAGCTGACAAGCTTGATGCATTTGCAGAGCTGCTTAGTGGTGAATCTCAATGGGGAACACTAGTCCATACAACACTATTTTGAACCCATGTAACGGGATAAAAGTGACATTAAAGATAACCAAATGGCCTTATACCCGCTTCTCCTCCAGGGTATGTTCATTTCACTTGTCTGTTGATACTGTCTTTGCATTTGATTTCTTGTCATGTTGATACAAGGATAAAAAACAGTTGGCAAAGCATTCGTTTCTGTCTCCGTGTGCTGACCTGAAAAAAAAAAAAATATATATATCGCAGTCGTTTTTTTTCTTTGATTACCAGCACTTTAGCCTCTTCTGGTGACCCATTTAGCTTGATGCACACCTTGCAATTTGCAGTCCATGTTGACTGAATTTTCTTTTGTTTCTTCAGGAAGCGTGCTTTTTTAGCTATAGCTCCATTTTTGGGGGTTAGGTGCTCATTCACGCAGACATCTGAACCCTTAAGTTTCCTTCCTTGTCTGAGCAGTGCATTCTTATGCTTCCTATTTGTGAAGCGGATTATTAAAGCTGGTTTGTCTGCCTTGTTTCTCTGAGGGAGAGGATGGCAGGCCTCAATATTGTCGCTTTTGACTGAAATACCTTTGCTGTCAAAGAATGCAATCACTTGTTGCTCGATGGAATCTTGGTCAGGCATGGTGGTTTCTCTGTTGAAACTGCCCGTGCATATGACCGAGGCTTGGTCTGTAACCCGCTGACAACAACATCATTCATGCGGGAATACTGCTCCAGGTCAGACACTCTATTTTCCAAGAATGCAATCTTTTTCTCCTGCTCCATATTCTTTGTTTTCAACAGTTTGATTTCAGTCAACAGCCAGGTTATGGTTGTATTTTGCTTCATCAAGTTTGTAATATCAGAGGACATCATATTTATGGACTCCTTTAACTCCTCCATGTCCCTCTGCAGGCTTTTCATGGCCATGTTTGGTAGGTTTCACACCCTCACCGTGCTGCTGAGGGGAGCTTCTGACTCTTGGGCTTAGCCTAGTGGCTAGGTTGTCAGTGGGCCCTGACAACCTAGCCACAATAACACAGAATTTACTAACAGACACCATCTAGAGGTTTAAAGGGAAACAAAAACAAAGAGAATAAGATTTAGAAATTAAAATATTACATTTAAATTGCTAGAAGAGGTAAAGGATCAGTTGTTTTAATCATAGGTTAATAACCAGAATTTTTTTCTGAATTTTTCTGGAGTAAGTTTCTGATATCGGCTTAAATGTCACGAGTTTGTGTGTAAAAGGGAGTTACAGTTCAACCCACAAAGACAGACTGCCGCTTGAAGGAGCTAATAATTATTTCTGAGTTGCTAAATCTCCGGAGAGTGGTCATAGTTAGATAAATATGTACCCTGCTGCTATCTTGCACCACCATGTTTCTAGCACAGTCGCCATGTGAAATGCACTGCATGGAAAAGGAGGTTGTTTGTTCGTGTGCACAAAATAATTTAATGGACACTTTATGATGGTACAAACTTGACAAATAAAGAATCATACATATTATGAATCACAGGAGCTTTATAACCCATAAAGGCCGCCATCACTTTATTGGCGGAGGGAGTAAACAAGGTAGAGTTTTAATCAAGACAGATATTGCTAATTATCCCCACACCTACACAGTGTACCTTTAATTTGCTCAGTTCCCAACAGCAACAGCAATACAACGTATAATGTTCAACATAGTGCACAGACATGTTGTCTTTACACTTGATCTTAAGAGAATAACATCAGCTGTCTAAACTTTTCCATCTCTGAGTCTTTGTGGAGTTAAGATAATGCTTGCAAAGCTGACATGATTTCAATACAAATCGACAAGTGGATTAAGCTAACGTGCCAAACCTGTGGTAGCATAAACTCACAGCTGAGTAGTTGGAGAAGCATTACCTAGCAAATGATATTGCTGACTGAACCAAACTTACAGTAGCTGAACAAAGTCAATAGCTGTGAGTTTTTATCAGGCAGTTGTTCCTTTAAAAATGTTCACTTTGATTTTAACAGCACTGGCAGTGATGAGAAAGAACTCAACGACCCTGTGTCCACCAAAATAAGACAGAGAGTGAGGAAGTTTAACAGCCTCTGCTCTTTTCAGCAACCTATAATTTAGATGCAGTTGTCTTTTTCATATTATTTAAAACCCTAGTCCTATTTTTTTATTGGATTGACTCTTTTTTTTCAAATTACATATTAAGTTGTAAGCCACAAATACTGCAAGACAATTTCCAATGCTCAAAAACAAAGTAAGAAAAACTGTGGTTAGATGTCTGACTCATTAAACTTGTTCAATTTTATTTCTATTAATTTAGTTCCCCACCTTCAGCACTAACTTTGATTTTATTTCATATTGGCTCAAGTGTGGGCTCTCTGATTCTGCAAAGTTCTTTCTTAACACATGGGAGAAGTAGTGAAACATTTCTGTGTTGATCTCGACGACACCTGTAGATGAAGTGTTACATCTTATTTCTCCTGCTGACCTTGAACAGAAAGCAAATCTCTTCTGTAGAAAATGTCTGTAAAGACAGTCCAGACACCTTCCTCAGACTCTGGCCAGGTGGCCATGGTAAAAATAGCTCTGAACATTCCTCCTGATGGCCTGTTTGCATTTGTAGCTCACAAAGAGACATCGTTGGCAATGGCAGTCGGTTTCAAAACCAATTAAAAAAATCCAAAGAGGGCTTTTATGTTTGAGAACCCTTTGAAAGGCCCTCACACTCAAACTTCAGTGAGTGTTTGTAACAACTCAAGACTAATTAACTAAATTAATTCAGCATAATTTATTTAAAATGGCTAATGATGAGATCACAGTATCTGCAGGTAATCCTTGTCAAACTGGTTTGACAAGTGTTGATAAAGGCCCACTCTGATGAAAATCATGTTTTTCTTGTTGTCTACATGTTCATATGGTGTTTTTCTGATGGTAGAGCAGTGGTTCTCAAGTCCAGTCCTCGAGGCCCACTGTCCTGCATGTTTTGGATGTTCCCCTGCTCCAACACACCTGATTCAAATGATCAGCTCGTTATCAAGTTCTGTAATGGCTTAATAATGAGCTAATCATTTGAATCAGGTGTGTAGGAGCAGGGAAACATCCAAAACATGCCAACATTGCCTACAGTACAATGTTGTTCAACTGAACACACACCCTTTATTTTGATGAAGACCCCTGCACTTTTTGTTGTTAAAATCAGCTATCCCTTTAATTTTCACCAGCCAGCAGGCTTAATAGACAAATAGAGGAAATATTAAAACCTCTGTGATTCTGAAACTAACTGCTACTATGGGATTATATGACTCTTTTGCTCTTGATAATATTTTAAAGGAAAAAGAGACATGTTTCTCTGTCAAATTTGTCACAGGGATGTCAGCAGCTTTATTGAGTCCACTGTTGACTAACATGATGTGTCAAAAGTATGGTGTTCATGTTCATTATATCTCTTAAAAAATGACTCAATGCTCACAGAGAAGTTGCTGTAAACATGTACACACTGTTTAGGATTAACCCAACTGCTTATCATCATGAAACATCCCTTTTCTATAAGAACAGTCCTTTGAATTAACATCTAATTTAAGGTTGGCTTGTCCTGCCTGTTTAGTCACAGGACATGTAATCAGCACATTGAAGCACATGAAAAATTCAGGCTTATTAAACGCTGAAAAAGAGGAAAAGTCAACCAACTTTTAGGATTTGGTTGAAGCTAAACCAGTCAAACGGCACCACTTTACACAAACTTCATCTTCCTTTAGTCATCAATCTTTTCCACGCTGGTCCAGGCTGGCTGACTCATTAAAGCTTTCCAAAATCAGTATGACAAGTAAGGATGCATAAAGCGTGCACATGCAGGATCATACAGAAGCCTATCTATACAATCAGCTTAAATCATTTTGAGATAATTCACCCCTGCACAAAAAAAGCTTATTTCCAAGATTGGTCAGATTTTATTTTTATGTATATTTTGTCGCAGTATATGACTTTTCTAGCTTACTGTTGCATCTTGCCTTCTGGTGTTTATGAAAACAAAAACAAAGGGTAAACAGGAAAAGCAATAAAGAAGTCATGATTTCCAATACTCTTGATAAGACAGCCAGCCCCATGAAAACAAAACTTCCTGAGTTAATGCATCACAAACAAAGACTGGATTTGAGGATTAGATTGCTGCTGCATTTCAAATATCCTTTGATGCCCCCCTGCTGGGAAGCAAACCACATGGAGCTGTGAACATTATGTTATATCTGCAAGGAAATTAGATTCCATCTGCTTACCAGTATTCATGTTAAGTTTCAGGAGTTTTGTTCATGTTACACCACTTCAGTATCTCTTTAAAAGGATAAAACCTGATTTTTAGAGATTAACTGGTCCCAGATTCTTTTCATCCTCGGTACAAAAAAGGCAAATCCGACCTTGAAACTTTGGATTAATCAGGATACGTCTTCAAACACTTAACTTTTCTGCATGTTAATCCTTTTTTTGGACATTTCCCCTCTGTCTTTCTCTATTTGTCCAGCCCAGCTCTGTTGGAGGCATAGGGAGGAGATTCATGTCCCAGGGAGAGTATTTGTCAGTAACAGATCAGCCGGTTCTGCTGTGGTGGCAGGTATCTCCATCACCTCGGTGGGGCTTTTCTTCCCCTCCATGGATCAACTCCCTGTGTCTGTAAAAGTGGGGTCTGGAAGCACATCCGCTGCCTTAGAGACCAATGAACAACCAGGGGACTCATTTGAGATCCATAGTTACAGCTCTGCAGAGGTTTGGCTCACAGCTCGGATTGAGAATATAGAATAAGACCCACAGACACTGGGAGCTTTTCCAACCATGCATGCCATGCCCTTACAACTAGATTTGAAAACTTATTTTACACTTGTCTGTTTAGGAGGTGGACAGTGTAACTTAAGGACTGGTACAATTTCATATTTCTTGGTAATATGCTTGATCTACAGTTTAAATAGAAGTAGCCCGATAGAGTCCTTTGGCCACTCTTAAAAACTAGTGCAACTTTATATCAGTTTTATCAAGTATAGATGCTTAAGTCCAGTGTGCACACCCATGCTCTTGCTCTGGAGCAGTATTTGGTGTTTTCCGTGGCAGATCAGCTACTAGCTCTTTAAAGATGCCATGTGCTAGTGTGTTTGAGGTGGAAAATCATAAAACTGTGTCATCAGCATAAAACCAAAATATTTTTGTGGCACATTGGTTTATATCAACAACTGAATAATAAGATTGATGCAACAAATGTTCACAAACTGTGAAGGTAAGATATTTTAAGATCTCCCTACAGACTGGTGACTGCCTCATAAACCCCTGGAGTCAAACTTCAACATTTGAATCCAAATAACTTTTTTATGGTTTCTGTTCTTTTATCAGTTTTTTTTGCTAATCTATGATAAGTTGTTGTTTTATGGAGAAGTTTAGTCTTAAAAAGATAGTTAAATTTTTTATGACTTATAAAAAAAGCTGATTGAATAACAGCCTGCTGAATATTCAGGTCTTTACAGCATAATGAGAAAACATAAAGTAAAATGAATTGATTTAAACTAAATTATGAATTAAATTAAATTATAAATTAAAATATGGATTGTCCTTTGGGGATCAATAAAGTTTTCTCATCTTAAAGCACACTAACATAAGGGTCATTAAACTTGCCATATAGTCATAAGTGTTGGCTACAACCCAACTCAAGGGGGATCCCTTGGCGTAAAAGATTGTAATGTCTGTCCCCTGGCTCCACCATCCAGGTACTACTGTGCAAGCCTTGGCACTGCTAATGCAATATGTCAGTGCCCAGTGAAGCTGTGCTTTGGCTTCACATCTCACAATTGGAAGAGCCTGTCTATATTAATTAAAACATAGTTAATGGATTATATACAGTATAATAGAAGTGGCCCCAGAACAGATCCCTGGGGTACTCCTATGCTTGCTTTATTATGTCTGCAA